TGTCGTCGAACTGCCGCTCGACGATCTTGGCCAAGCCCGCCCGGTTGCGATGCAGCAGCTCGGCGCACGCCGCCAGGTAGACCTCGCGGCCGAAGCGGGCCGCCAGCTCGCGCACGCGCGTCGCCGCCATGGTGCAGGCCGCCACCAGCGCGCTGAGGTCGGAGCGGTACCAGGCGGGCTGGCGCGAGTTGCGCACCAGCAGCTCGATCAGGTCTGCGTTGAGCACGCCGCGCGCGTACAGCTTGACGCACGGCACCTGGACGCCGTCGTCGAAGACCGAGGTGGAGTTGATCGACATGCTGCCGGGTACCATGCCGCCCACGTCCGTCAGGTGGCCGAACTGCGACGCCCAGCCGATGATCTGGCCCTCGTGGAAGATGGGCAGCAGCACGATGAGGTCGTTGAGATGGCTGATGGCCCCCTGCACCTGGTACGTGTCGTTGGTCACAAAGATGTCGCCCTCCTCGATCGTGCCGTGCCAGATTTCGAGGAACTGCGTGATGAAGCTGCCGAACTGGCCCACCAGCATCTTGCCCGCCGAGTTCGTGATCACGTTGAACTCGTCCTGCTGCTCGCGGATCGCTGGCGACATGCTGCACCGCAGCATCATCGAGTCCATCTCGCCGCGGATCGATCCCAGCGCCGCTCCCACCAGCGTGGGAATCAGCGGCGTGCTGCGGACGAGCTCGCCGGCCGTCTCGGGCGTGTGCGACTCCACCGCGTCCCGGGGCTTGTGGTCCACCGGCTGGATGAGGATGTTACCGATGGCGTCGATCTCGCCGTAGTAGCCTGGCAGGATCAGAGTGTTGCTGTCCATCTCCGTGATGATGCAGGGTCCGTCGACGCGCACCCCCTGTTGAGTGATGCCCTGGCGGTCCCACAGCGTCGCCGTCTGCTCCACGCCGCGCACAATGATCGTCTGCTCCCCGACCCGGGCCTCCGCGGGCGGAGCCGGCGACGCCGCAGCGCCCACCTGGGGGATGTCGATGCCGGGGGAGGCGTCCTCCAGCACGACGCCCAGACGCATCAGCTCCAGCTCGAAGTCCGGCAGCGTGTAGGTGAACAGCTGCTGGTGCTGGCGGTCGAACTTGGCCCGCAGGCCGCCGTGCCAGGCGGGGGTGTCGAGGACCGCCAGCTCGGCGGCGTCCAGGTCGACGGTGATGGTGAGCGCCTGTCCCTTGTACCGCAGGTCCGCCTGGTACTTGGACGTCCACTCGGTGGGGCCGCTCTCGCCCGCAGTCCGCTGCAGCGTCTCGCGGCACTGCGCCTCCAGGGCGGCGTACCGGGCGCGAGCGTCGTCGGCGGTGGTCTCGGTGATCAGGCGAATGAAGGTGGTTGACTGTTCGTGGCTCAGCTTGGTGGTCACGTCGCCCTGGGCGCAAAGGATACCCGGCGACGGCGGGACGATGACAGGCCAGGCGCCCAGCAGCTCGCCGACGGCGTTGGCGTGCAGCGGTCCGGCGCCACCGAAGGCCACCAGGGCGAATTCGCGCGGGTCGTAGCCCTGCTCGACCGACACCAGGCGCAGAGCGCCGTACATGGTCTCGTTGATGATGGTGATGATGTCCTCGGCGGTCTGGGGGACGGGAAGCTTCATCTGGGTGGCGATGTCCTCGACAGCCGCCACGGCCGCCTGCACGTCCAGCGTAAATTCGCCGCCCAGCAGCGTCTTGGGCAGGTAGCCCAGAACCAGGTTGGCATCGGTGACCGTTGCCTGGCGGCCGCCCTTGCCGTAGCAGGCCGGTCCGGGGGCCGCGCCCGCGCTCTCGGGCCCGACGCGCAGCGTCTCGGTCAGCTCCATGTAGGTGGTGATGGAGCCGCCGCCGGCGCCGACGGTGTGGATGTCGACGGCGGGCGAGCGCACCGACAGGTTCTCGACGACGGTCTCCCGGCGCAGCTGCGGTTGGCCGTTGTAGATGAGGGCGCAGTCGGTGGAGGTGCCGCCCATGTCGAGGGTGATGAGGTTCTTGTAGGGGGTGCTGTGGGCCACGACGTCGGCCACGCCCTTGGCGCCACCGGCGGGGCCGGACATGAGGATGTTGACGGGCAGCTCGCCGGCCAGGGCCAGACTAGTCAGCCCGCCGTCACTCTTCAGCACGCGGATGGTGTCGCTTTCGGGGGCCAGCTTGTCCGCCAGGTTGCGCAGGTAGGTCTGCACAACAGGCTTCACCAGGGCGTTGGTGCACGTGGTCACCGTGCGCTCGTACTCGCCCACCTCGCGGAGCACGTCGGCCGAGCAGATAACGGCGACATCGGGGCCCAGCTCCTCCTGGACGACGCGGGCGACGATGCGCTCGTGAGCGTCGTTGCTGTGCGAGTTCAGCAGCGAGATAGCCACGGCCTCGGGCCGCTGGCGGACCAGCGCCTGCAGGCTGTGCCGTAAGCCCTCCACGTCAACGTCGGTCACGGGCTCGCCGTGCACCGACATGCGCTCGGTGCACTGCACGACGCGCTCCAGCGGCACCACGGGATCGGGCGGGGTGAAGTTCAGCCAGGCTCCCAGCCCACCGGGGATCTGGGAGCGACGCAGGGCGAGGATGTCCTTGTGGCCGGAGGTGACGACCAGACCGGTGCGGGCGCCCTTCCCCTCGAGCACGGCATTGGTGGCGGTGGTGGTGCCGTGGTGGATGAACTGGAAAGTCCCCGACCAGTCGAACCGCTCTTTCAGCAGTTGGCGGGCTTTGGTGATGCCATTCTGGATGCCCACACTCTGATCCGGGATGGTCGTGGGCACCTTTGCCCGGACCGTCTGACCGTGCGGGGTGAAGATGTAGACGTCGGTGAAGGTACCACCAACATCCACACCGAGCTTGTAGCCTTGGTTTGTAGGAGAGTCGGACATGGTGTAGTCCTAGGAGAGGAGGGGGCCGCACGAGAAAGAGAGACACGAGTCTGCTCAGGGGGGGAGGATGGGGACAGAAGGGGGGAGAGAGGAGGTGTGGATAGGTGAACAGAGCGATAGGAAGTTATCAGAACGAAGATAGCACGGAAGGGCGGACGAGAAGGGGGGGAAATAGTAACGACAGGGATCTTCTATTATCAGCTCACGTCAGTGGAGGGGGAAGCCATGCTCATATCGAATGATCGATAGAGCTAGACTCATCAATAATGTCTCCGATATCCTTCTCCAACGGTCCCACCCAATGCCACGTTGCTGGCTTCTCCAGTTCTTCCCTCTGTCATCCTGAGTTAAACCAGTCTGGAAGAACCTCCGTCCGTCTTGATCAGACCTGCCCCATCCCCATTGACTGTTGTGCAGGTTTCTTTCCATGATCATTGGTCGGGTGTTTGAGCGCAAGGATCCACATCTCTGTCGATCCTGCGACTAGCAGCTTGTCAGTGGGCCCAAGACCCACGAGGCTGGCGTCCACCAACGAGACAATGGGATCGAATCAGTTAGAGGCGCCCGCCGCCCAAATACGACATAGCGAATGCACTCGATGGAGGGGCGATACGCCAAATGCGTGAGACCTCCATGGCAACACACTGGGAGGGGAGGGTCCCCAAAGCGTTCGCTCATGCATGAGGACGTCCCGATAGATTGGACCAGCCCCATTGCGCAGCCCCTATCCGTCCAACCATTCCTCTTGGCCGCTGATGTGCCATGTTTTCTTCCCCTCCGGTGTTCCGATCCGCTGTTCTCGGAGCTTTGTACCAGTACGGATTCGTGCAGAAGACCTCAACCATTGCTAGGAAATACATTTCGTTGGGGAAGGCCGCGTCTCGGAGTCACCAATGGGTGATGTCAATCCGACCACCTCCCCTCCCTCCTCCCTTGGCGTGATAATCCTACGGCGACCGGCTGTCGAAAGCTGGGCCAAGCTCTCTATCGTTGTGTCAACCGCCCGACCGAGATAGTTAGTCAGTAAGCGAGCGGTCCCCACGTATCGTTCATGAGGGGAGGGGGGGGGTCGACCAGACGGCAGTCGAACGCGTCGAACCCCGTCCCCTCGGGGGCCAGTGGCCAGTGGCCACAGTAGCTATGACCGGGGGATTTAGTGTCCCAGACTGTCAAAGTTCCACCTCCTGAACGCAAAGGTCCTGTCGACCGTGGTCTGTGGAGATAGTGGACCCTCGTGGGTTCTCAGGAATTAGTCGGACACTAGTCTCCTAGTGGAGATGCTAGTTGGAGGGGAGGAGAGACGCAGAAAAAGGATCGAGCAGGATGGCCATGAACCGGATCGCATTTCTCGAAACGGAGAAAGGCCGTCACCAGAATCAATGTCCCGACGTCATGAACGACATGATCGGCCTCATTGACCCCATTTTTGGGGGGTTGTTGGAGGTCATTGAAGGGGATTTTGATAGGAGATGAGATGGCGTGACCTCTGTAACCCTAATTTCTCGCCCCTCCCAATTGCGGCAAGAGACGATCGCATGAATTATTGACATGAAAACTCTCCACCCTCCCCTTTCTTCGAGGTGATTCTGGGCAACGGGGATGTGCAATCATCATCTGCCATCGATGATCGGAGGGTCTGACCCGACAGGGATGCTGTCATGTTTCCCTGACTGCTGTCATATTCGAATGGGGTGGGAGACCTCAGGGAACAATTGCTGGGGGGAAAACCCTGCGTTGCCACAAGTAATCAGGGATTCATTCCTGTTGATGATCGGCCTGTTTGGCCTTGAGTCGTCGCCCAATGAGCAAGCACAAGGGTTGTTTCATGACTGGCAGCCAGGGCAAAGTAAGATCCAGAGTAAGACCATTAAAAGTGGGAGCTTACCAGCCCCTCCCAGGTCTCGAAACAGCGTCTAGTACTTTGTAGTGCCAACCGACCTCCCCCATCCCCTACCTTGGTCTCCACTCGTTCTGGCGGAAAAGGCAAAGGGAAAAATAAGAGGGAAAAAAAAAGATTTACCCTAGGATGTGTTAAATCCCCAAGTCTTGTCGATTGCTAGCAGAATCCTTTCAAGGTTTTGTCTGTCATCGAGATCCGTCCCTTGTCCCTCTAATCCCTCCACTCTCCTTCACCCCCCACCCACGAACCTCATCCGTCATGCAGGAAAAGCAAGAGGTTGAGGCCCATGTGGGCTCAGACATTGAGCCGTCCGGCGGCAGTCCGACCAGTACCACGTTCGGGGAGCAAGAGGAGGTGTTCAAGCAGACCGACTCCGGAGTCGACTTCCGTAAGGTCGGCTGGTTCAATGCCGGGATCATCTTCACCAAGATTCTCTTTGCCACGGGTGTGCTGTCTCTGCCGGAGTCGCTGGCCGCACTGGGAGCCGTGGGAGGCTCACTGAGCATCGTCGCCTGGGGTTGCTTCAACACGTATGCCTTCACCATCTTGGGTAACTTCCGTGCCCGCCATCCCAGCTGCCACTCGGTGGCCGACATGGCTGGCGTGGTCGGTGGCGTCGTGGCCAAGGAGGTGACCGGTTTGCTCTTCATCATCGCCTACATCCTGGTGACGGGCAGTGGCATCATTGGCGTGTCGACGGCGCTGAATGCGCTCTCGCACCACGCCGCCTGTACCGTGTGGTGGTCGCTCATTGCCACCGTGGTGACCATCGCCACGGCCTCGATCCGCAAGCTCCAGCACGTCGGCTGGTTGACTTACGCCGGATTTTTGTCGATTTACATCGCTGTCCTGATCGTCGTCATCGGAGTCACCACTGTCGACCGTCCTGCAGCGGCCCCCCAGACGGGCGATTTCGAGCTGGGTTTCTACGCCATCAACAACCCCGGCTTTGCGGCCGGCATGGTCGCCTCCAGCACCATCTTCGTCTCCTCCGCCGGTACCAGTGCCTTCCTGCCCGTCATCTCCGAGATGCGCAACCCCAAGGATTACAAGAAGCCGCTGTACCTCTGCATGCTTTTGGTCAACGCTTCCTATTTGGCCTTTAGCTTGGTCGTGTACCGCTGGTGCGGCCAGTACCTTGCCAGTCCCTCGCTGGGAGTGCGTTCCCCCCATTTACTTCTTTCTTTGCGGTAAGACATAGAGCTAACTGAAATGTAGAGTGCCGGACAAACCGTCAAGATGGTGTCGTACGGTGTCGGATTGCTAGGATTGATCGTCAGCGCCACGGTGTACTTGCACGTATGTACCCCAACTCTGGTGATAGTTTGTGGATTCCCTCTGACTGTGGATCATCTAGGTCGGCGCCAAATACGTTTTCGTGCGACTCCTCGCCGGCTCGCCCCACCTGCAGAGCAACTCGCTCGTGCACTGGGGCACCTGGCTGTCGACGACTTTCATCATGGGCGCGCTGGCCTTTGTGCTGGCCTCGGCCATCCCCATCTTTACCTTCCTGATTGCGCTGGTGGGTTCCGTGTGTTTCGCCCCGCTGGCCATGGCGCTTCCCGGCTGGCTGTGGCTGTACGACCACGGAGACTACAAGAGGGGCACGCTGCTGCAGAAGATCATCTACGTGCTGCACGTGGGAATGGTGCTGCTTGGTCTATTCTTCCTGGTCGGTGCCACCTATGGTGTGGTCATGCAGATCAAGGCCGCCTACGCGACGGGCCAAATCGGTATGTCTCACCTGCGAGTCATTAATGCGAAACGAAGAAAAAAATTTCGAAGAGAAAGAAGAAAGAGAAAGGAACCTTGCTGACTTTATTCCAGGCTCCGCATTTAGCTGTGCCGACAACTCCAACTCCTCGTAGAGAGATGATAATTGGGGAGCAGAGACCCTAGAATGACCGGCGAGGTAATTGATAAAAACCGATGAATTTTGGGCTTCTAGGCGTGCAGGGTTCATGACGGATGTGCCCTCGGTGTTCTTCACTCTTTTAGCCGTTTCTTAATATTCTGATCTTTTTTCTTCTTTCTTCCAATGGCGCCCTCTGCACCGTCACTCCTTGGGTGTTGGAGACGGCCCAGTGGTCTTCGCGACCCATTTAAGTATGTACCAGATAGTCTGCTACTGTATATTAATATTAGCCCCTTTGTGATAATAGTTTAGTAATGATTCACCCTGTGAGACAGACTAATCTTAAACTTCATATGTCTGGCATGGATGCCAGTCCTGGGCTGATGGACCGAAGGCTAGTGAAGGCATGTCGTAAAGGAGGGTTGATACCTGGACAAATCAGCTCCTGCCAAGCCTATGCTCCGCCCCACCCCGTCCCACCCGCGGCAGCCGTCCCGCGCGGCCCTTAACCTAAAACTCGCTAACGTCAACCCCCTAACCGAGACTAGTTGCAACCATCGGCGCGAACTAACCATTGGTCAAGGCTTTTCTCAAAGGTTGAGGGAAAGCTGTGGCGCGACATCGTCAATATATTGCTATCGTCAAGCAGAATGAAGAAGCGGAACAAGAATGAATCGTCGTCAGTCTCGGTACGATGACCCTGTGGGGACGAGATGATGGCCCTGGGCTGCGACGGTCGAGACCTCCAGCAATACTCAATCCATGCACATCAGACAATGCATTCTAGGCATCGAGAATATCCCGCACCCTACCATACCCAATGATCGGCTGTGGACCCGTCGCGCCGGGATCAGTTTCCTCCCCATTCGACGGAAGCGGGTTACCTGGGACATGATCGGGCCAACTTCCGCTCGACGCAACATCGCCCCCTCCTGATGTAGGATTGTCGATACATTCGATTTGGTCTCCTGGGACAGGGGCCACATTCCCTTATCCAGGACCCACGAAATTGACTTTTCCACTATTGTGTTCCTCATTGCTCTTCCTGGAGTCGGTGGCAAACTCTCGTCTCCAATCCTCCATCCTGGGACATTTCGGGGAAGACTCTGGGTCCAAATTTCAAGCCCTTGATCGGGCCGTGCACTGGGGAGTATGGTGAAGAAGAAAGAAAAATAAGACTCACCATGCTGTGTTGGAAGGATTCCGGATCTGTCGAAAGCCCGGGGATCGAGTGGTTTGTCGGCTTGCCAATGCTTACCCAGGCAAGCGGGGGGGTCAGCCGTCAGCAAGCGACACGAGAACGTGCTCTGACTCGAGGCTGACAGGGGTCCTTATCATCCTAGTCCCCTCGCAGACATTCGGCTTTTCCGCTAACTGGCGCGATGGATCTAGCGCATCCTGCCGGGCTGCGGACCCGCCGAGCTGGTGGGTTGGCGACTTCACAGACACCGTAGTAGGTTCTTACCGAGGGGCCGTTACGTGACAGACGTCTGTTTGATAATGATTGCCATCATTCCCGGCCCGTCAGGAACCAGTCCCTTGTTCTCCAGTGCTACTCAAATTTTCCGGTTTCGTCAGCAGATGATCCCTTTCTCTCCTGGCATCCCCTGGTTCCTGTGGAAAAATTCGACCCCATGGTTCGGGACATAGGATAGAAATCGGGAGTGTCTCTCGTTCTTTTCCTAGGTTTTTCACTTGCCACTGCACGACTTCTCTGGGTTTAAGCTTTTTGATATCCCATTCCAAGCGAGCGCCCTCAGAACAGACCTCTCGCACAAGACCTTTTTATACTCTTGATCCTTTGAGCCCACCAATTGCTTGATTGGGATATGGTCCAACACATCGAACCGGTGATTCCACCGCCACCGGGAATCACCTCCAACTTTGAGAATCCGCAAGATGCCTTGCACACGGTGAATAAGGTCACCCAGATCCTGTGTCTAGTGGTCACCACGGTGGTGGTGATCATTCGTGCGCTTGTCCGCATACACTTGCACCGGAGCCTCAACTTGGAAGACTGTAAGTCTCATATGGGGTTGTACTGTCTGAGAGAGCACCCACGATACTGACTGCCACTTGCCCGCAGATGCAACCTTTGCTGGATGGGTATTTCACCCGGAACGACTGAACGACGCCATATGAGGGAATGCTAACGTTCAGTCTCGCAGGCCATGTTTACGGGATTCTGTGCCTGTATGCTCGTGCGTACGTATCTCTTTTCTCGAATCCTTCCGCCAGGACACAACACAGATCTGACAGACAACAGTCAACAAGCATGGAGGCGGATATCATGGCTGGGACGTCCCGATGAGCAGCCTCATCAGCTTTCAAAAGGTATGGCGGCCCTACCTCCGCACGCCACTCTATTGCACTGCACCTGGCCAGCTTCCTGACGGATAAACCCCCCATCAGGCCTCCTATGCCACCACCATCATTTACGTCCCGATGGTCTTCACAGTTAAACTGGCCCTCCTGTCAGTCATGCTGCGCATCTTCGCCCCCGACCGCAAGAAGGTCATCGTCATTTATATCAGTCTGGCGATTCTGGTGTGCTACTACGTCCCAGCGCTCTTCATCAAGGTGTTCTTCTGCCGCCCTGTGTCGGCGTACTGGCTCGGTACCGACAACGGCGGCACTTGCATCGACCAGCAGAAGGTGATCATCGCCGACTCGGCCATCAGTATGATCAGCGACCTGTGGATTCTGGTCCTGCCCATTCCCATGCTGTGGTCATTGAACATGACCGTCGTCAAGAAGCTGCGCGTTATTGGCATGCTCGGGGCTGGTGGTCTGGCCACGGCATTTAGTATTTGGCGACTGCAGATCATGGTGGATGAAGGCAAGACGCCGGATGTAACGTACTTCTGGATTCGAGCGGTGTTGACTGCGTATGTGCTCCCCTCACTTCCCCTTTCCCTTTTCCCCTGGATGAACTCTGTTTGGAGGAGAAAATTAACCCACGTCAAAACACAGAAACGCCGAAGCCGGCATCGGACTCATCTGCGCTTGTCTCCCAGCCATGAGCGCACTTTTTGCCACCGTCAAGAACAAGAGCAGTCAAGACGCCAAGAACAGCTACCTACGCTCCCACGAGCTGGACCACTGGCAGAAGATCTCGACGCAGAAGCGAAGCCGCGCGGACAGCTTCTCGTACGTTGGGAACCCGCATACCGACCAGGCGCATCTGATCTCGACGGCGCAGGGCGCGGACCACGACAGCACGTGGGCGCCCAGCGAGGCGTCGCAGAAGGGGATGGCCGATCGGCCGGTCATCCATAAAGATGTGACCGTGTCGCAGAGTTATGAATTTGTGAAATAGACTGCTGCTTGCTTTCTATTTCTGTCACGCCAGTGCATATGTTTGGGTACATGGGTATGGTTTGAGGGATGGGAGTGCTTTCCATATGTATATAATAATCCATATCGATGATGACCTTAATTTTTTTTTCTAATGCAGACGTACCTCGAGCTGGATCGACGCGATGAATCGTGGAGCGCTCCATCTTTCTATGAGCCCACGCGTTCCACGTATATCCGAGTTTGACACCCACCACGTCACGTACTTTCTGCTCGATCCACGTCAAATGGATCAGGGATGCAGAGCAAAGCATGTGTATCCCAGAAGAGAATTGCTCGAGATAAGAGTTCACTGATGCGAGAGGGGGGGGGGGGGTGGGTGTGGTCGATAAAATCCGTGTTCGTACACTGTTGCGTTGCATGAAGGTGTGGGTGAATATATAAGGGCCGTACCATGAACATCGACTGGCTTGATGATAGTCTCGATGTGTGCTAGTCACAGGTCCCGCCATTAGTCTGGATTTGGGAGAGTGGTTGGAATAGAGAGGAAGAGAGGGGGAGAGAGAGAGCGAGAGAAGGAATTGTTGAAGCTGGATTAGGTGGAGTCGATGCCTCAGGCTCACACGGTGTGGTAGTGACTGTCAGAGTTAGACTATTCTACTACTTCAAACTACGAATATTACTATAGTTGAATTGCAATTATTATGGCATGGCTAGTGCATCTTGACCACTCTGGTGCGTGGTACACAAGAATCTCATTGTTAAGCAGACGTTCTATATCGGATATTGGTACAGTAGAGGTACAGTATATGTACTGACAAACGCCGAACTCCGAGCGACCGCCAACATGACATGGACAGCATGAACAGTACATGGACATTGTGTCTGGTGTGAACCTGGTACGGCTACAGCTCTAGCGGAGGGTTGCAACAAGAAGCGATGGGGACAAGCCAAATATTGGCAGCTAGTGAACATCAGCACCCCACCATCCCTTCCTTGACTCGGTTTGGTGTCGTCGGGATGGCGGATTCCTCGACTGGACCTCTTGACGCATGTAGAGTTCTTCGAGTCTGAAGATTTGGTCAAGGAAATACTCCCCCAGTCCCTCGTCGAAACAACGATGACTGAGGTCGAGGCGCCACTCCGCCAGTTTGACCATGCGCCTCATATTAATAAGATACATCTCGTGGTCGAGCCGTGTAGAGCTCTTCCGAATCCGCCGGAGGTAACGGGAGGGGTGAGTGCCTGCATCAGGCTCGCGGCTGCGTCGTGTGCCCTGGGGGGATCGTCCCTGCGGCTCGTCCTCAATGACCGTGACCGTTCCCCACTGGACGGTCTTGGGGCGTGGCTTCTGCCTGGCGTACCTGCGTTGCTCTCGCCGGGTCAGAGGCGGGAAGGACTCATATTCATACTCTGGCCACCGATGGGAGCGTGACCTAGAGGAGCGTCGCCGAGAAGAACGTGGCCGAGAGGAGTGTGGCCGAGAGGATTGTGACAGGGCGGAGTAATCGTACTCAGGGCACGGGGGCAGGAGCAAGTCCATGATGCGGCAGAGAAGTGAGCGGCCCATGTAGACAGCTGTGGAACGATGTGGATGGTCCACTATAGACCGAGTAGGAGGGAAGAGATGGGTCGTAAGACTTGGGCTCCAGCGGGTTAAAATGATCCCTCTCGATCTGGGTGCTGGGTGTTTTTATAGGGGACAAATCCGCCAACACGCCCCATGACGGACGACCCGGGGTATTGTCGAGATATAAAGAAATCCTCCTTGGAGGCGCCCGTTCTTGGATGCGCCTTTCTTTGAAATAAAGCCCCATACAATGTATTATCATCGTTGCACGGGGATTCCCAAGGGCTCTATTCGTCGCTGGCAATCGAAACCCTGCCTCGTGTGACACGGGCCATTCAAACAAAGATTAGAGGACAAAGGCTCGACACCTCTTCCACTCTCCCGGTCAGCCATTGATCCATGGTCCATCCTCGCAATCGAGAAATCTCCCGTTAATCTAGACGCTCGCGATCAAGCATGCTCATGTCGAGGCGCTCCCTCTCCCTGTCGCTCGGTTCTCGGTTAATCCGATGCCTCAGTCCAAGTACGGAGGCCCATGCCTACGTTCTCTGCCTGCAGAACTCGGAGGATCTCTCCATCACCCGGTTCTGGTCTCTGCAGCGGCGCGTTACCCAATGCAATACGCAAGGCTCAGGAGTGGCTGCATCGGGCGTTGATATTTCACAGACTTCCAGTCCTGGAGACTACGTCAGATGGTCCGTTCACAAACATCGACCCGATATTGTCGCTGATGGAGCGCCAAGGGATTGACTTAGGTCGAGACAAGGTGGTGATCTCCTGACGGCAAGGCTCCCGACCCACCAACAGAGACGAGACGTCGTGAATGATCGACCGTGATCTCCATCGAAGTCCAAACCAAGAGACAAAGTAAACAAAGCGAACAAAGCGAACAAAGGAAACAATAGAAACAAAGGGGACAAAATAACAAACAGGGTGGCAGCACGTGATGCGGAACAATCAACGGGCCGAGGTGTTTGGTTTGTCCTGTTTGTCCCCCCATCAATCCGACGATCTCGATATCTTCACTTCTTCTTCGCTTCTTCTTCTGATAGTTATTCTTCAACCATCCACACAACGCGATTCCCTGCCATCATGCATCGGGCCTTCCTTCGTCGGGCCCCGTGGCCTCGTTTTGACGGCCTTGCTGTCGCGTCCAGAATCTCCCTCTCTCGCTCCGCTGGCCGGTCCCTGGTCTCCACAGCCCATCGGTCGCAGTTGGAGCGACCGGCGAATCCCCCGGCGCCCGCGCTACGAGGAAAGGAGGAGAACGCGGCGGAAGAATCAGAAGCCCCGTCGACGCATATTCCGTGGTATCTGCAGGAAGAAGGTCTCCCGTCGGAACCGGAACAGGTCGCGTCCCGCGATAAGCTCCCGGAGCTGCCGGAGAACCCGCCCCAGATCCTCCCGGTGCTGCTGGATTATACCTTCAAGGATCTCGGTCTGGATGAATTGAAGCTCTTTGACCTACGAGGCCTGGAGACTCCCGCGGCGCTGGGGGCGAATGTCATCATGGTGATTGGCACCGCCCGTAGCGTCAAGCACCTGAACGTGTCGGCGGATCGACTGTGTCGCTGGCTGCGAACTAACTACAAGCTCACCCCGTACGCGGATGGTCTGCTGGGTCGGAATGAGCTCAAGATCAAGCTCCGCCGCAAAGCCCGTCGCGCCCGGGTGGCCACCCGGTCGGGAGCCACGTTCGACGAGAAAGACGATGGGATCACCACGGGATGGATCTGTGTCAACGCCGGGGTGGTCGAGAAGGCCCCCGCCCCGGAGACCCCAGACCCCAACTTCGAGGGGTTTGGCAGCGTCGCAGCGGGCACTCGCGTGGTGGTCCAGATCTTTACGGAGGAAAAGAGAACCGAGACCGATCTGGACGGTCTGTGGCAGTCCACGCTGGACCGGGCCGAGCGCCAACAGTTACGAGCCTCTCAGGAACAGCCTGATGCACCGTCCCCAAATGTTCGTTCTCGTGCTTTCCATCCGACACAACCGTTGTCCTCTGACCGTGAAAATTTTTCCATTCCCAGGTCGCCGGTAAATCTTCCCTTTGAACAAATCCGACGGATCCACGGCAGTCGCAGCATCCGGTCCCTTCACCAGGACACGACCGTCGGCCATGTCCCGCTCGAAATACCGGTGAACGCAGGAATGGCGGGGTGCGGGGCCACAGCGGGCATGTCGGTCGAGTCGTTGCTGGGTCATCTGTCTCGGTTACCCGACGAGAAAGCTCTATCGGAACTTGGCGATGGCCCGGCGGATCGGAACTCGACCTTGTTCCTGCAGCTGTTCCACGGTCAATTGGCGGGACGCTCCGAGGAAGAGGCCGCCCTGGCCCAGATGGAGCTGTCTAGCATCGCCATCGCCCGGAGACACCCCGCTTATAGCAAGGAGAGCCTCTGCGACGCGTTCAAAGAGTGCAGCGCCCTGGGCTATCGGGTGTCCGACAATCTGGGCCTCCAGGTGGCCTTGGCGTTGTTGACTTCGCGGCCGGCCGCCGATGCCGCAGCCGGGTCTCCAGGGTGGCTGCCTCTCGCCGACCGGGAGCTGGCTCTCGTCGTTCTCAACCACCTCAGTCTCCGTGGGACGGATCTCCTCAACCTAAGCGTTCTCAACCCGCTGTACCATGCCGCGACCTTACCGGCCCACGACTCCCTCGATCCGCACCACGGAGATCCCACCCTCGGCAGCCAGTTCCTCTCCTGGCTGGCCGGCGCCGTCGACCGTCCCTTCCATCCCGATGAAGCCCGCCCCTTCATGGCCACCCTGTTCCGCAATGGCGACTTTGACCGATTCTGGACGCTGTGGCGCCGGACCGCTCTCCAGGGCCGCCCACACCCGCCGGCCGACTACGCGATGCTGTTCCAGCTGCACGCGGACCTCGGGGACGTGCGGCGCGCGCGTGACGTCGTCACCACGTGGGCGCCCATGATGAGCCGGGAAGCGCCACCCGTACCGGTGCAGGGGGCCGTGGCGGAGCACCTCATGCGCTGTATCCTCCTGGTGGACCCGGCGATTCGTGACCGCGAAGCCGAGGGTGTCACGGGGGGGTTCGTGCCTCTGTGGGCCGCATGCCGGGAGGGGTTGTCTCGCTAGTCTGTTGTGGGTTTGGCTGTCTGGGTTTTTCAAATTGGGAGCGTGTGTATATATGGCGTCTTTGTATTATCGGTGTGGTGTATCGTGCTTAATTTTTGTTCCATTGATTGATATCCTCATTATCGTGTACATTCTGTCGTGACAAGGCGATCCATTGAGACCTGGGCCGTTGGTATATACTGTGATGAATTTTACAACTCATGTCTCATGCGGTAATATTGTCAAATCATCTATGGTATATGTACGAAATGCAAATGTAAAAATACACAACCCAAAACCCCAAAGCACTTACTTCTGATTCTTAAGTTTGGCCGTTTCCTCCGCGGCCAAGGCCTGAATCTCCTGCTCGACCATCCAGTTGCGGACGCTGTCCATAATCGTGTCGAGACCGTCGCCCCCTTCGAGCACGCCGTGCAGGTCGTGGAGGGTGATGCCGCTGCGGTGGTCGGTGCAGCGGCTCTGGCTGTAGTTGTAGGTGCGGATCTTGTCGCCGCGGCCCATACGGGCAACGCCACCCATGGCGCCGCGGCGCAGGGCGACAGTCTCCTGCTCGCGGGCCTCCTGGCGGCGCTCGGCCAGCTTGGCGCGCAGCAGCTGCCAGGCCTTCTTGCGGTTGGCGTGCTGGGAGCGCGAGTCCTGCATGGAGACGGAGAGGCCCGTGGGGATATGGGTGAGGCGGATGGCCGACTCGGTCTTGTTGACGTGCTGGCCACCGGCGCCGCCGGCGCGCATCTTCTCGGACTTGACCTCCTGCGGGTCGATGTAGTAGTCGCTGTTGGGGTCGTCGAAGCCGAGGGCGGTGGCGTCGGACTCGGGGAAACTGGGCAGCACCATGACGCTGACGGCGCTGGTGTGGGTGCGGCCCTTGGACTCGGTGGCGGGCACGCGCTGCACGCGGTGCACGCCCGACTCGGTCCGCAGTATGTCGTAGGCCCCGTCGGCCTCGACCTCGATCACACCTTCGCTCATGCGATCCTCGGCCGTGCCGTCCTCCACGTCCTGCTTGATGATGGTGGCACGGAGGCCGCGCCGCGTGCAGTAGGCTATATACATGCGGAGGACTTCGACGGCGAATAGACCGGCTTCGTCGCCGCCCGCGCCGGGGCGGATCTCGATAAGACAGGGGAAGGTGGCGAAGGGGTGTCGGGGGATAAGGGCTTGTTTGAGGTTGTCGACGATTGATGGGAGGGAGGCCTGGCTGCTCTCCAGGTCCTCGAGGGCTAGTGGTCGTAATTCGGCGTCGGTCTCGGGGTCATCGAGTAGGGATCGGAGTTCGACCATGGACTGGCCACACATGATTAGTCCTCATTTTTTTTCACCCTCTCTTCTCGGACACCACTCCTTTCATATGACAATCACACACATTCTGGATTTCATCCCATTCCTTCACGGCCTGTGCAATCGGGGTTAATTCCCCGACTCGCTTGGCTATCTTGGTATCGAAGGCATCGGTCAATTGGGCGGAGAGGGAGGTGTGTTCGGCGTTCAAGACCCGTGCTCGGGTCAAGAGGGCCGGAGAGAGTGCAGCCTCTGCAGGTCATCCATCAGCGATTCTCCTCGTGTCTTTCTTTCTTGATCGCGATCGGGTGGATTCCCTACCGGTGGTGACACTTCGGACCCATGGACTCCGACGGGGGATCCGGGTCGCTCGAATCAGACCCCGCGCGCAGATCCCGGGCAGCTTGAACATGATGTGGGATCAAAGAGGGAGCACCACAGGGGACACGCAATGGGTTCCTGGGCAAGAGAAGATGAAGCTGAAGAGGATCATGCGATGGAAAATACTGCCGAGCGGTGTGTCAGCTGACTTGTGCGCACAAAGATATCCACGCTGACGCAGCCACACGTGGCCCCATGTGACCCACCCGTGACCAGCGGTTTCCTCCACTCAAACCGCGTCAATTTCTCTTCTTCTTCCATCATCTCCACTTCTCTCGCTCTCTTAAACTCTTTCTGTCGTCCTGGTCGGTCCCTTATCCTGTCTGTTGCAGATCAGCACTGTTGCAACCGAGGATCCGTTGGTGTGGTTCGGTTTCCCTTCTTGATGCGCCCTCCATCTCTCCGACGCGCCTCGTATCACGTTCTATCCTGGAATCCCCGACGACCCCGCTATCCCCTCACGCTCTCCAATTCCACCCCTCCCCCTCTTCTCTCTCTTCTTTCTCTTTCCTCCTCTTCTCTTCTCTCTCCCTTTTCTTCCACTGCCGTCGATTTGTATTCCGCCTCCCCCGTTGGGTCTTTCGCTTCATCCTCTTTGGCTTCCTGCCCCTCCGCCGCCTCCCCCGCTCCATCCCTCCGTCCACCTGTCTTTCACGCCGCTGCAGCCATGGTCGGCGCCAAGATCGACGGCACGCAGATCGCCAAGGGCATCCGGGAGAATCTTAAGACTGAGATTGAGCAGCTTCGGAATGCCAATCCTCGTTTCCAGCCCAGTTTGGTCATCTTCCAAGGTGTGTCTCTTCTCCACGTTTCCCGCGGGAAACTCCCAGGAAATAAAATGAAGAAAAAAAACAAAACCGGAGAGGACTTGCACTAACCCGTCGATAGTGGGGAACCGTTCAGACTCCAGTGGGTACCGCCAAATGGTCGCGTGAACCGATCTCGGACGAGTGACTGATCCGAATCCCTGTAGGCACCTATGTCCGCATGAAGTTGAAGGCCGCTGAGGAGGTAGGTGGTGATCGAACCCTTCCCGGGTGATGTTGGAGTTTTTGTGTTGACCAAGTCGGATGCCAGGCCAATATCCACTGCAAGATCATCGGCTTCCCCGACACCGTTGCCCAGCCTGAGCTGCTCCAGGAGATCACCAAGGCCAACAATGACCCCTCCGTGCACGGCATCCTCGTTCAGCTGCCGCTCCCCCAGCACCTCTCCGAGCACACCGTCACCTCCGCCGTCGCGGACGAGAAGGACGTCGATGGCTTCGGCGCCGTCAACATCGGGGAGCTGTCCAAGCGCGGCGGGCGGCCGCTCTTCGTCCCCTGCACGCCCCAGGCCGTCATGGAGCTCCTGCGCGTCAGCGGAGTCGATCCCTCTGGCAAGGAGGCCGTCGTCCTGGGCCGCAGTGACATCGTCGGCAGCCCCGTCAGCTACCTGCTGAAGAACGCCGACGCCACCGTCACCCTCTGCCACTCCAAGACCCCCAACGTCGACCGCATTGTCCGCTCCGCCGACATCGTCGTCGCCGCCATCGGCAAGACCGAGTTCGTCAAGGGCGAGTGGCTCAAGCCCGGCGCCGTCGTCATCGACGTCGGCATCAACTACAAGCCCGACGCCTCCAAGAAGTCCGGACAGCGCCTCGTCGGCGACGTCGAGTTCGACTCCGCCGTCCAGGTCGCCTCGCAGATCACCCCCGTCCCCGGCGGCGTCGGCCCCATGACCGTCGCCATGCTGATGCAGAACGTCGTCAACGCCGCCAAGGCCTACTTCGAGCGTCAGCGCGACCGCCAGATCACCCCGCTGCCCATCCGCCTGCAGCGGCCCGTCCCCTCCGACATCGCCATCTCCCGTGCCCAGTACCCTAAGGAGATCACCGACCTGGCCGCCGAGGTCGGTATCGCCTCGCACGAGCTGGAGCCCTACGGCCACACCAAGGCCAAGATCAGCCTCGGCGTGCTTGACCGCCTGGCCCACCGCCGCAATGGCCGCTACATCCTCGTCTGCGGCATCACCCCGACCCCGCTGGGTGAGGGCAAGTCCACCACCACCCTCGGCCTGACCCAGGCCATCGGCGCCCACCTCAACCGCATTGTCTTCGCCAACGTGCGCCAGCCCAGCCAGGGCCCCACCTTCGGCATCAAGGGCGGTGCCGCCGGCGGCGGCTACTCCCAGGTCATCCCCATGGACGAGTTCAACCTGCATCTGACGGGTGACATCCACGCCATCACCGCCGCCAACAACCTGCTGGCCGCTGCCATCGAGACCCGCATGTTCCACGAGGCCACCCAGAAGGACGGCCCGCTCTACCGCCGCCTGGTCCCCGCCAAGGACGGCGTCCGCCAGTTCAAGCCCATCATGTTCCGCCGCCTGAACAAGCTGGGCATCACCAAGACGAACCCGGACGAGCTGACCCCGGAGGAGATCAACCACTTTGCCCGCCTCGACATCGACCCCGAAACCATCACCTGGCGCCGCGTCCTCGACGTGAACGACCGTCACCTGCGCGGCGTCACCGTCGGCCAGGCCCCCACCGAGCGCGGCCTGTCCCGCGAGACCGGCTTCGACATCTCCGTCGCCAGTGAGTGCATGGCCATCCTGGCCCTCAGCACCAGCCTGGCGGACATGCGCGAGCGCCTCGGCCGCATGGTCGTCGCCACCTCGCGCCGCGGCGAGCCCGTCACCTGCGACGACATCGGTGCCGGCGGCGCCCTGGCCGCGCTGATGCGGGACTCGATCAAGCCCAACCTGATGCAGAGTCTCGAGGGTACGCCCGTCCTCGTCCACGCGGGCCCCTTCGCCAACATCAGCATCGGCGCCAGCTCCGTCATCGCCGACAAGCTGGCCCTCAAGCTGGCCGGTACCGAGCCTGACGAGGACCACGACGCCAAGACCGGCTTCGTCGTCACCGAGGCCGGCTTCGACTTCACCATGGGCGGTGAGCGCTTCTTCAACATCAAGTGCCGCGCCTCCGGCCTGGAGCCCGACACCGTCGTCATCGTCGCCACCGTGCGCGCCCTCAAGGTGCACGGCGGCGGGCCCGAGATCAGCCCCGGCGCCCCGCTGCCCGAGGTCTACCGCACCGAGAACGTCGACGTGCTGCGCGCGGGCTGCGTCAACCTGCGCAAGCACATCTCCAACGCCCGCCAGTACGGCATCCCCGTCGTCGTCGCCATCAACCGCATGGCCAGCGACACCGAGGCCGAGATCGCCGTCATCCGCGAGGAGGCCATCGCTGCCGGTGCCGAGGACGCCATCGCCGCCAACCACTGGGCCGACGGCGGCGCCGGCGCCGTCGACCTGGCCAAGGGCGTTCTGGCCGCCAGCTCCAAGCCCAAGAACTTCCGTCTGCTGTACGACCTCAACGGCTCGATCCAGGAGCGCATCGAGCGCATCGGCAAGGAAATGTACGGCGCCGCCGCGGTCGAGTTCAGCGAGCTGGCCCAGCAGAAGGTCGATGCCTACACCGCCCAGGGCTTCGCCAACCTGCCCATCTGCATCGCCAAGACGCAGTACTCGCTCAGCCACGACCCGGCCCTCAAGGGCGCCCCGACCGGATTCACCGTGCCCATCCGCGACGTGCGCCTGGCCGTCGGCGGCGGCTATCTCTACGCGCTCGCGGCCGACATCCAGACTATCCCGGGCCTGCCCACGGCGCCGGGGTATCTGAACGTCGACATCGACCCCGAGACCGGCGAGATCGACGGTCTGTTCTAGACCGACCTCGCTGATACCCTTCCCTGCTCCAGACACCTATCTTCTGTCGATGCGCATCGTCCTTCCCTCTCCTTTTTTTTTCATCTCTTCCCTTTTTATCCCGTATTTCTTTGATCTTCGTGGGGTTATCGGTTTCTATATTGGTGGTTCAGGGTTATGTCTTCGGACAGTTACGTAATTTCAACATATACACAGGCGGCGCGCGGCAACCGGAAGAGCATGGTATTTCTTTTGTTGTGGAGGTCGATATATTTTCAACACGCTCGCGAAGCTACGACCGTCGGGGGGGGGTCATTGCATGATGCGCGTCTGGAGTGCAGAAGACTCCGCAGGGTCATCTGGAGTGTCGGAGGGCCAGGATTCTTTTCTTGGTATATACATAAATCTATTTCCATTTAAGTTCTGCATAATTTCCATGGGACAGTGTCTCGTCCAGGATTGTCCAATCCCTAAGGTAGATATATTACATTACAGATAAGGCCTTGTCGAGCATACATCACCGTGTAGTATATAGTATATTGTGGGTTTAGTATTAAGCCGACAACGACCTAGTACCTAGATAAGGCAACGTAGTAAACCAGATGTACAATGTACTATTCGATGACGGGCGACAGGAAAGCCGCCTCATGCCAAACCAAACATACAAAAGTAGATAAACGACGATGGTAAACAGAACAGTACATGATAGAATATGATAAACTATGACAGGACACAAGAGAACCTCGTGCGCCGGGCACAGAAGTAGATTCAATCACGCGGATTGAATGGGGAGGGGTTGACGAGGAGGAAAGAGGGAAATCAGTTGTTTTTGCGTTGCGTGGGGAGGAAATTTCCGATGATGAGGGAGGGGCTGTGTGAACATAGTTGTTAGAATGGGTTGATCTTCTGTATGACGGGATAGGAGGGGAAAGCTGATGGATAGAGGAGGGACGTCTTACATATTGTGAGTGTCTCTGCGGATGGTAAAGGAAAAACAGCAGGGGATGCCGTCGGCAGGGTTCGTCGAGGAAGAAGAGGGATTCTTGAGGGTACAGCTAGTGAGCATGGCCTTTTGGGTATTGTCAAAGGCGATGGCGCCGAATTTCTCCCAGTAGCTGACGAGCTGGTCTTCGACGATGATTTCGTGGATGGCGAGATTGCCCTGTTATCGATTAGTATTCTGACTTGAGACAGGGAGGGACACAGATAACAGGGGATGTACATCTCGTAATTTGCCGATAGGAACACCGATCAATTCGGCCATCTCCTTGTTGGCACGGAAGATCTCGCCGGTACGGCGCCAGCAGCAGGCGGGAATGGCCATGCTGGCGAAGACGCGATCGTACTCCATCAGGCTGCGCTCGAACCACATTTCCACGAGGATGAGCTCGATATCGGTGAGGCTGTGCATGCGCTCGCGGAACTTGGGACGGAACTTGTCGAGCTGGCGCAGGATCTTCTGGCGTGACGACGGCTGCATGTGCTTCTCCATGTACTGGTTCAGGCGCGCGTATCCCTTGACATAGTTGAAGGGGCGCAGGAGACCGGCGTCGTACTTGGCCTTGAGGAGCTTGTTCATGCGCTCCTCGGGCGGGTCGGAGCCCGAGGGGTCCGCGGCCGTCAGGTAGTAGGTCTCGCGCGCCTTGTCGTTGCCGACGGTGGCACTGGGGCCCGGGATGCCGTCGCCCGCGGACTGCGGGTTCAGGGCGACCTGCGGCGGCTGGGCGTGGTGGAGGAGGGCGGCGTTCTGGCCGCCGCGGAGATTGTTCACGGAGTTGATAAGCGAGGGGTCGGAGTAGATGCCGTGGAGATCGTCGTTGGGGAACATGGCCCCGTCGTCGAGCAGACTGTTGCTCAGGAAGTCCCCCAGCAGATTGTACTCGTTGGTGACCTCGGGGGCGTTGAAGAGGTAGGACGGGTGGAAGGAGTGCATGTCCTGGAATTGACTCTGGTTCCCAACCCAATCGTTGTAACCAAGCACTAGAGATGATCAACCTGTCAGTCCATCCGTCCCGCGATGACTGAAACACGTCTGCCCACACGGCACGGAACGGGGGAAGGCCTTACCCGGCTGGTTGTTGGGCACGAGTCCTTGGTTGCCCGACGGGAGGATCTCACCGGGCTGCACCGATGCCGGAGGGATGCCCTCGGGGAGAATCTGCTGACCAGCAGCATCGGAGACGTCGACGTTGCGAGACATGGTGGGGAGGCCGTTGCCGAACCGGGTAGGCGCGGCGGTGTCGTCCTCGGTGGCGGAATGGTCTGGTTCACTGCGGGCGGGCTTGGACGGTTCGCGCGGTTCGTCGTGGCAGAGGTGACCGATATTGCGCTTTATACATCTCGTACAGGGACGTTCCTGCAGCGCGTCCCGGCCCAACGTTAGCGATCTATACATACACCACTGCCACCCCCACCCCCCGCCCATTGGGCCACTGGTGTCACCCACACAGGACGCGGGGTGAGGGAGGGAAGAAAATAGAGCAAAAGAAAAGGGGGAATTGTGCCAGGAGAGTCGTACCGAGTCGCAAGTCATATGCTGTGCCACGTGGACAGGGGGTGGATCGTCAGCAAATCACGCCGTCAAGGAGTATTTCTCCCGAGAAGCGCGGGGAGGACGATAGGCTTACCGAGCGCCGACAATAAACACACGCTGCAAGGAGGGCACGATGCAAGGTTAGACAACATGGACGCGACGGGACCGCGACAATACTGCAAGGGCCCGCGGCCCCGATGCCCCGGGGTGGCGGACTTACCATGATTCACCTTGCGCCGTTTCTTCGGGCTACTATGGGCGACCGCAGATGCACTGGAGCCCGACTGCGACTGCGACAGCGCCTGATCTCTGGCACCAGCATTCTTCGACTCCGCGTCCACCCCACCGGGGGAGACGTCCTCCACGAAGGTTCCATTGTGGCTAGACGGGCGATCCGGGCCGGTCCCGGATTGCGCGGCGGATTCCTCGGTCATATCGGGTAATCGCGCGGTGGCGAGGCGAAAGTAGTAAAGTCTAGGAAGAGACGCTAGAGAAGACGATACGGTTCACGGCCAGGGGCAGGCATTCATTCACGAGGGGTCCAGTAGATGATGCATTGGGTGGGAGCAACGCGCGAGAGCATGCAACCTTGCGCGGGAGGGACAGTGCTGTGACAAGCTGGGTCAGACAAGCCTGAAAGTCGGAATACGAAGAGAAAGGAGCAACTTACCGGGAGAGACAGACAGATCGGGTGGAGTCAAGAAAGATGAAGCCGAAGAGAAACATCCGAATAATTCCAGGATTCCCCGCCCGGCTTTGGCCCGATCGGGTTTAGCGTTTCCGCTGCCCCATGTGCGGCCTGAATGCCGAGGTTGGCCTGTTGATATTTTCGATAGTAGACTATTACTATAGATTTGAACGATATATACTGGAATCTATGATAATGTGGCTGTAGAACTCTAAAAAATATATTCATGTCTAATGTACAACGCTGAGAACCCCTCGTAGATGCAAAAACCCAAAGCAAAACACGGCCGTCTAGAAGATAGCCCACTGGTAGATCCGTTCGTCCTCGTCCGGATAGGCCGTCTCGTCCATGCGTCGATGCGCGCGCCGGGTTTGTCGTTCAAACTCCTCGGCCGGAGACCATGCCACGTCCCAGAAGTGCGCCTGGTTCAGGCTGCTGCCAGACTTCAAAATGCCGACCCGGAAGTCGACCTCGGTCCCGTCCGCGGGCGTGGACGGCAGTCGCATGAAGTGTCGCACGCAGTCCGGGACCTCCTCGCGCGTGTGGCTGATCAGGACCAGAGCCTGCTGGTCCGAGAGCCCGTGGTGGCGGATGGCGGGCTCGGGCAGGCTGACCCCGTGCAGCCAGGCCTCGCTGCGGCTGCTGCGGCGGGTCACGGTGGAGTGGCGGCGGCGCCCCAGCTCGCCGACCTCGAGGAAGTGGATGCACTTGTCCCGCAGGGACGACGGCATGCCCGAGAAGGCCTCGTCGAGGATGATGATGTCGGGTTTGTGGATCAGGGCGCGGAGGAACAGCACCACGCGCTGCTGCGCCGTGCTGAGTTCTCCGAACGTGACCTCGTCGGCGTACTCGACGTCGTAGTCCACGGGGGAGTAGTGGGTCGTGCGAACGTTGCCGATCCGCGGGAAATGCTGGTAGTCCGGTGGGATGACGGGCGGCTTACGGCCCAGGGTGACGGCGGCGTGCGGGTCGAGCTCCCCCTTGAAGTAGCGCAGCACGGCGCTCACGTCCAGGTCCCGCTCGTGGTCCAGTCGCGGCTTAGAGAGGATCGTCTCGGCAAAGGCTGACTCGATCGCCGCGCGGATCGAGAGGTGGCGCGGGAAGGTCGCGTGGATCTCGGGCGACGAGTGGCCAAGCCGCGACTGCAGCTCGAACAGCGACAGACCCGGCTGGCCCGGTTCGGGCAGCCGCGAGCGGCCGAAGACCTTGATGGGCAGCGCGTAGGCCTGGGGGTGGTCGGAGGTGATCAGCGAGAGCAGGGTCGTCTTGCCCGACCCGTTCGCGCCCAGGATCGCCCAGCGCTGGCCTCGGCGGACGGTCCAGTGAAGTCCGTCCTTCTCCTCCCCCTGCACCGGCTGTTTCCAATCCCCCAACACCGCCTTGTCCCCGTACTGCACCCGCACCCCGTCCATCTCGATCAACGGCTCTCCGCCGCGCGAGGCCACGAGCGGCACGTGGATGGGTTCCTCGGAGACCAGATCCAGGTCCCACAGCGTCTGCCGATCGATGAGACCGGCCTCCAGCGCCTTGCGCGCCTCCACGGCTATCGGATCGTCCTCTTCCGCCGCGGACGGCGCGGTCTTCCGCCCGGGCGTCAACTCTTGCCGCCACACCTGGAACATCCGTGCCGCGTCGGATCGGGGAGCCTGGAGCAAGACCTGGTTCGCATGGCTCACCACCATCAGGTGGGTGATCCAGTCGGGCACGGGATCCTGGGGCCGGAGCGCCAGGATCATCCGGGGATCGGCCCTGTCGGCGAGATGTTGCAGCAGGCCCGAGATACTTCGGACGGTGGCCGGGTCGAGGCCCATGAAGGGGTCGTCGAGCAGGAGCAGCTCAGGTCTGCTCAGGAGGGCCTTGGCGATGCGAGCTCGCCGGGTCTGACCGTTGCTCAGGTTGGCGACGGGCATGTCCATCAACGGGTCCAGACGCAGGTCCCCGACCACGCGGCGAAGGAGGCCGTCGTCGTGGATGGTGCCTTCCTCCTCCCCTTCCAGCGGGTTCAGCGACATTTGACCCCGGAGGTACTGGCGCACGGTCCAATCCGTCTCCTCGCGCAGACTCTCATAGCGTGCACTCAGGTATGCCCCGCGGATGCCCCCCGAGGTCTGTGATCCTTCGCCATTAAACCCCACGTACCGGACGGCGTTCCCCACGAACTGCAGCCGGGGATCCTTTTTGGCGATCTCATCGGTCTGGAGGTAGGGGTAGGTCCGGGCGGTGGGCGGTAGACAGACGTATTGGCCGCGGAGGATATTCAAGAGTGGCGTTCGTGCGGCCGATCCGATCACCGCCCAGTGTTGCGGTGTCCCTGTTTCTGGCGTGGGTCCGGAGGGCAGCGTAAAATTAAAATCGGGAAACAGCGGTGGGTTCACCTCCTTCTCCGCATCGTCGGGCGTGGGGTATCGGTCATAGAACGTTCCCTTGTCAATGCGAATCAACGGCGGCGCGACGGAGGAGACGAGACGAGTTGATCGGGCGCGGAACGATCGGGGCGGCAGTCGCACAATCCGCGGCCGAAGCCATGGTGATGGTAGGACCATGTAGGGATGTTATTGAGCAAAAGGGAAGAGGAGACGTAAGACTGAAGTTGAGAAAGAAGGTTGAGGCGACATCGATATGGCCATGAAAATGATGAGCCGAGCAGGATGCGTTCCTGAGGCGGGCAATATTGGACAATCAGGGCAAACAGGCGAAGCTTTTTTGCACTGTTTGTCCAATCTTGCACTATTCCGGATCTACGTTCCTCCGCGGTCACGGCTCTTGCCTCTTTGGGCAACTCCGGTCACCTGATACCATCACCATCTTGCTTGTTCTTACACTGGCATCACTCTCGTTCGGTGGGTTGGAACTATATGTCAAAGCGTCATGCTGTCTGTGCTAATTGTTGATCAGTGCTACGAGTGATATTCATTATGTTTCTCCTGCGCAGCTCGGGAATCCTGTGCGCATCCACCCGAACGCGTCCATTGATTGCGCTTCCCTCCCTGGCGCGACGGTGGTACTCCACGTCGAAACCGCATGAGCCGCTGCGGATCTTGTTCTGTGGATCTGATGAGTTCAGCATCGCGTCGTTGGAGGCGCTCCATCGGGAGCACGTCCGAGAGCCCACGCGCATCTCGTCTATCGATGTAGTCTGCAGGCCGGGCAAGCGGGTCGGCCGAGGGTTGAAGAAGATCCGTGAGGTCCCTATCAAAGCGGTGGCCTCCAAATTGTCTCTACCGATCCATGAGATCGATACATTTCGTGGCTGGACGGTAAGCACCCCGTCAGCTATGTTCAATGCCTGCTGATGTGTGTAGCCGCCCACCCCGGTGAACCTCATCGTCGCCGTGTCCTTTGGCTTATTCGTGCCATCGCGGATCCTGAACGGTTCCACGTATGGGGGGCTTAATATTCACCCTTCACTTCTCCCCGAGTGCGTCCCGCGAGTGTGACCTGCAAGCGCAACCGCAATGAGACTAATCGGTGGGAATTGCTAGCTTCCGGGGCCCCGCGCCGCTGCACCATACCCTCCTCGCTGGCCGACGGACCACGGGCGTGACTCTGCAGACCTTACACGTCAAACATTTTGACCACGGCGTTATCCTGTCGCAGACCCCGCCGTTACCAATCCCGAATCCCGATTCGTGTACGGTCCCCGAACTGTTAGATCTGGTGACCCCCACGGGTGCCAACCTACTAGTGGAGGGGATCCAGAAAGGCCTCTTCGTGCCGCCGCTCGAGGATGTCGGCCCGACGCGGGACGATGCGTCGCTCATCCACGCCGCCAAGATCACGCCGGAAGACCGCCATGTTGACTGGGCGAATTGGACCGCATTGGAGATTAGCCGGCGAATGCGGGTGCTCGGTCCGCTCTGGAGCAACGCACTCGCCGCCGACACCTCGGGGGAGACGCCTACGTTCCGGCCGCGACGAGTCATCTTCACCGAGCTCGAGGAGGTCGAACCCCCGAAGGGTTGCGAGATGCTGGTGGTGATTCCCGGCGTGCCTTTTGTCGATGATACCCAGCCGAAGCCGACGGATCGAGGACTCTATGTGTATACGCGCGACGGGAAACTCATCCGCGTCCGACAGATGAAAGTGGAAGGAGAACAGAACGCGGATGTGGTGCGGGCCGCGCTCAAAGCGAAAATGGTGGGCCCGCGAACTCTCCGTTCCGGCTACACCCCGTTCTACAATCCGCTGCAATGATACCCCGGGTAGCTTCGACCTTATTCATTTCTTGTACTCTACCACAATACCAATTACAAAATGTCTTGATCAGTGGCCGAGTGGGGACGTGGTCTGCAATCAATATGGCGCCGTTCTGCACCGGACTCGATTGCTCAGAACTTGATGCAAAACCCAGAATCTACCTCGGATTAGCTTGGCGGTGGGGACTCGGCCAGGGCACTTACCAACTTGCAACGCCTGTCCCGTCATGGACTGGTTCTGCGCCAACATGACATATGCGTTGGCCGTGTCCTCCACTTCCGGCTGGCGGGGTGGGTCAGCACATTGCGGCCGCTGCACGAGATGAGTGTACATACCACTGACTTGAGGGCGGCCCTGTCTTTATAGGCCTGCGTGATCTCCGGAGGAAACCGTTGGCCCTGGGACCCGTTAGCATTGTTGTCCTGTGCGTGGTGATTAGATCTCGACTTACCCATTCGGTGAGCAAAAGACCAGGAAGGACTGCGTTGATCCGGACCTTACTGCCCTGCGTCTGCGCCAGACACTTCATCAGATGTAGACCTTCAGTATAGTTAGCATCATTTATTCAGTTGATCAACAATCATCGAGGGACTCCTACCTGCAGCCTTGGTCACCGCGTACGGCAGACTACTCCCGGTCGACGAAATTGCCTATCTCATCATGAGCATGGGCCCAGACATACTCTCACAGAGTAAAGACATGTCACCTACCGCAATGGAAGACGTCATGAGGAAAACACCGCCGTCGGGGTTTGCGTTGAACGTCGGCAAGGCGGCCTTGAAGAGGTACATATTTCCCTTGACGTTCGTCGACCAGCACTGCAAGCGCCACCGTTAGCAGTCACCCCTAAGAAGAGACCTCCGGATAAGAGCCAGCCGTATATACCCTGTCCCAATCCTCATCGTCCGTCGCGTCCAAGTCTCCGAATTTGGTGATTTTCGTCCAGCCCTTGCTCGGGTGTCAGCCATGGATCGCATCAAGCCAGTTTGTCCTGATGGAGTGCATCCACTCACGGCATTCGAGACAATAATGTCGATTCCTCCCAGCTGTTCAATCGTAGTTTTGACCGCATTGGCGCAGTCCGCTTGACGGCTCGCATCCTACAACGAATCGCGTGTGTCAGCTAGCCGTGCCCTTCGACGCATACACATCGGTTCCAATAATTCCAGGATGAAGGAGAGATAATACCCCCTGAATGGCAATCGCCTTCACCCCATACTGCTCGCGAACCTCCGCCGCAAGCTCCTCAGCGGCATCCTTGCTGGAGACATAGTTGATCGCGACGTTGCAGCCTTCAGCGGCGTACTTGCGTGCCACGACAGATCCCAGTCCTCTGTAATAGACCGGATTAGACACGATGCGGGGCAGTGTATCCACGGAGGGGAAGGGAGGGGGAAAACCTACCGGGATCCGCCGGTGATCAGGGCGTTGCGGTTTTTGAGGGCGTAGGACATGGTGTGATTAATTCAATCAATCAATAAATAAACAATCAAATAAACTCGAAAAACCCTGGGAAGAAGAGAGAGGGGGGTAAGAGAGAGGAAGAAGAAGGAGAGAAGATACCGAGGCAATGAGTTGTTGGAGAGGCGGGGTAGATTCTACTAATACGCATTATCAGGATTAGTATGTTGTGGGTTCGGACAATACTCCATGATATACTCCTATTTTTATACTACTACAAGTCATGGTGCTGGAATTCGCCAGTATTTCGGAATATAAAACAGATCAAATCATCAATCTTTGGGAGATTTCGCTCCGTATCGATTTCAATCCACGATGTATCACATAGCTGATCGCCGTCGAGGACAGCCCATACAGTCCATCCCCAAGTAGGACAGGGTAATAAACCACACTCGGAAACACTACACTCGTCGTATGGAGTATGTTGGATTGCATGGTGTTCATTCTCCTCCGATTCAAATAATACGTGGCCAGAGTAATGTTGGGAAATGTCCGACTCTGTAGTATATGATTCGCACTAGGACTACCTGTTGGATAGAGTCGTATACTCCTCTGGCTGCGTCCCAGAGCCCTGCTATTCATTTGCTCGAGCTTGTGGCTCACCATCTGCTCCATCCATCGACGCTCGTCTTCACTCAACAATTCCATCCTCTTCTCCCATCGGTCGTTCTCAGCGACTGCGCATGGCCCGAAGAATCGACCGTCGAGTTTCTTCCGGAAGATCGCATCAAAGGCGAAACTCTTTCTCGCCGCGTAAGCGATCCAGAAGTCGCCTTTCATCCCTATGGATAGAGGCCGGTGTCGGACCTCCCATGTTCAGTCGTCAATTTGGGACAGGCGAGCCGATCCGGGAAAGGGATATCTGCGACAGCTGAAGTAAGATATCGGCCATCTGTCCGTATAGCATCTCCAGCTTGTCGATATAGATCGATAAATCGAGGATCGGACGGTCCTCGGGGCTCAGTGTTGGCGTGTTCAATGCGGTGCCCAGGTCCGTGTCGTGGTCGATGTATTCCATCAGGATAAACGGGCCGAGATGAAGCGGACTCTCGTTCTTGGACTCCCAATGCAAGATGAACGGCACGGGGATCGAGATGTGCTCCTGGATATACCGGATCACGGCCACTTCGTTCCTCACATTTTCCTCCGGGAACATGGTGGCACCGAGTTTGGGGAAGCGGATCAACGCTGATCCCCCATCCTCGAACTTCATCCGAAAGGATACATTGAACGCCCCTGCTCGGGGTTGACATAATTCAAGCGGGACTCCTCTGGTGCTTGACGATGAAATCGCCGATTGCCCTCAGGGTTGTCCGTGTGATCTTGCCTTTGCTAAACAAGCGCTTGCCTCCACAAAAAACTCGCCCATGGGATTCGGGTCAGTGGCTTCGTGGAAGGGTATACGAATTTAACCCCGTTCTAGTAGGTGTTCGTTATTGCAGTGGTGTCGCGAACGAGCTGAGGGCGGCGATGTTGGAGTTACTATCTATTGCACCGGCGATCCATTGAAGTGCAATATAGCAAGGATCGATGGGCTATTGGAGTCGCAGACCCCGCCAGTCCGGTCTAAGCCCAGGCACCAACGATACTCATACAGAACGCTCCTAGAAAAACCAAAATGCAGGCAAACACTCGCCTCTTCCCGCGCAGAACGCGCCAGCTTTCATCGCTGAGGAAGTCCTCCGACATGAGCTCGACCAGCGAAGCAAAGATCAGAAGACCCGCCGAGATGGCGTTCATGACGCCCACCACCAGCAGGCCCACCTCCGAATCCGGACTGTACAGGGTATGGGTGGCGAGACCAATCGCCTGGCCGATGGGGGTCCTGGATGGGGAGTCAGTATTCTGAAGAAACAGAAGGAAAGAAAATCAATACGTACGTGCACCCGTACGCGAGACTCATCAGCCATGGTTGGAGCGCGTCCTCGGGCCAGTCGAGGGCGGCAATCCGGGCTCCCAGTGCAAGCCCTTCAAAAGTTTCTATAACCAATGCGTCAGTTCAAGACCCATGAGTTGTTTGGGGGCGGGGGAGCATACGGTGAAAGACAATGGCGATCAGGAGAATGACGAATTCATTCCCGATCGACACGCTGAGAGACATGCCGATGAAGACACTATGGAACAGGATGCCCATTTCCAACATGAACACCTGCATCATCTCCTTGCGGTATTTCTGGTCCCGGGACAGCTCGTCGGTGATGCGCTCCACGTCCGGGAGACGCTCCGGCCGGAAGTCGAGGTGGGTGACGGGCCCCTCGGGCGCGGACGCGATGCGACAGATACGGTCGGGGTCGTCGCCCATGCGATTGATGGAGCGGCTGATGCTGGACGAACGGCCGATCAAGGGCCCCAGATCGCGCAGATGGGGCAGCGGTTCCACAAGGGAGGGAACGTCGGAGTGGTCGGTGCAATGCGAGTGATCCGAGATGTTGATTCGCGGGATCGGGGCCTTTTCGTTGTCCTTGTCCGTCGGCGGCGGCGGGAGGTCGCCAAATCGCGCGCCCCCGCGGCAGACGTGGCGGGCCGGGCTGAAAACCATCTCGATCACGGTCACGAGGAAGATGCCGGCCAGCGCGATGGCCCCGGGCATGGCCGGGTAGTCCTGCGTCCAGAAGCTGGACAGACATGGGTGGTTGAGGGACGTGAAGGCGGTGGGAAGCAGGTGAACAAAGGCCGTCGCGATCAGCACGCCCGTGCCGAAGTGGCTAACGAAGAAGAGGAACGGGCCCGGGATGCGCAGACGAGGGAAGCGAACGGCGAGGATGGGGAACGCGCACGCCAAGCCCGACACCGCCAGAATAATGAAGAGGGCAGCCACATGTAGGGGCAGATCGTATGCAGCGCCGTCGACTCCTCCCTGGGCGCAGGTGTCACGCGCCGCTAGAAGACGGCCTGGCTGTAATTGCGTGGCGTTCTTGGTCGGCTGAACGTCTTCGACTAGAACGGGGGATCGATTCATTCCCAGATACTGTGCCAGACTCTGATGGGAGATCAGAGCCGAGGTGCACAGCACCGAGAGAAGCCATGTCGCCCAACTCCAGAGTTTCTGGAGCCATGGCCGACAAGCGGGGCGGGCATTGGTGCCCTGGAGACCAGCATGCGAGCCGGTCGGTGGGTAAGGGGGTCCTAGAAAGTCAAACATCGTCAGCCCGGTCGATTCCACATCGATCGCACACGAGAGTTCTCAATCCCCAAATTTGAATATATATACCTGACGGTGTCAAGGACGCCCCCGGGGCGGGTGGGCGCCGCTTTTCCGGGTCGAACGGCTGCGTGGGTGTCATGCCGGTGACCTCTAACGACGACCACGGCAACCCGACCAGTCCATCGTTGGTCTTCAGCACGCGCGCATTGGAGATGCCATTGAGGTCTTGGCGCGTGGTCAAGTCGGGGGCCAGCGATGGCGGGTTCTGGTTCCACTCGCAATGCAGCAGCGTATCATCGGTTCGGGAGGGGCAATTCATGATGGGCGATTGATTCGATTCGGGGATGGGTAGTAGGGGTGCGGAGGACAAGATTGGAGCCCCTGGAAGGCGTTGGTAATAGTCGCCGTGGCGTGATCATCAGCTCCTATTAATAAGGGTCGTTACATCAGTCGTCGTTCAGAAAGAACAAACGGTATGGAAATTCAACAGGCACCCAAACCTGGCAATTCCAAGTCTGCAAGAGCACTAACCGTCCGTCTGGGGCAAGCTTGGCATTCGTTTCCAGACCCGACTTCGACTTTTCGCGCGAATTGTCCCGACTGGCGAATCTCCTCCGGGCCGAGGTCTTGGCAGTCAGCCCGATCTGCACTCGGCCGTTCCCTATTGCTGATGAGACCGGGTCCACTGGATCCATGATGGACACCGGTGTGCTCCGTATATCCTCCGGACTAGATATTTTTAGGTTGGACAAGACTTTCAAGATAGCGATCTGGGTCTAGAAGCGGAGCCAATCAGCCACCGATAGATGAGGGCATCCACTTCACCCGACGTGTCTCATCAGCGTATGCTTTCGGTTCATCACAAAGAGTATGCTGTAGTCCGTACACCGCACAGTGGTTGTCGAATCAATTGGCTCGACCCACGGCCATCTGTTGCAGGCTGTACCACCATCCTCCTGAGTCTGCATCAAGTTGTCATTCAATCCCCCAGGTCAGATCTGTCAACCATCTTCTTTCCTCCCAATCAGGCATCCGAGTCCCGACTCGCTCCGTCCAGCTCAACGCAGGCTAGATGAGCAGGACAGATGTCTGTTGCACGTAGATTGGGTTGACCGGTGTCTGTATGCGTTGCGGTCGGTTGTCGCTCGGTATGGTTCGCGTCAGGTGTCTTTGCAGCGGGTACGAAACACCCTTGAACAGATCACCGGCTGCAGCACGACTGAACGGGATCGGTCCAGACTATTGTGTATACGAGAGCATACTGTGCCGTGATGGTTGGGGAGATATCAAGAGACATCTCGATGAGGTCGAAGTACAGAAGACAGACTAGTCCGAAATGGGCGGTGTCGACAAACACGACAAACATCGGGGTTTTCGACCACTGCCAATTCGATCATTCAATTCATCCTCATCTTCCCCAACCTCCCCCAAGAACGAAACGTCCCACAAGATGAGACGCCCTCTCCACAGTTGTACGCCATGTCTCCACTACTCTAGCCCTCGAGTGCTCTTCTCTGTCCGAACGATTACAACCACTGCGACTCGACCGTACATGACAGGGCCTCCCGCGAAGCACCCCAACAGAGTCCCTCTCCAGGACATCACCCCGACGCACATCTCCTCTTACTGGGACACCCAAGCGCCCAATCGCGCCCAGCTCAACTATGCGGACAAGATCTTTGCCGTGACGCGCCACTCACCCATCAAGAAATGGTCTGCGTCGAAATTCCGCACCGCGCCCGATTCCTTCGAGCCGGAGGTCGCGTTCCTGGGACGGTCGAACGTCGGCAAGAGCTCGCTCCTCAATCGCGTCATGGGCCAGGAGATGTGCTGGACGTCGTCGAAGCCGGGTCGCACACGAGAGATGAATGCCTATGGGATCGGAGGCACCAAGGGGGAGGAATCCAAGGTGGTGGTGCTGGACATGCCGGGTTACGGTCGGGGAGGTCGCGCGGAGTGGGGGGTGGAGATTCTCAAGTACCTTCGTGGGCGGAAGCAGTAAGCAATCACCATGCTCCTCAATTTCCCAATGGCTACCAGCTGGGGGGGCAGGGTCCATATTGACAAAACTAACCGTGGCAATCGATTGGTTTAGGCTCCGTCGCGTGTTCGTCCTCGTTGACAGCACACATGGGTTGAAACCCACCGACATCGATCTGCTCCACTTGTTTCGAGAACATGCCATTCCACATCAGGTGGTCCTTTCCAAGGTCGACCGGTTCCTGTCCCGGAAACCAAGCCACTTGCGACATGGTTTGCCCACCGCCGGTCTGTCTCTACTGCAGGAGATGCTGCAGTACCTGAAGTCGATTGTCCAACCCACTGGACATGGAGAAGGGCCAGGTGCCCTTGGGGAGATCCTGACCTGCTGTGCGGACAAACATCCGGTCCTGGGGATCAGCGAGCTGCGCTGGGCGATCCTCGCGGCGGCGGGGTACGAGGGAAGCATCGAGGTGAAGACGGACACGAAACGGGCCATGATACCAGCCGCGAAACTAGCCACGAAACTGGCCAAGAAACCGGCCGCAAAAGCAGGCGTGAAACCAGGCGTGAAACCAGGCGTGAAAAAAGGCTTGAAAAAAGGCGCGAAACCAGGTGCGAAACCAGGTGCGAAACCAGGTGCGAAACCAGGTGCGAAATCAGGTGCGAAACCAGGTGCGAAACCAGGTGCGAAACCAGGTGCGAAATCATCCAAGAAGAGACCAGACGCGAAATCAGGCACGAAACCGACCGCAAAACCGGCCGCCTCGGCTGCTGGTCCATCTTGATCGGTGCAATTGAGCAGGATGTGGCTTCATGTTGATATTTTTTCTATATACCCCGTTGCATATACCCCGTTGCATATACCCCGATGCAAATGTAACTTCAAAGTCTGTTCCAATAACCATTTCCAATTACCAACCTCGGTGTCAGCGCCGGAAAAGAAATGAATTTTCTCTACCCAAGGCCAGTAAAACGGGTTGAATGATTTTTGCTATGCAAGCCCATGTCGATATTATACATAAATAAGATTGAAAATAGTACAAGAAAAAACGCCACATATGCCATTCATCCAGTCAAGGAACAACACTCCTTCAGTCCAGATATTCCAACACCAGCTTGGGGATTCGCTCAACGCCGTGACCTTTCATAGCGCACACCGGAACTGCGTGCAACTTCTTTCTCCACCCGTTCACGTGCCCCCCCGGATGCTCTGCCTCGCCCCGTTCCACCGCCGCCAGGAAGTCCCGCAGAGCGCGGAAGCGTTCCTGCGTCTCGGGTAGATCGGCCTTGGTGGCCACCACGAACCAGGGCTTGGTGTGCATAGGCGGCAGACTGAGGGACGGAAGCTCTTTCGGGGCGGCTTCCCCGTCGTCCTGCGGTGACGACCATGACGACGGCAGGTCCGAGCTGTCGGACATCCACTCCAGGGCGGCCTCTTCCTCGCGCATTTTGCCGTACTCGCCCACTTCGTGCCAGAGGTTCTTCAGCCCCTGCACGGGGTCTTCGGCGCTGAGGTCCACCACAAAGGCCAGGATGCCCGCGCGCTCGACGTGCCGCAGAAACCCGAGGCCCAGCCCCCGGTCGAGGTGCGCCCCCTGGATCAAACCGGGGATGTCGGCGATGGTGAAGTGGGTGCGGGGGTTCTTGTCGGCGGTCTCCACCAGCGGGCGACCCTTGTGATTGTCGACGACCACGGTGCCGATGTTGGGCGACAGCGTGGTGAACTCCCAGTTCCCGATGCGGGTGCGGCTGTTGGTCAGGGAGCGGAGGAGGGTGCTTTTCCCGACATTGGGTTTCCCCACCAGCCCGACATCTGCCAGGAGCTTCAACTCAAACTCCAGCTCCAGGCGCATGCCGCCCTCACCTCGGGAGGCAAAGTTGGGGCGGGTGTTCGCGCGCGACGACCAGTGGGGGTTCCCCATCCCACCCGCCCCGCCGGCCGCGAGTAGGATCGGCTTCTCCATGTGATACGAGAGGTCGAGATGAATCGGTGACGGCGGCTCCAGCGAGGCAATGTCCTGCCGTCGAGGCGTGTTCCGGGGGAAGACCGTGGTCAGGAAATCCGAGGGCTTGGCCCCGGGATACAACACCCAGCGATCGTGGCGGATGGACGTTACCCCCATTTCATCCAGCTCATCTGGCGGCTGGGCCGCGATTTCCTCTAACCGAACCAGTTCCTCCGTCACGGGGTCGTACCGGTCGACCTCGCGGATCACCGTCCCCACGGGCACCTGGATCAGGACATCCTCGCCCCGTCGGCCTCCCTTGCTCTTCCCCTGGCCGTTTTTGCCGCGACCGGCGCGGATCACTCCCCGGCGAGCCAACTTATGAAGACTCGTCATTCCCTCCACGGCCTGGACGTAGAGGCACCCCCCGCTGCCCCCGTCGCCGCCATTGGGAGGCCCTTCTTCCACGTACTTCTCGCGCAGGAACGACACACAACCACTCCCACCCGACCCTGCATGCATCACCGAGCGGCATTTATCTTGAAATATGAAGCGCGAGTAATCGTCCGGTAAGGGGTTGAGATGGGACCCATCGGGCAACTGGTCGTCGACCGGGGATGGCGTCGGACGCTCCGATTCTTGCGGCGGATTCGACTGGCCCGGAACCGTGGTGCTGTACAGTCGCGCCCAAACGGTTCTGCCACCGGCTCTGGGCGAGAGTCTCGGTGCACAGGCACCGCGCGATACGGTTAATCGGAAAGCTGATGATCGCAATGCCATTTGTTGGGCATTGTTTCAAGCTGGATGAGAGATGGATCGTAAAGATGGAAAAGCAGGCGAGAACAAACCAGACAAACAGGACCCGTGGGTCAGGAACAATAATAGTCCGACTCCAGTAATGACGGTGTTTTCTTTGCCACTCCGTACGGGTATTGTGTGTATTGGCATGTATTGTGACTCAGACCGGTCATCGCCACTGGATGACTCATCCTTGGCATAATGTCCATCCTTGTGACCGGCATAAGGCACTATCTTATCGTTATCGTCGTATCTCGGGTATTCTTATGTACATAACTCGGTCTCTTTTCTTCCCTCGACTTCTTCTCCTCTTCTCCCTTCTTTCTTCCACTTTTCATCCCCATCCTCGCCATCACTTTCCTCTTCAACTTGCATCAAACTTCGCTTTCTATCATCTATACGGTCAGGCGACTTAATCCAACATGCCGGATCTTCGTCGGCAAGTGTTTGAGAGCGGCAAGACCATCTCGCGCAAGGCGGCGTCCCGCGAAGGATCGCGACGGCCGTCGCGCAACCCCTCCGCTCAGGCTTCCCAACAATCATCGCGTAACACCAGCAGACAACCATCAGACGATGAAGATGGGGGCTATCTCAGCGATGACACGGCTTTGAGGTAAGTCACTTTGTTGTTCTCTCTTTTGGTTTGAATGCGACATGAACGAAAGGGCTGGATCATTCTACGGGATGATGTCATTTCCATCATGAACTTTTTTTTTTTCTAGGCGGTGATCAATGATGTCACCGTCGACGATCCATCTGTCCGGGAACAAACAATTGACTAATGATATGCTCGGTTTAGTATCGGCTCTCTCGATGACTTGGCCGACCTCCCCGAACATGATAATACGAATTGGGCCGAGGAGTTGGCAGACGTCATCCAAGATATCCTCGAGCGGAAACGAAGTAGTATCTTGAGTCGCGAAGAGTCATACGCGGCCTTTTGCCGTCTGGCAAAATGTCATTTCATTGACGACCATCTCCGGAACCGTGTGGTCGATCTCCTCGCTGCCTTCTGCAAGAGCGTCAAGTTTGAGTCGAGTGTTCGGGAGACAATATTAGGCCTCCGTGCGCTCGAGCTGCTCACTGTAACAACGCAAGACGATAAGATCTACGAGAATGTCGAACCGCTGCTGACCCGAACGATTCGTGACTCGACGTCCGTGACCGCCAAGACCGCCGCGATCCACTGTCTCGGCACGTGTGCGATCTTCGGAGGGGCGGGCGCGGACGGTTTCCTCGACCAGATGACGTTCTTCTTGGATATCGTCGCCTCGGACGGACAGTCCATCGGCGCCGATGATGACCCAGGCGCCGTCACCGCCGCCCTACAGGAGTGGGGCTCGCTGGCAGTCGAGATCGACGACCTCGAAGGCGAGAGCGAAGATGCCGTCCAGATCTTCATGGACCAGTTAGACAGCGGCGAGTCGAGCGTGCAGATTGCAGCGGGCGAAAACATCGCGCTCCTGTACGAAAAGAGCTACTCGCCGGAGGAGGACGAGGACGAGGACGAGGAATCCGAGCCAGAAGACGAAGACGAGTCCTTCATGGCGGCACCCAGCGCACGAGCGGGGCCCAAGCTGATCAAGCGCTACAACGCCTACCACAACACCCACGAGCTCGCCAGCCAGCTGCAGTCCCTGGCCACCGTACACAGCAAGCACATCAGCAAGAAGGACAAGAAGAGCCTACACAGCAACTTCGCCTCCATCCTAAACACCATTGAGAACCCGCGACACGGGCCGACCTACAACACCGCCATCAACCAGGACACCAACCGCCACTACGGCAGCAAGATGACCGTCAAGATCGGCCGGCAGGGCGTGATGAACATCGACCGCTGGTGGAAGTGGATCCGTCTGCACTCCCTGCGCCGGGTGCTGCAGGGCGGCTTCACCGTCCATTACTACGAAGGGAATCGGGCCGTACTGGACAGCCTGCCGGTGATCGTGCGCCAGGACACCCCGAGCGATCGGGGGTCTGCCAAGCGAACCGCCCGGGCGCGGAACACCCGACGCTGGGCCGTCCACGACGCGGATTCGGATTGAACGGTCTGGTTTTTTCAATCCTCGTCTTCTTTTGAAAGGAAAAAAAAAAAAAGATCAAAAAAAAGTCTCTTATATTTTGCTTTTCGATTCTGTTTTATTTATTTAATTCCCCGTTCAGGACCATCTTCTTTGGTTCATCACCGAGTATACCATCCTTATACAGCAAGAGATGTTGGAGCCCGCGCGGGCAAGGAGACCGGAGAGAGAACTTTTTATACACCGTTTTGTTCCGCAGTTTGATTCCCCGGCATGGCTATTGTGTTATTAAAAGTACCTGTTTGTTTTGATAGATATCTATTTGCTTATATGCGTTTTGGGATAGAAGACATTCATCTTTCCATTTATTTCCACCGTATGGTTCAGAAATATATATATACGGACAACCACAGGTATACTCAATATGGCCCCTTCGCCTTCCCATTTCCGCCAAGGGGTATCATTTTAACAGGATAGCTATATAACCTAGCCTACTACATATCAAGAGACATCCCCAACCGATACTGACCCCCGGTAGAGACTGTATATCTGCACAATGCAATGTAGAGTGGGTCAGCCCTAATGATGATCGGCGCAGATGAACACAACAGGTCCCGTGACTTCCATCCAATGGGGTCATGGTTTAGTGGTATAATATTCCCTTAGCATGGGAGAGGTCCGGGGTTCGATTCCCCGTGACTCCATGGTTTTTTGTTTGGTTTTGTTTCTGTTTGTGATGCTGCTGTCTTGGTGGAATTTTTGTGGTGGTTGTTGTGGGCAGAGTTTGCCTGTCCACAACATTCAGTGGTATAGAAGGTCAAAAGCGCCACGCGATATAAGAAAATGTGCCAGGCAAGTAGATTATGACAGACCTTCTAAAACTGAATACTAGCTGAATGATGACAAGAATTAACTAATAAATATACGGACATCTCGCGCCAAAAGTCTATCTATCACCCGGTGTAGGACGCTAAACCCAAACGCCGATAATTTTGAAACTGCCGAAGCATTGCCCGCCCAACTTTTCCAGGGGAACTGAATACCTCACGAACGGAGGAACGTGCGGTACGTGGGCGAGTCCGTGTGCTCGCTGAACGGATAGCCGAGGTCGTTGAGGAAAGACTCGAGATCCGTCTTCTCGACACTCGGGCACTGGATGCCCGCCAGCACCTTGCCGACATCGCCACCGTAGTTGCGGTAGTGGAACAGCGAGATGTTCTGGTGGGGTCGGAGGGTGGTCAGGAACTTGGCCAGCGCCCCGGGACGCTCGGGGAACTCGAACATGAACAGTCGTTCATCGGGAACGTCGGCGCGGCCGCCGACCAGGAAGCGCAAGTGTCTCTTGGCCAGCTCGTCGTCGCTCAGGTCCTTCGCTTCCATCCCGCACCGGGCCAGCTCTTTGATGATCTTGGCTAGATCGTCCCGACCGGTCAAGGCCGACAGCGAGATACCCATCAGGACGTCGGCCGATTCGGCACGGGCATAACGGTAGCTGAAGGCCGTGACCGCGTGCGGGAGGACCACCTCGACCAATTTGGAAAACGCGCCCGGCTTCTCCGGGATGCTGACGCTTAGTAGGGCCTCCTTGCGCTCGCCCAGCGCCGCCCGCTCGGCCACGAACCGCAGTCGATCAAAGTCGATGTTGGCCCCGGAGGCGATGGCCACCAGCTCCCGGTTGGTGTCCGGGCTGGGGTTCAGGGACACGTATTTTTTCAGACCCGCCAGGGCGAGAGCACCGGCCGGCTCGATGACCGAGCGCGTGTCTTCGAACGCATCCTTGATCGCAGCGCAGGTCTCATCGGTCGACACCTGGACGATCTCGTCGATAACCTCGCGGCACAGCCGGTAGGGCTCTTCTCCCACCGATTTGACGGCGGCGCCGTCGGCGAAGAGTCCCACATCCTTCAAGAACACGCGCTCTCCAGCGGTCAGAGACTGCGCCATGGCGTTGGCATCGTGCGCTTCCACGCCAATGACCTTCACATGAGGCGCAATTCGCTTCACGTAGACACCCAAGCCGGCAATCAGGCCGCCACCGCCCACGGCACAGAAGATCGCCTCCAGCTTCTGGAGGTTTGCCTGTCGCAGAACCTCCATACCGATCGTGCCCTGTCCCGCGATCACATAGGGGTCGTCGAAGGGGGGGATGCTTGTTAACCCGTGCTGTTTCTCCCGACGGTGCGCTTCCTCTTTCGCGGCGTCAAAGTCATCGCCATGGAGGACGACGCTCCCTCCGAGGCGAGCGACGTTCAGGTGCTTGATGGCGGGGGTGCCCGACGGCATGACGATGGTGGCGGGGATCTTCAATTTGCGCGCAGAGTATGCAACGCCCTGCGCATGATTTCCTAGCCCATCTATCAGCATCTGTCCCCAAACATTCTCCCATCCCCACCATCCTTACCTGCAGAACAGGCGATGACGCCCTTCCAGCACTGTTCGTTGGTCAGGTGCGCCATCTTATTGTAGGCCCCGCGCAGCTTGAAACTGAACACGGGGAGCAGGTCCTCCCGCTTCAGAAGCACCCGACATTCGAGGCGATTGCTGAGATTGACCGCGTGGGTCAGAGGGGACTCGTTGATCACTTCGTAGACCCGGGACGTCAAGATCAGACGGAGGTACTATAAGAGGCGCGGGATGCGCAATCAGCGACCTTCCCCCGGTAACTGCTGTTCACCCGAACCCGCTTACATCCGGATACCCATTGGGAAGAATAAAACTGTCGGGGATCCCCCAGTTGTTGGGGAGTCCGAGGATCCGATTCTCGGTCTCGGGCTGAGGCGTCGGAGCGGCGGTGTACTCCGTCAGGGCGAGATTGCTCAACCCGGCCGCAGGGGGAGTTGTATACCCATTGACGATGGGGCTGTCGGTGGACATGGCACGTCCTGTTCGGGTGAGGGTAGAGGGATAGAGAAATGAACGAAAGTATTGAAGAGGAAAGGAAAAGATTGCAGTGACGATGACTCTTGCTTATCGACAGTGGGGTCGCAGCGTTAATAACAATAAATCGTTCTCTTCAGACTAACTCGAAAAATGCGATGGCGCGGCTGACTCAGCGATAACGCCGCCGACTTCGGGGCACGTGAGAGCGGCATAGACCGTAATGCACGGGATGAGTAATTGTGCACCGCGCGATGCAATCTCGACGTCTCCGTCGCTCACCGTGTCTCCATCCACTCGCCGTTGACGCTCCATCTTCGTCCTCCATTCATAGCGTTGTCGTGTCTTGGATATATTCGTTGAATACACACCACCTTCGATAGCGACCCCCAAATCGCATCCGTGTCGACGACTCCCGTCTTTGCGCCATCCATCCCCCCCGGTGCAGCGTGATGCTGCGTCTGTCATCGGCTGTAGGCAAAGGCCGAGTCGCTCCTTTGCGCCATGCCTCCCCGAGCCACAACCTGAAAGTGGGCAGAGCCCTTCCTCGGTATACGCAGTTTCAGCGAGCGGCGTCGACAGTGACCTCGTTGGAGAACTTCCCGGAAGCAGGACAATCCCTCCATGGGTTCACCGTGCAAGAGAAGAAGCATGTGCCCGAGCTGCACTTGACGGCAGTACGGCTGAGGCATGACAAGACGGACGCGGACTACCTCCATGTGGCCCGAGAAGACAAGAACAATGTGTTCGGAATCGGGTTCAAGACCAACCCGCCAGATGCGACGGGTGTGCCTCACATCTTGGAACACACCACGTTATGCGGGAGCGAGAAGTACCCGATCCGAGACCCTTTCTTCAAGATGCTGCCGCGATCTCTGTCCAACTTTATGAATGCCTTTACCGCCTCCGATCACACGACGTACCCCTTCGCGACGACGAACCAGCAGGATTTCCAGAATCTCCTGTCCGTGTACCTCGACGCTACCCTCCACCCGCTGTTGAAAGAGGAGGATTTCAGACAAGAGGGATGGCGATTGGGCCCGGAGGACCCCAAGGCCTTCCAGGGCGAAGGGCAAAAACTGGATGATATTGTGTTCAAGGGAGTCGTGTACAATGAGATGAAGGGTCAGATTTCGGATGCGAACTATCTGTACTACATCAAGTACAAGGAGAACATCATTCCCGCGCTGAACAACTCGGGGGGCGACCCGCAGTACATCACCGACTTGACGCATCAGCAGCTGGTGGACTTCTCCAAGCGCAACTATCATCCGAGCAACGCAAAGATCCTGACTTACGGTGACATGCCCTTGAGTAGCCATCTCAAGCAGATCGGCAGTGTTCTGGATGGGTTCAGCAAGGGGCAGACCGAGGAGTCCGTCAAGGCACCCATTGATCTTAGCAACGGTCCAAAGAACATCACCGTCCCCGGTCCGATCGACCCCTTTACCGGCGAGGACAAGCAGCACAAGACCTCCACTTCGTGGTACATGGGCGATGTCACCAACATCGTCGAAACTTTCTCCGCCGGAATCGTCTCTTCCCTGCTGCTTGATGGTTATGGATCCCCCATGTATCGGGCGTTGATCGAAAGTGGCCTTGGGTCGTCGTTCAGCCCTAACACGGGACTGGATTCGTCTGGCAAGACCCCGGTCTTCTCCGTCGGTGTCACCGGAGTCAGTGAAGCGGAGGCCCCCAAAGTCAAGGAGGCGGTTCAGACTGTCTACCAGGACACGGTGGCAAACGGCTTCAGCGATGAGAAGGTCCAGGGACTTCTTCACCAGTTGGAGCTGGCGCTGAGGCACAAGACCGCCAACTTCGGTCTTGGTGTGATGGACAAAACGCTCAGCTCGTGGTTCAATGGGTCGAACCCCATGGAAGAGCTCGCCTGGAACGAGGTGATTGAGGAATTCAAGAGGAGGTACAGCCAAGGTGGCTACCTTGAGTCTTTGGTGCAGAAGTACCTCATGAACGACAACTGCTTGACGTTCACCATGGTTGGCTCGCCATCCTTCGGCAAGGACCTTGACGCCGAGGAGATGGCCCGGAGGGAGCAGAAGCTCACACAGCTCATCGAGCAGCACGGATCCGTGGAGAAGGCCGTCGCCACGCTTGGTGCAGAGGAACTCCAGCTGCTCAAGATCCAGGAAGACGCTCAACATGCCGACTTGAGCTGTTTACCCTCTCTTCGCGTCGAAGACATTTCGCGGGAGAAGGAGCGCAAACCGTTGAGGGAGTCGAAGGTCGACGATGTTGACGTCGTTTGGCGCGAGGCCCCTACCAATGGGTTGACCTACTTCCAAGCCCTGAACGCTTTTGACGAGCTTCCCGACGACCTCCGCCTGCTGATGCCTCTGTTTAACGACTGCATTATGCGACTGGGTACCGCAAACCGAACTATGGAGCAGTGGGAGGACCTCATCAAGTTGAAGACTGGCGGTATCTCTACGTCGTCCTTCCATACCTCGTCTCCGCTGGAGGTTGGACGCTTTAGCGAGGGCCTGCAGTTTTCTGGTTTCTCCCTGGACCAGAACATCCCCGAAATGCTCCAGATTCTCACGACTCTCGTCACCGAAACCGACTTCACCAGCCCCTACGCCCCTGGTATGATCCAGGAGCTCTTACGACTGACCACGAACGGCGCCCTGGATGCCATCGCGGGTACCGGGCATCGGTTTGCCCTCAACGCCGCGGCCGCCGGTCTCTCCCGCAGCCTGTGGGTCCAGGAGCAGCAGTCGGGCCTCGCACAGCTGCAGGCTACGGCTGACCTGCTGCGCGATGCCGAGACGTCGCCGGAACGTCTTGCGGAGCTCGTCGAGAAACTTCGTCTCATCCAGTCGTTCGCGATTTCGCGGTCGTCCAACATGCGTGTCCGCTTGGTGTGCGAACCCAGTAGCGCGACCCAGAACGAATCGGCTCTGCAGAAGTGGTTGACCGGGCTGCCTCAGGTCCGCTCCCCCACGGCGACGTCGAGCTCGTTTGTCGACTCGACCACCAAGAGGGCGTTCTACGATATGCCGTACAAGGTCTACTACTCCGGGCTGGCCATGCACACCGTCCCGTTCACGCACCCGTCGAACGCCCACCTCAGCGTCCTGTCGCAGCTGCTCACGCACAACTACCTCCACCCGGAGATTCGGGAGAAGGGCGGTGCGTACGGCGCCGGAGCTAGCAACGGGCCCGTCAAGGGCATCTTCGCCTTCACCAGCTACCGGGACCCCAACCCGCTCAACTCGCTCAAGGTGTTCCAGAACAGCGGTGTGTTCGCGCGCGACCGTGTCTGGACCGATCGCGAACTCAGCGAGGCCAAGCTGGGTATCTTCCAGGGTCTGGACGCTCCGATGAGCGTGGACGAGGAGGGGGCGCGGTACTTCATGAGCGGTGTGACCCACGAGATGGACCAGCGCTGGAGGGAACAGGTGCTCGACGTGACGGCCAAGGATGTGAACGCGGCGGCGCAGAACTTCCTGGTCGATGGACCTGCGCGGTCCGTCTGTCTTCTGGGCGAGAAGAAGGACTGGATCGAGTCGGGTGAGTGGGATATGCGCAAGCTGTCCATGAATCCTGGGGAGGGCGAGATGGGTGACGGAGCAGCATCTTCGTAAATGACCGCATCGGTGTTATGTCGGGGTTGTAACAACATTATATACCTGTATCATACTTTACACTTGTGCTTTAAGACCTGTATATAGACGATCGCATGAATACTATCTCTTCACTCTGTCTTAATCCAAGACACTCTGTCTGAATCCAAGAAATAGTCCAGTCAGGGGGTTAATCTATCCATCATCATCGTATCGGGGTCTCGCGGTGTTTGGGATGTTTGCACTCTTATCTCCGCCGTAGCTCCGCCATAGCCAACCTGTTCTTCACTTCTCTACTACTGACACCACGATAGATGTCGGTCAGTCAATCGGGAACAATGACCTCCCAACCGTCATTCCAGATCATTTCGTCCCTCCGCTACGATCCGGCGTTGCCACATGTGGCCCGGGAAGGCGCCAACTCGTCGTCCGACCTGTTCCAGACGCCTTACTATCTCCTCCCATACCATCGGGATCGACTCCTCCACGCAGCTCAGTGCTTCCATTGGACCAAGGCCGAGGAGTTCCTGCAACAGGACCTGAGCTCCTTTGTGCAGTTTCTCGACAGCTTTATCGCCGATAAAAACAAACCATGGCGTCTCCGAATTGTGGTCGACCGCAGTGGAGCCTGCACGGTGGACGTCAATCCCACGGCTGCCATTGACCCTCTCAGTCTTCTGATTCCGTTGCCCTCCGCCTCGCCATCCTCCGTGTGGCGCGTCTACGTAGACCGAGAGCCCACGGACCCATCCCTGTTCACGACCCATAAAACCACGGCGCGAGAGGTCTACTCCGCGGCGCGACTTCGAGCCGGCATCATGTCACCCCAGGAGACAGCAGAGGTCCTTCTCGTCAACCCCAAGGGCGAGGTGATGGAAGGAAGCATCACGACCGTCTATTTCCGACGACGGCAGCCGTGCGATGGTCCCGCGTGGACCACCCCGCCTCTCTCCTGCGGCGGCAACGCGGGCACCACCCGACGGTACGCATTGGATCAAGGGTTCTGTACCGAACAGACGGTCGCTGCGACCGACTTGATCGATGGCGAGGAGTGCTGGCTCAGTAATGGGGTCCGTGGATTCCTCAAGGGCCAACTTGTGCTACGGGAGGGTCGCACGGAGCACCGTGGATCCCCGGACTCCCGGTAGCAGCAACCAATCCATACGTGTAGATCGGCACTCATGCTGTGCTTGGGCGACTCTGATGATTGCGCCTTTGCGACCTTTACCACCGGAGAGTGTCTTTCTGTAATACAGCTGGATCCCTGGACGGCGCTGGAGTGACGCGTGACACGTGACCCCGGATCCCCGCATTCTGCAACGGGTTTAGCGGCCTGAGGCAAGCTCGGCCGAAGCTGGCAGAAATAAATCCATCTTCTTCTTCCCTGCTCTTTTCCTTCACTTTCTTTCCTATTTCTCCCCCCAATCCAGAAACTCACATCTCATCTGCCTTCGTCATCCTTAAGCTATTGCTTCCCCCTTATGCATCCATTCTGAAAGTATGAAGTTCTTCGAGAATGTGTTCACCTACGACTATTCCTTCCCGGCCGTCTCGTTGGCCTACTTCTTGCGCTACCCGAACCCCTACTCTCGCCACGTCTTAACCACCGATGTTATCGATCGCTATGTCGACCCCGGTACCCAGCGTCTTCATACTATTCGTCTGCATCTCAAGAAATCCAAGGTGCCGTCGGGAATCTTGAAGTTGCTGCCCAAGGGCATCGGTGGCGCGGATAAGTCCGGCCAGAGCTACATCCTCGAGACCACCGTGGTGGACGCCAAGGAAGGCTGGATGCGCACCGAGTCGCGCAATATGGAGTGGACCGGCATTCTCAGCGTGGTGGAACGACAGGTTTACCAGCGACTACCCGTCGAGGGCGCCCTGGACCGCCTCGAGGGCTTGGCCCTGGACAGCAAGAAGAGCGAGCAAACGACGGTCCAGACGACCGTCACCTTTCGCTCTCGGTTGGGACAGGGCAAGCTCCTGCCCAGCCTGAGGAAGACCGACCGGGTGGATCAAGCGGCGGACGAAGAGGAAGCCCCGCCGAAGGGATTCTTCTCCTCCCTGTCTACGGCGGGCCTCCAGCGGACCATTGAGCTCATTGGCGTGAGTCGCACCCGGGATGCGATCCTGAAGAGCAAGCAGGGAATGAACGTGGTCCTGGAGCGCCTTCGCAATGGGGGGATTGTCGAGGTGCTCGAAGGCATGCGCCAGGACCGGGAGGCTGTGGACGGGCCCTGGAAGCGCGTGTGGCTCCGAGGTAACAACAATGACCTCGGGAGTGGGGACGACGATCGCCATTGAGTCGGGATCCCACGAAATCTGTCAATTTTCAAGCGTGGAGTTCTGGAGTACCGATCTGTCTCTTTTTTTCTCATTTATTTTCTCTTTACTTTTGATTTTCTTGTTGTTTTCACGGACCCTCTCCTACTATTTCTCCCTCACGTCACAGGCACGTGGACATCACACCACCGTCACATATTTCCCCATGTTCATGGATTTGACGAGGAACTTGTCACGAACAGAAATTGTCGGCTGTATATTAGAAAAGAATGACCCCTTCGGCGACTCCACTTCGATATGGAGCGCCCAGTGTACAATATGAATGATCAACCAGTCTTCAACATGAACAACATAAACTTCCGCAGGACTGTATTGAACAGCGCATTTTCAGCCCTCCTAAGTCTATAGAAGCATTGCCTGATCAAGTTCTCGACCCACGCTGACATCAAGACGCAAGGACCATACGATATGCTCTGGGCCGTTGTATAGTAAACAACAAGTATAAACCCAACCACATCACCGACCTGCGCCCAGCAGTGGCATGATCCTCGCCATGTTTCGAATAGATTATCATGATCATGATCATCGCTGAGGGGTAGACAACCACTTTGTAGTATGTCTCACATGCAAGGTGCCCTTAGATGCAGCCAGCCAGATTTCCCTGGCGGTGTTTCGACCAAACTCAACCGATGGGCAAGAGATATCGATCTGAATGATTCTATGCGTGGCATGTATGTCAATAATTGAGTCTCAAGGAGGATGAGCCAGGGATAGTATACCTCCATAGTGGCAGCGCCCTCGAAGCTAGAGCATTCCAGCGCACCCCCCCCCCCCCCCCCCCCCGATTAACAGCAGATCGATCGACTAACCCACAGCAATGGCAAGAATGTCTGACTCAATCATGCTGATACGGTTCAAGTGCTTTATCTCTCTATCTATCTATCCTCTATCGATCGATCGATCGATCGATCTGTCCATTTGCGGGGTGGTTCGCCGGAGCCGTCCACAGCGCATACCTGTGAGAACTGTGGCATTCCACACTGTTGACCGCACACGATGATCCTTGTAATTTCCACGAGGCTTTTCTGGGGTGTCGTCGTGGTTCCTATTCCGTGAGCAGCGAAGGCCTCGTGGGGGTCTACGATGGGAGTCTGTACATAAGTATGGAATGTTCTTACTATAGTATTTCTGATGTTGCTCATCTTTTTCCAGTTTCTGTTGCCCCCTTGGGTAAGAAAAGAAAAAGAAAGTCAGCAGAAAACAACACCATGTATCGCTCGTTGTTGAATAGTATTGGAATCCTCTGCCTCGCGGCGCTCTGGCGCCCCGTGGCAGCGATGGGCTCGGGAAACACAGCGTACATGAGACGCGTCCTGCTAGCAGCGCAGGCAGGGCTCGATCCGAGCCTCGTTCTCGATGATAAGATGGACTTTCATTCTCTGATTTCCCATCCACCGCATCAAGAGCCTCCTCCCGAGACGGAGTTTGTGACGGTATGCTAGCTACTGCTGCCGCTATTTCTCCCGCTAATGTGCGTCTGATTGCCGAGTGTCGTTAGATCCCTATCGACCATAACGATTCGTCTGTCGGCACGTACCAGAATCGATACTGGGTGTCGGAGAAGTTCTTCCAGCCCGGAAGCCCGGTCATCATGTACGATGCGGGCGAGCTCAATGCGCAGAACCTAGCCGCATTGCACCTGGCGTCGGATACGTCTTTTTTCACAAGACTGCTGAAGGAGTTCAATGCCATGGGCATTGTATGGGAACATCGGTCTGTTGGCGCGCATCTAACAAGGAGTGACCATCGGGCTGACAGGAGCTATAGCTACTACGGAGAATCTGCGCCTTTCCCCATCAGCTTGGACACGCCCCCGGAGCATTTCAAATACCTGACGACGCGGCAAGCCATCGAAGACATCCCCTACTTCGCGCAGAACTTCACCCGCGTCAATTACACCGATGTCGACCTCACCCCGAAAGGCACGCCGTGGGTGATGGTAGGCGGGTCGTACGCCGGTACGCGAGCGGCGTTCATGCGCAACGAACACCCCGAAACAATCTTCGCGGCGCTCTCCTCGTCGGCGCCCATCCAAGCGCAGGTCGACATGACCAGCTACTTCGACCAGGTGTATCGCGCGATGGTCGCCAACGGGTACTCGAACTGCACGAGAGACATCCACGCGGCGTACCAGTACATCGACGGCCAGCTGGCGGAAGACACGGGCAGCGCAGCGGCGATCAAAAGGCTCTTCTTCGGCGAGGAAGGCGCGCAGAACTCCAACGAGGATTTCACGGGGGCGCTGACCCATCTATACGATTACTTCCAGGGATACGGCCTCGGCGGCGTGAATGGCAACATCGCGCAACTCTGCGACCACATCGAACACGACCCAAGCACAAATCAAACGGCCGGGCCGGACGGCGTGGCTGCCATGTATGGCGGGAGGTACGCTGCAGAGCGCATGGCGGCGTGGCCGTTACTGGTGCGCGTGACGAACTCAAACCTCGGGCTTAACTGTGGGCCGGAGAACGACACGCTCCCGGTCAACTGCGAGCTGGGAAAGCCCAGCACCGACGCAGACACGATCAGCTGGAGCTGGCAGTACTGCACGGAGTGGGGGTTCTACCAGAGCAACAACGCAGGCGAGCACGCGCTGCTGTCGCGGTTCCAGACACTCCAGTACCAGCAGGAGATATGCAATCGGCAGTTTCCGGACGCCGTCGCGGCGGGGGTATTGCCCGCGACGCCGGAAGCAGACCGCGTGAATAGCGAATTCGGAGGGTGGACGGTGCGGCCGTCGAATACGATGTTCAGCGTGGGGGAGTTCGACCCGTGGCGGACGCTGTCGGTGCTGTCGGCGGAGGAGTTTGCGCCGCAGGATGTGGTCTGGTCGAGTGATGTACCGCGGTGTGGGGAGGTCCGTGATACGGTGTTTGGATATGTGGTTCCCAATTCGGAACACTGTTTTGATTTCCAGCTTATATCTGACGAGGGTAAGGCGTCGATGGAAGTGTTCAAGAGTGCGCTGAAGCAGTGGTTGCCGTGTTTTGTGAAGGGGGTGGGAGGTGAAGCGTGAGGATGCTGAGGTAGATGTAATTAGGGTTTGATGTATATACCTAATGCTTGATTTGTATTATGGTTGTCTGTTCTAGAGCCTCAATGCGATATCACACCTATAGAAATTTTGATGCTATGACTTACGGTGGCTTCAGCAAGTAGCCAAACTTCTAGTGATATCAACTTCTGCGACTTCTAGGAAAGCAACGATGTACCACCAAGTGCGTTCATTTCGCCGCATGGTATGCTATATGAGCTTGAATCGAGTCCTTGTTAGACATCGTGTATACGAGGGAGAATTCACTATTCAACCATCTAGCACAATGCCTCTCACTATGTACATGCAAACATTCAACAACGAGAATATATGTCCGAAGCATTAAAAAATCAATCAAAGCAAGCCTGGTTGGCATACTCGACAGCAGCCTTCTCACCCGCACTCATATCATCAGTGATCTCCCACCGCTTATCACCCATACCCAGAGCACGCAGTCCGTCAGGGCTGACAGACGTCCAGTCCAAGGCGCCCTGGAAGCCAGCCTCGCCGGACCCACCGGCGCCAGGGAAATCCCAGGGTGGGGAGTACTGCTGGGCCGCCTGACGCTGCTTCAGCAGATAATCGACGTTCATCTCGCACATCGGAGTGGCCGGGATGTACATGACGCTGGAATCGCCCTGGCCACGGTGCTCCTTGTCGACGGAGTGCAGCGAGTCGCAGTGCCAGGCGACGTAGTCGCCGGGCTCCACCTCGGGCACGGAGACCATGGTGTCCTCGAGGGCCATGTGCGGATGCGTGACCGGGTTGTACTCCTGACAGGTTCCCGGGACAGCACCGGGGAACGTGTTGTCTAGCAGAGGCTGCTGGGTCTGGGGGTCGAAGAAGGGTCGGAGGATGGTGTAGGCGGAGCTGTGGGTGAGCATGGGGCACACGTGCAGGGTGCCCTCGCCGGGGGCGGTGTTAGACATGGCGAGCCAGCCCTGGAAGAAGCGCAGCATGGAGCAGGCGCCAGCGCCGTTGTACAGGTCCATGTTGGCCGTGACGCGGTGCTTGGCGTCCCACGGGTCGTGCTGCTCCCAGTGGCCCTCGAGGATCTTGCTGTAGACGCGGGCGTACTCGGGATCCTCCCAGCGCTCGAGGGACCCGCCGTCGATGTGCGGGCCCAGCGTGAACTTGCCGTCGCCGGGCTGGCGGATGCGCAACCGGTCCGCGTACGTGAGGGGGTTCCGGGTTGAGATCCTGGTGTGCGGGTCCGACGAGTGCCACAGGTGTTGCATGAAGCGCTGGGTCTCGAGCATACCCGGGTGGGAGCGCGCCTCCGCTTGCGATTTCGACCAGTAAAGTTCGTACACGGCCGGCGAGTCCGGTGGGAAGGCCTTGACCCTCTCCTTGTTGGCGGCGACGTAGTCTTCGACTCTTTCTTTGTAGTCGCGAGCGACGCCACGCGGGATCACACCTCGCACGACGACGGTACCGCGGTGGCGGATCTCCTTGAGGGTGGACTCGGGTACCCTGTCATTGATGATATCCTCGTATTTGACCGAGGGGATGATCTACTCTCCGATTAGAGGGGAATTCTTCTATCGAGGCGAGAATAAGGCGGTCCCAACATACATCACTCCCTTTGGACTTGATCTTGTCCACTTCTTCCTCCATGCTCAGAAGCAGGCGCTTCCAGCTTTGGGTGAGCGCATCCTTGTTCTTTTCAAAATACTGCACTTTCAAGTCCTTGAAACGCGGAGGCAGGGGTTCAGGCTGATAGTCGGGCCTTAAGCTAGGGAAGACACTAGAGATGTCTCCCGCGGCCTTGGTGGTGGCCGGCGAGGTCGACGTCGAGGCAGCACGGACGGCTGATTTAGCCAGCATTCTTGACGTAGCCATGATAGAAGAAAGTTGAATGATCTCTGAACAAGGATTGTTCTTTCCCTTGCTCTCATCGACCTGCAGCGACCTGGCCCCATATATATAGGGTCGTGGAGAACTGTGGAGTGGCGGTGGGACTTCCTAATCGGGTAGTCGGGCCGCTTACCCTTTCGGGTCTTCCGCCCTGCGATCAAAGATGCATCAAGAAGTTATATACAGAGGTATGCGATCTACTCTAAACCCGTAATCTATCGTACAAGACATATAATAAAACAAAATGGGACAGATCGGCCCGACACAGAAGAACATGGTAAAGTACAAAAGGAGAAAGAGAGAAGATTAGTGTTGTTTATACGCACCGCTATCCCGCTCGAGCGCGAACACTCGCCTCTCCAAGCGCCGCTTCCAGCCGTGGTAGCCACGCAGTTCCTTGACGGCCTTTCGGTTGGGCTCCAGATCCCAGAACGGCGGCGTGATCGACTGACCCGGGTTCTCTCGGACCTCATCCCAATGCATTTTCATCGCCAGTTCGCTTTCAGCGAGGATCGAGTGAAGGATCTTGCATGTTTTCGGGTCGGGCTCGACGCCCGTGACTTCCATCTCCTGGAGAAGTGTGATGACACCCGGGATGTCCTGGCACCCGCGCCAGTAAAAGTAGATCAGCTCGTTGTAGAGACCGATCGAGCCGCCCAGCACCGCGGACGCACGGCCGTGCAGCCGGATGCTCGATCGGAACTGGCCGATCAGGGGCGAGTTCGGGCAGTGGAGGGTCAGAAGTCGGTAGGCGACGAGGAGCATCTCCGGGTAAAGAGTGATCACGACGGACTCGATGGGGACGCCTGGGGGGACCGTCAGACCGCCGGGGGAGGGGCCATCGTCCATGGGCGACACAGGGTCGGCCGTGGCACCGGCGTCTTCCAGGTTGTTGATGCTGGCGTCCTTCACGCCTCGCAGCGGAACGCCTGCGTCTTTCAAGTGTTTCAATAAGGAAAAGATCTTGTCCTCACAGACCTCCCACAACGCAACATCGTCCTCGCCTCTATCCATGACCTCCCCGAGAGCGGACTTGATCCGAACCTTCTCTCGATTAACCACGAGCTTGACGGCTTGGTCCATCGTGATCTTCTCCGCGCTGAGTAGCTCCGAGATCTCCGTGTTTGTATAGTCGTCCCGCTTCAGCTGTTGCCACATCTCCCGATCCCGGCGCAGTTTTGCGCGAGGATCCATCGTGGGATCCATTCCCAGTCGCTGGCCATCGGTTTCCTCTTGCCCCTTCTTCTTTTTCGCCATATCCTGGAGGACCGAATCAAAGATTTCAGTTATCTGGGCCATCTCTTCTGCCGGCCTGAGGGTCGGGGGAGTCGCTGAAGTCTCCGGGCCTGACTCCTGTTGTTGACCAACCCCTATGCTTTCCAGCAGATTCTGGAACGTTTGCTTTTCCTTTGGCGTCATGGTGCTGAGGCCCACCGGTTCCCGCGGGGCAACCTGGGGTGGTGGTTGTGACACCTTGGCGGCGCGTTTCCGCAAGAAACTCTTCCGACCATGAAAGTTACTGCTTCGGGGTGCTACATGGATGCCCCGGGGGGCGAATCGTCTGGTCTTATCTTGTCGTGTCTCGTCCGAATTTTGGGTCTTCTCCGAATCGAGAGTCACCCCCGAATCGTCGGCTCTGGGTTGGACTTCATGTTCGGACCCAGAAGATCGCCAGGCGGGTGAGGTGTGTAGTAAAGCTTTGCTGGCGACGCGGACTCGGGGGGCGGTAAGCGTGGCCGTCTGGTAAAGAAACGGGGCAAGCGAATGGCGTTTTAATTGGGTCAAACGGGGACGGGCCTTCAGAAACATGATGCAATTCGCATTCCAAGATGGTGAACAGAACGCAAGCTGGATGATTTTCTTGCGGATCATCTGATAACAGCGGCGGATCATTAGTTCCCCCGAGTATCCGACTTTATGCACACAGCTGAGTCAGCACGGCATCCCCGCGGAGAAGTTCCCGAGGATCGGCGATCGATGGAGATGCTGCGACTCTCTCTCTTCCTGTTGTTCTTTTTGTACATTCTGTGCTTGCCTTCTCTTCTTTTCCCAACAGTCAATTGTGAGAAGAAATTACTAGGGTGTACTCCGCACAATGGCCAGAATGTCCAGCCGTCTCAAAGCCTTGGTGAACGCGCCGGCTGCGCGTCCGCACACCGTGCCCGCGCCCCGCAATATACAGTCGGTCTACCAGAAGGTCCAAGAGGGCGCTCAGGCAAATGAGGTGTCGCAGCGATCGTGGTTGGCGTTATCGGTTCGTGTGTCCCTCACCCACCCGGAATGCTAGCTCCCAACTCACGCAATGTGTCGGACAGACGGCCGCAACGATGACCATGAATTCGCCCGAATCCCTGGCCGCTCTATTCCAACTGGCGACCTCGGCACAGTCCCCCGCCGAGAGGGTCGCTACGGCGGAGCTGATGCGGGAGGTGGGCCTGAAGTGCATCAGCTTCAACGGGATCCCACGTACCATCAACTGCCTGAACGCGTTCCGGGCCAGCTTGCCGGAGTCGGTGGGCGCCCAGTTGTCGCGAACCCCCACGCGGGCGCCGAACCCGGAGAACATCACCGCCATCAGCGGCCGGGGACAGGCGTTGTGGGACTCGATCTACCGCCCCTTCGAGACCAAGCTGTACAACAAACTGGCCGAGTCGCATCCTGACCTGCCCGTCCAGATTCTGCACAGTAACTACGGGGCGCTGCTCTCGGATCCGGCGGGACGGACCACGGGGGCCAATGCCGGCCGCGTGCTGACGTCTATCGTCGCCGTGGCGTGTCTACGGGCCCAGACCGGCGTCGGTCCGCAGGTTCTCTCTCACGTGTTTGGTCTGCGCAAGTCCCTGGAGGACGGCAGCTGGGCCAGCGACGTGGAGAGTGAGGGTGCCGTGCAATGGTTGGCCAGTGACGCGGGCAACGAGTGGATTCTAACCAGCGTGGACGAGATTGTGGAAGCCATCAGTCAGGGCACGGGGTCCAACTTTGCTCCCGACCGAGCCTCGAAGCTGTGAACGAACCTGGCTATTGAATAGTTGTATATACCCTGCATTATCTCATACCATGTAAACAATGATCTAGACGAGAGAATCACTGGATATCTGGACACTGGAGACTATAAACATTGACTCAGGCACCGCCCTGATAAGATAACTCAATGTGTGGCTATCAGCACGTGCCGGGTGTAAACACTGCAAACACCGCCGGTGTCGCCCCGCCACTTTCGCATCCCGACATTTGCCCCGACCATCTCCATACATCGTACTTCTCTAGAGTCATCTCAGCCCTTCCCTCCCACCACAATGTCTTCCACACCCTCCGCCTTTGATTTGTCTAAGTGTGCTCGTCCGAATATTCTGCAATTGCAACCCTATCGGTGTGCCAGAGAGTGTGTCCCCGGATCTTCCCCGCAGTCGCTCAACGAGCCGCTAATGAGTCAGTGACTACAAAGATGACGGGACGAACGTCCTGCTCGATGCCAACGAGAATGCTTACGGTCCGGGACTCGCATTGAATGCTGAGGGTGCCCTCCAAGAGTCCACCATCCCGGACTTGCCCAATGGCGCTTCTACCGGCGCATCCAAGCCGGAGATCGATCTGCTCGGGTTGAACCGGTACCCGGATCCGTGAGTCACCATCCTATACCTGTTGAGATATCATCTCTCCATTTGCCAACAAGGAATCCCATGCTAATTGGATTGTAAACAGCCACCAGGTCGAATTGAAAGAAAAGTTCTGCCAGCTCCGCAACACCCACACCCACACCCAGAAGAACATCACCGCGGAGAACGTCTTTGTCGGAGTAGGCTCAGATGAGGCGATCGATGCGCTGCTGCGGTGTTTCTGCGTCCCCGGGAAGGATAAGATTTTGACCTGCCCCCCGACATACGGGATGTACGGCGTGAGCGCCCAGATCAACGATGTAGAGATTGTGAAGGTGCCGCTGGACACCCAAGATTTCCAGCTCCAGACCGACAAGATCAACGAGACCCTCGCCGCGGACCCCTCCATCAAGATGGCCTACATCTGCTCGCCCGGAAACCCGACGGCGAACCTGATCCGCAAGTCCGAGATCCAGAAGGTGCTGGAGCACCCCACGTGGAACGGGGTGGTGATCGTGGACGAGGCGTACATTGACTTTGCGCCGGACGGGTCCAGTCTGGCCGAGTGGGTGGCCGAGTGGCCCAACCTGGTGGTGATGCAGACCCTCAGCAAGGCCTTCGGATTGGCGGGGATCCGCCTCGGGGTGGCATTCACCAGCCCGGAGATCGCCCTCCTGCTGAACAGCCTCAAAGCGCCGTACAACATCTCCAGCCCGACCAGTGCGCTGGCCAAGGCGGCCCTGTCCCCGCGCAACATGGCGGTCATGAAGAGCTACCGGGAGCAGATCGTCCGCCAGCGCGAGCGACTCGTCCAGGAGCTCCCCAAGATCCCCGGCGTGGGCCGCTTCCTCGGCGGGTTTGACGCGAACTTCCTGCTGGTTCAGCTGCTCGACCAGCCGAGCGGCGGGAAGCCGAGCAACGTCATCGCACAGGGGGCGTACGATACCATGGCGGAGAAGCGCGGGGTCGTGGTCCGGTTCCGCGGGAAGGAACACGGCTGCGAGGGGTGCATCCGGGTGACGGTTGGTACGGAGAAGGAAGTCAGCAAGTTTTTGGAGGAGCTGCGGGTTGTGCTGGAGGGTTTGTTCACGGGAGGCAGTATTGAGTCGTTGAGAAAGGAGGTGAACCAGATTGAGCAATCTTAAGATAGTTTATTTGGATAGAGGATTCATAGAGGCAATGCTAGATCTTGTATATCGATCAACATTCGAACACGGTAGTTTACATCTCATCCTGGTAATCGATGACATATGCTACTAGCTATGTAGACAGACAGAACAAGTTAAGGCTTCGCAACCCGAACAGCAGAAACAAACTTCACCATCAGTTAGCCCAAATACCACCAAAATCCCCAAGGAAGTAGAACAAAATTCAGAATAGTAAAACTCACCGGAATAATCTGCACATTCTCCAAATCCCAAACACCACTCGTCGAGTAGACATCATCCTTGATGATCTGGCGCACGTCTTCTACACTCTCGCCCGTGTAGATGATCATGCTGCCTTTGAAGGACGGGCCTTGGCTGTCGGTGGGGTGGCTGTTTAGCATTGCGCCTGTTTTTACATTAGATCACTTTCTTAATTTAGACTGGAATAGAGAAGAAAGAAGTAGGAGAGGGATGGAAAGAAATGGGAGAAGAACACACCACCAACGACCATCCTCCCCGATTCCACTAGGGGTTTGATTCCCTCGATGTGAGTCCTACCAGATAAACAGTTAGTGAACTGATCAGGATACGTATATATTACATGTAGTAATATAGGTACTACAGGTACCTTCGTAGGTCAAATAAGATAATGAGAGGTATCACTCACGGTCGAACCTGCTTCCTCAATTCCAGCGCGCCAGGCTTATCCGGGAGAATACACAGAAACTCCTTGTTCGCCTGGGTAGAGGATAACCGGATGAGTCTGGATCCTGCCAGGGTGCTCCTATAGGTTGCTGCTGTTGATGCTCGGGGAGAAGACAATCCCGCGAGTGACAGGGCGCGGCTGCACCGTGTGGTGGACAGGATGGATTGGCGGAGGGCTGCACTTGTCGCGAAGAATGACATCTTGGGTTGCTTTTAATGAGGTTCTAGGTTGTGTTGTGGGGTTTAACTTTCAGGTATCCGTACTGGGTGTTGTATAAGTCACGGTCTGGTTTGTTTGTGGGAGAAGAAGAGATGGGGAGGTTGGGCGGCGGGACGGTCCGTTACTCTACTCCCTTACCAGTGGACTAAATGAGTGGTTTTATGAAGTTGTCGCAACATTTACTTTAATTCTTGTTTCGAAAAAGATAGTCTTCAAGTCTAGAACATAACTGAGCGGCTATGCCTTGATGATAAAAGGTATATCATTTCTATAAACAAGCAGATACCCCATCCACCTATACACACAATGTTCTTCCTTGTATAGACATTCCCCATCTACAGGTCTAATTCCTACTGCAGTTCAACCTCATGCACCCGTCCTCGCCCCACAAACCAGCTGTGATCTCCTCGCAACGCCGCCTGTCGAATAGCGTACAGCTCGTCCAGAAAAGCGGGAACAAAACTCCCGGGTCCTCGGACGTGCCCCTTGGACGCGGCGTTTTCGGCCGCGATCTCGTACATCAGGAGACCGGCCAGCACGGCCAGAATTTTGTTCGATCGGTGAGCGGTTAGGAAACAGCCGGAGATCGTGCCCACGGCACAGCCGGTCTATATAATGTCAGTAAATTCAATACATATACATATAGAGAGAGAGGTGGATACATACCCCGGTGACCTCTCCGAGAAGCTCATGGCCGTTTTCGATAGCATACACTCGCCCGCCGTCACTCAGGTAGTCAACCGCACCGGTCAGCAAGACGATGTTTCCTGTCGGGCATAAATGATCAGTAGGAATCTTCACACGGCACAGAAAAAAGGAGGCATACGCTCTCGTCGGGCAAGGTCGCGGGCCAGTGTGGCTTTCCCACGACCGTCGAGGCTACTGGGCCCACTGTCGACACCGCGCTGCGTAACACCGCTGCTCCCCGACACCTGACGGATCTCGCCCTCGTTGCCCTTGATCAGATCGAAGTAACCGCCGGTCATCAGCTGGGTGACGGCTGCGCGGCGGATGCCGGTGGCGGCCGCCCCGACCGGGTCGTAGACCACGGGGTTGCCCCGCGCGTTGTAGGCCCGGAGAGCTTGGAGGTAGTTGGGGACGCTCTCCCGCGAGAGCGTGCCCATGTTGATCAGCAAGGCACCATCACATTGAGAAATGTCGCCTGCTTCCTCGCCGTACGGGGCCATTATGGGGGATGCTCTGCTGCGGATATGTTAGACGGGACGAAATCACAGGGCTCTTGAAATACGCACACCGATAGAGCGACATTGGCAGCGAAATTAGCCACCACAAAGTTGATCATATTGTGGACAAGCGGGTGAGCCTGGACAACGCTCTGCACCACATGTGGCACCTCCTCCAGCATCGCAGATACCGCATACCCCTTGGGAGCAACTTGCGCTTGGACGAATGGGGGCGGGGAATTGATGCGCTTGACGAACTCCGCAGCCGCAGCCTGTGGGTCGTCAGCGGCCATGATGGCACTGACAATCGCAACACCGTTGAGACCCTTCTCCGGGGCTTTGGATTGGTAGAGAACGCGCTGGACATTGGACAGGTTGATGCCTCCAATGGAGACCGTCTCAATGGGGTGGTCCGCGATGGCGTGCAGGAGGGCCTGCGTGCCGGCGGTGCCGAGGATGTTTTTCGTATTGGTCTTGCTGGGAGGGATTAGAACGGAATACCACCCGAACTCGCCAGATACAACCTACGTTGGAGTGGCAAACATGGTGCCTATCCCCAGGTAATCTGCCCCGGCGTCGATGGCCTTCTGCGCCTCTTCCACCGTCGCCGCACTAATGCCAATGATGGCATCCTTGGGAAGCAATTTTTTCGCCTCCTCAATAGCTAGATTGCAATCAGTCGAACTCGAAAAGAACGTAATAGAAAGAAGCAATGGTACCCATGTCATCTTGACCCAGATGAACGCCCTCCACACCAGCGGCGAGAGCCACATCCACGCGGTCGTTAATCACCAAAGGAACATTGTAGCGCCGGGTGATCTGATGCAGCTTTTTGGCCGTTCGGATCTGGTCCCCCGTGTCGCTCTTCTTCTCTCGATACTGCACAAAGGTCACACCTGCATGCCAAGCATCAGTCGATGGTCCATGGATGAGTCCATGGATGATGTCTGGAAAGAGACCAACCTCCTTTGAGGGCTTCTTCCACCACCTGGCAAATGTCCCGGCCCTTCAGGATCGCCGGAGTGGAATCCGTGACCAGGTATAGTGAGAGATCCATCGTCATTATGTGGGGATCGCTCTCTTCTCGTGTTTCTGATTGTGGTGGGATGAAATCGGCGATATCCGGCCGATCGCAACGCATAACGGCATGGCTTGGACATAATTACTAAGCGGTACTATGATGGCCGCATAAGTCATCACCACTTTGACTGTCAGTGAAGGCACGGGGAATTCAAGTATCACTTGGAAATTGTTGAATCTTGCTTTGAGAGAATGTTATGTACATGACCGCTATGGCAGAATGTTAACCAGTGTTGAGTACAGGGCTTGAGTGGATTGATGTCACAGCATATACTGTACCGCTTCTCACTCTGTACTATACGAAAAGGATAATAATCCCGAAAACATTATACTATAGTACTGCTCCTTGACCGTTTAAGACGATGGAATAAACACAGGTTACATTCTACAGGATTTCCAGTCAATCCCATGCCTAGCAAGTGGACATGGACACGTAAAGCAAAGCGTGTCTATCTGCTAAAGGATACTCGAGGCGAGTGCTGAACGAAGCCTAACCTTTAGGGTTGAAAGACCCGCCCAACCCCGGCTATTCCTAACCTTAGCGGCATCACCCTCTTGGCGGTGGGGTTATACCCACCTGTTGTGATCAGAGATCAATACCTTTTAACTCCTCGTTCGGCACATGGATTCTTGTTTGACATTAACTGTTCTTGTGTCGAGTCTTGCGAGTCAAATAAGTCCAACTTTGTCTGCACACACGCCGTGACTCCATCGTTTTTTGCTCTTGTACAGCACCATTAGCCACAATGACGGTCTATACGCACCCTTTTGACCCGCTAGAGCCGAGGGAGATCTCCAAGGTATGCATTTGGCAAAAAAAATAGAGATATCCGAGCATGGTCACTGACAAAACCAGGCCGCGGACATCACTCGGTCCGCATTTCCCGGGCATAGTCTTATCTTCCGCGTCATCACCCTGCAAGAGCCTCCAAAAGAGGAGATGCTGCAATACCTAGAGCGAGAGCACGCCAGGCAGCCAGTCAACGACCGGCCAGCGCGAATGGCTCGCGTGCAGGTCGTTACGCGCGACGCATCGGGGAAGAATAAGCTCATGGAGCTCCTGGTCGATCTCGACCGTGTGGCCGTGGTGAAGCAGGATCATCTCGCGGGAAAGCACTCGTACATTGACTCGAGCTACATGCAGTCCGTGGAGAAGGCCTGTCTGGCGGATGCGCGAGTCCAGGAGGAAATCAAAAAGCTCGCGCTGCCGACTGGAGCGTCGGTCATTGTGGAAGCGTGGGCGTATGCGCCGGATGGGATGAATGATATGTCAGAGCGGGTTACAATGGTAGGCACTTCCATATACTCTGTTGCTCTTCTCCGAGGGGAACATGAGCACAATACATAAGCTAATCAGAACAGTGCTGGTTCTATATGCGGCTCGTCGACAATCCCGACGCCAACTACTATGCCTATCCGCTGGATCTCTGTGCTGAAGTGTCGGAGCAGCTTCAAGTAACGAAAGTCTATCAACTACCCTCCTCGGCAAATGACCGCACCCATGATACCCCCCAACCATACGACTACCACAAGATCCAGTCGCCTGCGGCCAGCGAGTACCACCCCAGTCTACGACCACCGCCGCGCACCACCACCAAACCCTATCAGGTGGTGCAGCCCGAGGGCCCCTCGTTTGAGACTCACGGGAACCGCTTGACCTGGGAAAAGTGGAGCATGCGGGTGGGGTTCAACTACCGCGAGGGACTGACCCTACATGATATCCGCTATGATGGCCGAAGCCTCTTCTATCGCCTATCACTGGCGGAGATGTTCGTGCCGTATGGAGATCCCCGCTCGCCGTACCCACGCAAAGCCGCCTTTGACCTTGGCAACGACGGTGCCGGGATCAACGCCAACAATCTGCGTCTAGGATGTGACTGCCTCGGTGTAATCAAGTATTTCGACGGCTGGCACAACACCGGCGCCGGCGAGCCCCTCAAACTCCCGAACGTCATCTGCTGCCACGAGCAGGACGACGGGATTCTCTGGAAACACACAAACTTCCGCACGCAGAATGCGGCCGTTACGCGCGCGCGAGTCTTGGTCTTGCAGACGATCATCACGGTCAGCAACTATGAGTATATCTTCGCCTTCTACTTCGGTCAAGACGCCTCCATCCACTATGAAGTCCGCGCGACGGGCATCCTATCCACCTGCCCCATCAACGTCGGCGATCAAGTCCCGTACGGCACTGTCGTAGGGCCGGGGGTGCTCGCACCTTACCACCAACACCTGTTCTGCCTCCGCATGGACCCGGCGTTAGACGGACCGAAAAACTCCCTCCAGGTCGAGGAATCCGTCCCCATGCCGGTGGGCGACCCGGCAGTTCACAATCCGTTCGGCGTGGGATACACCACCACGCGGAACATCATTTTGCAGGAGCAGGGACTCGATCTCGACTTCGCCAAAAATCGCACCTTCAAGATCATCAACGAAGAGCAGATCAATCCCGTCACCGGAACCCCCGTGGGGTTTAAACTGCTGCCGTATTACAGCCAGATGCTGCTGGCGCACCCGGAGTCCAACCACGCCAAACGCTCCGAGTTCGCGAAGCACGCGGTTTGGGTCACGCGCTACCAGGATGACGAACTGTTCCCATCGGGTCGACATACCATGCAGTCCGCTGGGGGGGAGGGCATCGCGTCGGTTATCGAACAGCGCCAGAAGGGGCCTCCCGCGCAATCATCTGTCCGCAACGAAGACATCGTGGTCTGGCACACATTTGGTTCCACACATAACCCGCGGATTGAAGACTGGCCTGTCATGCCGTGTGAAAAGATGTCCGTTGGCTTGAAGCCGCTGAACTTTTTCACGGGGAACCCTGGGTTGGATGTCGCGTTGTCGACGCAAGAAACGAACCGGAGCGTTCTGTCTGCGAGTCCCCCCTCAGGTTGCTGTAAATCGTGATGCCTCCACATGACCCAATAGACGATCAACTTAAAGACTCTGTCCTACAGTCGCATCTATAAAAAATGAATCAGTTCCGCATCGGGAAGATCAGGCACTCCCATCGGCGATGCCCCGCAACACGTGACCTTATCGGGGCGATAAGCATCACGGACCAAATTTTCTCTCCGATGTCGATCAGACTGACTCACCGTCACATCTTGAACTCCTCTAGATCTCCAGATCACCTTGGATCAGTCCAGACACTCAGATCACAGACACAATGGCTTCCACAGATGCTGCCCCCGCCTCCTGCAAGGTCATGCTCTCCAAGCATGTCGCCAATGGCCTTCTCGCCGAGGTCCAGGAGGGTCTGAAGACGCTGGAGAAGCCCCCCCACCTGGTGGGATTCCTGGCCAACGATGACCCTGCGGCGCTCATGTACGCCCAGTGGACGGAGAAGACCTGTGAGGAAAAGTGAGCATCTCTTACTGGAGTCAATGGCTCTTCATAGATCTGTTCTCGAGATGGCCGATCTCGGATCACTGCCCCTCTCGTGCATTGTATCTAACAATTGGACTCGCCAGTGGCTTCCGGTACTCGCTGCGTCAATTGCACCGAGATGATCTGGAGGAGGCTCTCCTCGCCGCCAACGTCGACCCAGAGGTCGACGGCATCATCGTTTACTACCCCATCTTCAACAACCGCCAAGACCAGTACCTGCAGCAGATCGTCGACGTCTCCAAGGACGTCGAGGGCCTCACCCACCGCTACATCTTCAACATGTACCAGAACATCCGCTTCCTCGACCCGGCAACCAAGCGCCAGAAGTCCATCATCCCGTGCACCCCGCTCGCCATCGTCAAGATCCTCGAATACCTCAACATCTACAACCGCATCCTGCCCTACGGCAACCGTCTGTTCGGCCACACCATCTGCGTGGTCAACCGCTCCGAGGTCGTCGGCCGACCCCTGGCTGCCCTGCTCGCCAACGACGGCGCCTGCGTGTACAGCGTGGACATCACCGGGGTGCAGAAGTTCACCCGCGGGGAGGGTCTCCGCAAGGGGAGACACGAGGTCCATGAGCTGGAAGGCAAGACCATCAAGGACGTGGCGCCGCTGTGCGACGTCGTGATCAGCGGTGTTCCGGGAGAGAAGTACAAGTTCGATACCAGCTTGCTTCGCGAGGGTGCTGTGTGCGTGAACTTTTCTAGCGAGAAGGTCAGTCAACTCTATATAAACACCCAAATAAAACAGCCAGCTAATTAGTTACAGAACTTCCCCCACGAAGTCCGCGAAAAGGCATCCATCTTCGTGCCTTCCATCGGAAAGGTGACCATCGTCGTCTTGCTGCGCAACCTGCTGGTGAGTTCATACCATATCATCCACCTACTAGTTCGTCTTTTGCTAATAACCCTCCAGCGCCTCATCCAAAACCGACGAGCGGACGACGTCAAGCCCGCCCAGGCTACAGAGCAGCCGGGGACTCTGGAGGCCAACGTATAGTCTCCACTAGAAGTTGTTCGATTTACGCTTTGACATGCAGCCAGACTTTTCGATAATATTTCAATATTATTTGTTTCAATAGATTTCGTGTAATTATATTCATTTTATTTTAAGATCTAGTAATGACAGCTTAATGAGCTCGAGGGCAGTATGGGCACCTATTCAGTTAATCAAATCAATAGCCATCATACAACCCACCACACTGATATACTAGTGTACCATCCAACTAATAAAGTAAAACACAAGCTGAATAAAATATTATTCACATCATGTACATCACTATTCATAATAAATAGATATGAAAGATAGATCATAAAGTCTATCACCTACAGGATAAGTAAACCCACCCCAACGCCATACCATACCCATGATCCATATTCCCACAACCATCAACACTCTAACAAGTAAAGAATCTAATTTACCGATAAGTAAACGACTTCCCCGGAATCTCCCTCTTCTGCTTCCTCGCACCAGAAGGCGCCTCCAAGGCCTTCTTATAAGGGTCGAAGAGCATTTTCTGCGGCAGACCGGACTGGGTGGGTTTCGCGTGGAGGATGGTGTCTGCAGCGGTGTAGTCGAATGCCGACTCCTCTTCTTTCCCTCCCTGCTCGCCTTCTTGGGTTTCGCTCGCCGAGGCGGCGTTCTTGTTCTTGCGCTGCTTCTTCTTCTTGGAGCGCTTGTCTTGCGAGGAGGGTTTCTCGGAGGCGGTGGTTGCTTCTGCGTCGGCGTCGGCGTCGGCGTCGGCGTCAACCCCTGAGACGGGTGTGGCTTGCTCGGCGGAGTCGGTGGATTCGGCGCGGGCTTTGCGCTTCTTGCGGGGTCCGCCTTTCTCCTTCACGGTGAAGACTTGGTTGGTTTCTTCTTCTTTGATGGGTTCGGCGGGGGTCGGCTCGGCTGTGGGGGTCGGCTCGGGTTTCGGGGCAGGCTTGGCGGAGACAGTGGGCACTGGGGGCAAAGGAAGGGAGAGTCGGAGGGCTTCGGCGGATGCGACGGCAGCGTACTCGGGCGGCGTCAGCGGTTCCTCCGGGTGCAGCACCCCTCCCCAGAACTGGGAGACTTCGCAGCGGCCGGCGGCAGGGGCGGTGTCAGCCCCCGTGGGCGGCGTGAGCAGACCCTTGGCGGCATCCGCAGTACGAGCCGCGGGCTGACCCCACTTGGGCTTGACGTAGACGTCGCGCCATTCGGGGCCATCGGCGCCGTCGATCTTGGCTTGCTTGATGATCTCCAGCAGCTCGGGGGCGCGGTCCTTCGTGATGGGCGTCACGGGGGACAGCGTGCGGAAGAGGGTTCCCATATCGGTCGGCATGGCCTGGGAGACCTTGAAGAGGACGTGTTTGGGGAAGACGCACTGCACGCCTTCGTCTTCGGCGCGGGCGACTTCGTCCCGCCACTGGTGCACCGCCTTGAAGACGGCGAACTGCTCCTTGCTGAGCACGGCCGGGTTGCGCGACAGATGATCGTACCAGCCGCCGGCACCTTGTCCGGTGGCCGCGTCGTACACGGGCCGCTCGTACCGCTGGAGGGCCTCGTTCTTCGAGTTCTGCAGGACGTCGTCGACGAGGCTGTGGTCAGGGGTGGAGTTCTCGACGAGCTCGTTCCGCAGGTGGTCGTAGATGTGCAGGAGGTAGTGGGTATCTGAGCGGGCGTAGTCGAACATGCCCTGGGGGAGGGGGCGGATTCTCCAGTCGGCCATCTGGTAGCGCTTGTCGGCCTCGAAGTTGACAAACTTCTGCAGCAGGAACTTCAAGCTGCGCTTGGGGTACAGCAGCGCACAGGCGGCATGGTAGGTATCGAACATGCCCACCATGTACAGGCCGAGATCGCGCTGCAGCCAGATGATATCCATCGACGAGCCGTGCAGCACCTTGAGGATGTTGGGGTCGGCAAACACCTCGTTCAGCATCTGCAGCTCCTCCCGCCACGGCTTCAGCGTGTCCACCACCCAGTCCTTGTCGCGCGTGCTGATCTGCATCAGCGACACCAAGCCGTGGTACGAGTGCACGTCGTGGTGTTCCAGATCGATGGCAATCTCGTTCGCCGACTTCAGCTCCGCCAGCATCTCCTTCACCCCATCCACCGTGTCCACGAACGTCGCCGTCGTCGACTCCCACGGCATGTAGTCCACCGGCGGTGCCACCTCGTAGACCCTCTCAGGATACTGCGCGGCGCGGATCTCGGCCTCATACGGGTTGGGATAGCCGGCCGCCGGGTCCTCCACATCGAGCACGCGCTCCAACGACGCCTTGGCATGGGGCTTCGTGCGCAGCAGCGGGCGGAACGGCGACTCATCGGTGTTATCGACAGGACGCACAAACTCCGCCTGCGGCTTGGGGATCTTCGACGGGCCGTAGTCATAGATCGTCGGGAACGCGTTAGACGAAGCCTTCTTAGCGTATTTGGCCGCAGCGACGGCACCCTGCTCCTGCTGCGAAGGGCTCAACCGCTTGATAACACCGGTAAACTCATCCAAAGAGGCATCCGCACGCTCCAGCAGCGCATCGATGACATCCACGACCCCACGCCAGTTATCCTCGATCGAGTCCTCATTCTTCAGCGACGGGGCGGGAACCTCGGTGCCGGCGGTGGCGGCCTTAACAATCGACGACGTCAGCGACAGCAGCCTCACACTCTGCTCATCCAGCGAGTCGGAGACCTCGCGGTTCCCGGAGCGATGGAAGTTGAGGTCTTCGGCGGAGAGCTGACCCACGGAGCGGGTGACCTGCACGAGGGACGAGGTCAACCGCTCCTGAAACGGTGGGAAATCGGCGGCAGAGTCCATGGTCGACTTGGAAAGGAGAAACGCCTGACGATCGGAGGACGACTTTGTGAAGAGCAAACGCGGTCGAACAGCCAGTCTCTGTGGTTGAGATCGGCGTGTTTGAGGCGGAAGAAAAAAAAAGTGTTTTTGGAGCGAGAATTTCAATGGGCCGGGGAGCTGCTGACCGCCTGCCGGAACTGGACGGAGACGGACAGAAAAAGCCCAATGGGTCATGAGTATGCGATGCGATGCGATGAGGAATGGCCCAGGGAAGTGAATGGCCTCTCACTGCTCCTCGTCGTCTGGTCCAGCGGTGTGAAGTGAAGTTGTTCTGGTGAGTCCCAAGCCATGCGACTAGCCGCGCTCAGCGTGGGTCGACGCGCCAAGGTTCGTGTACCCGAGCGTACTTTGTCGCAATGAGAGGTCATGATATCTTGTCCATTGGATATAGGTTACTGGCGATGGGTTACTTATGAAGCGAAGAAAACATGATGTATCATGTCTAGTCGAGTGAAGTAAAAAATCTCATGGCCAAGAAAGACAGGGAGACTATTTAATTATGATCACGATGTGACCAAATATATACAGAGATCCAAAACAAAGACACAAAACAGTCATACCAACGTGAAAAGTAAATGCATACATCAGGGGGAATCTCGAAACGAACGTGATCGGCCAACTCATACTCTACCTGTGGAAAGTAATCACCACGCGGCGGCAAAAGATATCATGACACTTTTGCGCTTCGTAAGTAATCTTATATTGCGACACTGCCATGGGAAAACCAAACTAGGCATATCCTAGTTGCCCCAGGGCCGTGCGACTGTCGCTGGCCGGCATGCCTGTCACCCCGAGGGCGCGCACCTGCGAGCTCTTGCGCAGCCGCTGCAGGCCGATGCCCACCTTCCAGCCTTCGGTCTCCTGCAGCACGAACAGGTACCGGCGGCCTTCCTGGTCGCGGATCGTCGCCCGCAGCACGTGCAGACTCGCCAGCTCCGCGGCGCTGAGCCCGCTGGTCCGGTTGAAGCAGCCGGGCGACGCGAGGCGGCACGTGTTCTTGCAGACCTTGAGCAGGCTGACCAGGAAGGCGTCCGACTCCTCGGCGGTCGGCTCGCCCGGGGCTCGGCGGAAGAACGAGTTGCTGGGCTTGGGCCCTGCCGGTTTCGTCTTCGCAAACTGCGGACACCATACCTCGACGAGCTTCATCGTCCAGGCCTTGACGTCCCATTCGCGCTGCGGTACCCCCCGGATGTCGTCGTCGATGAAGAGCCCCTCGGTGGTAATCCGGAGGACCAGGCCGTCCGTCACCATGCCTTCCCCGGACACCAGCTGCGCCACGGGGGTGCGCAGAAATGCGTTATTGAAGACGTAGACCCCTTTGATGACGATCTTGTCCGGGTCCTTGGTCTCGTAGGCGCGGCGCACCGAGGGCGCGGGGGACGTGCGTGCGGTGGACTGGGAGGCGGCGTAGGATGATTCGGAGTAAGCGGAGGACGCCGAGGTGCCCCCGTAGGGTCGTCGGGGGCGGTCGTAGGGTCGAAAGGAACTCGCATCGTCGGCGGGGGCGGTGGTCGGGGCCGACTTCTTTGGGGATGGTGTTCGAGGTGTCGGCGTGGGCGTGGATGCCTGGCTGGGGGCTTTGGTGGTGGCCTCTTTGGCGGCAGCTTCCTGCGCGTCCCGGGCCTTCTTCTCGGCGTATTTCTTTGCGGCGGCCTCTTTGAGGGCAGCAAATTTGGCATCGGCTTCCTTCTTAGCGGCCGCTTTGGCGGCGGCCTCCTTTTCCGCCGCCTGTTTCTCGGCTCGCGCCTTCGCCTCGGCCGCTTCTTGCTCCCGCTTAGCCTTGAGCTCCGCCGCGGCGCGCTCATCCCGTTTCCGGGCCTCTGCGACCTCTTTCTCCGCTTTCGCCCGGGCCTCGGCGGCGTCTCTCTCGGCTTTGGCCTGCGCTTCGGCGGCCTCCCGTTGGGCCTTCGCCCGGGCCTCAGCGGCCTCCCGTTCGATGCGGGCGCGGGCTTCGGCCGCCTCGCGCTGGGCCTCGCGGGTGGCGGCCTCTTTGGCGGCCGCCATCTCTTTCTCGAACTGCTCGCGGCGCTCCCGCATCTCCCGCTCCATGGCCTCGCGCTCGCGCTGCTTCTGTTTCTCGCGGGCCTCGGCCTCGCGCTTCCGCTTGAACTCCTCCATCTTGCGACGGAGCTCCTCCTTCCGTCGGGTCTCCTCCCGTGCCCGTTCCCAGTCGTCTCCGCTTTGGGGCCTGGATTCCTTGTCCGGGGGCGGACCGGTGCTGTTTGGCTTGGAATCGAAATTGGGCGGGGGCGGTTGCGGGGGAGGGGCCCCGGCATTGTGTTGGTTCCCTGCATACTGGTTGCCGGGTGGAGGGCCACCAAAATTCCCTTGATTGCTCCCATAGTTTCCGTGCGGTCCCCCGTGGGTACCTCCGTCGTTCGCCCCCGAGCTGGCCCCCGAGGGGTTCGGGGCGGGGCCTGCGCCTGCGCCTGCGCCTGCACCCCCAGATCCCGGGCCAAAGCCAAATCGGCTGCTTCGCGGACCGGCGGTCTGGGACGCACCAAACGCCCAGCCGGCGATCCCCACGCACACCGCCAGGATGAGCGCGAATCCGATCCCCCCGCCGCTGGTCACCGTGACCGTATACCATGATCGGAGGAAGGGGGCCAGGTTGACCCACAGCAGGACGACAAACAGGGTGGAGAGGGAGCCGGCGATGAAACTATTCCGCTGGCATTGTAGGGAGGGGAGGTAGAGGAAGCCGGAGCCCGATGAGTGGGGCGGAATGATAAAGATGTCGTAATTGCCCTTGGGCAGATCGGAGGCTTTGCGGTACTCGCCGTGGGTAGTGTTGGGTTTCTCGCCGTGGGGCGGGGGCGGTGGTGGCGGGCCATCCATTGTCGCGTTGTATTATATTATGTCAAGTGTATACTGTATACTATATAGAAAGTCCGGGCCGGACGCGGAGGCGGGTGGTGGAGTAGACGATCTCGGTGGGAATCTCAATGGCGAGTGGGGTCTTCGTGGTCGACTATTTCAAACGCGACGGGATGTCCGGCGCAGGTGCGAGCAGAAGAATCGGCATGTTCACCGCCGCATGGCAGGCGCTGAGGCAGCGCAGTCACTATTGTCGTCGATGGATCTCACCTGGGGAGTGTCGAATGTGCAGTGGAGTCTTGGGTACCTGGACCAAAGGCAATCGGATATACTGAGGAGAATGGGCGAGACGAAAACACCGACAATGACACCAGAGAAGAACCGTGAGAGGTGGATGGAATATCGCGTGGGATGAATATGGAGTGGAAGTGAGGATGAAGCAGTGAAGGTGAAGAAGAGAGAGAAAGAGAGAGAGAAGTGGCGGCAACGAGAACGAGGCCGCGAGGCAACGAGGCCAACCAACAGAGCCGCGCCAACCGGGTTCGGTAAGTGTGCAGTTGCATACAGAAATCTAACCTAAAAGAAATAGAAGAGAATGGAATAACTATTTAGATAAATCACAATTGACCATTCAACCAATAATTGTGTTACTTGGGGGAATAATTCTGGGGTTTGTTTATTTTGGCGATGTGATGATTCTACGATCCATCACAACACTAGGGTTTCTCAGCTGGTTCTGCTGAATCTCTTGTCTGAATTATGAGAGATATTGGATTGGATTAACATTTAGGTAGAATGACCATGGTATTATGGTCTGTGGATACTGGACATTGATCTGTCCCACTCTATAACTGATCTTATTGATGGTCTTCATGAGATGGACGAACTGCTGTTTGTTTTGATTTTGCCCGATCCGGTCTAGCGTGGTGGAGGCGGGCGCTACTAGATGCTCCATACTGCACGGAGTTTATGCTTGGTACCTTAGGTTGGGTACCAGTAGATATAAGTTGAAGATGATAGTCATGTTCTCAATATAGATATATATATATAATTTGAATGACTGGTAGAAAGGATGTTGATAGACGGGAGTGTTCTTCAACCTTTCTGAGAGGAGTAGGGTGATACAAACAGGACAAACCGTCTGTTTGTCCTGTTTGTTCTGGTTTTGTCCACGTCGAAGTGCAAAGGTCAACGGAGGATTGATACGGAGTATGTGTCTGTAGTACTGCTCTACGGAGTACTCCGTACACTGGACACTCCCAGTCTGAGTGGTTGGCACGCCGATCAACCGACTGAAGAAAGTGGGTCCACTGGAATACTTGACGGGGATACTTTTGACGGTTTTCATATATAGATATGTATAAATGATTGAATATAAGATGATATATATATATATATATATATATACACGTCTTCTCTCTCCATTGAAATAGGTATAGACATTGTCAATAATCAAAAGAATACAATCGGGTTAATACAGACGACATAATCCGAGTAGGAGAATTCCGACGGATGGCGGAGGCGCCCGATGGCAGCCTGAGGAAAGTGGGCCATTCGGGGCTGGACCGTGGATAACTCTGATATCTGACTAATCATGCATAAGAAGAACGGGATGTTCAGGGTTTTCTCGCCCGATGCGGTCAAAGTGAGGGGATTCAATTTCTATAGCCCTAGCACTGCATAGAACGGAATAGAGAACAGTCTTGAGAAGTAAAGAAGAGAATCGAGAAGAGGAAAGAAGAGAATAGAGAAGAGAATCGAGAAGAGAATAGAGAATAGAAATACAAAGAGAGTGGAGGCAAGAAGAGAAATATGGTTCCAGTGGGTCTTTTCCTTCTTTTCCTTCTCCCTTTGTCTTATCGGAGTATTTCGCCTCCAGCCCTAATCGGGTCTTATCGACCGTTTCCATTACTCGATCGTGCTTTTTCCGAAGGGAATTGAAGAATGGCTTACTCGATCTCGTCTTTCTCTATATAAGAAGCCTCTTATCTCTTATCTTTTCTTCCTTCTTTCTTCCTACTTCTGCTTTCTTTTCTCTCTCTTCTCTCTCTTCTCTCTCTTCCTTCCCCATACATTCGCTTCTCTCTCTCTCTCTTCGCGTCTCAGCGTTAGCTTCCTTACCCCTTCTTCTTCTTCTTCTTCTTCTTCTTTCTCCCCCTACCCTCCTCCCCATGCAATCCTCTCCCCCCTCCATCGCGGTCGTCGCCTCGTCCCGCGCCGTCGTCGCCGGTCGTTTGACCTCGGCTACCATCGTCCTCTCTCGCGCCACCGGGAAGATCACCGCCGTCCTCGACTCGGTCATCCCCGCCGAGGAGTTCCCTCCCGGTACTCCCTACACCGACTATTCCCCGCACGTCCTGCTCCCCGGCCTCGTCGACGCTCATGTTCACCTCAACGAGCCTGGCCGCACCGAGTGGGAGGGCTTCTATACCGGCACCCAGGCTGCGGCCTTTGGCGGTGTCACCACCGTCATCGACATGCCCTTGAATGCCATCCCTCCCACCACCACCGTCGCCAACTTCAAGGAGAAGCTGCGTGCCGCGGACGGCCAGTGCTGGGTCGACGTCGGCTTCTATGGCGGCATCATCCCCGGCAACGCCGGGGATCTCCAACCCCTCGTCAACGAGGGGGTCCGAGGTTTCAAGGGTTTCTTGATCGACAGTGGGGTGAGTTTCCTTCCCACTTTTTTTTTGGTGAATGTAGTCCCCATACTGACTGCCCAGGTTGACGAATTCCCCGCCGTCTCGTCGGAGGATATCCGCAAAGCCATGGCCGCCCTCGCTGATGAACCCACCACCTTGATGTTCCACGCCGAGATGGAACCCCCCAACACCCCCGCTTCCGGGACCGACCCCGCCCCCGCCCTGGACGGCCCCCCCGAGGCCTACTCCACCTTCCTGGCCTCCCGTCCCTCCTCCTATGAGACCGCCGCCGTTGAGGAGATCCTCGCCCTGGCTCCCCTCGCCCCCAAGCTCCCCCTGCACATCGTTCACCTGTCCGCCATGGAGGCCATCCCGCTCTTGCGCCGGGCCCGCGCCGAAGGCATCGCCATCACCGCCGAAACCTGCTTCCACTACCTCTCCCTGGCCGCCGAGGAGATCCGTGACGGCGACACCCGCCACAAGTGCTGCCCGCCCATCCGCACCCAGTCCAACCAGGACGCTCTCTGGGCCGAACTGGAACGCCACGCCGACACCGGCGTCATCAAGACCGTCGTCTCGGACCACTCCCCTTGCACCCCGGACCTCAAACGCCTGCCGGCCCACATCCCCGGCCACCTCGCCGAGGAGAAGGATATGGGCAGCTTCGCCGCCGCCTGGGGCGGCATCTCCTCGGTGGGCCTGGGCCTCCCCATCATGTGGACCGAACTCAGCCAGCGCAAGGGCCTGACCGCCGCCGCGGACGACATCCAGACCAAGAAGGCCCTCCAGGACGTGGTGCGCCTCTGCTGCGCCAACACGGCGGCGCAGGTCGGTCTCGACCGCCAGAAGGGCGACCTGGTGCCCGGCTTCGACGCCGACATCTGCGTCTTCGACGACAGTGCCGAGTGGGTCGTCGAGCCGAACACGATGCTCTTCCGCAACAAGTGTTCCCCCTATCAGGGGCGTCGACTCCGCGGCATGGTGCGCGAGACGTGGCTGCGGGGGGAGAAGATCTTCAGCCGCGAGGGCGGGTTCAGCCGTAAGACGCCGACGGGCCATTTGCTGCTGGAGAAGCGCAGTTAATCTCTCTCTCTTTCTCTCCCTTTCTCTTTTCCTCTTTCTTTCTTCCTCTCGATCCACCGATCGAGACTATTGACGATGGACAGTCATGATCCACCGACAAAAGAAAAACGCAAAAACCGTTTAATCGGATATGACGATTGATGATCTACCGACGACTTCATTTGAGCCCACTTGGTTTCTTGATCTTGGGTATGCACCTGCCTCTATCCCAGTGCATTAACGTTACAGCATTAGATTTGCATTTTCGTATTAGCATCGTTAGAGTCGTCTATTATATAATAAAGAAGTCAATTTGTGGGTAACTGAGTTGTATTTAGTATAGTAGTAGTATAGCAGTAGTAAATAACAGTAGTGGCAATAGTACTAGAGAAGAGAACCTGATCCATCTTTCTCATCGTCCTCTGTAGTGTATTGCTGATGATGTGATGATGTGATGATATATCAACCATTTATACTGTCATCTCGATGGTAATATGATGATAACGATGGATATAAACAGCTGGTTGCAAGAGAGAGAGAAGTGTAAGTCCAGATGGGATGGGGTGTAAGAGAATACCAACATCCATAGTATCTTATGTAATGCAAGCATTACCATTATTAATGATGCACAATCCTTGGATAATATGGATAAAAGTAGAGTTGGTTCAACGCGGGGAAATCAATCACTCTACTATACGGTGGAGGTGGGTACTACTATACTGTCCATATAGTACTATCATACCTAGGTAGTATTGTGGGGATAGACTCAGTGTCACTGTAGGATTGAGTAGAATAGAAGCCATACATATGTTGATTAATTTAATTTATTTATTCTGACCTATTCATTCGGTCATATTTGGTCTATTATTTTATTCACATATTTATTCATAATCAGTATTATACCCGTGTACCCGCATGACCCCCGAGAATCCCCGATCGACGGATCTTTCCGACTCGTATAGCGTGCATCCCACTACTCCGTAGTACCTAAACTATACTATAGTATGCTCCCCACGCGGGATGGTCATCTCGTTTAGAAAGTTGATGTTGACTCTGCTGCGGTGTTGGCCGGAACTGTTGTGATAGGATGACTCCTCATCCTCTTCTTCCTCTCCCCGCATCATAACCAGCTGGCTGTCTTCACGAGCTTGGTGGTGTCCAGTGTCCGGACGGATGGAAGACATCACGCTGGGAGTGATGGATGGTCTAGACTCAAGGGGACGGTCTGGTCTCGCTTGCGAGATATACTTGGACAGGCGACCATATCATATGATATACCCTCGAGGTAAAACTGTCGGTTACATCTGCAGTCCAAGGTGAACATGCTCAGCGCATGACAGATGAAAAGGCTGAACTGCCACGTCTGTCCTAGTCTCCAGATGCAGCCGGCTGGTCTGGCGGGGACGGGCCCGGTTGGCCTTCTGTCGGAAAGCTCAGATACTTCCAGTCTTCGATCTCCTCGATAATACACTTGAGCCGGTCCCGGATACTTTCCACCGCGTACGTCCCAAGAATAAGACGCAGCGGCGGGTAAGAGCAGTGCCCCAGCTGCCAGATCAAATTGGCCGCTTTGACAGCGCTGGCGGGCTGTTTATCCCCCAGCCACATGAGCATGCGCTTGGCGTGTGCTGCAGGCGACGTATGTGTATTGTAGGGCTCGCTGGGCGGCTTGACTAGGAAGTGGCCGTAGAGGGGCAGCGGCGTCGCCAGGTTAGCCTGCGCGTGGTCCTGCGCGGCGGCCGCGGCGGCAGCAGGGAAGGCAGCCGGGTCGGAGACGAGATCGCCCACGTCGTCGCGGCGCATATGGCCCGGTTCGACGAGCGTAGTCTTGATATTGAAGCTGTCCACCTCGTAGAGCATGCTCTCCATCAAGCCCTCGACGGCGTACTTCGACGCGCAGTAGGGCCCCAACCCGGGCACGCCGAGCGCGCCGGACGTCGAGCTAAAGATAACGTAACGGCCGGATCGCCGCTCGCGAAAGTGCGGCAGCGATAGCTGAATCATGTTCAGCGTGCCGGTGAAGTTCGTCTCGAACTGGTCGCGGATGTTGTACTCGTCTTGGTCTTCGCAGGCGCCGATCACGCCGTAGCCGGAGCAATTGGCGACGATGTCGATGCGGCCGAATCGTTCGATAGTGCGGTCGATGACGCGTTGGACGGTTTCGCGCGCGCGCACGTCGCATAGCAGGCCTAGGCAGTTCTCGTACTCTTCCTCTAGCTTCTTCATGCTTTCGGGGCTGGTTTCGAATGTTCGTCCTACTGCCGCGACGAGGTCATCTTGCGCCAAGGCGGTCTTGACTAGCGAGCGACCCATGTGGCCGACGGCGCCGAATATCTGCGAGCCATTGATGCGTCAGTCTTTGGGGTGAGGACGATCGAGGTACGGGGTAACTCACCAGCCATACCAACGGTTTCGGGGGGTTCTGCGGCCCGGGCGGGTCGGTGGTCAAGGGGAGTTGGAGCTTTGGTTCACGCGGCACCGAGGGATTGGGTGGGGATGCATTGGATGGCCTGGGAGGGGAGTTTTGAAGCTCCATTGAGAGATCTGGTTCTGCGATGCTGTCGAACTGATCGTGAGGGGACTGGATTGTGATGCCCCAGGCCGTCAGATCGACCGTCAGCTGGCGGGACGGTGTTTGCCCTGTTTGTATACTTCCTTATCAGATTCGGGATACTGCCTCGGTTGACCGCCAACGCGTCGACGTCCATCGCGTTGGTTGTGGAATGGTCAACTATCCAAGCCACGCTGTGTACTAGATTAATACTCACACTTGTTTCGCTTACTGCTATTGAAAGGGTATTTTGGTCCATAATGATGGAGGTCCTTGCGCAGGATGAGTCCACCATCGAAGACGTACGCCTGCACCCATCCCTTTATCCGCATGGACTAACACTCGCAGTGTCGAATGGCATTGAAAACGGCTTACCTAGAAAGAGACTACCTCGAAGCAATCGGGCACGCATCGCGCATTTTAGACGCTGAGAAGGGGAGGATACAGCAGGTGGAGCAATTGTTTGTCGACTTTGAGAATGACAGCCTTCAACTCCAGTTGGACCGATTGAACCAGGACTTGGCCCGATCGATGAGGAGAGAGACCGATGCGCAACAGGAACTGCGGAAAGTCCACGAGGATCTGAAACGGTCTCAACAGACGGCTGTGGTTTGCTCGCGGGAAACCGAGGAGCTTCGCGTATGTATGCACCGCGGAATCTACGACGCATTCTGACCTTGGACCCAGGAAGAGCTTGCCTCCGTGAACACCGTTTCCGCGGACTCCCAGAAGCTTGTCGCCGAGAAAACCAAACTATCAAGAGACCTTGCATCGCTGCAATCCGAGGTGGAGCGGCTCCGATCTCAAGCAGCTTCCACGTCTGCCGCCATCGCCGAAAAGCAAGCCCTCGAACGCCAACTCAACGCGTTGGATGTAGAACTGGAGAATGAGAAACGGGCGCATGATCACACCCACGCTCAGGCGTCCGAACTGTCTGACGAGATCGTCGCTCTCACAACCAAGCTGGACGAGACGCGGAAGAAGCTTGCCGAGGTGGAGAGCCATGCACACCAACAGGGCCGTAAATGGGCTTCGGAACGCAGCACACTCGAAGCGAAGATCGAAAGTTTGAGTCGGAAGCAGTCTCTCGACCAGGAGAATCTCGCCGCGACACAGGCCAACAATCAACGATGGCCGGTTGCGCCGGAAGCCACAAGACTGGCCGATCCGCCCCCGCAAACCATTCCGCTCAAGGATCAGTCCCGCAGCTCCCGATTTGATCCCGGCATGACCATCAGCACGCCTGGTGCTGTCCGCGGCGCGGAGAAAAAGAAGCAACCCATCGCGCGACCGGGTGAGAAGTCCGCATTCTCCATCACCCCATTCCTGGAGCGCACTAAAGGGCGCGATTCGACGATGTCCTCGGACGAATCAGAGAACGACACCCCTGTGGCGCGCGCGGTTGATCGCGCGAGGGAGCAGCGCTCGGAAGCCTCTAGTGAAGGTCGAAGCATCGCTTCCAGCAATCGGGAGCCGTCGGTCTCGGCCAATGAGGCCGTCTCAGAGGAACAACCGGCTCAGGTCAAGCCCAAGCCCAAAGTTACGAAAAAAGTACAGAAGAAACCGAGCGACCTGGTTGACTCCAGCGACATGGCAGGGACGTCTGCATCATTATTCAACCGTGCCCCAGGCCTCGGAATGGCGAAAACCAAGAAGCGCAAGTTGGGTGGGCAGCGTGATAAGACACTGCTTGACGATGACTTCGAGGAGGAGCCCCGAAAGGATCTCAAGAAACCCGCCGGTAAGCAGTCAGCAGCAGCAAGTTGTCTGTCTCAGTCTCAGGCTAACTCTCACGGCCCAGCATTCGGTGCGTTTTCAACATTTTCGCCCCTGAAGAAAGATCGGCGGCGATGAGGTGCGTAGGAAGAAGTATTCCGTCTTTCTCCTTGGTCTTCATATGACTATAAACTACGACTTGCATAATGGGAGGTCCCTCAAACTGGCGTTATGGATAGCTAGAACTGGCCGGTGTATGTGATATTCTTAGCAGAGGAAACAATACTTCACTGAACAAACCCCAAGCTCCAACCATGGCCAATTCCACGATAGGAAGATGACTGTGCCCCTAGCTATGGTGATCTATGGTGATCAGTGGGGCGCAGGCTTGAGTTCCTCCAAACCAAACCGATGATGGTGCTCACAGGATGATGATCCACCCCCGGAATGTGAGAGACGCGAGATGGATTATCCAGGGGGTGGAATGGCGATCTGCTGGCGGCTCACTACTTCAATCCTTCCTCGTCTCCTTATAGATAACACTTGGCTCAGCATACACCTTCACTCTGAGTGTGCCCATCCGAGCAAATCCTACTTCATTCCATTGTCAAGCTCAAACCAAGAAATCAGAAACTATTCAAAATGCAAACCCACCTCACAGCCCTCCTCTTCCTCCTCCCCCTCCTCTCCAACGCCCTCCCAGCCCAAGACCCTAACTCCAACCCTAACGCCCAATCCCAAACTCAAAACGAAATCCAAATCACCCCCAAGCAAATCGAAACCATCGCCCCCAAATCCAAATCCTGCGACTCGGCGCCATCAAAAGACGAATGCGCAACAGCAGCGCAGGCCGCCCCGGCCATCAGCGCATCCTTCAACAAGTACAAGGTGCACTCGCGGGCCGAGCAAGCCGCAGTCATCGGGTTGATGGCGTTTGAAAGTGGTGACTTTAAGAGTAATCGGAATCATTCGCCTGGGGTGCCGGGTCAGGGGAGTGCGTTTTAATCTTTTCCCTATCTGCCCTCTTCTACATCAACATCAAACACCCAACCAACTAACCACATCATATGAAAACAGCCCGAAACATGCAATCTCCAACCTACAACCAAAAATACGCAGCATCCCTTCCAGACATCGCAGACGCAGCAAAGCAAGCCTCAGACGCAGACAAGGTTCTCGACCTACTAGTCAAGAACAAAGAGTACGACTTTGGATCCGGAGCGTGGTTCCTGACGACGCAGTGTGAGGAGGATGTGCGGAAGCGGTTACAGTCTGGGAGTGAGGAGGGGTGGAAGGCTTATATTCGGGATTGTGTGGGGACGGAGGCGAATGGGGAGAGGAGGGAGTATTGGGAGAGGGCTGTTAATGCGTTGGGTTGAATTTACTTAGCTCCCTAGAGGTAACTACTTACTAGGTACTAGGCACTGTAGGTTGTGTATACTTGTGGTTTTTTTGGTGTTGAAGTATCAGTGCTTTATATACATATACTTCTTGGTCAGTTAATGGACATAGGTAGTAGGCTAGAGACATGCTCTGCAGTACTGGAGAGTGGAAAAGTACGCTCACAATAACTTGATACTCTATAACCAACCATACACACAGCTTTGCAACGGCAGTTGTTAGCACTCTATCTTGCCTTTCGACCAAAATACACCATTGGGCGAGTAGTAGGGCCTTAGATCCAACATAACAGTACGTGGTATATTATACACAATTATTATACATCAATAACACACTCTCATGACAACGGCTTAACACCCTTATGAATAGCAGCGATCCCCCCCGTCAGATTCTCGAACCCCCGTCCCGGAATCATAAACCCAGCCTTGTGGATCATGGCCCGGAACTCCTCCTGGCTGGGGAACTGCTCGATACTCTCCACGAGATACTGGTAGCTGCCGCGATCACCAGCAACCAGCTGCCCGATCAACGGGATAGCGCTAAAGCTCCACTGCTTGTACAGGGCATTGAGAATAGCATTATCGACCTTGCTGAACTCCATGCAAGCAAAGACACCACCGGGCTTCAGCACACGGAACGCCTCATTCAGCGCAGCCTGCTTATCCGTAAAGTTGCGGATGCCAAACACCACCGTGTAGAGATCGACCGAGTTGTCCGGGACGGAGGGCATCTCCTGGGCGTTGGCCTCGAGGAAGGACAAGCGGGAGGTGTTGTAGTAGGGGGTCTGAATGCTGCGCTTCTTGCCCTCGGCGAGCATGTCCGGGTTGATGTCGGAGATGGTGACGCGGGTGTCGCGGTCGTGGTTGATGTTGGTCGCGTGGTCCAGCATGCGAAAGGCGATGTCGCCAGTCCCGCCGGCGATGTCGAGGATGTTCCAGCCGCGGTTGGCGGGGTCGGTGCCGTCGCGAGAGGGGAGCGCGGATCCGGGGTTCAACGAGCGCACGAAGTGGTCTTTCCAGAGTCGGTGGATCCCGAGGGACATGAAGTCGTTCATGTTGTCGTATGATGAGGCGACGGAGCTGAACACGGCGCCGACTATTGACAGTATTATTAGCATGCATTCAATATCTTCCTCCTCCTCGGAACAAAAGATATACCCATCGACTCCTTCTCCGATTCCCGAACATTGGTAAACCCAAAATGGGTCATCCCCCCGTCGTTCGTCTTGTTGTTCTCCACCCGGGCAGCGCGAGTGCAGGAAAAGCAGCGGTAGGGGGTGGAGATGCTGCCTCCTCGACGGGCGGCATGGCGCAAGCCCCTCCATACCGAAGGGGACATCATGGTGTAATCAAAGACTCGAATTGCGGGTTTCAATAGTGGATGATGAGAAGTTGGACCTCGGAGGTGCGCAGATCTCCGCGTCCGGAAGCTTTTCTTCCTCGTTTTTTCTGCTGCACCTCACCGCCCACAGTGTTGTCTTCTCCGCGTCTCTTCTCTGTTGTTTTGTGTTTATGTGTTGATCGGGTTGATAGATCCCAGAGGATGCATACTGATACTCAGAGGACTATAATGGAGGGTGTGTATTGCTAACGTGGCAGACTGATGATAATCACCATGAGTGAGAACAGCATGTGCGATTTACCAGGCCTAGATCTGGGTCCACCCAGCATCTAGATGATATGAGAACCGCTCATGATTGCCTATCGACGATCGCCGCTTTGCCCAGAAACAATTTACATAATGACAGACTCACTCAAGTGCGACATGCCACTGCATACAGAAACGACAGCAAAGCCAAGCGCAGCCATATCACGCGTGTGGAACCCAACAACAACAAGACAGACCACCACGACACGCTCCAAACCCACACCTCTAATACCTCAACACCAAATATCAAACCTCAATCCGACACCCTCCAATACACCAGAATACCCACCTGATTGGCCCAACACAGCCTCATTAGCCCAAACTCTGTCCGGCTCAGGCACGAACCAGTCAGCCAAGGCAGATGCGAAACCGGACCATTCACGATCCACGAACACCCTCCTCTTCGCGATCTGCCGCAGAGCAAACAAACGGCTTACGCATACTGCAGCGGCGATGTTGCTTGCCTTGCCGATCTGCCGACTGTCAGGTACAGACAGGTACATCATACATGGGGGATCCATGGAGGGGGGGGGCTAGTGCAAGGTACTCGGGGAGGTGCAGGGTGAGGTTGTACAGATGCGGTCTTTTTTGCTCTTTCGTATTGTTCTGCTTTTTGGTCGGGTTCTTTACTCCGTATGTACAACGTACGACGTACGACGTGGATGGGGCGTTGGTGGCTGGTTTGGGTGGGTCTGGGCTTGTTCTGCCGGTTGTCCGGCTGGTGGTTCCTACACCGGGGGGATATTGTAGTCACGTAGAATTCTAAACAAGAAGTACGGAATACTACTAACAGAATACAGATTTAATTCATTCATTTCATATATTTCATATACTATCCAAACCAGCAACCAGCTGGGCTTGCTCATCAGGTACAATCAAAGGAAAAAAAACACTATGGCCAGTCCAACTATACTCCATCCCAAGATGCTCCAGGCATCGAACCTATTCAATAACCCGCCGCAGAAGGCAGCTTCTTCGGGGTATCATCCCGGTAGGTATTTGTGATCAGGCTCTTGAAGCTGGGCGACCACTCCACCCGCGGGGTCAGCGGGTCGAGCCCCCACAGCTCCGACACGTACTTGAGGATGGAGGTGTGGGTGAACTCGTTGGGCTGGTCCTTGGGGCTGTTCTGGATCACGCCCTTGCCGACCCAGGGCGACATCAGCACCGTGGGAACCCGGATGCCCAGGCGGTCGAAATGGAAAGTGGACTGCTTGCCGTCGCGGGCCTTCTCGGTGTAGGTCAGGTCGTCGCCGGCGGGGACGTTCTCGGGCGGGGCGACGTGGTCGGCGAAGCCGCCGTGCTCGTCAAAGGTCAGGATGAAGAGCGTGTCCTTCCACTGCGGGGAGCCGCGCAGGGCCTCGTAGACGCTCTTGATGAAGTTCTCGCCCATGTTGATGGGCGAGGGCGGGTGGAAGGAGGTGTAGGAGCAGCACTCCGGGTTGATCCAGGTGAACTGCGGCAGGTTGCCGTCCTTGGCGTCCTTGTAGAACTGGTCGATGCGCTTGACGTTGGTGTCGCCCTTGCCGGAGGAGGCGGTCCAGTTGTAGAACATGGAGTCCGGGTTGAAGTTGGTGGTGTTGGAGTAGTTCATCCAGCTGATGTCGGCCTTGTCGAGCTGCTCGAAGATGGACTCCTGCGGCAGGGAGGAGGTGTCGAAGTCGCGGTCATTCTTGCCGTGGCCGTGCGACGTGCCCGACGTCAGGTAGGCCCGGTTGGGATTGGTCGGGCCCGGGACGGCGGCGAACCAGCGGTCGAAGAGCACAAAGTTCTCGGCCATGGCGTTGAAGACGGGGACCATGTCGGGGGTGTAGTAGTTGATGACCTCGGCCGCCCGCGTCAGGTCCGCGTCCAGACCGTAGGCGGCGATCTGCTCGGACACGAAGCCTTGCATGTCCGGCATGTCGTTCTTGGCGTTGGGGTGGTACGTGCTGTACACCTGCTGGTTGCCGCCGGTGATACTGTGATCCGGATCATCGGGGGCGACATTCTTCGCGATGGGCTTCGCACACACGCGCTTGGAATAAGCGTCTGTGACGTTGGCCGGGTTACAGTACTCGCGATCGACGAGGCCATCGATCTTCTTGTTGTAGGTCAGACCGCCGGCGAACACGTCAAAGGACAGGTTCTCCTCCACCAGGACCACAACATTCTTGATGGGACCCTTGGTGGCCGGATGGGACGGGCGTCCCAAGACGCCCGACCGCAGCGAGGCGGAGAAGAAAAAGAAGGTGAGGAGGGAGAGGAGCGACATGATGGTGAGGAGGAGAGTGATGATGGCCGAGCGCAACCAGGAAGGGGATGCAGCGGCCCTCTTTAAGGCCGTGGAATGTTCGTCCTGCACGACCAGCAGCGGCTTCACCAGACCCTCTTCCACCTGGCCCTCGTCCGCCTCCTCTCTGTCGTCCTTGTCCAGTAACGGACCCATGTGGTCAACCGGCTGCCTGTCCGCCTCTCTCCCTTCCATCCCCTCCATCCCCTCCTCCGAGGAGAGGGGCTGATAGGTCCCCGGTCGGGACCTATCCAACGACGCACGTGTGCCTGGTGATGTGACCATGTTGGCTGATGGGGGATTTTCTCGGAGTCTAGTAATTTACTTCTAGCGTGTTGGTCCAGCAGTCCACCACCAAATGAGGGTGGATGTAAGGGAGGGTCAGCACGGCGGGACAAACAACAAAGTCTGGATTGCAGAGACTAGTGGGGAATTAGTTCGAGTTGCGCATCCATCCAGAGGAGAAGTCGGACGGAGGTAAGTTTTCTCGGTTCGGTCAGTCGAGGAAGGTTGACCTGGTAGGAGGAGAGTGAGGTCGAGGATCAGCTGCGTGATGGGCGGTGGAAACCCCGCGTGGGAAGATCATCCGGCATGATTGGCTCACTGGATCCATTTTCAGGGATGATTCAGGATATTCCAGGGATCTTTCTTGCGGGTTTTTTTTTCTTTCCTCTTGGATTGTGTTGACGATCAGAGAACCAGGCAAGAAAGGAAGCAAATGAGAACGTCATGGCTGAATGCGTGCTGGACTCAGGCTCTACACATGCCTGACGGTTGCGGTGTCGGGATTTCGTGCCGACGAAAGGCATTCATGATCTGTACTTTGGATCCTGGCCTGGTCGATTCGCATACATTAGCGTGGGTCTGGACGACAGTAGGGATCAGTAAGTAGTGTCCAAGTAGTATCCAGTACATGGACTAGTTCGATGCATCATGATCTATCGTGTTGACCAGAGTATAGACTAGAGTATCGACCGACTATAGAGTATGGAGTCACAGGATGCGATGAGGTCATCCCGGCCTTGGCGGCTGGCGCCTCAGGCTGTCAGGCCATGAGGCCATCAGGCCCCCAGGCCACCGGACCAGGGCCCAGCACTAGCCTCAGGCTACTAGGCCACAAGGCCACTAGCCCCAGGCTCCCAGGCTACCAGGCTCCTAGGCTTTCAGGCGACTACGGGACTACCCCAGGCTTCCAGGCTCCCAGGCCCCCCAGGCGCCCCAGCCTTATCCCCCATAAAGCCTTCTTGGCGGCGTGATATCGCCATCTTCCATTCGATCCTCCGCTGATCCCGAGGTCTGATGGCGCTATTTCTTCCATGACATGCCCGCGTGGGGGAATTTGGAAGCATCCTGATTCCCTTTCAATCCCTTTGTCGAAATCATTTTTTAGACTTTCTCTGCCCACCATGTTGGCGGCGAGGACCGCTAGACGCACACACCGCTCCTTGATGCCCAACCCTGGCCAGTCGCCCGCCGCCAGCCGCGGCTTCTCCGCACGATCGTGGCTCCAATCTAACGAGCCATCAGCCTCGTCGGTCGCCACGGCCTTTCTCGCCCGTTTTCGATCGATCGGACCCCAGTCCCGCTCCCAGGTGCTCGATGCGAATCAGCTGCAACTACTCTCGCTCACCCTCAACCGTCCGTCGCTATTCCCGGGATCCCCCGCTCTGTCCAACACCCCCGCAGCGCTGGCCGGGGGCACCCCACTACCTCCAGGGTATCATCTCGTCTACTTTACCCCGGCCTTTCTAGAAGCTGAACTGGGTCCGGATGGCACCGATGCATCGTATAATCCTAGGGCACCCTTCACGCGGCGCATGTGGGCCGGCGGCGAGGTAGCGTGGCCGCGGAAGGCGGATGGCCAACCGAACCCCTTGCGCGTGGGCCAGCAAGTGCGCGAGACGACTACCGTCCTCAGCGCAGAGCCCAAAGTGGTGCGGAAGACGGGGGAGGAGATGATCGTGGTGGGGGTGGAGAAGGAATTCAGCAACGAGCAAGGGGTCGCTCTTCTAGATCGCAGGTAGACAGACGCCCCTCTCAAGACGGCGTTGCACAGGAAGACTAAGTTGCATCGACAATTACAGGAATTGGGTGTTTCGCAAAGCCCTGACGATGCCAGCACCACCGGCGACCCCGTCGTCGAATGCGACCCCTGTGACTCCTCCTTCCACCCCCGCGTCGTCGACCACGACCACGACCGGCGCCACCCACACGCGCACGCTGCGCCAGACCGCCGTGACGCTCTTTCGCTTTTCTGCACTGACGTTCAATCCGCATAAGATCCACTACTCCACGCCCTGGGCCCGCGACGTGGAAGGACACCGCGACATCGTCGTCCACGGACCGCTGAACCTGATCTCCATCCTAGATCTGTGGAGGGATACCCGCTCGTCCGTAGGCAGTGATCCTGCCCAAATTCTCCCCGCGAGTATCTCCTACCGCGCCACCAGCCCCCTGTACGCGGAGGAAGAGTACCGGATCGTGATGGATGAGACCGCAGGCGACGGGGTGGCGAATGTCCAGATCATTGCCCCGGGGGATCAGGTGGCGATGAAGGCCGAGATCCGGTCGTAGGCTATACAGGCCTACTATACAGTAGATAGACCCATTGGTTCGAAGACCCCAGCAGTAAATGACCTTGGCCATAAGACTCCCTGTCCATGCATCGGATCTCACATAATCAATCTCATGCATGCCGATCTCGGCTTATGGGAGTAAATGGCTATCTATGATTGGCCCATATCCCAGAGAATGGATGAGTCAGCCAACATGCTTATCAATCAACCCTGTCATAACCCGATCGACGCGCGCATAAAACATCGAAAACAAAGAGAAAAAAGAGCCAAGAACGGAGTCGGAAAGACGAAAAGAGAATCTCAACGGTCGTGCTTGAATCTGGACCACTGTCGATTGTATAGACGCCCTTGTTGATTTTTAATACACCAATTACGTCGTTAACCCTGGTCTTTCGGAACACGCGAATTGCCGCTCCCCCGTCGTCATCAACCTCCAGACTCCCTGGATTACGACTAAGAATTCTTCCTGCCCCTCCCCACTCCATGCTTCCCCGCTCCTCCTTCCGTCTGTCCCAGATACGCTCTCTTGCGTCTTCGTTACATCTGGCCCGTTCCGTCTCGTCCGTCTCCTCGAGAAGAACCGTTAGCTCGCTGTCCCAATCTCCCCATCGCATAACCCTGGATTCCCCAGTGGCGGCACTACAGACCGGGTCTCGCCTGGCTACCCTATCCCGACACTTCGCTTCGACCTCGAACACCATGGCTCCGGTGGACACCCCTCAGTATGACTACATCGTCCTTGGCGGTGGGAGTGGTGGCAGCGGCAGCGCCCGACGCGCCGCTGGCTGGTATGGCGCAAAGACCATGATCGTGGAGAGCGGTCGCTCCGGTGGAACTTGCGTGAACGTTGGGTAGGTGGCTGACACTCGCCCCTTACTCTTCCTTTTCTGGAAGGAGTCGTATATTGACTGACATATCGATAGGTGCGTCCCCAAGAAGATGACCTGGAACTTCGCGTCGGTCAACGAAACCCTGCACCTGGCCCCGCACTACGGATACGACGTCCCCAAGGATGTCAACATCAACTACCGCCACTTCAAGGAGCTCCGCGACGCCACCATCAAGCGCCTGAACGGGGTGTATGAGAGGAACTGGGGCCGCGAGGGCATCGACCTGGTCCACGGCCGCGCCCGCTTCGTCGGGCCCAAGACCATCGAGGTGCAGCACGAGGACGGCACCAAGGCCCGCTACGCCGGCAAGCACATCCTGATCGCCACCGGTGGGCGGCCCATCATCCCCCCGATCAAGGGCGCCGAGCACGGCATCTCCAGCGACGGGTTCTTCGAGATCGAGGACCTCCCGCCCAAGATGGCCGTCGTCGGTGCGGGCTACATCGCCGTCGAGTTGGCCGGCGTCATGGCCGCCGCCGGCGTCGAGGTGCACATGTACATCCGCGGCGACCAGTTCCTCCGCAAGTTCGACCCCATGATCCAGAAGACCATGACGGAGCGGTACGAGGCCGTGGGCGTCCACATCCACCGCCACCACACTGGGTTCGAGGAGGTGCAGCTCCTGCAGGACGGCAAGGGCAAGGACAAGCTGCTGAAGCTGGTCAACCCCGACGGAACCTCCACCGAGGTCAACGAGCTGCTGTGGGCCATCGGCCGTGCCCCCGAGGTCGAGGATCTCGACCTGCACATCCCCGGTGTGTCGCTCAACGAGCACGGGTTCATCCCGGCGGACGACTACCAGAACACCAGCGTGGACGGCATCTACGCGCTGGGCGATGTCACCGGCCGCGCGGAGCTGACCCCGGTCGCGATCGCCGCGGGCCGTCAGCTGGGCAACCGCCTCTTCGGCCCGCCCGAGCTGAAGGACTCCAAGCTGTCCTACGACAACATCCCCACCGTGGTCTTCGCCCACCCGGAGGTGGGCACCATCGGTCTCACCGAGCCCGAGGCCCGCGCGCGCTACGGCGACGACAAGATCAAGGTGTACTACACCAAGTTCACGGCCATGTACTACGACGTGATCCCGGCCGAGGAGAAGAAGAAGAACCCCACCGAGTTCAAGCTCATCTGCGCCGGTCCCGAGGAGAAGGTGGTCGGTCTCCACATCCTGGGTCTGGGCGTGGGCGAGATGCTGCAGGGTTTCGGCGTGGCTGTCAAGATGGGCGCCACGAAGGCCGACTTTGACAGCTGTGTGGCCATCCACCCTACCAGTGCGGAGGAGTTGGTCACGTTGCGGTAGAGAGGTTGATGTACTGTACGAGAGCTGTACTGTATATATCTTCGGGAGTAGACATGCAATAAAACATACACCACCTTCTTTTCTCTAATAGTTGGCCCACCGTATCACCACAGATAATCAATATATCTTCGTATGCATCTGAAAATACGATTCAATCAAGCTAATCTAGGTTCATGGCATACAATCATGACAGCCCCGGTCATCAGGCAGTAGATGAGTGTTGCCTCAGGCTTCTGTAGATCATGTGATCGTCCCGTCTATCTGACGCCGATGAGATCTTGAATCTCCTCACTACCCTTGGGCTTCACCCACCAATTGCCAGAATTTTTATTCCTGTTGAGGAACGTGTTGCACGGTACTATCTTGTATTGTGCCGTCATTGCAATACCCCATGAGCCTCATCGCTTGTTAATCGCGCGGCCATGTGCCCTTCGCTTTCTACCATCCCACTCCACTCTGCGTTTCTTTCGCGTGCGTCCTCTCCGCTCTATCGTCTTCGAACGCCTCCGTCGTGTCGCCGACTCCATGTGACCAAGTACCTGCAAGCCAGGGGCAAAGGACCCACAATCTACAAAAACAGTCTCGAGAAGACCCTCGAAGCGCACCGATTGTCCAACCGAGCAAGCGTCATCCGCAGGGTTGTCTCCCGGGATGATGTCGACCAAGAACCCCAGGAAGTACCACCCTCGAGTGTGAAACCTGTACCGAAAACCGACTCTTCTGCACAATCCGCTCCTCCTACGCCCGCCCCTCGACCCGTGCGAAAAGACAAAGCGCTTCCTGCCCGGTCTGCGCCCCGCCCGCAGGTACAATGGAGGACGGACGAGGAGAGTGGCCGGCCGGCGCAGACGCCATGGCTGGACTATATGGAAGCTGGGCGCAAATGGTCGAATGGCACCGCGCGACTGCATGCTGAGATTCGAGCGCTCGAGAGCTACCTGACACCCACGCCGCTGGAACAGGAGACGGTGGATCGGATCGCGAAAGACGTGGCCAGTCTTCTGCGGGAGACTGTACCGCAACCCCCCGAGGTCGTTGGATCGCGACGGACGGGACTCGCTATGACTCACTCCGGGCTGGACTTCATCATCCCGGTTCCGGATCCCGCGCGCTCGATCGACAGTATCCGGAAGCCGAGTGCCACTCGGCCGCAAGTGCTGGATGCGTACGCGGATATCCTGCGTACGGTGCAGGGCACCCTGCGGAAGAGCCCGTGGTTCGACGACCATGTGTATCTGGGCGACAAGCACAGATCTATCGTCACAGGTGTCCATGTCCCCACGGGCATCCCGGTGCGGTTCTCCTGTGGCGAGGGTCTGCCGTCGTCAATCGAGTACATCCAGGACTACCTGGCCGAATACCCCTCGGCTCGTCCATTGTACATGGCGGTTCGCCTGATCCTGGAGACCCGTGGTCTGTTCGGGAGCTACGAGTCGTCCCTGCAGCCAGACTGCCTACTGATGCTCCTGGTGGCGTCGCTCAAAATGAGCCACGGGCGATTCCACGAGCGTGACAGTCTCGGAGAGCAACTCCTCACCACTCTCAAGCTATACGGCACGGATGTCGATCTGACGACCACGGGAGTCTCGCTCGACCCGCCATCTTTCTTCACCGCAGAGAGCGTCAAACAATCCATCCAGGCGGCTGGCTCAGACGACCTTCCTGCCTACCTCCGCGGCCAACGTGCCCTGATCAACAAGAAGAAACGGGCCGCCGCTCGCCACAACCAGCCGGCTGCTGCTCGCCTGTGTCTCCAGGATCCCACCAACTACATGAACGACCTGGGTCGTCAATTCCACCGGCCTCATCAGATGCAACGGACGTTCGCACAGGCGGAAAACGGCCTCCGCGTGTCCCTGCGTGCCTGGGAGGACGGCGATCGTGGTCCAGACAGCAGCATCCTCGCCGGGACGCTGCGGGCGAATTTCGACGACTTTGAGGACTTGCGTGGCAAACTGACTTCCTTATGATACCCGACCATCAAGTCACTGTATTATAGCTGTACAATATCTCATCCACTGTTTCATCGCTGTACAATATTACCATACTTGGCGACCGACCTATGACTAAAGTACTGCCTGAACATGCAGACAACTGTCCCAATGCGGCCTAGATCGACCCGCTTAGTCAGAATGGCATCACATTTTCGAGTGGCGACCGATTTCGTAAATAATTATTCATTCTTTCAACAATTGTGGAATTATTAATCTGTTGGTTTGGTTGAATTCTATCGTCTTCATCCATCCAGGGTGTATTGTATCTTTGTTTACTCGGTCTGGCTCGTGCGTGACTCATATCTGCTCTTATCGGCACGGCTGTAAATTTTCGATACCCCGCCTGAGATTCACCACAGATTCCTTCCCCTCTCCTACGATCAGCATCATTTCTAGGAATTTCTCCACAATCACCCCCTACAATGGCGTCCATAGATCCTAACGTTCCGATGACTTCCTTGCCCTATACGTGCAACACCTGTCTGGTGGCCTTCCGCGGCAGCGATGCGCAGCGGGACCACATGCGCAAGGATTGGCAGTAAGCAACCGCCTCAAAAGACCCAAGATAGTGGGAAACAGCTGCTAATCGAGAACAGTCTGTATAACATGAAACGCCGCATCGCGAGCCTCCCCCCCGTGTCCCAGGATACCTTCAACGAAAAAGTCCTCGCCGCCAAGGCCAGCACGACGGCAGCGGCCGCGCGGGCCTCGTTCGAAAAGTCCTGCGCCGCCTGCCAGAAGACCTTCTACAGCGAGAACTCCTACCAGAACCACATCAAGAGCTCGAAGCACCGTGCGCGGGAGGCCCGCCTGGACCGCGACGACGCCGACGACCGCTCGTCGGTGATGAGCTCGACGTTCTCGCTGGGCGAGCCGATCAACAAGCCGCAGACGGAGGTGTCGAAGCTCACCAACGGGCTGCAGCAGACGACGCTGCAGGAAGAGGACAACGAGGACGCCGAGGGCGACGCGGAGATGGAAGACCTGGGCGTGTTCTCGCCCGCGCGCTGCCTCTTCTGCAACGTCAAGAGCGCCTCCGTCCAGGACAACACGACCCACATGCTCAAGAGCCACGGCATGTTCATCCCCGAGCGCGACTACCTCGTTGACCTCGAGGGTCTCCTGAACTACCTCTACCGCAAGATCAGCGAAAACTCCGAGTGTATCTACTGCCACAGCGTGCGGAACAACGCCGAGGGCGCCCGCACGCACATGCGCGACAAGGGCCACTGCATGATCGCGTTCGAGACCGGGGCCGAGCAGGTCGAGATCGGCCAGTACTACGACTTCCGCAGCACGTACTCGGACGGCGAGGACGACGACGACGACGAAGACGAAGCGCTGGAAGACGGCGGCGTCAAGGTCCACAGCGAAGGCGACGAGGCCGACGAAGGCTGGGAGACCGAGACGGAAGCCTCCTCCATGGACGAAGACGAAGACGACGACGCAGACCTCCCATCCAGCAAGAACCCGGTCTACGCCACCGAGTACGAGCTGCACCTACCGTCCGGCAAGAGCGTCGGCCACCGCTCGCTGCAGCGCTACTACCGCCAGAACCTGCGCAACTACCCGACGGCCGAGGAGCGCGCCGAGCGCCAGCTGATGATCGAGAACGGCGAGCTCGTCGAGGACGAGAAGCCGTCTATGGCGCGCAACCAGAACCGCGCCGTCGCCAGCCGCGGCAACGGCGGCACGGGCATGATCGGCGTGACGGACTCCCAGCGTCGTCTGGCGACCGAGTCGGAGAAGAAGGAGCGCACGCGTGCTCTTCGCCAGGAACAGAGGATCACGGCGCGGGTGCAGCGTGCTGCCAACAACCAGAAGCATTACCGGGTATGTCTATCTTATATCACACCCGCCGTTCCTATTCCTCCAACCCCTACATATAAACCAAGAAAACCTACTAACCAATATACTAGGACCCCCTCCTGCAATGATTCATTCAATTCTATTGCTGTGCAGCTATTTCTCTCTTTCACGTCTTGTTTTCTTTCTTTTTACCATGCATCAATGATGACCGGTTCTGTGGGTTCGGCGTTTACATCCGTGGCATATGCATAAGTAGAAATCATATGGCCGCATAAAAGTTGATAGTGGGTAGTATTATGTAGATGAATATACTACAATATACGTACCAATCTTTTACCACATGTCTTTACATTTTGTAGTTTAGCTCTTTTGAGCTAGGTAGGCGTAGTTCCATGTATGATACCAAGGTAGTATACAAGATGGAACGTTGGGTCAGTACGTCTCTAACTATATGTTTACCTACTGTCTTGTTTACTTCTGCAATATGGAGATACTTGATTCTATCATTATTGTGGTGATAATTTGTAAAGAGAATCATAAATGGATAATGTCACGTTGCGCATATACATACCCAGCCAGTCACAGCATGCTCTTACTGTTATTGCAAGAGGAGCGTAGTCTAGCTTGGATATCTCGCTCTTTGAATTTAGATTTACTTGCATTGAATCATGTTAATTGATGTGGTATAGTATATGGATATGTTATAGTACATGCTAACACTTTTAAATGGAAACCCAACACCCATCCAACCAATCAATAAATCAAACAAACAACGAACTATTAGGAGCAATACCCGTCAACCCAGACTCGCCCTCGATGACCGGTGCCAGATCACGGACGCGGTCATCGAGCATCATGCTCTCCGCTTCCCAGCGCTTGCGCTCGAGGGTACGGGCGTCGGCCTTCTTCTGGCCGCCGAACCACGCGTTCTGGGCGTTCGTCACGCTGTCGACTTCGTCTTTCTTAGCACGCGCGACCAAGCCTGCAACCATGGTCTTCCAGTTCTCCAGCCCCACGCGGAGACAGTCGGCGCAGCGGTGGCGCGGAGTGTAATCTTCTGAGCGGCTGAGACGGAGGATGGCCGACTCGGCGACTTCGACGGCGTCGCGGGTCCAGGCGAGGCCCTTCTCTTTGGAGGAGCTGGCGTAGAGAATCTCGCCGATGTAGACCATGAGGCTGGCTTCGTCGCAGGGGGCGGTTACGCTGCGCAGGGGCGGCTCGTTGCCGGATGGGAGGGGCGCGGGGTATTCGACGGGGACGAGGACCGTCTTGATGGTGTTGAAGAGGCGGCGGAAGGGGTCACGGCTGGACTTCGGGGGGTGGGGGAAGGATGGGAAGGTGGTGTCTGAGGGGGCCTCAGGGAGAGATCGCCGGGCTTGCAGGACGGAGGTGAAGATGGAGAGTGCGGTGGGGAGGTTGCCCTGGCGGGCTTCGTGGACGGCGCGGGCGGTGGACACCCGGAGGATGTTTTCCGTTGGCAGTGCCTTGCTGATGGGTTTGAGCGTGCCGGTTTTGAGGTCTACGACTTGCGTCGCGTCCACGGGGGATCCGGCCGCGGCGATGTCCATGGCCCAGCGGTACATGTCGTCCGCTGTGCCTGACAGGCCCTTGTAGTCGAGCCAGTCAGCATAGGCCAGCGCCGCGTCGACTTTCTGGCGGGTGTCGAAGCCCTTGGTGGTCAGGATCTTCATGTAGAAGACTTCCGGCGCGGGAGACGCCGGCTCGCAGTACTGCTCTTCCGGCGCTTGCTTCTGTCCCGCGGGCATCGGCTTCGGCCGGGGATTCGATGGTCCGACGACATACTCGGCCGGGGCAGAGATGCGGTGCTTGCGGTCGGTCAACCAGCCCTCGAGAGACTCTGCGGACTTGGCAGCGCCCATGAGAGCCTGGAAGTATCCCCTCCGCCACGGCTCGCTCTTCTCCGAGACATCATACCCGGTCTCTCCGACGCCCTCGACCAAAAACCCACCGTCTCCCTGCTTGTGGATGCCCTTTCCTTCTCCCTCAAGGTTTTCCAGCCGCTCCAACAGATCACGCAGGTACCCCGCGACCATGGGCCAGTTCGTCATGAGCTTGCCGATCTGTTCGGGGTTCTGCAGCGCCTGCGCCGATCGCAGACACCAGCGACTTTTCCACGACCATTCCGGCGGAGTCGGCCACTGATGTTCAATCTCCTCCTGGTATACCCCCAACTTGATCAGCTGGAACAGGACCAGGATGGCGTAAAAGGAAAGGCCGATATTGAGGCCGCGTGAGATGCGCCGCCTGTAGTAATTCCGGCTCTCGGTCGACATCAATCGCGCAAAGTGCTGTCGGAGGTGAATAGGCCATGGCGGAAGAGGGCGATTGCCCGATAGAGGGGAGAGAAAGGGCAGCTGTGGTCGATTTAGTGGTGAGGATAGGAGCTGTCGACAAGACTGGTGGGTGAATGGACGAGATGGGAGAGTGCCGTCCTGACGATGCGGAGGTGTCGGTAGTGGGCGCGCGGGCCTGGGGACCCGGACCCGGCGCAGGGCTGTCCGCGAGGACAACATCTTGGATGCGCGAGCCTTCTTTGCTGGAGGGGAGTAGAATTTGTGGTGATGGAGGTTGGTGGAGTCGAGGAAACGAAGTGACGGAGTGGATTGAAAGCCTGAGGGTCAGGATGGTGTGTTTGCATGGTTTGCACCATTGCCTGATTTGGCACAGCATTTTACTCGGTATACTCCAAAGATCGCGGAGCTGCCAGATAACCAATAATTAAATAATGAATACGAGTGATTCACAGTACAGCATCTTAAAGTTCCAAATGTACATGTATGGGTATATATTTTTGTTACAGTAATACATGGCACGGATCGGTTACCACGGCACACCAATCTTCTCCGCTACTCTCTGAGCAACGTTGAGAAAAGCTTCTCGGCGTGCACTCCGCTCGTCTCTCTCTTCCGAGACGACAGTCGGCACCCCCCGGTCTGCGTCCTCGCATACTTGTGCGTCGAGGGGGATGTCCCCCAAAAAGTCCACTCCCAACCGCTTGCACTCGGCAACCACGCCCCAATTCTGATCCCCATGCGTGTGGCCGTCGGACGAATCTCCGTGAGAGAAGATCTTGGTTTGATGGCCGCACTGGGGACAGGCGAAGTATGCCATGTTCCGCACCATTCCCAGGACCGGCACATCCATGCGCTGGAACATGCCAAACCCACGCACGGCATCCCGCAGCGCAATGTCCTGGGGAGTTGTCACAATCACTGATCCGTCCACGATAACCTCCTGGTTGATCGTTAACTGCACGTCGCCGGTGCCGGGTGGGAGGTCGAGAAATAGCACATCCAACGGTCCCCAGGACACGGAATGGAGGAGCTGGTGCATCGCCTTTGTGACCATCAAACCACGCCAGGAGATTGGGGTGGTGTCCATGGGAATATTACCCGAGGGATCGGATGGTTGCGGTTGGAGTTGGGGGAGAAGGTAGCCCATCGACATGGACTTGAGCCCGTAGTTTGTCAATGGGAGGAGGCAGTTATCTAAGTACAACCGTCAGCTTGCCACTCTTGACCTGGTCGGATTGGAGCTATGGGCAACAGACTGTCATCGAGACGGGGCTCCCCCGAGAGGTTAAGAAGGGTGGGAATAGACGGGCCGAAGATATCGGTGTCCAAGATGCCGGTTCGGATTCCTCGCCGGGCGAAGGACAAGGCGAGGTTCACTGCGAGGACAGGTTAGGTTAACCGGTTGCATCCTTGGTCCGTCATCGAAAGAAGCATACCGGCAATGGTCGACTTTCCCACACCACCTTTGGCTGACGACACCGCAATGACCTTCTTCACATCACGAATCTTGCGCTTCTCGGGCAAACCCCGACGGCGCGGAAATGGCGGCGGAGTACCGGAGCGCGGCAGACCCTGCTTCGTTAGATCGGGGTAGTGTGTCTTGGAAATTCAAGACTAACCAGTGGGTTCTCATGTTGAAGAGCTCGAAAAGTGGAGAAGCACCTTCTCCATCCCATTGCCGGCTGCATGTTGTGGGGGGTGATGGAGAGGAAGTTGAAGCTGTAAAACCGACGATGTCATTCTGCCGGGATTATCCCGACCGCCGGGATTATTCAATACTCCATTAGGATAGTTAGTCCGGGAGATCTTCCCCAGGATCGAGTTTGATCTGTTTGTTCAGTTTGTCAGGCCGATTACCTCGGCATGCCTCAGGCTGTTCAATAATACATCGCTCGGCTGTCGGATACCGAGAGGTTCTAGCCTTTCGCTTATCGCTACCTAGTACTTATACCCTGCAACTCCACGGTCGAGTTTTCTCTTTCCCAAGTCATCGAGGTTGTCTATCACAGTATCGCTCATGATGGATGTTCAGAATCTCTTCAATGTCAAGGTGGGTCGGCACTAGTGCTTAGTCGCAGTGACTACGATCCCTACGGATCCTCCATCTCTGTACACGGGCCATTCGCTAATGGATCAACGTGTAGGGGAAAGTGGTGTTAGTCACCGGGGGGGCTAAAGGCATTGGCCGCATGATCTCTGAAGGGTATGTCACCAACGGTGCGACGGTCTATATTTCGTCTCGCGACGTGGATGCCTGCAACCAGGCTGTCGAGGAGCTCAACGCACTGGGCAAGGGAACGGCGCACGCCATCCCCGCCAACTTCTACGAGGAGGACGAGATCAAGCGATTGGCAGAGGAGCTGGGCAAGCGCGAGAGCAGTATGTATCTGTCCTCCACGGCGTGGGTGCCTTTCTCATGAGATTGATTGCTAGAATTGCACGTCCTGGTCAACAACTCCGGATCGAACTGGGGAGCCCCGTACGATGAATACCCATCCTCCGCCTGGACACGAGTGCTCACTCTCAACCTCCACCGGGTCTTCGATCTGACCAAGCTCGTCACGCCGTTGATGGAGAAAGCGGCCGCCCCGAACGACCCGGCTCGCATTATCAACATCGGAAGTATCGATGCTCTGCGGGTCCCGGCCCTCGAGACCTTTGCCTACAGCGCCAGCAAGGCGGGGTTGCACCATCTTAGCCGGGTTCTGGCGAGTCATCTGGGTAAACGGAATATCACGTATGTGCAAGATCCATCTCCCCTTGATTCTTCCCCCTTGCATGAATCATAGACTCACCGTCCTTTTCAGATCGAATACTCTCGCCTGTGGCCCGTTTCAAAGCAAGATGATGGCTGCCACTTTGGAAAGCTTCCAAGAGGTCATTGAGTCGGGAGTTCCCCTCCACCGGATCGGTACCCCGGAAGACGTGGCTGGTGCCTGTCTGTTCCTGAGCAGTCGGGCTGGGGCGTATGTGAATGGGTCGACCATTGCGGTGGATGGGGGAAGTGCTGTTGCATCCAAGTTATAAATAAACTAAACCAGCCATCTATCTATCTTTCAAATCAAACCTGTAGACTGGTATAGTAGCGGACTTTTGTCCACTACCGCATGGACTTGCCCGACTGGGGTATCGTCGCTTATCAGCGGGTCTTATCGCCCGTCTCCGCACGTGGTCCACTCTTCCCCCGCAATAAAAGCCGCCCTGCGCCCCCTCACGCTTTGGCTTCATCTTCATCCCAATTCCATCGTGAGGATCTGATCTGGGTGCCTCCCATAAGCTGTCATTATGGTACTCCCTCCGTTCGATTACTTTACGTATCGTCGCGTCCGGTAAGCTTCTTTATCTCTCCAAACCTAGAGGACCCACCAGTAGTACTAGAAACGTTCTGACAACCCCAGTAACCTCAAGCAGAGGGAGCGGGCAGCACGATTCGCCTCTCTTCCGGCATCATACCACACGGCATTCACCGTCTTTGATAAATCCGTGATCAACAAGCCCATTGGGCAGCTGGTGCAAGAGGTCCAGAACTCCTCCCTGGCCGCGACCGATGTTCTCCGCACTTACGGCAAGGTGGCCGTCAAGGCCCAGGAGAAGACGAACTGTGTGACTGAGCTTCTTCTACCCGAGGCGGAGTTGTGGGCTAAGTCGGAGGTCAACCTCAAGGGTCCCCTGGCCGGTGTGCCCATCTCCTTGAAGGATTCGGTGCAGGTCAAGGGGTTCGATATCACCCTGGGGTACACCCGGTTGGCAGGCAAGCCGTATCAGGAGGATGGGCCAATGGTCAAGCTTCTGAAAGATGCTGGTATGTCGCTGGGTTTCACCGCCCCTACCGTGCTGTCAAGGTCCCCTCCCCGGCTAATTGGATTACAGGTGCCGTCCCCTATGCCAAAACAGCATTGCCGGTGACGCTTCTATCCTTCGAATCCGCAAATGCCCTCTGGGGCCACTGTCGCAACCCGCACGCTCCGGAATACTCTCCTGGTGGTTCCACAGGCGGAGAAGGTGCCCTGCTGGCTCTGGGTGGCCGCATCGGCATTGGATCGGATGTGGCTGGCTCGGTGCGGGTGCCGGCAGCGTGGAGCGGAATCTACTCCCTCCGCTGTAGTACGGGGCGTTGGCCGAAGAACGGGGTCAACACCAGTATGGCCGGCCAGGAAGGCATCCCGAGTGTCTTCAGCCCGATGGCGCGGACTTTGAACGATTTGACCTACTTCACCGAGGCGATCATCTCCATGAAGCCCTGGTTGTACGATTACACCGTCCACCCCATTGCCTGGCGGGGCGAGGAAGAGAAGGAAGCCAAGAACAAGAACCTTCGCATTGGACTTATGGTTAGCGATGGTAAGCTTCTCTCCCTCAATATATCCGGGCTCTCTAACACACTATAGGCGTTGTTCCCCCGACCCCCGCAATCACCCGGGCTCTCACCACGACAGTTGACGCCCTGACCGCAGCCGGACACACCGTAACGGAGATTACGCCCCCAGCCAACGCCGCCCCATTCAAAGGCCTCGACCTCGCTTCGCAGCTCCTTAACTCCGACGGCTGCACCACCTTCAACTCGCACCGCCACAACTTCGAGCCGTCAGACCCCGGCGCTGACCAGCTCACCCGGATCGCCAATCTCCCGCGCCCTCTACGCTACCTATACTACCTCTGGGTGCGCTACATCCGCCGCGACACCAAGTGGGCGACCCTAATCCGCGGCTTCGGACCTAAATCAGCGGCCGACCAATGGAAGCTGGTCGCGCAGCGCGAGGCCTTCCGCTCAACCTGGCACTCCTGGTGGGACGCCGAGCCCCAGCAATACGACTTCATCCTGTGCCCAGCCAACGCAACGCCCGCCCTACCCCACCGCGCCATGCGCGACGCCGTCTCCTCCTGCGGCTACACCTTCCTCTGGAACCTCCTCGACTACAGCGCAGGCGTGCTTCCCATCTCGCACGTCGACGCCAAAGAAGACGCCCTGTCGACACCGTACAAGACAGCTCTGAAGCAGCTGGGCGCTAACCACGCCATCGCGCAGGGCGCCTGGAAGCACTACGACGCGGCCAAGATGGCGGGTCTGCCGACCGCGGTGCAGGTTGTTGGCCGGCGGTGGCAGGAAGAGAAGGTGTTGGGGTATATGGAAGCTGTGCAGAAGGCGCTGGAGCAGCAGGGTCATAAGTATGCTTTGCTTGAGATTGACTGAACCATTGACTTACGACGTGGATGATGACTATCCAAACGCATCCTGCAAAATTATACGATGGATGATAGCTAAAATTAAACTGCATACGTACTAGGTAGGACTATTGTTTAGCAATGTTTGGACTCTTATATAATATTAGTATTAGCCAATGCTAACCACCATGAAACAACCACTAAGGTCATCCCAGCAGGTGATAATACATCCAGCTCATTCCATAAGATAGTAATTGAAGGTGCTGTTTGCCCAACTAGAATAATAACAACCCAGCCTCTGCCTAGTAGTCCACACAGAAGATAAGAATAAAATAAAATACAATTCCTAGAAAGGTTCCCCATTAGAGAAAACCAGTAAGGGACGCAGAGCTGTGGTGGCAGCCGCAGCAGCGCAGCAGATAGAAAGTGGGGTATCATGAAGAAGGCAACAAAGCCAACGGAAGAAGAAAAAAAGAGACAAAAAAAGGTGGTGGGTAGTGTGAGGAAATCGAACTCATATAACACGCTCAGTCGACGTCCAAAAAAACAGCCTTGTCCGCGGTCTTTTCCGGTCCAGATACGCTCGTCGCCGGAGAAAACCCCGATATAGAGCCTTCAGTAGCAGTAGACAAGGCGGATGTGTCTTCCGGCGTTGGACAGGTAGAGGCCGACGCGGAGGACTCCGCTTCGGTGAGGTTTGGTTCGGCGTCGGCGTCAAGGGCTGACAGAAGCGCGGGCCGGTCGACCGCTTCGTAGAAGAGCATGAAGACGCCGCCCTGCGACATGACGCTGGCTTCGCTGACCATCTGCACGTCCTCGTCGCTGAGGCGGTACCAGCGTTCGGGCTTGCCCTTGTCGCCGTCGGCTTCGCGGACCGCGTCGGGAACGTGCGCCGGGAAGACGTCCGTGGGGTACTTGCGGTAGCAGATGTAGTGGCCGTTTTCGTGGCGGCCGTAGTGGGTGATGACGGCGCGCAGCTGGTAATACTGTCCGGGGCTGTCACCGGCGCGGTGGGCACGCGGGAGCATCGACTCCCGCGGGTCGGTGTCCCATTTCTCGGCGAGCTGGTCGGCGTCGTCTGTTCCTCGCGCGCCGAGACACCATTCGCCGAGGTTGAGCAGCTGGGGGAAGCGAAGCGCGGCGTAGTTCTTCCGCAGCGCTCCGGTGTCCTCGTCGAAGACGCTCCGGTTGACGTGGATGGCGAGGCATTTGGGGGGCCGTGCGATGACCGCTTGTCTGGACTTGGTCGCGGACACCCGGTTCCTGGGCGGGATGTGGCACTTTTGCGAGAGGGTCTTCTCCGCGAAATCGTTCTCTTGGAGGGCTTTCTCGACGGCCTGTAATCTCTCTTGGGCGGAGGTTTTGACAGGATTGGCGATCTGGGGCGAGTCCGACGTGTCCGGCAGTTTGGCATCTTCCTCGATCTGGTCGAGAAGGTTCTGGAGTTGGTCGCGAGCCCGTAACAGAGTGCATTTGACGCATTCGACCCCTTCGATCGGTTCCAGGTTCATGTAGTCATGGAGACAGTCCTGCACATCGTACTCGAAACTCGCCCCCAACGGCACGGTCAGACAGTTGAACGGGATCAGCGAGAGACCCTCGGTGAACCCGCACTGCATACATCCCACTCTCTGCGCAAGAAGCCCTTCGAGCGGATTTCGAAACACCACCTTCCCCGCCGGCGGGTCCGATGCGTCCGGTTTCCCGCATTGAAGCTCCGCGGTCCCGATGACATGTTCTTGGGGTCCGGCCATCTTCAAGCCAAGGTTACGCGTCTTCCGTCGGGCGGCGCGCTGAATCTCGTAGTCGATCTGATCCACCACCTTCGCGAAGTATTCCTGCGCATCCTGCTGCTGCCAGCTGCTCATCGACTTGAGGTCCGGTGGGGTCCAGAGGCGTTGGTCGGAGCTCGCCACACCGTTCAGCTGCTGGATGATGTCGATGAGCGCCTGGTGGGTGGAAAACGGGCTCTTCGCCCCGAGGAGATCCACGTTCCGTTGAAGGAACGCGGCGAGCGACTGCAGCGAAGCAAGGCTCTGAATGATGCTATTCTGATAGCACGAGTTATCCCAGTTCCCGAGCCCGGGAGGAACGTTATCCTTGCCCCCCAGCAGCGCAGCTCCGATTCCCGACAGAGAACGGGACGAAGGTAGCAAGGAACCGAAAGAAGTATTGTTGATCCCGAGAATCCGCTCCATCGCTTCACTTTTCGCCTGGAAGTTGTTGAAGACGGGTTTCTGGTCGGTCGAACCGGACTGGTTGGTCTTGTTGTCCAGCGCCGCGACAATCCGAGACGGGGTCAGGTAGACCACGATGTCCCACAGCGGACGAAGCCAAGACAGCGAGGGCGACTGGAGAGAGTTCAGAAGAAAATAGATCGCGATAAGAATCGCAACCAGATAGGCGAGGCTTGGGTTGCTCTGCAGATGCTGCACGATGCGATCATAATAAGAGGTACTCGAGGGACTCTGGTTGAGGGTCGCAATCCCCTCTCGGCGAGAGTTCATGGTTCAGGGAGAGCGATGACGAACGACGACATGGAGATGGTAAGAGAAATCCCACGGAGACAGAAGAGATTTCGACCACGAGAGGTAGAATGAAAGTGAGATCTCCGTTTGTCTCGATGGATTCTGCGATGATGCTCTGTTTGGCTCGCTGTTTGTCGCGTTTGCATCTGCCCGCGTCCTCAGGCCAATCAGGCCGCCACGGATGCCCCATGACTAAGGTAGATTGGTCTAACCGCTTTGGGACGGCAGCTTCCCCTCCACCAGATTCAGACTCTGAATGCCTTCAAGATGTCGCCGGACCCCAATCGTTTGAATGCTGAGATTCCGAAATCTGCTCAAAATGGCTGACGAGACTCTCAACAAGAAGCTCAAGACTTCCTCCCCGTTGATCGGGACCCATAAGTACGTCCTACACCCCGCAGCACCAGTGGCCCATTCGCTAACCCCTCCTACAGCGGGCACTTTCACGCCGACGAGGCCCTAGCCGTCTACCTCCTGCGTCTCCTCCCGACCTATTCCTCCTCTCCTCTTCTGCGCTCGCGCGACCCGGCCCAGCTCGAAACATGCCACACGGTCGTCGACGTTGGCGGTGAATACGACGCGGCCAAGAACCGCTTCGACCACCACCAGCGCACCTTCACGACGACCTTCCCCGCGCACAACACGCGGCTGTCGTCCGCCGGCCTGGTCTACATGCACTTCGGCAAGGCGATCATTGCCCAGCACCTGTCGCAGCCGCAGGACAGCCCCGACGTGGCTCTGCTCTACGAAAAGCTGTACACGGACTTCATCGAAGCGATCGACGCCAACGACAACGGCGTGTCGGTCTTCGACCCCGCAGCGGTCTCGGCCGCCGGCCTCGAGAAGCGCTTCAAGGACGGCGGCATCACGATCACGTCCGTGGTCGGCGACATGAACAACCCGGACCCGACGATCGGGCCGAACGAGCCCCAAGACGAGGACAGCCTATTCGGCCGGGCCAGCACCTTCATCGGCAACGTGTTCACGCGCAAGCTGCACCACGCGTGCTCGTCGTGGCTGCCGGCGCGCACGACCGTCGGAGAGGCCTACCGCTCGCGCCACTCGGTGCACCCCTCCGGCGGGATGCTCGTCCTGCCCAAGGGCGGCGTGCCCTGGAAGGAGCACCTCTACAACTTCGAGAAGGAGGAGGGCGCCGGCAAGCCCGAGAACCAGGTGTACTACGTGCTGTACCCGGAGAGCGCCGCCCCGGACGCCAAGTGGCGCGTGCAGTGTGTGTCCGAGAGCGAGAGCAGCTTCGTGTCGCGCAAGCCGTTGCCTGAGAGCTGGCGCGGTGTGCGCGACGCCGACCTGGATGGCGTCCTCGCTGCTGAGGCGGAGAAGACCGGCAAGCCCCGTATCCCTGAGGGAGCCGTGTTCGTCCACGCTAGTGGGTTCATCGGCGGTCACCAGACCAAGGAGGGAGCGTTTGCCATGGCTGCGCGGGGACTGGAGCAGTAACTCATTTACGATGTGATGTCGCATGACGAAGGAAGAGAGAGAAAAAAAAGAATAAATGACGCTTCTTAGATCCCATTGGGATTCATGATGTTATGTCAATCTAGCTAGGCTTCATGTTGGAGCAGTCAATGCCATCTAAGCCATTGGTGTCGGATTCGACCATGGTGACTGATACATGGTAACCACGCCGTACAGAAAAAAAAAACATTCAGCTCTACGCCATAAATAGTGTAGGAAAATCCAACGATAAATATACTTCTTGGTCTATATTTTACTACATATCTCATGACATAAACACCCGAAAAGCCAAAGTGAAAAGTTTCTTTTGCCGAGCACGGGTACGGAATCTACAGCAGCGACCTGAGGACGGAAGTCTGCTCCAGAACCGCCCGACGGCTGGTGCCACCGATGGCGTCCTTGAGCTCGACGGCACGCTCGTAGTCCAGACAAGCCTGGACGTCCTCGTCGAAGCGAGCGTCGATGCCCTTGAGCTGCTCGAACGAGAGCTTGTCCATGGGCACGTTCAAGTCCTCAGCCAGGGCGACGACGCGGCCCGAGATGTGGTGGCCCTCGCGGAAGGGCACGCCCTTGCGGACGAGGTAGTCGGCGAACTCGGTGGCCAGCATCTCGGGGGCGAGAGCGGCGACCATCTTCTCCGGGTTGGCGGTGAGGGTGGAGAGGACGCCGGTGGCGATCTGGATGCTGTCGCCGACGGTCTTGATGTGGTCGAGGAGGGGCTCGACGCTCTCCTGCAGGTCCTTGTTGTAAGTGGTGGGGAGGCCCTTGATGGTGCACATGAGGCCGGCCATCTGGCCGAAGGCGCGGCCGGCCTTGCCGCGGAGCAGCTCCAGGCTGTCGGCGTTCTTCTTCTGGGGCATGAGGGAGGAGCCGGTGGAGTAGGCGTCGGAGAGGCGGACGAAGCCGAACTCCAGGCTGCTGTAGATGATGAGATCCTCGGCCCAGCGAGAGATCTTGAGCATGAAGGAGCTGCCCCACTGCATGGTCTCCATGGCGAAGTCGCGGTCGCCGACGGCGTTCATGGAGTTGTAGAGCAGGCCCTCGAAGCCCAGCTCGGCGGCCATGGCCTCGCGGTCGATGTTGAAGGGGTTGCCGGCGAGGGCGCCGGTGCCGAGCGGGCTGCGGTTGACGCGCTTGGTGACCTCGCGCAGACGCTGCAGCTCGCTGGCGAAGGCGGTGGCGTGGGAGAGCATCCAGTGGCTCCAGCGGACGGGCTGGGCCTTCTGCAGGTGGGTGTAGCCGGGCATGAGGTAGTCGATCTCGGACTCGGCGCGAGCGATGGAGACCTTGATCAGGTCGCAGAGGAAGGCGTCGAGCTTGCGCAGCTCGTCACGCAGCCACAGGCGCATGTCCGTGGCGATCTGCTCGTTGCGCGAGCGGCCGGTGTGCAGCTTGCCGCCGATGTCCTTGCCGATGATCTCGGACAGGCGACGCTCGTTGGCGGTGTGGATGTCCTCGTCGTTCTCCTTGGCGACGAAGGAGTCGGTGCTCCATTCCTCGGCAATCTGCTTGAAGCCGCGCTCGATCTCGGCGAACTCGTGCTCGGAGAGGATGCCGGACTTGGTGTTGGCGCGGGCAAAGGCGACAGAGCCGGCGATATCCTGACGCCAGAGGATGCGATCGTAGGGCAGGGACATGTTATACTGGACCATCAGGGGGTCGAGGCCCTCTACACTCATATCAGTTCTATTGTAGGAGGGGTAGTATTCGGCGGGCACTCACGGGTGAAACGGCCACCCCAGAGCATGTTCTCAGCAACCTTGGGAGCGCTCATTGTGAGGGAGGAGAATTGTATGAGAGGGAACGAGGTACAATTGATTGAACAGATATAGTGTGGAGAGAGAGAAGAAGCTGTCAGTTGAAGCTGTTCCGTCCATGTCATGAAATTTGGTCTGTCCGTCACGCTAACCGGTTTGGGAATCTCGCCATGAGTCATCGTCAGTCTCCATCCTTCTGTTTACACAACAACCATACATGGAGGATTGAAAGAGCGATCATTGAGAGGAGAGTTGTTATTGGGATGATAAATTTATCTTTATGAGGAAGGACTGGATTGACGTGACCGTGTGGTGGACAACGTCGAGGAATGACCCACTATATATAATTGGGATAAGCCCTAGTATAGTACGGAGTAGTATACAAGTATAACTACCGTCCTACACCGTATACAATCGAGATTTAGATTATTCCACGCCCTAGACCTGGTATAGAATAAGCTAGCAGTCTGACTATACCCAGGTCATTGTATATTCCCATAGATTACTATATCTCCGTAGATGAGGTCGTATATCATACCGATGCTATGCTAGAATCCCGGACAATGTAGTCTTTAGATTCACACATCACTGGAATTAGCTATACCATATCAACAGAGTAATTGATCATACAATCCACTGAAACTCTTAAGTCTCCTGTCAACTGGCAAGTTGAAGTCACGGGGAGAGCCTGTTGGACTCCGACTGCAAACCAGACAAACAGCCGATCATTTGATCTTCACGTCTTCACGTCTTCATTTCTTCATTCCTTCTTCAACTTTTCCTCCACTTTCTTTTCTCTTGGTACTGTATTTCATCTGTGGGAGATTCTCAAGTTCAATAATATCTCTGGTCAATAGATGCTGAACGGTCAGACTCAAGCTGTCTTCTCAACCTGACCCAAAATGACGTAGATCGTCCAAGGTGAGCTTATCGCCGATCACCATGCGCTCGTCCGATACACCGTCAAAGCTAATGAGGAGATATCTATCTATATATATACAGTGATCGATTCAAAACTACCCAGATGTTGTCGGCGATCTTGCGACCGCGATGCGCCCGGCTCCCCCGGTCTCCGCCGCGGTGGTCGCGGAACTTTTCCTTATCGCCCTCTCGCTATGAGATTCGCAGCGTGGAATCGCTCCCCGACCGGCTTATCCCCAAATATGAAGGTGTGGAGGATCCAATATGGACGTGAAATGATCGCATGGTCGGCTAACCATGGTGGGTGCAGAAATGCAATCGGGCGATCTGCTCTCCTTACGGTGGCCGGCACCACCGCGGAATATCTTCGTCGTCAAGAAGGATTGCGCCCCCGAGGTGACCGCCTCGTTAGTGGAGTTGGCAAAGTGAGTCGACCGCTCTTCACGCCGCCCAAGATATGTGCTGATCGATCAAGCTATGCGACGTCCACCTATCCCTCGATCTCCATCATTCTAGAACCCCATACCGCCAACGAGGTCCACGCCGATCTGCAGGCACCGGTCTATTCGGCGCCCCAAGACCAATTACCCCCCGCGTTGCACAACAAGGCCGACCTCACCGTGACGCTCGGAGGAGACGGAACGATCCTGCATGCCTCGTCCTTGTTTGCGACCTGTTTCAACGTGCCCCCCGTCCTGTCCTTCAGCATGGGTACGCTGGGATTCTTGAGCGAGTGGAAGTTCGCCGAATACAAACGCGCTTTGCGCGAAGTGTACATGTCTGGGGCCGGGGTCGGCGATCGCGCGTCAGTGCTAGACCCGCAGCCGGCGGCAGCAGGGGATCCACTGGAGCTCGGGTCCGACACCACCGGATGGTCGTCGATCCGGGGCAAGTCCATGGGAGTGAGCCGAGGGGCGCGGATTCTCATGCGCAACCGTTTAAAGGTCGGACTGTTCACCCCGGACGGCCAGCCCGTGCAACAGGACGAGCACTCGGTTCCCATGCGCGGGACCTTGGGCCCGGAGGGGGTCTACGTGATGAACGAGCTGCTCCTGCATCGCGGCAAGGAGCCCCATTTGGCCGTGGTGGACGTCTACGTCGGCGGCCGGTTCCTCACCGAGGCGGTGGCTGACGGGATCATCATCTCCACCCCGACGGGCAGTACGGCCTACAGCCTGAGCAGCGGGGGCAGCATCGTGCATCCCCTGGTGCCCTCCGTCCTCCTCACCCCCATCTGCGCCCGGAGCCTCAGTTTCCGACCACTGGTGCTCCCCGCCAGCACGCCCATCACGCTGCGACTGAGCGAGAAGAACCGCGGCCGGGAACTGGAGGTCAGCATCGACGGGGTCAACATCGGCCGTGGGATGGCCGTCGGCATGGAGGCCCGGGTGTGGAATGAGGAGATGCGCCACGGGAAGAACGAATGGCAGGGAGGTGTGCCCTGTGTGATGCGTAGGATCACCGGGGGCGAGGCGCACGACGGTTGGGTGGGAGGACTCAACGGACTCCTCAAGTTCAACCATCCATTTGGTGAAGAGCGTTGATTGTATACCAGACATGCATGGGTTATCGTGTGGCCTGTAGTCTGACACAAAGCCATACACGTATATTCCACTAGGCTGATTTCAAGCCTAACAAGAAATGTATATGAAAATAGCGCCTATAGCTAGCTATCCAGTATTAAGAATTGACTTCTTGGATCATCTATACCGAAGTGAGCTCTATCGCGCAATACAACACGTAGAGCTGAATCCGTACAATTACCAGAACCAGGTCACTGTCCTTCATCTATTTGATTAAATCAGGACACTCCATTTCCTAATCTATCTACTTACATACACTCCATATCCTCAACCCGCGGTGACACAGTTAGTGGTACGACCTCTCCGACTCCGACAACTCTGACATCATGACACCCTCCAGCGTCTAAACCAACCCCCCACCAAAGCGCCCAGTGCCAGAAATGAAATGCTCCCCCAAACAACCGACGAACCCCAAATGCCGGATGTGGAACAACAGTCGGAAAAGGCCTCGTCTCCGGCCCCTTCGTCCGCGGGCGCAACCAACAACGAGAATCGCGAACTGTCCGACACAGAGCTGATCCGCATCGAAACCCACAAATCCCAACAACGCGCGACTGTCGGCTCGACGACGGGCAAACCGTGTCCTCGTGAGAAATGGCTGGTCATGGGTGGGGGGAAGCCCATTCCTGCGGGGATGGAGAAGCCTGACGATTATATTGTTGAGTTTGATGGATCGCATGATCCGATACATCCGTTCAATTGGAAATTGAAGAAGAAGTGAGACAAGCCCAGATGGATAATGAAAGAAAAAGAAACAAGTTGACCGTTCATAGACTGACCACCGGAATCAACATCTCCATCGCTACCTTCACAGCCGCATTCACCAGCGGCATCTTCGCCCCCGGGATCACCGACGCGAGCCGCGAATTCGGCGTCGGCAGGGAAGTAGGCGTGCTGGGGACAACACTCTTCGTCCTCGGATTCGCCTCAGGGCCGCTCCTATGGGCACCGGCGTCAGAGCTGGTCGGACGACGCTGGCCCCTCACGATCGGCATCTTCGGCGAGAGCATCTTCACCATCGCGGCAGCCGTCTCCAAGGACATCCAGACGCTGACCATCTGCCGATTCTTCGCGGGGGTCTTCGGCGCCAGCCAGGTGACGGTCGTGCCGGCAGTCTTCTCTGACATGTTCGACGACACGCACCGCGGGGTCGCCCTGATGGTGTACTCGCTGACGGTGTTCGTGGGGCCGTTCGCAGCGCCCTTCATCGGCGGGTTCATCGTGGACAGCAGCCTGTCCTGGCGATGGGTACTGTACATTGCATCCTTCATGGGGTTCGCCAGCACGGCACTATATCTGCTCTTCGTGTCCGAGACCTATCCACCAGCCATCCTCAGCCAAAAGGCAGCGACGCTGCGCCGACAGACGCACATCTGGGCGATCCACGCGAAGCAGGACGAGGTGGAGATCGACGTGCGCGAGCTCATCCACAACAACTTCACGCGGCCGCTGCGCATGCTCGTCCAGGAGCCCATCCTGCTCTTCGTGTCGCTGTACATGTCGTTCATCTACGGGATTGTCTACGCCTTGCTGGAAGCCTACCCGTACGTCTTCCAACACGTCTACGGCATGAACCAGGGCCAGGCGGGACTGACCTTCTTCGGCCTGATCATCGGTCTTGTTTGCTCTGTGTCGTTTATGGTCTGGCAGCACCGATATTATGTCCGGAAGTTGGTGGCGAACAACCACCGTGGGGTCCCCGAATGGCGTCTGCCGCCTACTGTCGTCGGGGCGCCGGTGTTCACCGTGGGGCTGTTCTGGTGTGTTTTCCTTCTCTAAACCGACATCAACTAAATCATCAATCTGACGAGAACAGGTTCGGCTGGACAGGCTTCACGCCCTCCATCCACTGGATGTCCCCCACAGCATCGGGGGTGTTGATCGGCTTTGGATTGCTTTGCATCTTCCAGCCGTGTTTCAACTATCTAGTAGACACATACTTGACACTGTAATCCTCCTCCCCTTGTCTCCTCCCTCTTTATGTCTTCCACTGATGAAACAAAAGAGTCGCCTCCACAATCGCCGCAAATATGATGCTCCGATCCGCCATAGCAGCAGGCTTCCCACTCTTCTCGAAGCAAATGTTCGCCAATCTGGGCATACAATGGGCGGGGACGTTACTGGGGTGCTTGGCTGCCGCTATGGTGCCAATTCCTGTTTTGCTTACGGTTTATGGGCCTTGGATACGGGGGAAGAGTAGGATGATTCGTCATGGTGGTTAGAACTGATGATATGGTATGTGTGGTTAGTGGAGACTGGCTGTTGGTTTTTTTTTTTTTTTTTTTTTTTTTTTTTTCAATCTTTTTTTCAATCTTTTGTTCTAGCGATTGTTTAGCTTGTATAGCTGATAGCACTGCGTTTGTTGCGTCTGCATCTGGAATCTAAAAAGGCGTCTATTGTATTATTCCCTATATAGATAGGTGGGTTATATAGGCGAGATTGCATTCAGTAAGGCAATAAAGATCCAAACGAAGGAAAAAGTTAAAGATATACGTGACCACACACAAAACACAACTATCTATCTATACATGAAGGTAGAGGCACCCGCCCACAATAGATCAACACCAGAGAAACAAAATCAAATCAAGTCCAAAACAGACTTCAGATCCTGCAACCGCTGAACCAACAACTCCGTATTGTCCGCCTCCTGCTGCATCACCTTCTTCAGCTCACGCACGGCAGCCTCCATCGGCGCCTTGCTCTTATCCGTCGACAGACGATTAAACCTATGCTCAGCAATACTGATCGCCTGTTTCGCCTCACGGATGCGGTCCCAAAACGCCACCGTCCCATTATAGTACTCCGTCTCCTCAAACGGCACCTCCCAGCTAAGCGGCGAGCGCTCAACAATATCCAACCAGTTCGACATATGAACCCAGCGCTGGTCCCCCAAGCCAGGGAAGTGCACGAGGAGGTTCCCGCGCTTGCCCTCGTAGGCGTGCTGCCACTCGTAGGCGTTGATCCAGGTCCGGGGCAGGAACACCGCGCCGTCGGCGTAGCCCGTGCCGTTGAGCCCGCCGTTGGAATTCCTCAGCACGCGCGCCATGGCTTCTTGGTCGTCGGAGCGGCCGAGGTCGGCGTCGGGTTTGTAGAGCGGGTAGCCGAGCGCCTCGATGAGGAAGTTGATGGTCCAGGGGTGGATGTGCAGGAACATGATGCCTGTGTTGAGGCCGTTGTGATCCCGCGTTGCGACGAGGTGTACGTCTTCGCTGATGTCGTAGGGCGGGAGGAAGGCTTCGAGGGGGACGGCGCCGTTGATGAGGATTGAGTCGGCATCGACCCACCTATGATATCTTTGGTTAGACTCTCTCACATTCTGTGATCAAACTCATGGAATGAGACCGGGATAATATGCATACATCAACCATTCCACCCGCTCAGACGGTGGCTTCGCCATCTCCTGGATCACCAGCGACACCAGATAACTCGGTTTATTCCAGAACCCGACAGAGATGTCCTGGCGCAAGACATGCATGGGATACCCCCAGCGTCTGGCATGGCGGTCATGGGAGTCGATCGCTCGTTCGTACAGGGGGTTTGGCTTCCCATACAGCATGGTCGCTTTGGCGAGGCGCCGCGAGTAGTATCTCTCGGGGTCTTCCGCAGGGCGCCATGTTGGCCGTTCCTGTCCGGTAAACACCCACAGGGTGCATATCAGAAGTGAACAGAGGAGGATCACGACCAGAGGCCGTCGTTGGTAGGTCTGGCGCATGACAAACATGTTGTTCCGACGTTGAGGGAATGACGCATCCCTGGTTGATGCTTCTATTGTATTCTTTAAGTGGCGCGGATGTAGGACATGTTCCTATTCCCAGCGTTGCATCTGTCTAATCTTGTCTGTTCGAGGATCCACTGGTCTATAGCCTTGTTTGGTGACATTGGGACTATCTCGTCTCGCCGCATCCGGGGGTTTCCGTTTGCGGGTTGGTTAACGGGATATTTTAATCTTGACATTCCTGATAGATGTCAAACAGTGAATGTCTTCCTGTCATGATAAGCCCCTTCCCGAGTAACCAAGGATGATGCTACGTCTTCCTGTAGCGAGGTAGATACTTCGTCGGCTCTGTGTCCAGACATTCTGAACCCATATTCCATCGAAGGCCATGATTTTTCCATGGTGGGAGATCCCGTGGACGACTCGGCCTGTACACCGTGTTGATTCGGCATCATGACTGTTTCTGTCATAAATTCATAGATCAGTTGAGAGGATTTGTTCAAAGTATGGAAGGTTCTTTGCCCTCATATTTGTATCGACGGCCATGATGTGCATAGTTAGACCATATGTATGCATGACTAATAATACAATATACATAAATCATGTGATTTGTGGTGGTAGCCTCAGGCGTCTCTTGGATTCACTCAAACATTTAGAAATAAAAAGGAGACAGAGGAAGAAGAATACTCAAACCATGATTGGGATCTCATTGCCTGGCTACAGCTAATTCGATCCAGAAACCGTTCCTTGTCGGTCGGTCGACGGTCCCATGTTTCCCACCGGATAACCGTCTGCCGCTCCCCACAGCCAACCCCAATCTGTGGAGACGTGTGGAGAGGCTGTCCATGCATACATTGGCATGATTTGCGGAGTCCAGATAAGAATGGCTCCTTGTCTGGTTAGAATCCTGACAATATATTGTCCTCGACCATATTCGAGTTATACGCCAGATGACACACACCACACCCACAGGCGAATATCGCCAATACCTGCCGGACTTGGGCCTGAAACGGTTCCAGGTGATGCGCACCCAGGATGCCCACGAATACGCGCATGATTTCAAGACCCTCGCCGTCCCGCCCTGGTTGCATGCGCTGTACATGCACTGGCTGGAGCTGCTACAGGAGCCATTCAAGGGCGTCACCGTCGATGGTATGTGTTTCTCTGACCACGGCTTTCAACGCTGACGTCGCTGCAGGGAATGTCCGACCAGGCTTGTTCACCCTCCAAGACGAGGGCATCCCGATGCAGGAGATCGTCGACGCGGTACATGCTGTGGAGGCAACCCTGGACGACAAGCAGCAGCAACGACTGCACTACCACATTGACTCCCCCGAATGGCGCACATGGTCGAACCCTGAGTTCCTCCTGAGCGACAAAGGCCTCCGGCTAGACGAGGTGTCGACGGGGACCCGCGGCGCCGTGATGAAGGTGCTACAGGCGACACTATCACCAGAAGGTTACGACAAGGCGGTCAAGGCGATGCGCATCAACCACTTTCTCGGCGAGCTGGTAGAGTCGCCGCGGGTGATGAACGAATTCAGCTACAATTTTGTCATCTTCGGCCGACCGTCGACGACGCGACCATGGGGCTGGTCTTTCTACGGCCACCACCTCTGTTTGAATGTATTCCTGTACCGCGGGCAGTTGGTCGCGTCGCCCTGGTTTACAGGCGCCGAGCCCAACGAAATTGACAGCGGACCGCACGCTGGCACGAGGATCTTGCAGGTCGAGGAGTCTCTGGGACTCCAGCTGATGCAGTCACTAAGCCCCCCACTGCAGGAACATGCCCGTGTGTACAAGCAAGTGCACGACCCCGCAATGCCACCGGGCCGCTGGAACCGCGACGACCAACGCCATCTCTGCGGCGCCTACCGGGACAACCGGGTCGTTCCGTACGAGGGGATTACCGTGTCCACATTCTCCGAACAACAGAAGACCCTCCTATACGACATCCTCGAGCAATACCTGCTGTACTTGCCGGCACGGGCGCGCCAGATGAAGATCGACCACATCCGGCAGTACGAGGCCGAGACGCACTTCTGCTGGATCGGTGAGTTTGGGAACAATGATCCTTTTTACTACCGTATCCAGAGCCCTGTGATCCTAGCCGAGTTTGACCACCACTCGGGAGTGTTTCTCAACAACGAGGAGCCGAAGAAGTTCCACATCCACACGCTTCTGCGCACGCCCAACGCTGGCGACTATGGGAGTGCGTTGCGGCCGCTGATTCCGGCGACCGAGGGACTGAATGGAACGGAGATTAAGTGGTAGAAGCCATCTAGTTAGAGATTGCAATGGCAGGTTCATATCTTGTCATAGCATACTACACCTACTGGCAATTCCAACGTGATTTTCGCATACTGGCACTTCCGTGTTGACTACAGAACGATTCGTCGAACAAAAGTAAATAAAAAACAAAACACCGCTTCAATACAGGAAGCAACCGAAATTGTGTATTTAAATTAGTATAGTAAGTCCCGACAGAAAGTTGTTGATGGAGCTGTTGGCACCCCACTGTTACATGGTTAAGACCTTCGGACTCACAAAGACACCCCTGATGGGATTCGGGAACAGATTGATGCAGAGCAGCAACAGCTACTTGGAAAACAGCACATAATTCTCATCATACTGCAAGCCAGTTGGTTCGTCCACCGATCAAATTCAACTTTCTGCCAACGCCATCTCCTCAGGGCCCACAGCTATTTAAGATAAGCTCACCAACTGGTTCTCCCCTTCTCTTGCCGTATCGAGCCCCTGCTCTTGCTGGTGTAATCATAATCCCAGATCTACTACTAGATAAAGCAGTGATGGAGCATAGCGACTGGCGATTATCACAAGTGGACACGCAGATATGTGATATGTCGCCTTAACAAATGACCCAGATCTCAGGCAGATACGCAAGGGCCAAGTCCCGAATTCCTCTGTCAATCAGGGCGTGATCATTGGCGTAGCCCGTCGTTGTATCGAAGAGATCTTAAAATAGTCGGATAAGTACGAGCCTGCTCGTTGAATAGTAGAGTCTACGAGAGATCCTGGCATCTCTACACAGCACGTGTATGTATTTCCCAGCAGCATTCCTAATACATTCGGTTCAACCATCGGTGCTCTTACATTGATCTAGTATAACTGTCCAGAAGTACTGGCAGCAGCACACGTTATCGAACTAATTAACGCGAAACACGAACCGCGCTGGATATGAAGGGATGCATCGATGACCACGTAGATGATGCGAGACTGTCTACACCAGCGCCAATTAAAGATCGCCACACCTCAGTTGTTGGAGAAGGAGAATCGACTTAAAGACATAAGCCACCTCTAGATTCTTCTTCGTTTACCCCCGCTTTCACTTTCTTTCCCTTCTCCCACCAACCAAGATAGCATCCGTTGTAGGGAAACGGCACCGATCAACCGTCATGGAGCAGCCAACTCACGTCATCGATCCAGACGGCGAAGTGATGATAGTACTACGGAATGCAGATTCTCATTTTGCAGAACTGAATGATAATCTCCAGGATACAGCTACAGAGTCAATCCACCCTGAAGCGTTGCCAAAGCCGACATTTAAGAAGAGCAAGAAGGGGGAAAAAAAAAAAAAAAAAAGAAAAAACAAGTGCCAGATCCTCTGAAACCAAAATCAGTGCCAATAGAAGAGCCTGCCGTGACTGAAGCGCCTACTGGAACTGGGGTTGATGAGCAGCCAGAGGATGATTGCCCCCGCATTCAAGTCTCGGCAAAGCATCTAATTCTTGCCTCCCCGGTTTTCAAAAAGATACTCACTGGTGGCTGGAAGGAAAGTGTTACCTATCTGCAAAAAGGGTCAGTCGAAATTACTGCAGAGAGCTGGGATATCGAAGCACTCTTGATTCTACTTCGCATCATCCACTGCCAATATCACCATATACCGCCAAAGCTTACCCTTGAGGCGCTCGCGAAGGTTGCTGTTCTAGCCGAATATTACGACTGCAGGGAAACTGTTCGCTTTTTGGGGCAGATATGGATCAAAGCCCTGGAGGAGGTCATTCCCTCTACATATTGCCGAGATTTGATCCTGTGGCTATGGGTTTCCTGGTTTTTCCAGCTCCCTTCCCAGTTCAAACAAGCTACCTCAACTGTCATGTCACGGTGTAACAAATGGGTTGATAACCTGGGGCTTCCAATCCCCAATAATGTCATCAGTAAGGACAAGAGAACCTTCAACAATGCTTGATTAATAATGGGAAACAGGATCGATGGATGACCGCAGACAGGGAGCTATCACTGACTTAGTTCTCCGACTCCATGAGACCCGTGAGAAGTTTCTGAGTGGCAGCCGAGGCTGTGGCTATGAATGTAGCTCAATTATGTATGGAACTCTTACAAAGCAAATGCAGTCGAATGCTCTGCTTTGGCCGAGGCCTGAGGTTCCTTTCCTCGATTTGAACTATATATCTCTCGTGCAAAGAGTCTTATCGTTCAAATCGCCAGGATGGTACGATGGATCGTATGGCGACTACCAGCACTTGTGCGTTGACTCATCCTTCAAATCGCTCTTTGGCCAGTTGAACGATATCATTGAAGGTCTTGAGTTAGATAGCCTTATTCATGGATCGACAGGGTAATCTCCAATATCACCTTGCCAAGATAAAGGGCGTCCCTGTCAGTCACTTTCTTGCTGGCCTAGCAGAGATATTAGTAAAATGAGAGACATCCTGTCGTTTAGGCGGACTTGTGCTAAAACCACTTGAATTACTCAGCCTCTCCTCGCCCTCGGTCTTCTCGCTATACAATGAAAAGGGTTGGTCTCCTTCGCATAAAAAGTCAAAGCTAGCGTATCTGGCAAGAGCCCTGCTAATATTGTACTTTGACACATCTATGCTGGTTCTATCTAATCAGAGATCTGCCAGCTCGTTCAGATATAATGTTGACTTTATGAGAAGATAGCCATAAAGCGCTTCGAATATGAAGATTGTACTGATCTGCCAGCGGCCAACACCAACTAGGGGAGCTCTTGCCCTGCTGAACGACTCAAAGTGTGAGCAGATGGAATAAACCGATCTTTTTGCTGCACTTGGCAAGATTCGCTATTGGGTCATATTAAGTCCATGATAGATTCAAGCATAGATAGAGCGAGCCTTGGCGCCATTATCACACTCAATAGGGATGCATGAGATTTGGGCTGGGACTGGAGAAGATGGCGACGGAGGGTTGTTTGGAAGCGTGAAGTCACGAATCTAAGCCAGTTGGTATGTATAGTTCATTTATTATATCAATCCCCAGGAACTCCCGGGCCGATATAACTCTATACTAGGTAATTCCCCATACGTCATCGGTCGGACTACCCCATTTCCCGCCGTCCACGAAATAAACACCCACTCACCTCCACAACTCTACAACTTGCAAGACAAGACTCCAACTCCACAACACCATATTTTTCGAAATGGCCTCCCCCCACCACAAATACCTCCAATCGTGCCTCGCCCTAGCCGAGAAATCCCCTCCGCGCCCCACCAACTTCCGCGTCGGCGCCATTCTCGTCTCGCGCAAAGCCCAAGACGACCTCTACTACGAAGATGACCGCGTTCTCTCAACCGGCTACACAATGGAACTAGAAGGCAACACGCACGCCGAACAATGCTGTCTGTCCAAGTACGCCGCGGCGCAGGGCGTGCCCGACGATCGCATCGCAGAGGTCCTGCCGTCCGAGGCTGGCCGCCAGCTCGTGATGTACGTGACGATGGAGCCGTGCGGGAAGCGGTTATCAGGAAACCAACCCTGCGTGCAGCGCATTGTCGACACGCGACGGGGGGATCGCCGAGGGGTCGAAAAGGTGTATTTTGGGGTCAAGGAGCCTGAGACGTTTGTGGGGGCGTCGGAGACTTGTCGGCGGTTGACGGATGCGGGGATCCAGTGGCGGGTGGTGCAGGGTCTCGAGAAGAATATTCTGTCTGTTGCGACGGCGGGGCATGAGAACAGCGAGGAGGAGGTCCGGGCTGCGTTGGATAAGGTCGAGACGAGGTTGGATGATGTTAGTGAGGACGAGCGGGAGAGACAGCGGCGGGTGCCGAGGAATCCGAAGAAGCGGATGGTGGAGGTGGATTTGTTGGGATGATTTCTCTGTTATTTCTGATTATTGTCTCGGTATCTTATTTGAGTCGTGGATGCGACTTGTTTATAGAGGGGTTGGCTTGGTGGGGTCATACAGTTGAGATACTGACTGAGTCGAGCGACAAGTATATGCAGATACCCGACGGTAGAACACCTTATTCCGCATCTTACCCAGAACCAAAAAAAAAAACCACCAAACAATCTTAAAAGATATCAAGAATCAAGATATCCATCGCATCCTGACGTTGTCGCGCTGAGATGCGGCCTGAGGCCGCGACCGATGCAAACAGCACAAAGGAAACAAACAGGGCAGCTTATCGTGCTGATAAAGCAGCCCCTCCATCCTCGCGTTATTTCCGCTTTTCGAGATCGCGCATTCTTTCTTGCCAACTGCTACTTAATAATAATATAATATTCGCTACAAATCATGGGGTCGGCTTATGCAGATTATCCTCCTTCGCTGGACTCTGCACAACAGGATTTCCTCGTGCAGAAGATCAAGGATTGGTCCGCCCAGAATGGGTTGATGATTCGCCCGGGTCATATCTCCAAGGACGTGGATCCGAACGGAGTCCTGGCGACCAATGCCCCTGTGACGGTCTTCCCCAGTCCCTTTCCCCGGTCGTGTTTCGAGCAGGCGCAGGGACTTCAGACGCTTTACAACAAACTGTATGCAGAAATCACTTGCGACGTGGAATGGTTGAGCAAGATCATGGCGGAGTAAGTAAACAGGGTGTCCCTTTCCTCCCGAGAGATGAGGGGCTGAGATATCTGTGATCGACAGCTTGATAGAGGTGGACGACTTTGTCTCCCGTCTGTGGAAGGTACACCAGGCGGTAGACAAGGAAGGATATGCGCAGACCCTCTCGCTGGGCCTCTACCGGTCCGACTACATGCCTCACGCGGGCCCGTCCGGCCTATCTTTGAAACAGATTGAATTCAACACCATCTCCTCGTCATTCGGGGGCTTGTCAACCCGTGTGGCAGCACTCCATACTGAACTCCTGAACTCGCCGGGCTATCCTTCTCACCCTCTCCTGGATTCGAATAAACCTCCCGTCAATACGGCGGTGCAAACCCTGGCTGCCGGGCTGGCAGCAGGGCACACTGCTTACGGGCCGTCCAAGTCTACCCCGGCTCTGCCAAAATGTATTCTATTTGTCATCCAGGACGGCGAACGGAATATCTTCGACCAGCTGGCCTTATCAGAGCAACTTGAACGGGTTCACGAGATCCCCGTGTTCCGTCTGCTGCGGTCTGAGATCTTGGAACACACGTCGATCCCCGCTTCTAACCCCTCCCGCCCTCTGGTCTATACCCCGCCATACGCAAAGGATGCACCGTATGAGGTGTCCACGGTGTATCTGCGGTGTTTCTACGCTCCCACGGACTACGTCTCGGAACGCGATTGGGAAGCCCGAACCCACCTGGAGCGCTCCGCAGCGATTAAATGCCCCACTGTGCTGAACCAGCTCGCTGGCTGCAAGATCGTCCAACAGGTTCTGGCAAGCACCGAGCCCGACCACCTGAAATCGTTCCTCTCCGAGACCGATCCCGCAGTGATTCAAAGCCTCCGAGATACATTCGCGCCGCAGTACGACCTGAACGGACGGGGCAGAGAGCTCGCTTTGAACCCCGTCACCGCCGCAAACCACGTCCTCAAGCCCCAGCGGGAAGGCGGCGGAAACAACATCTACAAGACCGATATCCCCGACTTCCTGCGATCCATTCCTGAGAGCGAGTGGAAACGGTGGATCCTGATGGAGCTGATCACGCCCCCGGACGCCAAGAACGTGGCGCTCCGCAGCGATGGTGAAGTCCTGAGCGGCAACGTCATCTCGGAGCTGGGCATCTACGGAACGATTCTGTGGGACCAGAAAAGCCGGGGTCAGATCCTGCACAACGAGGAGGGTGGGTGGCTGCTGCGGACCAAGGCTAAGGATGTCAACGAAGGAGGTGTTGCGACTGGGTTTTCTAGTCTAGACGGTATTATACTGTTTTGAGCATATTGATAGATCGGTATACTACTTTTTGTGTAGGGCGACATGCCCGTCCGCAAATAGATACGGCATAGACTACTATCAGATTCCAGATCGATCAATTGGTTTGTCGATGTAATGCTCCCACGACTATCATTAACTGTCATATTCCAGTAAATCAACAACCCTCGCGTCCTTTTATCGCTCTCGAATACTATGCAAACCACTATCTATATACGAAACTCCCAAACCTAAAGCGTCTCTTCGACCTCCCGCACCACCTTCCGCACGCCCTCCACCTCATGAGCAAACCGACCCAAGAACATCCCATCGACAGCCTTACCCAAGCCACCAGGACCCCACAACCCAGGGCCCGCACTACCACCATACAAGATCCGCACATCCCCTTTACGCTGACCCACCACGGCCTTGATGCCCTCCACAACAGCAGCAATGTGATCCACACCAGCCGGCTTCGGCTGGCCGATCGCCCAAACAGGTTCATACGCAAAGATAACAGGAGCGTCATCGGGAATCGCACGCAGCACGGCCCTCACCTGCACTGCACACTCCTCCACCGCCAACCCCACAGCCGCAGACGCGACCGCCCCAGGAGCCGTCACCTCCCCGATACAAACAAGCGGCACCATACCCTGTGCGCACGCCGCGGCAGCCTTCTTCGCCGCCTGCTCGTCCGTCTCGCCGAAGATAGCACGACGCTCAGCATGGCCCAACTCGACGATAGAGACGCCCATTTCGTGGAGAGCCTGCGGGGAGACCTCACCCGTGTATGCGCCCTGGGGCTCCCAGAAGCAGTCCTGGGCGCCGAGCAGGAAGGGCGGGGGCTGGGAGGGGTCTTGGGGCTGGGAGGCGTTGTATTTCTGGATGATCTCGTTGCAGGGGTAGATGGTTAGGAAGTCCGGGATGAGAGCTAGGAGGAGCTTGGTGCGGTTTGCGGGCCGCACGATGTCGTTTTGTGGGGCGAGCAGCCCCTGTAGGTATTCGATGGTGCGGGTGGGGTTGAAGTACATCTTGAGAGAGATGATGAGGAGGTTTTTGGGGAGGACGGGGTAGGTGATGGAGGACATTTTGGTGGGTGGCTCTGTTGGGCAATTGTAGATTCTTTGTCTTTTCTGAATTGGAACTGAAGGAATCATTGAAGACAGGAACCTGGATGGATCTGCAGAAGATGAAGATGAAGCGGTCAAACAACGCATACAAACGCGACCGAAAGCGGAGTGCGGGGGCAGATAAGATTGCGGCCTGGATTGCGGGGGTTTGTTTGTGTGGTTTGTTGACAGGCTGACCGCACTGCTCACCGCCTTTGAATATTCGTTTTTTTTCCACTTTTTTTATCCTCACTGAACAACCTTGCGACTTATTGCCAAGTACATTACAATCTTGGTTTGCCATGTCCTTATAGCCTGATTACCATGTCTCTCTACTACGATGCTGTCTCGATCTTGACCGCGCCCGCCTCCACCGGTGGTTCTTTCAAATCGCGCATCTACAACGCGCGCAATATAAAGGCATCCCCAGCGCAGATCTATGCGCTGGTCATCGAGGCTTCAAAGTGGGATATTCTCCTTAAGGAGGTCATTGAGAATGCCGGGATTCTGAGCTTAGAGCCGAAGGTAAATATTCTCCACGTTCGGTCTCGCGAAGACCCAGCCGGAGCACTGTCGGGCCGGCCCTCAAAGTGGTTATCGCTGACTGACCAAGTGGACTACTAGTTAACTCCGTTGCTTGCACTACTCCTGGTACACGATCACCTGATAGCGAAGAAAGGAATCGCGGCTCCAGCGAACCATGCCCTTCGACAGGCCGTGGAGAGACACAAGGCAAGGCTGAGGGCGGAGTTCACCAAGGCCCGCGTGAGGCGTGGATGCGCCTCGGTCGAGACGCTGAAGGATGCGGTCCGGAAAGAGAAGATCGCCTCTCTTGGGCCGCAGGCTGCCGCTGCAGCAATCTATCCGCGCTGGGTACGGGTCAATAATATTCAGTCCACTGTGGAACAGCAGTTGGCGACGACGTTTGCCGGGTATCAGCGGGTCGAGGCGCTGTCGCAGCTCGTAGGAGACGACAATGATAGCGCTCAGGATCAAGGGAAACGTCCAGGGCTAGGTGACAAACAGCAGCGGAGGTTTCGTTTGGACCCGCACATCCCAGATCTTCTCGCCATTGCACCCGGGATGGACTTCACCTCCTCCCAGGCGTACAAGAACGGCGAGATCATCCTCCAAGACAAGGCGTCTTGCTTTCCGGCCTACCTATTGTTAGGCGATGACGGATCTTGGCAGGGAAACATGATCGATGGGTGCGCAGCGCCGGGTAACAAGACAACCCATATGGCTTCGTTGTTAGCTAAACAGTCTGCCGGGAACCGCATCTTTTCCATCGATGCTTCACCAGCTCGGGCGAAGACCCTGCATAAAATGGTCACTGCGGCCCATGCCAATTCCACCGTGACGGTTCTCGCAGGCCAGGATTTCCTCGCATTGGACCCTGATGACTCCCGGTTCGCCGATGTCACCCGGTTACTGCTCGATCCGAGTTGTTCAGGCAGCGGGATCATTGGCCGTGATGACGTTCCCAAGCTCGTCCTTCCCGGGACTACCACATCGTCCGACAAATCTAAATCACGTAATCAGGGCAAAAAGCGCAAGCGCCGTCATGATGACGAGGCAGACACTTCGAGCGACTCCCCTGCAGATTCGACAATCACCCTATCCACCAGCGACGAGAATGAGCTCGCAAGTTCGCATCTTGACCCCGAGCGTCTGAACAAATTGTCCAATCTGCAGGCCCGGATCGTGGAGCATGCGCTCGAGTTCCCAGCAGCCACCCACATCACGTACAGCACGTGCTCCATCCACATGACCGAGAATGAGAGCGTCGTGTCTCGTGTGCTCGCCTCTGACGTAGCGAAGCGACGCGGATGGAGGGTTATGAGACGAGATGAGCAGCCTGCTGGCTTGAGAAAGTGGCGCCATCGGGGGATCAAAACGGAGCCGATTGAAAACGATAATGGTTCCAGCCAGCCGAGTCCCAGCATCGACCTTTCCGATGAGGATCTGGAGGGCTGCTTGCGTTGCTGGCCCGGGGACGACGAGGGATTGGGCGGGTTCTTCGTCGCAGGATTCGTCCGTGATGGGAGCGTGGACGACTGGTCTGGTATGGGTCATGAATCGGATGGCTTAGACGATGAGGAAGGAGATAGCGATTCGTTCGAAGGCTTTTCTGATTGAGAAGCCCCCTCCACCGCGTCCATAGACATAATCAACGAGCCATTCTTTCCATCGTATCACACTTTCCATTATCAGTAAAGCAAGTAGATCGACAACTGGCGTAGGGCTTCCTGACGCACGCGGAGCGGAAACCCACCGCGCGCTAGCATCCTAGAACGGCCTAGTACAAGACAAACACGGCAAACAGCGAGCGGAAATACATGGAGCTCTCGATCTCCGCGCCGTCTGGTGCGAATTCGTCTCTACCATATGAACCCGATGAGACTCTCATACTACGTGCCTTGACTGAAAGGTGTACAGAAATGTGTTAACCTCAGTTTATCCCACATATACCGAACGCAGACCTCCGGTAATCGTCATGTCGCGTGCGCGCAGGTCCACCCGCCGTTCAGGCGCGACAGCTAAATACACCGACGACCCCTTCGAACTAGCCGGGATCACCGTATCGGACGAAGAAGAAGGGGGAAAGGGAAAGAAAACAGATTCTACGCGACAAAAGGGCAAGGGGAAAGCGGCGGCGGTCGTCCCCGAGCATTCATCGGGCGAAGAGTTCGAAGCGGAGAACGACGTCGATGCGGAGGACGACGAAGAAGGCGACTATGTCGATGACGGTACGGACTCCGCCAACGAAGACAATGGGGATGAAGACGTGGCGTTCTCTGATGAGGGCGAATCGGTCGCCAAGGTCCAGAAAGGGACTCCAAGGTCACAGCCGCGACTTCTCAAGCAACGCCGGCCGGACGGTACCCTCGTGCAGAAGCCGGAGGATCTTCACACCCGGGGTACTTGGAATCCGCTGGAACATGTGGGGAAGGCGGTACATCTGCGTGTGACGTTTGGCAGCGACCGCAAGGACCTGCTGTCAATTGTGTATGTGAGGGACCGATGGGCGGGCGGTATCGATTCGACGCTTCCTTCGCGGGCCACGCTCAACGGCGCAGCGTCTCAGCCGGATTATGAGTACGGGTCGACCTGCGGGGCGGAGCCGGATGCTGTGCGGAGAGAAATGACCAGGGGCTGGGATTGGTACTACAGCGCGGCTGTGGGCGCGCGGTTTCGCAAGCGACAGCGACTGGAGAGCGTCGCGGAGGAGGAGGCTCGTCAGGTGTACATACCGCAGGTGAAGGACAAGAAGCATACTGTGCTCATGGGACCAGCGGATGACCAGACGGTTTTCGAGCTTGCTCAACACGACGTGGTCGACTTTGGTGAAGCCTGGGAAGAGGAGATGGGCCTGAAAGACTCTTCTACACGCGAAAAGAAGCCGGGTAGCAAGTCCTCTCCCGCCGCAGAGCCAAAGCAGTCGCGGCGGAAAAAGCGACAGGGCTGGATGATTAACTTTGGGCAGAAGGTGCAATGTATGGCCTGGGCTCCTAACCAAGGTGGCCTCACACAGTATCTGGCTGTGGTGGTTCCGATCTCCAAAGAGCAAAAAGATCGCTACCCAGATCCTATGAAGGACCAAGCTGCAGCCTCGTTCCGTCCCTCACCTCCCTACTCATGCGCCCTACAGATATGGGCTTTCAAGGCGGAACGGTCTGATTCTCTCACTAAAACTCTGGATATGAAGTTCAAGCCCCGGCTGCGGTTGGCCCTCTGCACAGACTGGGGGGATCTCCGGCGGATAGCCTGGTGTCCAATGGCTCGCGAGACGCGAGACGAGGATGACGAGGAACCACTCAAAAACATTGGACTTCTAGCCGGTGTTTGGAGCGATGGCTATGTTCGAGTGATTGATGTCAAACTGGGCCGTGACCCTAGTAAGGCAGAATTCTGTAAGACCGCTCTACTCCTGGCAGTTCTATACACACCATTAATCTCGAAACAGACAAAGCCCACTCCCCTGTGTTCGAAGCGAAACCACCTTCGACCGTCTGCACATGCGTAACTTGGCTATCACCGAGTGACATCGCCGTCGGCTGTGCCAACGGTTTCGTCGCTATATGGAGCATTGCCCCAACAGCAAACTCCCCACAAAACCCTCTACCCTACTTCTACCAACCGATCCACTCGACGTACGTCCTCAATGTTGCCTCGGCCTACCCAACAAGCCCCCATCTACTATCGACAACGTCCATGGATGGCGAGACCCGCCTATCCTCAATCATCGACTATCAAACAGACATGGTAGCAACGCACCGCATGCGCGCCGGATCGTCCCACCTCACCTACTCCCCACTCCTGCACTCATTCATCTCCAGCGACGAGAACGACTTCGCGCGCCTCCTCGCTATCCGCCGCTTCTACACGACCTCAGCCGTCGCCCGGCTGCCAAGCACCGTATCAGCCCTAGCACCCAGCAGCACCTGGCACCCGAGTCTACTCTTCGGCTGCACATCCGGATCCGTCATTGCCACCAACCCCCTGCGCCGTCTCCTACACAGCAAGGAAAAGCAATGGCAGCAGACGTGGTTCACGCACGAGTGGGCCAAAGCGACAGAGGCAGACAGCTCCGGCGTCAGCCGGTTCTACGACGGATACCGCGCCGAGAGCGTGAGTCTCCTGCGCAACATGATTGGCGATCGCAAGATGGTCAACGGTGTCATGGTCATTACTATCTTCGATGAGGAAACCCATGTCACTGCTGTGTCGTGGAACCCGAACCAGACGTGTGCGGGATGGGCTAGCGCCGCGCTGGGATGCGGGTTGGTAAGAGTCGAGGATTTGGCCATTTAACTTACGATATGACGGGGTGAATGGATATTTGCTCCATTGATCAATGCGCACCTCAGAGCAACAGCATGCCAGATCTTGAAAGTCCAGGCTCACGGCCTCAATCAATGGTGTTTCGCTCGATACACTCATAGTTCTCTACTGGAGGTAGTGATCACAAGAGCGGACGGGTCCAGGGATCAATGCTTATATAGTGTATGATTCTACACTTAAGTGCTAATCACCGGTGCATCATGGCTCCTGAGGCCTCTGGGACAGTGAAACCTTTCGAATTCTCACTGTGATTGCCCAAGGCAACACATCCCGTGTCTGGGAATGACAGAAATGTCAGCAACTACTTCGATTCTACTTGAGATAGAACAGACAGGGTCAGTAATGGAGGTCTGTTCGAGACAGACATACACACGCCACCCATGCGGAACTCGACAGTCAGCTGCAAAACAGCAGATATCTTGATAATTCCCTTACATCGATGTTTCCTGGATAAGCGTTCTCCGAGCTGTCTTCAGCACCGCAACCTAACCATGCTTTGAGGAAATGTGCCTCCTTAAGCAAGCCTCAATCCATAGTTGGGAAACTCTACATAGGCATGTCCGGAAGGCGTCAGCTGGGCTTCGAGGAGAGAGCTTTGGCTTGGGACAACCTCGATACCCTGCACACCTTTTTACCGGATACTTGCAATGTCAGATACAGACTTTTACATAGCAATATATCCTATACTTTGCCGTATACTCTCTTTGAGACCCGTTCTATCTTTATGTCAACGGTGCGTTACGACATGTTTTGACAATCGCCACCGTGTTCATGATTAGGTGCATGTTAAATAGACCATTTGAGGGTACACTTTCAATATCAACGCAAATTAGGCTTCAACCACCCCATCTATTACACATTCTAATTATTCTAGAGTATCTCAAGTCAATACGAGAGGTTGCTGCCTTGTCGCCTGAGATCGACTGCCCGATCCGGCTAGCGTGTGTGGCGGGTCCGAGCGTCTCTGCTCTGGTTTTCTTTGCGCTCTCAAGCAGGTTTCAATCCATCTTTCCTCTCGGTTTATCCTCTTTTTTCTATCGAAATCCTCCATCACCCCCATCATGAATCGGATAGGTAGGCTGTCCCTGCCGTTGCGACCGCCGGTATGTCTGTTCTGTCAGACTCGGACGACAATCCTTCCCTCTTCGCCGACAGGGCAGGCCATCCGCACCATGGCGACAGGTCGCCGCAAACCCGCCGCCCGAATGGCCCTATCCTCGAACGTCGCAAAAACTTCCTTGAAAGAGAAGCGGTCTGATCGGCGCGGAGCTGGCCCGTTCCAAGGCATGAATCAGACAGACGCTCGGATACGTGGGCCGCCGCGTCCCAGATCATCCGCTGCTTTGAAGCGCTCGGGGGAAAAAGAGGACTCCACGGAGAAAAGTGAAAGTCCGTTGTACAAGGCGTTGAAGATGCAGACGACTTTGACCCCGATGCCGTACGGTCGTCGCGCGGCGGTCAAGTCCAAGATTGCCGATATCACGAGTTTCGACCAGTTCCCGCTCTTGCCCGTCGTGCGCCACTCGATCTTTGCCCAGGCCCTCCCTGGGATGACGGACGTGACGCCAACTCCGATCCAACGGCTGGCTATTCCGAGTTTGATGGATGCGCCAAAAGGATGGAGGAAATCTCCCAAGGTGGAGAGTGGCGAGTATTCTTACGACCAGTATCTTCTGGCGGCGGAGACGGGGTCGGGGAAAACTCTGGCTTACCTGCTTCCGTTGGTCGATGCTGTTAAGCGACAGGAGGCCGCCGACAAGGAGACCGAGCAACGTGAGGCGGAACAAAAGGCGAAGGAACAGGAAGAGAAAATAAAGAACAACATCTTCGATATCGAACCGGAACCCCCGGCGCTGTCGAATGCCGGTAGACCACGAGCGGTCATCGTGGTGCCCACGTCGGAATTGGTGGCGCAGGTCGCAACCAAAGTGAAAGCATTGGGCCACGCCGTCAAATATCGATCGGGGGCAATTTCCTCCAACCTGACCCCGCGTCGGATTAAGAACACGCTATTCCATCCGGACGGCATCGATATCCTGGTCACCACGCCGCATCTTCTCGCCTCGATCGCCAAAAAGGAGCCTTACGTGCTGAGCCGCGTGAGCCACCTGGTGCTCGACGAAGCCGACTCGCTCCTGGACCGGTCCTTCCTTCCAACGACGACGGAGGTTATCGACAAGGTCACGCCCTCGCTGCGCAAGCTCATTCTCTGCTCGGCGACTATCCCCCGCAGTCTTGATACCCTGCTGCGCAAACGGTACCCGGACATCCAGCGGCTGACTACGCCCAACCTGCACGCGATTCCCCGCCGTGTACAACTTGGCGTGGTCGACATCCAGAAGGACCCCTACCGCGGGAACCGCCAGCTGGCATGTGCCGACGTGATCTGGTCGATTGGCCGGGCCGGCGACACGGAGCCGAAGGGACCCTTCGACTCATACATGGACCCCAAGGTCAAGAAGATCATGGTATTCGTCAACGAACGTGAAGAGGCGGACGAGATCGCTTCCTTCCTGCGACAGAAGGGCATTGAAGCTAGCTCTCTCTCGCGGGACTCCAGCACCCGATCGCAGGACGAGATCCTCGCGGAGTTCACCGAACAGGCCGTCCAGCCCACCGCCAAGGAGATCATGCAGGCCCAGAAGAAGCGACGCATGGAAGACGCCATTCCGTTTGAAGACGCGCAGTCCGACAGCTCGGCCTCCCGCTCGCGCACCTTGCCCAACACCCGCGTGCTGGTGACGACCGACATTGCCTCCCGCGGCATCGATACGCTCCCCGTCAAGACGGTGATCCTGTACGACGTCCCTCACAACACGATCGATTTTATCCACCGTCTGGGCCGTCTGGGCCGCATGGGCAAGCGTGGCCGTGCGGTCGTGCTGGTGGGCAAAAAGGACCGGAAGGACGTGGTGCGGGAGGTGCGCGAGGGCATGTTCCGCGGACAGGCGCTGATCTGATGGATGGAAATGAATGGATTGTATACCGTGGATGGCGTTGGGGATAGCATAAAACGACAAATACCCATATATCGCGAATATTCAAGGGTATGCACATGTATTATATTGTATAATAGACTAGACCAGAACTCATTTTGATCTGCATATCCGGTATAGACCGTCATTTAAAGTTTACCTACTAGTAGAAGATAGAACATGAACCGACAATGGTTTGCAAAGGGGGAGAACACAGCACTGAAGGAATGCAAAATTTCAATATCATCAACTAGATGCCACTCTTATCTATTACAGTTCGCACCACCCCCAATAACATTCATCTACAATCCTCCCCAACCATACTAGACATTTTCCACCAAATAACAAAGAAAATAGGACAGATTGATCAATCACTCATAGCCCTCTCCTCCAACAACTGCACCGCATTCTTCAACTCCCTGATGCGCTGACCCACCCGCCTCTTCACCTCCTGCTGCACCTCCGGCTCCAACTCCGCCGGATCGAACTGCGTGCTCACCAGTCGACCGGAATCGTCCGCATCCTCCCCCTTCTGCTGCTCAGGGCTATTTTCAGGCGGCGAGTGCTGTCTGTCCGAGGTAGGTGTCGTGTACAGCGCGTAGACACTCAAGAGATCGTTGAGGGCATCGCGGGCGGATTCGCGGTCCGAGGCGGCGTAGATGGTTGCGCTGTCGGTGCTGTCTGTTGCGATTTCGAATTCGTCTTTGGCGGTTTCGTAGCTGTTTTAGATTCTTGGTTAGTTTCTTGTATGTGTCCTTCTTGGTTGGAGTATATATATCTTGCTTGAATGGTGTAGAGTATACGGGGGAGAGGAGGGAAGACGGACAGTTCTTGGATCTCTTCAATGATGAGGTCGCTTTGGCTTTTGCCGCTTGCGGTTGTTGCGAGGGTTCTAGTAGCGTGGGCTGTGGGAGCTCGTAGGGATCGAGAGCGTAAGTAGTGGTGGGTGCGTGGAGGGCTTGTCCGGGAGAGGGAGGCGGCGTGGCTCAGATTGCGGAGTGGCTTAGGCGAGAGGGCGATACGGGGAACAGAATGGAGGAGTTGCGAGGAGGGACGCGTGATGATTTGTGGGGATCGGAGAGCGAGCATATTGAATCAATGGCTTTCAAGATCAATTGATGGACTGAGGTTATTGTAGTGGTGTGGTTGTTGAGGATATTGAGGATATATAGAATGACGTCGTTTTCCGATCTTATCTAATCGGAGTGCCGTGTTTGCCGTCTTTATCTGGTTTGCATGGTTTGTCCGAATTGTGAGTGGTGGCGATGAATAATCATGCATGGCATGGATTAATGAATGGAACGGTCGGATCTGACGCTCGTCTCAGATTGATTATTGTTCTTTTGTCCTGAGTCTTCTCTCTGTTTTCAACATACGTCCTTATATATTGATTGATTGATTGACCGTGTCTCTGAAATCCATTCTTTATCTCGAATCCACCAGTCGAGGTCTATCGTTTCCCGCTCCAGTTGATCCCCCTGATAGTTTCTTGGCGGTTTCGGGCTCGATTCTAGTCGCCTAAGGCTGGGAACAATTAATTCACTTGCCGCGTCCCCACGTCATCTTAAACTTTCTGCCTTTTTCTTTCGTGTCTTCTCTTTTTTACTCTTATCGCCTAGCCCAGTTTGATCTGTTCTATGGCTCGTGGGTGGTTTATGTTCGACAGCTATTAATTTCACTATCCCCCGTCTGGTCCTGATTCCGAGATAGCCGTCCTTGACCAGCTGCACGGTATCAGCACAAGATGGCGCAGGCCGACCCATATGAGGAACCGGGCTACCGAGCCGAAGAGAGCAATGAGAAGACCCAAGTCAAGAAGCCAAAGTGTACGCATGCTCTTCAAGAACTGTTTCGGTCGCGTGCTCGGTCTGGACCGACTGCGATCCCCCCAAGGTTGTGATCACGAAGCTGACCAGGTCCCGCCACCGGTAGACAATGACTTTGCGCAACAGCGGCTCAAGGCCTTCCAGTAAGCCAGAGCCTCGCAGCCAAATCTCTGCGGGAAATCTCTTCTAATCGCGACGTTTAGGCCCATGCTGACCCCGAAGACGGTGCTTCCCGTCTTCTTCTCCCTCGCCATCTTCTTTTCGCCCCTGGGGGGTGTTCTGTTGTGGGGCAGCAATACGGTATGCCATCCCCTCTTGCGATGCACCGACGTCTGTGCTATGATATGACCGTCTAACACTCTATACTTGTGCCACAGGTCCAAGAGATCCAGATCAACTACACGGACTGCCTGTACCAGGCGCCCGCCGCGCCCGACTTCTCGCCGATGCCCAAGGACAATTTCGCCCTGTCCTTCGGAGCCAAACAATCGTTCGCGCCCATTTGGCAACACGACAATACGACCACGCCGAAGAAATGCACCTTGCGATTCGACATCCCGGATACCATGGGACCCCCGGTGTTCCTCTACTACCAATTGACCAACTTTTACCAGAATCACCGCAAATACACCAAGTCCCTCAACATCCAGCAGTTGCAGGGGGATTGGGTGAGCAATCAGACCATTAACGGCGGAACGCTGAAGTGCGATCCCGCCAAGTCGGTGGACCTGGACTGCGAGACGGGCAAGGCGTACTACCCGGCGGGGGCGATCGCCAACTCCATGTTCAACGACACCTTCGACAGCCCGCAGCGGGTGGACCGCAGCGGACACATCACGGGCGAGTATCCCATGACGAACAAGGGCATCGCCTGGAAGAGCGACCGGGAGCAGTTCAAGCCCACCAAGTACAAGAACTGGGAGGTGGTGCCGCCCCGGTACTGGGTCGAGCGCTATCCGGGCGGCGTGTATACCGACGAACACCCGATCCCGAACCTCCAGGAGTGGGAGGAGTTCCACGTGTGGATGCGAACGGCCGCGCTGCCGAACTTCAGTAAGATGGCGTTGCGGAACGACGACGTCGCCCTGACGCCGGGCACCTACGAGCTGGAGATTGGGTACCGTACGTTTGATCCTTTTATCTCTCAAGTGTTGCTATACAAGACAGGTTTTGCTAATGCTGAGTAGGATTTCCCGTCATTCCCTACGAAGGGACCAAGTCGATTCTCCTTACGACGCGGACGGTGGTGGGCGGCAAGAACTCGTTTGCGGGGATTGCCTACGTGGCGGTCGGGGCGCTGTGTTGCTTGGTGGGTGTCGTGTTCACCCTGACGGCGGTTCTGCGCCCACGGAAGGTTGGTGATGACCAGTATCTGTCTTGGAACAGACACCACTAGTGTTGTATATATGTTGATTTGGGGTGATCTACTGGGAGTTACGACGGGATTGGATTTTGTTCTTTTCTTTTTCTAATTCTTTTTGATTGTTATTTTTTTTTTGTCGGGAGATTGTTGTGATATATTGGATTGAACTCGTTGATTTAAACCAGAGTAACCATGTAGTCCACCCACGTCCAGGGTGCAGTATAATATAGCTTGAGGTACTGAAGAACCTCAAGCTCCATATACATGCCCACTCTCGATGCCTCAGGCCAATGCCACGTCATGGCAACCATAACACAACAAGTCCAATCCGACGGAATCAAATTGCCCCAAATTGGATGGTGATAGGCGGGGACATTGCAGCATCGCCCGGGATAGACCAGCCGAAGCCGATCCATCCACGAGAACTGACACAGACGAACGCCATCTCTTCATCTTGGATTTAGTTGTGTGAGAAGAAAAAGAGAAGAAGAAGAGACGGCGGGAATCTCGTGATGACGCGTTTTAAGTCCAGGAATGGAAAAACTGGAGTTCCGAGGGTCGGAGACACTAGACCCGATTGAGTTTAGCGTGGTGGCTTTCCGCGGGCAACTGATTCCCCGTCATCACAGAAGCCCGTGATTCCGATGGAGCAAGGAACCTGTGGGTAATGCTATCTATCGAGCTGCACTTCTCCGGATTCTTTTCTTCTTCTCTACCCCTCTCACTTCGACATCCTCCTCTCCCCCACTTCTCCCCCCCCTTCGACTTCATTGTTTTCAGGTGTCTATTCAGTCACCATGCTCGGTCGTTGTAGTCGACAGGCGGCGCGGTTGATCCCGCGGGCCGCAAGCTCTCTCCCCTCGCATCTCCGCCCCGTCTCCGCCGCCATCGCCAGACCTGCTTCGCAATTGCGGAGTGTATCCTCCAACAGCGATGGACAACAACATGTGCGCATTGTCCCTAGCAAGCCGGCGTGAATGGACTTGAAATCCGGTTGACTGACGTCGTTGTAGCTGCTCTCCGCACACCTCCAGGAAGAGGACCCCACCATCTACCAGATTCTCCAGAAGGTAGGTCACATCCTTCCCATGTACCCTCAATGGCTTCGGTGGTAGTCGGAAATGGTGGGATCGTGTGTGTGTGCTGACGTTGCGGTATTCGACAGGAGAAAAAACGTCAGAAGCACTTCATTAACCTGATCCCGTCGGAGAACTTCACATCGCAAGCCGTTCTCGATGCCTTGGGCAGTGTGATGCAGAGTGAGCTTCTTCCTTTCCCCAATCCGTGGGCTGCCCCGCCAGAATAGTACTAATTGGTGTAGACAAGTACTCCGAGGGGTATCCCGGCGCCCGGTACTACGGTGGAAATGAACACATCGACGAGTCGGAGCGTCTTTGCCAACAACGTGCCTTGGAGACTTTCCGTCTCAGCCCTGAGGAATGGGGCGTGAACGTGCAGCGTAAGTCGATGGAAGAAATTGAGGGAGACGAGACTGGAGGAGGATGAAGCTAACGCATCAAAACAGCCCTGTCGGGCTCGCCCGCCAACTTGTATGCCATCTCCGCCTTGCTCAACACTCACGACCGTCTCATGGGCCTCGACCTGCCCCACGGCGGTCATCTGTCGCACGGCTACCAGACCCCGACCAAGAAGATCTCCTTCATCTCCAAGTACTTCGAGACCTTCCCCTACCGCCTCGACGAGTCGACGGGCCTCATTGACTACGACGCCCTCGAGAAGAACGCCATGCTCTACCGCCCCAAGCTCATCATCGCCGGTACCTCGGCCTACAGCCGTCTGATCGACTACCCCCGCTTCCGCGAGATCGCCGACGCCTCCGGCGCCTATCTCATGAGCGACATGGCGCACATCTCGGGCCTGGTCGCCGCCGGCGTGGTCCCCTCCCCCTTCAACTACTCCGACGTCGTGACCACCACGACCCACAAGTCGCTGCGCGGTCCCCGCGGTGCCATGATCTTCTTCCGCAAGGGTGTCCGCCGGACGGACAAGAAGGGCAACCCGGAGATGTACGACCTGGAGAACCCCATCAACGCCTCCGTCTTCCCCGGCCACCAGGGCGGGCCCCACAACCACACCATCACGGCGCTGGCCGTGGCCCTGAAGCAGGCGCAGACGACCGAGTTCAAGGCCTACCAGGAGACCGTCCTGTCCAACGCCAAGGCCCTGGCCGACCGCCTCGGCAACCCGCTCAACAACGGCGGCCTCGGCTACAACGTCGTGTCCGGCGGCACCGACAACCACCTGGTGCTGGTTGACCTCAAGAACCGCGGCGTGGACGGCGCCCGCGTGGAGCGCGTCCTGGAGCTGTGCGGCGTGGCCAGCAACAAGAACACCGTGCCCGGAGACAAGTCGGCCCTCAAGCCCGGCGGTCTGCGTCTGGGTACCCCGGCCATGACCACCCGTGGCTTCCAGCCCGAGGACTTCCGCCGTGTGGCGGACATTGTCGACCGGGCCGTCATCATCACGCAGAAGCTGGACAAGGCCGCGCGCGAGAGTGCCGCCTCCCAGGGCGTGAAGAACCCGGGCACCGTCAAGGCGTTCCTGAACTACCTGGGCGAGGGTGAGGAGATCTCGGATATCGTGCTCCTGCGACAGGAGGTGGAGGACTGGGTTGGCACCTTCAGCCTGCCGTGGAAGGACGAGTAAAAATATCGGCACTAGATTTTGATGCTTCGGGAGGTGTTTTGTTCATGATATCTGTTTGATGACCCTTTCAGTTTTTTTTTTTTTTCCTTTTTTTTTCATTTATTTGAATCACTATGTATGTATGCATGTACCGTAGATGACAATCCATTGGACTTCAACATGTCCATCAAACTGAAGTTATCCATCATTAGAGTGCCTGAGTCAGGATAGACCCAGATGGGAAACCTCCGATAACGGCCCGTCGGGCTTGGCATTCCTGCCCCAGGATTGCCAATCGACGGGCGTTTATTCGCCTTCGCGTTTTTTCTCCTCCGCCTTTCTTCTCTTCTCTAACATCTATTCCTCACATTATCCAACCATCTATCCGGCTGGCTGGTCACAATGACAGTATGTTCAATCCTCTCTTGGATTCGTCAATCATAATAACCCCGTCTAGTCACGATTATTGCCATCCGGTGGCCGGACGTTCTTGCGCCACGGTCCCGTCCCGAACAACTTCCAACGCCGTGCCTTTGCCTCGACGCGCCTGTACTTCTCCGATGTCTTCCACTCGCAGCTGGATGATCCGGCCTCCGCCGCCCTGTACTCGTCGTTGCAGACCTCTCGCGCCGTCCCGCAGACCCTGACCGAAAAGATCGTCCAGCGGTACTCCGTGGGCCTGGCCCAGGACAAGTTTGTCCAGTCGGGCGACTATGTCACCATCTCGCCGCACCGGGTCATGACACACGACAACTCGTGGCCCGTCGCGCTGAAGTTCATGTCCATCGGTGCCTCCAAGCTGCACAACCCCGACCAGATCGTCATGACGCTCGACCACGACGTCCAGAACAAGTCGGACAAGAACCTGCAGAAGTACCGTCAGATCGAGGAGTTCGCCAAGCAGCACGGGGTGGAGTTCTACCCCGCGGGGCGCGGCATCGGACATCAGATCATGGTGGAGGAGGGATTCGCCTGGCCGGGCACCCTGGTGGTCGCGTCGGACAGCCACAGCAACATGTACGGCGGCGTCGGCTGCCTGGGCACCCCGATCGTGCGGACTGACGGCGCCAGTATCTGGGCCACGGGTAAGACGTGGTGGCAGATCCCGCCGGTGGCCAAGGTCACCCTGACGGGCATCTTGCCCCCGGGCGTCACGGGCAAGGACGTGATCGTGGCGCTCTGCGGCCTGTTCGACAAGGACGACGTGCTGAACCACGCGATCGAGTTCACCGGTTCGGAGGAGACCATGGCCAGCCTGCCCGTCGACGACCGGCTGACGATCGCCAACATGACCACCGAGTGGGGTGCGCTGTCCGGCCTGTTCCCCATCGACGGCATCCTGCAGGGATGGCTGAAGGGCAAGGCCACGACGGCCGCCATGGGTCTGGCCGACGGGCCCTTCAAGACGCTGGCGGCGCAGCGGTTCACCCACCCGATCCTCGACCAGCTGTTCAGCAACCCGCTGACGGCCGACAAGGGCGCCAAGTACGCCAAGGAGCTCTTCCTGGACCTCTCGACGCTGTCGCCGTACGTGTCGGGGCCTAACTCGGTGAAGGTGGCCACGCCGCTGAAGGAGCTGGAGGCCCAGAGCATCAAGGTCAACAAGGCCTACCTGGTGTCGTGCACCAACTCGCGCGCGTCCGACATCGCGGCCGCCGCGAAGGTGTTCAAGGAGGCCGCAGAGAAGAACGGCGGCACGGTCCCCAAGATCGCGGACGGTGTGCAGTTCTACATCGCGGCGGCCTCCATCCCGGAGCAGCTGGCGGCCGAGGGCGCCGGCGACTGGCAGACCCTGCTTGAGGCGGGCGCCACTCCCCTTCCCGCGGGCTGCGGGCCCTGCATCGGACTGGGCACGGGCCTGCTGGAGCCCGGCGAGGTCGGCATCAGCGCGTCGAACCGCAACTTCAAGGGCCGCATGGGCAGCACCGACGCCAAGGCCTACCTGGGTAGCCCCGAGGTGGTCGCCGCCAGCGCGCTGAGCGGCACGCTGAGCGGTCCGGGCTGGTACCAGACCCCCGAGGGGTGGACGGGTGTGGTCCGCGGCGAGGGTGACGGCATCCGCGAGGAGGACCGCATGCTCACGATGGAAGAAGCCCTGGAGAAGGTCCTCGGCCAGATGGACGACCTGGTCGCCGACGGGGAGAAGAAGTTCGCTCCTGCAGAGGAGGCCACGGAGGACGCCACCGCTGACAACGACGAGGGCCTAACCCAAGTGTACCCTGGATTCCCCGAGTCCGTGTCGGGTGAGATCGTCTTCTGCGACGCCGACAACATCAACACCGACGGCATCTACCCCGGCAAATACACCTACCAGGACAACGTCCCCGAGGAGACCATGGCCGAGGTATGCATGTCCAACTACGACGCGACATTCTCCTCGATCGCCAAGGAGGGCGACATCCTAGTGACCGGCTTCAACTTCGGCTGCGGCAGCTCGCGCGAGCAGGCCGCGACGGCCATCCTGGCGAAGCGCATCCCGCTCGTCGTGGCCGGCAGCTTCGGCAACATCTTCTCGCGCAACAGCATCAACAACGCCCTGATGGGTCTGGAAGTGCCGCGGCTGATCAGCCGACTGCGCGAGAGCTTCGGCGCGGACCAGCAGGCTACGCGCCGCACGGGGTGGATTCTCACCTGGGACGTGCGACGCAGCCGTATCGAGATCCAGGAGGGCCCGAACGGACCCAAGTGGTCGCATAAGGTTGGCGAGCTGCCGCCTAATGTGCAGGAGATCATTGCCAAGGGGGGGTTGGAGAAGTGGGTGAAGAATGCGATTGATGCTTAGACTATTAAAAAGCCCCTCGACACTTAGCCCATTCGTGCTTCGCTCATTGATGCTTCGCCCATAAAGGGCAAGCCGCACTTCGTTCCCCCGTCATGTTGAATAGTGCTGGGCTCCGCAAACCCGATTATACCCACGCCGTGCAGTCGTCTGCACTGTTCATTTGTCATTTCGAGCTGGGGTTGATTGATTGATTGTTGACTGGACTGGGATTCGGCTGTTCATCTTGTAGACTACGGCTTTAGATGATTCATGTATATATAGATAGATTAAAAGTCTGACTAGAGATTTGTTCATGTTTATTTCCTCCGTATAGTATTGTTATATGCTAGAAACTGTAGACGGTTGGTCGGGTGGCCTGGGATTAGTACATTATACAAGCAAGCAGCGACTTAGGCCATCTGACGGCAATACGTGCGAGATTCTCGAATGCAGCCCTGTTGGCCTTCCCAGGGCTAGACGGGTTTTCATCGCGAACTATCTCGACAAGAGGGCACAGGTGTCGTTTGTATGTCTCTCTCTCTCTCTGTGTGTGTTATATATGCTACTATACCTATAGATGTACATGCATAGTTCCGTATTGGTCAGCTATGTGATGGATCATGTCATAGTTCCCTACCCTCAACTGTTGAAATGGAATTATTTCAATCTTCTCCGTAAAAAATAATTCAATACAAGAGAGTATCAAGAAGTATAGGCAGAATAACCCAAATACAGACCATGGAGTAGTGCGATATTGGGGAAATGGACTGATGTGTGTTGATCGACAAGTCACTGGATCTGGAATGTCGCGATCCTCGTGACTCAGAAATCTGACTCTTCCTCCACTTTCCTGCAATCTTTCTTCCTTATCCTTCATTCCTTCTATATAGTATCCAACTTATACGCGAGTCGCTCGACTGACCACGGTCCATGACCAGGTCTATCGCTATCCGAACCCCCACGATGCAGATCCACCAGGTCGGTCTTCCCCGCATTGTACTAATCATCCCCGACTAACCACGGTACGTCCGGCCAGCTCTACACCTATCCCATCAAATCCCTTCGTGGGATCGCAGTCCCCGATGCGCGTCTGACATTTACGGGCTTTGAATATGACCGTCGATTTATGCTACTCAAGGTCGTCGACGGAGACGATGGCGTCGAAACCCTGAAGAACATGCACGTGCCCCATTTCCCCGAAATGGGCCTGTTCACCACCGACATCGTCTTCCCCTCGGGCGATAAGAAACGCGACGGCAAGGTCATCGTGCGATATCACCCACCCGGCGTTGACGACAACAACAATGATGATTCGCGCGTCCGCACCCTCGAGATCCCACTCACCCCGAATGTCAAGGGACTGGAGCAGCTGGACATCCTGATGCACTCGAGTCCGACGAAAGGATACAACATGGGCAGCGCGTACAATGACTGGTTCAGCGCGTGTTTCGGATATCGTGTGGTGCTAGCGTATCTGGGCCCGCACTCGCGGCGCGTCCTGGGGAGCTTCCCCCCCGGCAAGAGCGCCGCGCACCGCGAGTCGGCCCCGCCGCTGGTGTCGACACGGTCACTGGCCGTCCTGGCGGGAGTGACTCTCGCGCTGAACCTGGTCGGCCTGTCGGTGTCCTCGTGGGCGGACGCGTTGGCATGGCCCAACCTGGCGGCGACGGCGGGCGCCGTGCTGCTGTCGAGCTTGCTGGGTCGGTATGTCTCGTCGCGCGGGGGCAAGCGCAAGGAGGAGAAGATTACCTTTGCCGACGTCGCGCCGTATCTGCTCGTCTCGGAGGCATCGGTCAACGATCTGTCCGGGCGCTTCCAGGGTGATGTCCAGATGGACGTGACCAAGTTCCGGCCCAATATCGTGGTGTCCGGGGTGGAGAAGCCGTTCGAGGAGGACTTCTGGGCGGAGCTGTCGGTGGGGGACGGACCGGCCCGGCTGCTGCTGACGGCCAACTGTATCCGGTGCTCGAGCATCAATGTCGACTACGACACGGGGAAGATGGGCACCGGGGAGGCGGGGACGGCCCTCAAGAAGCTCATGAGAGATCGCCGGGTGGACCGGGGTGCGAAGTGGAACCCGGTGTTTGGACGGTATACCTTTTTGGACCGGGGGTCGGAGAACATGCGGATACGCCGGGGAGACGCAGTGACGGTGTTGCGGCGGGCGGCGGAGCGGGAGATTTGCGGTGAGTTCTCTACGATCTATACGGCTAGGATGCTGGGACTGACATGCTACAGATTGGCCCGAGGTGGGGCAGCCTGTCGCAGCGTAGATGGACTGTAGGATTACTTATAGGCCAAAGTGTCATGGCATTTGTAGCATCGACATGCATATAGATGAACATGCCAAGACATGCAGTAGTCGTCGATTAGCAATCAACAACCCCTCATCCATTCATCTTACCTTTCTAACATCTATTTACTTTCATCGTCCTAGTACTGTATCAAAGGATAACAACATCATCATGAGTGAATTCCCTCCGGCCTCCCTCCGCCCCCTCATCCAAGAAGTCTTCGAGCTCCTTCGCGAACGGAAAGAAACCGTCTCCGTGGCAGAAACGGCACATCCCCCGACCTCTACCCCGCTATAACTTCCATCACCAACTAACCATCAATCTGTATATTTATATAGGCCGCAGGAGGCCTCACCTCCGCCTGTCTCCTCTCCAGCCCAGGCGCCTCATCCATCTACAAAGGCGGTCTAACCGTACGCCTCCAATATACCCCGCTTACTATACGCACACACTAAAGCACAACCAGGTCTACACCCTCGAATCTCGCCTCGCCTTCGCCGGCTGGACCCCCGCCCACATCGAAAACTACAAGGGCCCAACACCGGAAATCGTCGCCGGACTAGCGGAGCATGTCCGCGGCGTGCTGGGCTCAACCTACACCGTGAGCGAGAGCGGCACCGCGGGTCCTACGGGAGGGACGACACGGAATCGCACGCCGTATGTTTATCCCCCTATCCTTTTTGTGCCTCACGGGGCCATGCTCACAAACGGATAAACGGGATGCTGACGGATAGATGTGGGGTCCAGCGGATACGTGGCTGTGGCGGTTGCAACAGCGCAAGGGACGTATACGCGGGAGGAGGACACGGGAAGTGCGAATCGCGAGGCGAATATGGTTGCTTTTGTGAGAGTGGGGTTGACACTGTTGCGAGATGTGATGTTGGGGAGGGTTGCGAGTCTGTAACTATTCACGGAAGTAGACAGCGGACCTCGGGACTAGCAGCGGAACGGCACAATAATCACCCGCCAGGATCTAATCGATCTCCGATGCCGGATGTTTTTCTTCTCTTCCTCCTCCCACCTTCAGTCTGTGACTCTACCGCTCAGGACATCATGGCTGCTGCTCGTACCCTCCGTATTGGTATTTCCCCTTATTTTCTTGGTATAGATATGTTCAATTGCTAATCCTTGTGTAGGTCTCATCCCCGGTGACGGCATTGGCCGTGAGGTCATCCCGGTACGACCCAGACCGACAGTCCACCGCATGAAGGAATTGTCCCGCTAATCTCTGCAGGCCGGTCGTCGCGTCCTCGAGTCGCTGCCCGCCTCGCTGAACCTCAAGTTCAGCTTCGTCGACCTGGACGCCGGCTTCGACACCTTCAACCGCACCGGCACGGCCCTTCCGGACAAGACGGTCGACACGCTGAAGAAGGAGTGCGATGGTGCTCTCTTCGGAGCGGTCAGGTACATCCCCATCTTCCGTATATATCTCCACGCCATTCTAATAAATACGGTAGCTCCCCCAGCACCAAAGTCGCCGGGTACTCCTCCCCCATCGTCGCCCTGCGCAAGAAGCTCGACCTGTACGCCAACGTGCGCCCCGTGAAGACCACCACCGGCAGCAGCGGCACCACGCCCATCGACCTGGTCATCGTGCGCGAAAACACCGAAGACCTCTACGTCAAGGAAGAGAAGACCTACGAGACCCCCAACGGCAAAGTCGCCGAGGCCATCAAGCGCATCTCCGAGGGCGCCTCCTCCCGCATCGCCACCATCGCCGGCGAGATCGCCCTCCGCCGCCAGAAGATCCGCGACGTCGGCCCCGCCCCGCCCCTCCGCCCCAACCCCATGGTGACCATCACGCACAAGTCCAACGTGCTGTCCCAGACGGACGGGCTCTTCCGCGAGGCCTCGCGACGGGCCCTGGCCGCCGAGCGCTTCAGCTCCGTCGCCGTCGAGGAGCAGATCGTCGACTCCATGGTGTACAAGCTGTTCCGCCAGCCCGAGTACTACGACGTGATCGTCGCGCCCAACCTATACGGCGACATCCTGTCCGACGGCGCCGCCGCGCTGGTCGGCAGTCTGGGTCTGGTTCCGTCCGCTAACGTCGGCGACGGTTTCGCCATCGGCGAGCCCTGCCACGGCAGTGCCCCGGACATCGAGGGCAAGGGCATCGCTAACCCGATCGCCACGCTGCGCAGTGTGGCTCTCATGCTGGAATTCCTGGGTGAGGAGACCGCCGCCGCGAAGATCTACGCTGCTGTCGATGGCAACCTTGATGAGGCCAAGTTCTTGTCCCCTGATATGGGCGGTAAGGCTACCACGCAGCAGGTGCTGGATGATGTGCTGAAGCGGTTGTAATTGCCCTGTCTTTGCTGTACTGTAGGTGGGGTAAATAGCTGGAAGAAGAACAGATGTATAGATAGATAAAAGTGATTGGTTGATTATCATTTCATATCTATTCCATTTCCATTTCATTTCCTTTATTTCCTTTTCTAATTCGACTTCAACTTCTTAGTCTGTCATCTGTTTACTGCTCTCTTTCAGATGATCCGACCTGACATGCATTGAATTTCTGTTTTCACGTTCTTTTTCTGTTGACTCAAGAGTCAAACCCTCCATCAAGATCCAAGTTAAGAATCACGACCAAAAGGATGAATAAACTAAGTAATAAATAGTAATTAATACACGACCAATGGTATATTTATAAAAATATAATAATAAACAATATAAGAAAAGACAGGAAGAAAAGAGAAACGAAAAAAAGAAAAAAAAAAACACGCTCCCGTCAACGCCCTATGCAATACTAAATATTATGTTGAATAGGTAGGTTCCGTATCCTTGTTTGTTGAACTTGATCGATCGAGTGATCCTTAATTCTTCCTATCCTTGCTCCTGTCCAAAGGGAAAGAAGGAAAAGAAAAGGAAGGGTATGGATGTCGACCGTACCAAGAGGAATGAAAAGTGCATATCATCGTTCCGCTTTTTTTTTTTTTGTTGTGTTGTTGTTGTTCCATTACATCCGTCGTCATGATTTGGGGACAAGGTGGGGAGATAGTGGGATGAGGATGGATCACTGCTTGATATCAACATACCCCAGCTTCTCTCCAACCCGCACCGTCTGTCCCTTCTCAATAGCCCAGTTCCAGCCGCCCTCGCGCTCACCGCCGTCCCAGCCCTGTTCGAAGGAGCGGCGATGGCCCATAGGGGCCTCAAAGACGAGCACGATGGAGCTGCCCAGCTGGAACCCGCCCATTTCCTCGCCCCGCTGCAGCGGGTGGCCGCCGAGGGTGCGGCTCGCGTGCAGGTAAGTGGCCTCCACGAAGCCCGGGTACTGCTCGCCGCGCTTGGCGGCCAGGAGGGCGGCCATGTCGGCGGCGGTGTCGGTCGTCAGGCTGTTGGTGCGCAGCTCGGAGTCGAAGTTGACCTTGATGGATCCGACGTTGGTGGCGCCGACGGGCGTGTAGCTGAAGAAGCCCCAGCGCCAGCGGCCGAGCAGGACGACGCGCTCGTTGAGCGTGAACAGACCCGGGAGGTGCTTCTGCAGGTAGGGCGACACCGAGTAGAGCTCGCCGGCGAAGTGGCGCCGGCTCTCGACGACCCACGACACGGGCGAGTGGAACCGGTGGTAGTCGCCGGGCGCGAGGTAGATGACCACGTAGTAGAGGGCGTTGTTGGTGGCCGGCTGCGGGGCGTACCACGGCGTGCCGTCGCCGCGGGCGAGATCCTCGCGGACTTCCGCTTCGGCGGCCGCGCGGGGCTCGGTCGACGCGTCCATCGAGGCGGAGCGTTTGCGGGCGCCGTGGGAATCACCTGCCAGGAGGGTCGGGAGGGTATACGAGATGCCGTTCATCTGGGCGAATTCCTCGTCGGCCAGCATGTCGGCCGCGTCCTTCTGAGGCGGCTCCGCCTGGTGGTCCGAAAACTTCTTGGTGTGGTCGGCGCGGGACGGCGTGGCGGCGCCCAGGAGCGCGTCCAGGCTGTACGTCACGCCCTTGATCTGCTCGACTTCGCCGCGCTCAATCAAACCAAACTGCAGGATGCGACCGTCAGACGGGGACAGGATGGCGCGCGGGTCCGGGTCAAGCGGACGGACGCCGGGCTTGAGCTTGCGGTAGAAGAAGGCGGCCAGGTTGGGATAGGTGTGGAGGTCGGGTTCGGCAACTTCGTCCAGGTTGACGCCGAACGCCCACGAGTACAGCTTGAAGCCCGGCACGCGCAGGTAGTAGGGGAGCGGCAGCTCGTTGAAGCGGCCCCAGAGTCGCGAGATGGCCTTGAGCGGCAGCGTCGACATGATCTGCACCTGCCATGGTCCGCTGGGCCGGATGCGCTGTCGCGGCGGCGGCTTGGAGAACTCATAACCCTCACCTTCCTCCTCGCGGATGCGCCGCTCCCGCTCAGCCCGTTGCGATTTGTAAAATTGGAGGATGCCGAGCAGACCAATACCCAGACCGATGGGGATCGGGTACCATTCGACCTTGGTGGTGCGGAGGGCAAAGCGGAGGCGGGAGCCAAAGTTCCCGCGGGACTTGTAATTCTGGTAGTATTGCTGCTGCTGCTGGTATTGCTGGTGTTGGCGGTTGTGTTGTTGTTGATGGTCGGACTTCCAGGATGTCGAAAAGTGCCTCACGGTGGTCGCTTTGCGTTCCCCGGAGGCGGAGCTGGTGTAGGAAGATACCATCTTCACTGAACCGGATCGCACCCCGGATGGAACGACAGCAGGAGGGTAGCGTCGAAGAAGTAGCGAACGGGCGGAGAGGCACGCGGACATGATCGGGGGAGGGGAAGGGAGGGGAGGGAAGGAAAAGACCAGGAATCAGTGCCGGGACATCATACCCGGTGGAGAAAGTTGTTGGGACGGATTTGATTCGAAGGAATGACGGATCGACATGCACAACGAGAATAGGTCGCAGCAACGGGCCTAGCAAAACGGGGTGAAAAGACGAGAAAAAAGACCGGCGCACAGGACCCTAAAGGGGAGAAGAAACTTGAAGCTATTCCCAATCGAGTGCGGGCGGCGGACGATCATCCGAGGCAGTTCACCGCCTCTTCTGCCGGCAGAACATCTCCTGCATTGTGAGTCAGCCATTTATGATTTCACATTCATTTTGTATATACGCTGAGAAAAAGTTGCTATGGTGCATGCGTATCACATTATTCTAGGACTATATCGTCACGTCTATCGTCATGATGCAAGGACATTAAACTAGTACACCTCCAACACGTAACGCTCCTCATCCTTCAACTTCTCGATCTCCTTGCGCGTCTCCACCTTCTTGCCCCGGCCCTTGGCCTCGGTGGCAATGGCCTCCTCCAGCACTGCCGTGACGTCGGGAACGGGCCAGGTCGGGCCACACAGGTAGAAGGCACCCTCCTCACGGATGTACGCGTCGACGATCTCCGGCAGGCTCTCGCGCATGCGGTCCTGGATGTAGATCTTCTCCGGCTGGTCACGCGAGAAGGCCCGGCCCAGCAGGGTGATGACACCCGCCTCCTGGTAGGCCTCCCACTCCTCGCCGTAGCAGTACTCCTCGCGCTGGTGACGCGAGCCCATGTACAGCAGGACGGCGCCGATCTCCTTGCCCTGCGCCTTTTCGAGTGCGCGGTGCTGCACGAACGCCCGGAAGGGCGCCAAACCGGTGCCCAGGCCCGCCATGATGAGCGGCTGGGTCGACCGCGGCGGCAGCTTCATCACGCTCGGCTTGACGCTGACGGTGATCGGGCTGCCGGGACGCAGGCCGCTGAGGTAGCGGGTGGCCTGGCCGAAGCGGTCGCGGCCCTGGGGGTCGGTCCAGGTGACGGCGACGATCATCAGGGCCACCGAGTTGGGCGTCACCTTCTGGCACGAGGCGATCGAGTACTCGCGGCGCTTGAGCGGGCTGACGATGCGGACCAGGTTGTGGAAATCCGGCTTGGCCGAGGGGTACTGCAGCAAGACGTCCGCGTAGGTGATGGTGTCCACCTCAGCGCGGCGCTTGAACTCCTCGGCGCCGGCGGGGCCGCCCAGCGTGAGCAGGTCCTGCTGCTCCTTGGGGTCCGCAGCGAATTCGGCCAGGGTCTCGTAGAAGCGCTTGGGCGGGCGACCGAAGATGTCGACGTTCTGGACAAGCGCCTGATAAACGGTGCGGTTCTCCAGAACGGCCGGGTCCTCGCGGCTGGGCACCTCGACCACGTCCTCGGCGTTGAGTCCGTAGAACTGGATGAACTCCTCGACATCCTTGGGGTTGTTCTCGGAGTGCACACCCAGGGCCTCGCCAATATCGTACTTGAGGCCCGAGTCGCCGAGATCGAACTCGATGTGGAAGATGTTGCGGTCGTAGGTCTCGGGAGTCAGCCGGCGGTTCTCCTTGACGTGGACGGTGAAGGTCTGGGTGGCCTGGTCCGGCCGGAGCACCGTCTGCGTGCCGAAGGCCTCCTTGAAGGCCAGACCCTTAGCGGCGGTCTGCCAGTCCTTGAGCAGGGTGGGCGGCTCGGTCTCGGACTTGTCAAACGACACGAAGCTGTTGGCCGAGAGGTCCTTGGGCAGCTGGGGCGCCTGGAAGCCCTCCTCGGGGGTCTTCCACGCCTCGGGGGTGTCGAACTTGCGCAGCGTCTTCTCCAGGTCGTTGCTGGCGGTCTGAAGGCTCTCGGCGTTGCCAGCGATCGAGCCCAGCTTCTGCAGGACGGCGCTCTCCTGAGCAGGCAGGGCCACCCGGAGGAACGCGGACTGGACAACCGGGGACTCGGCGGAAGCCTCGACGGCGGACGGGTCGACGAGGTACAGCGAGATGCCGCGCTCGGCAACCGCGAGGCGGAAAGCGGCGGGGAGCTTCTTCTCCAGCTCATCGTCCTTGACGCCCGGGGCATTGACGATGACCTTGCCGTTCTCCTTGACGGACGCCAGGACGTCCACATCGCCCAGCAGACTGATGTCGCCCACGTAGGCGGTGTCGGCCGCCGTGACGGCGTAGGGCGCATCCAGAGTTTTGGCGCTCTTGCGGATGTCCACGCGGATGGCACCGCCCTGGACCAGGTTGTCATGGGCCTGGCTCGTGGTGACGTTGCTGGCGGAATCCGTTGCCAGGGCCTGGGCGAGCGTGGCGGCGGCATCGGCGGAGCGCGAGGAGTCGACGTCCCAGAACGAATACTCCTGCACGCTAGTGGGGTCGAGGAGCTGCAGGGGCGTGGTCTGGCTATCAACCTGCACAATGGGCTTCTCGACGAAGAGCTGGAAGGCGGCCGCAGTGCTGATCAGATCCCAGCGCTGGGAACGAGGATACTTGATGTCGACACACGCCGGCGTGTGTTCGCGACCGTTGGCAAAGGTAAGCGCTGCGAGGACATCCTCATACAGCGCCGAGCGGACACCGGACTCCTGCACCGCCTGTGCGGTGTCCACCTGACCGAGCACACCGACGGTCTTGACGGACTGGGGCAGCACACGGAGGAATTCCTCCTCCACGAAGGGGCGATACACGCGGACGTTGACCACACCCACTTGCACGCCGTCCTTGGCCAGAGAGCGAGCGACCTGAGCGGTCATCGACGCCTCGACGGTGCCGAAGGCCACCAGGACAGCCAGGGGCTCGGCATGGCCGTGGTACTCGAAGAGACCGTAGTCGGTGCCCAATTCGCCGTTAAGCGACTGCAGCAACTCCAACAGCTTGCCCTGGGCGTCCAGGTGGCGGCTGCGGGAGTCCTCCAGGGTTTTGCGGACGGTCTCATAGGTGCGCGAGAGACCCGCCTGATCCAAGACGTCGATGACCCGAGTGTTTTCCCGACCCACCCGAACGCCATCATAAATATGCAGGGAAGGCAGCACGGAGGCCAGCAGCGTCGTCAACAGCGCCATGTGCTGGGTCTCGTGGACGGAGGCACTGGACACGAGACCGAGGCCCAACTCCTCAGCCAGAGACAAGGCGGAGGCATAGTCGGAGACCAGGCCCTCCTCACCGGCATAGTCGACGGCGGCGACGTGCGCGGCGACGGGGCTGGCGACGGAGTACAGAAGGGACAGCTGCTCCAGGGCGGAGCGCATGAAGGGAAGCGTGGCGGACGACGCGACGATGCCCTGGGGCACATGGCGTTTCTTCAGGTCGAAGTCTTGGGAAAAGAGGTAGCCGAGGGCGATGTTGCCGGCGCCATGGCGGGTTTCCATGGCGTTCAACGCAGGCGCCTCGCCGTTGGCGTTCAGGTCCTTGTTGGCGGCCCACTCGCGAAGAGCGACATCCAGATCGAAGGACTCAGGGGAGTAAGAAAAGATCTTGTCACTCAGGACGTACGCTACTTGCTGGACAAGGTTCTGGGCGGTTGTATAGGTCGGCCCGCCTAGGGCAGACAGGGCTTGAGAGGAGCCCATTGTGAATTCTTGTCCTGATACCGGGGGAAAAAAACCGATATCACCAGAGAGAAGACAAGAGGCAATGAAGATAAGAAAGAAAACAGAGAGAGAGGGGAATGGTCATCAAATCGAGGGGACTGCCGGGGGAAGTATAGAAAAACCCCAGGCACCCCGTCCCGATGCGGAATAGTGCGGATCACGCAATTTTTGATCGTGCAAGATTTCACGGCAGAATCCCCACCGCCTCCGCTCTCGGGCGAGATGACTCAGCGGCCGTCGATGGTGTGCTTCGCTGCCTGAGGCAGTCACTCCAAGTTCGTTGCCTGAGGCATAGACTGCAGTTCACATCACCCGTGCCGAGGCTTGAGCTGAGCAAGGTCACGCTTGAGCTCAGTGAAGCCCGTACTGCCCAAGTCGTGATGGGTTTCAAAGGAAGGCAAAGGCCGATCATATCATCCCCCCACAGTATAGGAAAAAGAGAAAGAATAGGTCTCATGCATTTCCGTTATCTGTACATCAGTCCCGTCAGCACAGGACAAAACAGCATACCAGAACATCCTGACCCACGCAAGGCCACCATGCCCATAGTCCACCATACCCGCTCTTCCTAGCCACAGCTCTTACACTCCGGCCCGCGAACATCGTCCACCCGGCCAATCCGTCGCGGTCCAAACCCACCGGGACCGCCTGGACCGCCGCCGCCGCTACCACCGCCACCGCCACCACTACTTCCACCCCAGCGGGACCGCGTATTTGATCGATTCGGGGAGCTGACGACGTTGAACTTGGAGTTTTGGGCGGCGCTGTAGGGGTCGAACTGAGGTGGGGTTAGCAGGTGCTCAGGAGGTCGAAAACCGCGGGGTCGACCCGCGCTGAGATGATGGCTATGGGTGAATTGTCAATAACGTACGGAGAATAGGCTCACGAAGTAGAGGCCAAAGAAGACATAGATGTTTTCGACGAAGCGGGAGAGACGGACGGTCAGTGGGGGTCTGGGGAGACAGTTAGTATGGGTTCGCGTTCAGTCCAGGGATTAAAGGATGGGGGCGTACTTGTCCAGAACCTGCCCGTTGGACATGTAGAGGTTGTTTGGTTTCGACGACATGATGCCAATAGATAGTCTGATAGTGTGTAGATTAGAAGCCGAGCGTCGTTCTCGATGCAGACTACAGAGTACAGAGTGAGCTGACGGGGAGAATGATGTCGTTGTGGAGATGACACGTGACGGGTGATCTAGCGCCCGAGACCCATCCCGGGCTAGCCTGTCCTGGTCTAGTTCAGTTGGTCTCTAGTGGCACCACAGACCTCAGGCGTCCAATTTATACTCTGGACTCTTTTGTCCAAACTGTTGTTTGGCATCATGTATCTTATATGATTTGACCGTCTGGGTAATGTAATTGGCAGTTTTTACGGGGGATTATTGTGCAAATCTGTCTTCGGAACGAATGCAATTTGACTAGAGTAGTCAACAGAGCAATATATATATTTCATTCCCCCTCTGGCATGGTGGTACACGAGGATAAGTAAAGTTGATATGGATGAGGAAAAAGAAAGGATATATATATACAAGCGGCGCTATGAGTGTGGTAATAATTGTCCAAAATATATACATCAAAATACAAGCGCTATTCTCCTCCTATCAAGTCCATCATCCAATCTCCTGACGCCCGGCCAGTATATGCACCCATGCAGATCGTCAATCGTAAATACCCATATCATAAGGAAAGCAGCCATTTACACCGTATCCGGTGTCGCCATCGCCGTGTCCAAAACCCGCAACTCGTCGAGTCCCCGGAAACCCTCCTCGACCGTCCATTTCTGATCGCCCGGGTGGTGCAGCACGTGGCAGCTGGCGCCGACAACCAACAAGCCCGGCGGGCGCGAACCCTCGGCCTCGAAAGCTAGGCAGACGTTTTCCAAAGTAGATCGGATCACGCGCTGGTCGCTGCACGAGGCACGCTCGATGATGGCACACGGGGTGTCCTTGGGCCAGGGCGTCCGGGGACGCGCTCCCTCAGGCACGGTGACCAGAGACTCGATGAGGGCCGACAACCGGTGCAGCGCCATGAGGAACACCACCGTCTGGGTGGAAACGTAGGTGGGGGGCTCTGGAGCCGCGCCCTTGCGCCCCGTTCCGGTGCAGATCAACACCTGGTCCGCCACCCCGCGGTGGGTGGCGGGGATGTCCGCGAAGAGCGGCGCACTTAGCGCGCTGGTGATACCCGGAAGCACGACGGGGGGGTATCCCTGGGCGCGGAAGAAGTCAAACTCCTCCCCGCCGCGTCCGTAGAGATACGGGTCGCCCTGCTTGAGTCGTAGCACCTGGCGTCCCTGCCGTAGGGCCTCCAGTCCCATCTGTAGGAATTCCTCCTGAGCTTGGTCCGCGTTCCCGGGAAACTTCCGTGCGATGCGCACCTCGGTGCGGCGCGGGATCAGTTCCAGGACCGGTGCAGGCACCAGCTTATCCGCCAGGATGAGGTCTGCCCCTTGGATGGCGTTGTGGGTGGCGCGGGTCAACAGATCGGGGTCTCCTGGACCCGAGCCGGCCAGGATAATCTTGCCCTGGCGCTGGAGGACTCCGTTGTCATTGGCCAAGTCGGTGCTCGATTTCCCCGACGAGTATGCATCCAAGATCGCATCGATGTCCGCATCCGTGATGTTGGCCAGTTTCCCAAGCGGCCAATATTCGCAGATCTGGGACAACCAGCGCATGCGCCGGGTCTTGGCGGCCGTCACGTCGTCAGGCGTGACAAGCGTGTTGAAGGTATGTTTCTGGCCCGTTGCATCGTCGTCGTCATCCTCCAGAGGATCGTCGCACAGCCCGGCGGCGTAGTCCTCCGCCCACAGACGGCGTCTCGCGGCGCCCAGCCGGTCGATGGCTGTCCCCAGATTTGGGGGGAGTGACGCGGCGACTACTCGCCGTAACCGGGACGCCAGCTTGCAGCCTCTCCCGGATGTTGTGATGCCGATGTGAAGGGGCCCGTCCGTGTGAGTGGCAAGCAGGCTGAAGGTGCAGAGATCGGGGGCATCGGTGACGTTGATGGGGATGCGCAACCGTCGACAGAGTTTGGAGATGTGTGGGCGCAAGGCATGATTGCCGTCGAGGGTGACAAAGACCATGTCGACGACACGGTCGACCTCTTCCCGACCCAGGGTGGTCAGGTCGCTGTCCTGGAAATCTCTTTGGACCCAGCGCACGGAGCCATTGTCGATCCGTTCTGCAAGGGTGGGCTGTAACCGATCGGTGGCCGGGGCGATCAGAACAGGATGTGCGCCTGCCTCGAGACTCTTCGCTACGCGCACGGCAGCCAAGGGAGTTGCCCCGATGATCAGATGAGTTTGGGAGTCGACATTGGTGGCCGTCAAGAGGGGTGCGGGTGTGGTATCACTGGAGTCTTTCATGGTGTTGCCAGTCTGGACCTATCCGGTCTGGAAATTTTATAATGCTTTGAATCCAACCGTAATCAAGAGTGACCCAGGGCCATGCAGATTTAAATAGTGGAAGAAGAGGTATAAGAAGAAGAAGAAGATCGAGGGGCAGTAATGGTCAGATCGTTATCAGTTCGAGATGATCCAAAACTCCGCGGAGATGCGTCAATCGGCCACGCCTGATTGGATGAGGCCGCGATAAGGATGGACGTCGATGCGATAAGGTTTCAGTGCAATGACCAATATGAACAAAGATACGGAGGAAAGGTTATGGACGTGAATCAAGTCCCCTAGGTTTAGTTATAAAGAATGCAGATACAGAGAGGCACAGAGAGGCAGAGAAGATGTTTCTATAGAGGTTCCTGCCTGGGGCTTTTCTACAAATATCCCAAAGCGGTTAAAGCGGAATGGCGTGATCATGATGTGTGCAGGAACACAGCTGAGTCAGCACCTTAATATCCATCACGTGCGTATACCGTGCCAAGGACCCAATGTCATGTGACCTGTATGTACCCTGAACGGAGTCAGAACGAGGGAGTGCGAAACCCGGTTTCCTGGGCTCCTGGGCGATGTTTCAGAAGGATTTGGAATGCGCCCTCAGCCCCCGTCAGTTACACCGGATTTTGTCAGGTTACGGTGGAATGGGGATGGCGTGTCTCAGGATGAACCGAGCACAGATTCGATTCGATCATTTACTTCTTTGTTCGCCGACAGAGCTACGAGTCCACAAAGAACGGCCCACATTGGCAATGAGGATGGTTGGGTCTAAATGGAATGAGTGTAATGGATGCAACCATAGCGATGAGTGTCATACTTTGACTGGTCCGATGGATAGAGAGGTTGGGAGCAGGATGACTCTGAGTAAGTAGAGTGAACATGGCCGACGGATGTAGATCACCAGCAAGAGTTCGTGATTCCTGACTTCCCCAATACAGAATATTGTAGCAAGACAGAAGGCCAGAGCCAGACAAATTTCTTGCTGGATGGATCGGACCACGGAATCAGCGTCACCATCGCAAGACAAAGAACGTCCGATTTTGGCCCTCCTTGACACTGGTCGAAAGACGTTCGTCGTCCGATCTTCCGTACTAGGAAAGATCTCCCTGACTTCTTCTTGATTACCCCCGTAAATCTATTCTACTCGCGCATCGGGGATCCGTCAGTATCACAATATGTCGGGGACGTGTTCCAGTGGCGGGGCGTGGTATGTCTGCAGCGCAAGAGGGTATTCGGGGTGCTGCTCGCACGATCCATGTACGGACGGGATATGTCGAGACTCCGGTCCCAAGGAAGAAGAATTTGCGACTCACAAGACGACGAAGGCACCGGATACGACTACTCACACGATTGTGGTTCAGGAGGAGACTCCAAAAGCTGCGTTAACGACAAATTCGACTCCACCCGAGACGACTCGAGCGCCACCTGCTCCAGCTTCAACAAGTGAGACTAAGTCTCAGACCGAGACCGCATCAGAAACCACCACAGAACTCTCCGAACAGCCAACATCTACAGCCACTTCTTCATCAAGCGCCGTGACAACCGGAGAGATAGCTTCGACGACCCCCACGACCACGCAGACCGCTACCCCTGCCCCCGTATCTTCCAGCCCGTCCAAAAACAACAGCGCTCTCATAGGGGGTGTCGTGGGAGGAATTGCTGCACTACTGCTCTTGGCTTTGCTCTGCTGGCTGCTCTACAGGGCACGCAAGAAGCGCCATCGAACATATGATCGTCGAAACTGGCGGAAACCCCACTACGCAGGGCAGAAACCTGATACTATCACCGAAAAACTAACCCGACGCTTTGGCCGATCCACCACCGGATTCTTACACTGTATGCGACACCCTAGTTGAGAGACATACTTCAGGCTATAACTAACTGCACAACCGTTACAGATAAGAGAGACAGGCCTCCATCGCTTTCTTTATACACTCAAGAGTCCATCATCGGATCCTCCTCGTCGTCCCCGACAGCCAACCCAATATATTCCCATAATTCCTCGCGCACCAACACCGCTGTGCCCCCTCCACCATCTATCCCAATCCAACTCTCTACGCAAGCCCCTCCACGGGAAGTATTAGCACCGGCACCGGTACCAGCGCCGACACTCAGACCACTTCCACGAGGCATCCCGGCCCAGTTCGCCCCAGCACAACTGCCTCCAGCACAGCTCGCTCCCCCCCGAATCACCCAAACACACCTCCCCCCAGCTCACCTCGCCCGGGCCCGCCTCGCCCCAGCCCCAAACCCCCCAGACCCAGTCCCAGCCCCGGTCCCCAGACCACCCCGACGGACCCAACCAGCACCAAACCGACACACCCACATAACGCCCGAGCTCTCCGACACAGGCTTCTACCGACAACGCGCCGAACTAGCCGCAGAAAGCAGCCGCGAACTAATCAACCTCCCACGGCGGGGTCCCACACGAGGCCTAACTCCATCCATATGTTCCGACATGCAAGCCGCAGGACCATCCATGCCGATCATCACGGACGACGGGGTCGTCCTAACAGCCAACATGGAGCGCCTGGACGAGGAGGACGTCGTGCCCGGGTGTGATGGCGTCGGGGACGGAAATCAGCAGCATATTATGAGTTTCATGGATTATGATCCTGCGAGGGAGATGGCGCTGCCTGCTTATGCGGCGGTGTGGGGGGAGGGGGAGAGTGGGGTTGTTGATAGGAAGAGTTGGATGCGATAGATGTTTATGCTTACGTTTATGGGATGGGAGTGGTAATCGTACTAATTAGATCTTGACTTTTATTGTTTATTATGTTAGCTTTTGTTTACGGGTATACCAGTTGATGTCTATAGGATAGTATAGTATTTTGATCAATCATTTTGCACTTCACCTTCCAGATAATAACACATTCACCAAGAAAAAGAAAACAATATCACCACCCCAAGAAAGATAGACCCCCAACATTAAACAGTCTGAAACAAGAAACCAAAAGCAAAGAAGGAGAAAATCAAGCAAACTCCCTCGGCATCCCCCTCTCCTCCACCATCCGCAAATACCGCCCAGCAGTCATAGCCCTCAGCGCCTTCCCCCAGATCATCATCGGCACGACCGACAAATGCGCAATCAGCCCCATAGCCATCATCTGGAGATAGGCGGGCCCAATGCCCGAATGAATCAGCCACGGCTGACCAGCAAAGACAAACGCCATGCCGATCAGGTTGCGGAAGATGTTGATGAGAACGAGTGATTCGGCTGCGACGGCGCGGTAGGAGTCGAGGACGTATGTCTATCATGATCATCAGTACCTTTTCCTATATTCAAAACAAATATAAGACTAGGAGAAGGAGGGGGGAAATACTAACCTCCCCAATAATCGACGACGCGGTAAACCCGAACCCCATCATGCCCATACCGACGACCGGAACGGGCCAGGGCAGACCGACGTCGACGCCCACCCCGTACAGGACGAGACCGGCAGAAGTCAAGATGGCGGTGGCGAGCAGCAGAGACAGACGGTGTTCGGGCTCGCGGATGCCGCGGTTGTGTCGTGCGACGAAGACGACGAACCAGTCGCTGAGGTTGCCGGCGTAGAGGGTGCCCAGGAGACTGCCGATAAGGGCAGAGGCGTTTGTGAGGCCAACTTGTTGGCCGGACCAGTTGTAGGGGGAGGAGGTGAAGAATTCTAGTGTGTATTAGTATTACTTTTCTTTCTTGATATGTGTGTAAATGTATAAAGAAGGGGATGGTGGGGGGTGGAAGAAGAAACGCACGAGACTCAGTCGTAAAGATAGCAGCCCACCAGCAGATAGAGACACCGGTGAAAATACCTGCCCACAGAACAGGCGGAAACAGAGCGAGCTGGAACGGACGCAGGAAGAGATTGCTCCAGGACTCGTGGGGATTGGCACCCCATGAGTGGAGGGGGTGAGTCTGTCGGTAGGTCTTCATTGCAATGGGCGAGGACGTCGTGGTATGGGGGGTTTTGGCGTCTTCATCTATAGAGGTTCCTTCGCAAGACGGGGTGTCGTATGTTCGGGGGTAGAGTGTCTCTTCCAGACCGACGAACAAGACCAATGCCATGATGGCCTATACAATTAGTACTGAGTGGTCGGCTGGGGGGGGGGGGGGGGGGGGGGGTGGCGGGAGCATACGAATCCAATGGCCGTCATCCAGAAGCACCAGCGCCAGGAGAGCTCAACGTAGACGTATCCGGCAACGAGGGGCTTCACCATATTAGCGACGGCACATTTAATCAAAAGTGAAAGATAAGAAAAACATACAATGACAAACGCCCCCGCACTATACGACAGCGCCCAATATCCCACTTTGGATCCAATCTGGTGCGCAAAATACGTATCCTGCAGCGAGATCTGGGGCAGTCCTTCTTTGGGACCACATCCGACGCCCTGGACTATCTATTAGCATAGTTCACACCAGAAGTGAGAAGACATACCCAGAACACGTTGAAAGCAACCCACACGCCCCATTCAGTCTGCACGGCGCCCATGATACTACCCACCAGGGCCAGGAGCAAGCCCATGATATAGACCGGTCGTCGACCGATCTTCATCGCAACCGGCTGCCAGAAGGTGGAACCAACGCCACTGAAGAGGAAGAGGATGGCGCTCCTATCACGTATAAGCACCTAGACATATACATCAATGGAAGACAGACATACCCCGTGTTCAACCCATCAAACGTAGTGTTCAGATCCGGCGCCAGACCGTCGTAGGCCACGCCGTAGAAGTTGATCAGACCATTCTGGAAAAAGGTGTAGACGCAGAGCAGCACCAGATGCAGCTTCTTGCGGCCGGGGGACCAATTCTATCGTCTTGTTAGAGGATGTACGTGGAATAACGAAGAAACGATCTACCAGGGGATCATTAGGGTCGTCACTGGGTGGCGGGATAAGCACGATCTCGGTATGCTTGCCCGTCGCATGCTTGGTAGACTGCTCGTGCGCGTCGTCGACGAGCAGGACCGTCCCCGGGATGAAGTTATCGGACATGATATGCAGGAGGGGATTGCATGTGGCAGGGATGAGAGAATAGAAAAGAAGAACAAAAAACAAAAATAGAAAAAAAAAAAAAAAACAATAAGAATGTAATAGCCAAGGATGCAATGCAATGTAGTCAGCCTCGCTGGAAGCAAGGTTAAAAAGAAAACACCAAAATGCAACGATACCCGGCCCAGCTCAGCTCATAATTAACTCAAGCAATTAAAGATCTGAAACAAGATCGAGATAGACCTCCGGGGAAACCCTAGCCCGAACACCACGCTGACCCGTGGCGGCTTACTCGTGGTCAACTCCCGATACGTCTGTCTATCTCGCGAGGTTTTGATAGGAATCGATCGTCGAGGCTAATGCAACTAAGCTGTAGGTCTGAACACCAACCTGACGATCGCTATACCCGATCAGTCTGGGGTGAGCTCCACTGGACAATGCATTGTGTGTTGAGTTGATCGTGGAAAGGGGTATGCTATATTGCGACTGATCTTACGGTCTGGAAAGAATGTTAACTATGCGAGTGGATTCGCCGGGCGAATCCGTAGAGGGGTATATTGAAAGAAACCTAAAATACATGTCTAAAAAAAGAAAACCACAACAGAACGCGAATTGAAAGACAGAAAAGTAAATTAAGTGGACCCCGACTAGCAAGGATATCATTCCCTATATTGAAGCACCTCCACCGTCCGCACGATCCCCATTTCGCCAGAGTCATTACCCTCCCGAGCCGTCCCTTTGTCTTTGATAGGCGACTGGCCCCGCTCGGCTGTTATCATTGCCCGGTATGCTCGCTCTTGGATCGGCGTCAGCTCCATCCCGTGTTCAAAGTCGCTGACGCCGGCCTTGTCGATGCCGGGTGGGTCGGCCTCGTGGAGAATGGATTCGGTTGAGCTGGCTGGGACCCCGCGGGAGGTGAGACCGCGGGATCGTGAAGCTGGGTAGGCGCTGGGACGTGAGATGCTCTTGGTGGGACGGGACTGGGCAAAGGTGTGCAGGTGGAAGACGCGTTTGAGGAGAGGCCATAGGAGGGGCAGGTTGCCGACGTAGACTGCGGTGGAGACTTCGGCGACGTACCATTTCTGGGGATGTTAGGTTTGATTGACTGGGGATTGGTCCGTGAGGATAGTGGAGGAATATGACCCACCAGGAAGGTTAGGGTGTGCTGCTCAGAGAAGTTGTAGTAGCGATTGAGGATGGCCATAAGGACCTGGAGAGTTAGACGAGAAGACGAAGATAGGGCTGGGAAGTATTCATACCACAAAGACGCCTAAGCTGAAGACTAGACAGAGGAGAATTTTTCTGCGTACAGTTAACTTCGTGTTTTCTCTCCTATCGGTTAGAAAACATACCGCTTCCAAGGTAGTCGGGAGCGCACAAGCAGTGGCAAAGGAATACACAGCATCATCAGATCGGAGGAGATGTTGAACACGGTGCTGGTTATGAGGTGGTTATAGTAACTGGCGCATTGCTCTATCGATCTCTCAGTATCCCCACCAGTACAGCTTCATCGTGAGAACATACCTTCCTTGGCAGGCACATCCCAATACATCGTGATGGGAGGGCCACACCAGACCGCACAGAACAGAATCTCAATTACGACAAACGAGACCGTGACATAGACCGCTACAGCTTTGACGACGATATGCTCGCGCAGCCCTAACCTAGAGATCGCATGTCAGCGATTTCTGTCCCAACATGGCCAACTGGTAATGACACCCACGTCAATCGATTATACACCAATAACAAACACCCCTTGACCAGCCACAACGAGCTCAGCGTAAAGTGCTCGAGGGCAAATGTCATCTTGCTTCCCCAGACCGCCGACCGACGCGCTTCCGGCGTCAGGGTGGCGGCAACCTCGGGGGACATGTAGCTGCTACCGTTGATGGAGACCTGGTTGACGCAGACCATGACCCCGGTAAAGGTGACCACCACGAGACACATCAGATAGTCGTCGACTTCGAGCTTCCCCCATGATTGTTTGGCGATGCGTCGGGAGGCTAGTCGGCAGCCAATGCAGAAGATCCCTATCCCGTCAGTCGCGTCCATCCAGCAGTTGATAGTGTAGTTCAATACCGATCACGTAGAGGATCCAGGACTCGATGAGCAGTTCCTGAGCGAAGCGATCCATGATGGGAGAAGGTCGACATGCGCATCCATTCGGTCTTAGAGGCTGGTCGGATGCATTGGCAGGATATTGACGAAGACAATGGATAAAGGGAACGATCTGTCCGCCTCTCTTTTAGACCAGATGATGCATTCTCCCCCCGCCAGTGGCGCTGAAAAACCCCCAGCTCAGCTCATCGTCAACCAATGTAACCAAGCCAGCCCAACAAGTCGTCACGACGAACCCTGGTCAGAGTTCGTCCCCTCGGTCTTGGGGCCTGAGTCGTGCTCCACCGACGATCCTTACTCCTGGGCATGCTTGATCTCCACCCACGACATGGTCTTATCTCTCAGCCACGGACGACGCTTATGGCGTGGGTGGATCCGACGGGCCAAACCCTAAGATGTTCCCCCCGTCGATAGTCGCAGCCCCCAACCAAGGATTCAGCTCCCACCACCAGTGATCACGGCCCATCGGCACGGTGATCGGCAGGGCGCTCAAAGGAACTTGCGTACCCTAGTAGTCGCATGTTAACACCGGGTCAATTTGAATTTAATCCCGCAAGCCGTGTTGCATTGCGCCAGGATAGTGGGTAACTGAGTAGTATGATGTCTTGTCTTGATCCAGTAATAGTCCGACTCTTGAGTCCGTGACTCCCAGGCCCAATGCTGACCCCGCAGCACGGACCATTCATCTGGATCGTCTTCGTACGCGTCCCACGATGGAATACTGAATATCCCTTTGTTGGTTGATAAACTTTATAGTAATATCAAAATAATCAACATGACTCCTGCGCGTTCCTTCTCCCAGACCCCCTTCGACTACCTCATCGTCGGCGGCGGCACTGCGGGGTTAGCCTTAGCCGCCCGACTCAGCGAACAGTCGCAATGGCGTATCGGCGTCATTGAAGCCGGCCCCACGGCCCTCGACGATCCCGTCATCAATGTCCCTGGTCGTTACGGCGAGGCCCTGGGCGGACCATACGACTGGCAGTTCGAGACGGTCGCGCAACCGGGTCTAAACGGGCGGGCGCTGGCCTGGCCGCGGGGCAAGGTGCTGGGGGGAACGAGTGCGCTGAACTTGATGGCGTGGAATCGCGGACATCGCGAAGATTACGATGTGTGGGAGGAATTGGGAAATGAGGGGTGGGGGTGGGATGGGTTGCAGTATGTTTTCTTTCTCTTGTAGGACTCTGTGATGGACGATGCTGATATCGAGAGTAGACAGTTCTTCCTCCGCAGCGAGACATTCCACCCCCCCGACGAAGCGCACCAGAAATCGCACCAATCCAACTATCAGGCGGAGCACCACGGGGTGGCCGGGCCGGTGCAGACGATGCATCCTCGCGAATATGGACCATCCCATCGTTTCTGGCACGCCACATTGAATGCGATGGGCGTCGAGTCCAGCCCGGACAGTCTGGGGGGGTGCAATTCCGGCGCATGGAATATGGTGTGCACGGTGGATCCGCACCGACAGGAGCGCAGCTATGCCGCGTCGGCGTACTACCGACCGATTCGAGACCGGGAGAACTTGGTGGTGCTGTGCGAGGCGACGGTGCTGGAGATACTCCTGGAAGAAGACGACGGGTGGACCGCTAAAGGCGTCAAGCTGCGCTGCAACGGGGAGGAGTTCACCGTCTCTGCAACGAAGGAGGTGATCTTGTCTGCGGGGAGCGTGCAGTCACCACAGCTACTGGAACTCTCGGGGATCGGGGATCGAAGCGTCCTCGAGGCAGCCGGGATTCCCGTCAAAATCCACAACCCGAATGTAGGCGAGAATCTGCAGGAGCATATGATGACCGCCACGGTCTTCGAATTAAGTGCCGACTTGACCACGCGAGACGATCTCCTCCACACGCCGGCCCAGCGCGCCGCTGCCGACGAGGAGTATGCCGCCTCGCGGACCGGACCTTGGACCATCCTTCCCTGCTCCATCGCCTACTGTGCTCTGTCAACTCTCGCCCCGCCAGACCAGGTGCAAACCCTGCACCAGCACGCCGAGACCCTTTCCCAGAAGACACAACACCCCCACGACGCCCTGATCGCCCGGCCATTCCGCCCTGATAGCCGCCGGGGACAGGTGGAGTACCTCTTCGACCTAGGCAACTGGAGCCCCTTCTTCACGCCCGAGCCAGGAAACAACAAGAAGTACGGTACAATGCTCCAAATGCTGCAGTATCCCTTCTCGCGAGGGTCGATCCACATCCATCCACGACGAGGCCCCAACGAGCCGGCAACAACCGTCGACGAATCACCCATCATCGACCCACGCTACTACCAGGGCGCAGGCGGACACCTCGACACAGAAGTCATGAAGCTGGGTCTGCACTTTGGAGACAGAGTGTGCCAGACACCACCACTCGCTGACATCATTGCGCGACGGGCGTTTCCCGCACCGGATGACGACGATATTGACCGGTTTGTGCATGACTGTACCATGACCGATTGGCATCGTGAGTTTTCCTCTCCCTTGACGTGTGTCATATATACTGACATAAAAAGCCGTTGGGACTTGTGCGATGGGCGGGAAAAAGGGCGCACAAGCCGGTGTAGTAGATGCGCAATTACGCGTGTACGGTGTTCGTGGGCTGAGGGTCGTCGATGCCAGTATCATGCCGTTGCAGATTGGGGCGCATATCCAGGCGACGGTGTATGCGATTGCTGAGAAGGCGGCAGCGATGATATTGGAAGCTGATTGTCATTAGTTTGTTGAATTGTTGGAGGAGTCGTATGTCCCTCGACTCTAACTAGTATGGTCATGAAGACTGTAGTTCTATGTATAACTTGAAGAAGTTCTGACCAATATACAATATACCCTTTGAACAGTCTGTTTTGAAGAGGTTGTGGCAGGTGCTCATTCACTATTTCAATATTGACTTCTATTTTCGCAAATAGAAGTATGCCACTCCGTGACCTGTGGGAGTGATATTGTGGAGTGATTGCAATCAGTTAATATCTTAGCTGACGTGCAATGCTTGGACGTGCAATGCTTGCAGAGCTTTTCTTATTGTTGATATTTTGACTCTCCTTACAACTTGCAACCTTTCCATAATTTCAACATATCACTATTCTCACACATTTTGACTGTTGTTCTTCGACCCTCCCACGATATGTTGGCTGAAATATCATACTTCAGTCAAACATCCTCGAGACACTGTCTTGCATGAGCAAATACCAAATAGTATGTTTTTGATCCTATTATATCTTGATAGGCACAAGAGACTAACCCTTGACAACTTATTGGAGGCCTTAAGCTAGAAGAACCTAGTCACCTGACTACTAAGCGTAGTGGCCTTTATATTCTGTTCTTTTAGGGCTGCCGTCTTTTCTACATCTCTCATCATAGACTCTCTCCGCCCCATCAGTCCAACAATTGATACATCACACCCAGCATATAATACTTCGACATGAACGCTGGTTATGCTAGAAATGAACGGTCCTTATGTGTGATCTGCAGACACCCTGCAACTGCCGGGCCACTGATCCTTGGTGTGATACCCTTCTTCTTCAGCCCTGTGCCCCTCTAACCTGCTGGACAGACCCTGATAAGGAGCTCCCCGCGGTATTCAGGGGGCAACGGTCATGCCAGAATTATACGCTTTTGCCGTTTCAACAGGTTAGATTCCATCCAACTTGTTATAGACTGTTTGTCGCAACCTACGACGCCTCCAAAAAGCCTCCCACTCCCGCGGATTGGCAGCGTTTGGCGGAGGCCTCTATACCCCGTTATGTATGTCCGCATGATGACAAACACAATGTGACTACATCGATTATGGAAGGCCTCTTCAGCAAGCACGCGGAGAAGATCCTCCGTAAAATCTTTAGAAAAGACCTGCTCGAGCAACTGCCGGCAGAGATCCTGCTGCGGATCTGCGAAGTGATGGGCCCATGTTGGTACCTGACTGTTCTCGGGGAGACTCAGCGACTGATGGGAGCTCTGGAGGGGAAGCGGGAGCCCCAGCAAAACTCGCTGAATTTAGACCAGACCCGAACTGTGTGGATATCCCGCATCACTTACCATGGAGTGTCGTACGTGTCACGTCTGCGTGACAAACCGCTGAGATTCACCGAACTGTCCGATCAAATTCAACTTCGGATACCCAGACGGATCAGCAAGATCGTCGCGTCCGTCGATGGCATTGGCGTCCGTGGAATAAAGTTTCTGGAACACACAGCCGACGCTCCTCTACTCGATAAATCACCATGGTACGAAGTTCTGCCTGTGCGCGACACAGACCAAAAGATCTTCGTGAATAGCAATAGCCTGTTTATCAAAAGGATCCAACTCGAACGCGAGCTTCGTGGAGTGCCCTATATCTGGAGCACTCCTTGCCCGCCTACGGTTCCCCTAACGAGCTTTTATCGTGCCTCAAGAAAATCGCTCGGCAACGTCCGCGTACATTATATCAAATTTGATCCTCACGTACGGGGACTTTTGGCCTGCTGTACACAGTATGGGCTTGTCGGGATCCACGGTCTGACAGATACGTCAACGACATTCAGAGCGTTCGTTGACTTGATGTATCGACGCAGGCCGGAAAGTCACAAGCACTGGATGTACTTCCCGTTCAATCCCCAGGAAAGCATAATTGCAGCATGGGTGCGGCGACTCGTTTTTGGTAATCATGGGAACTGTCCGCCCTTGGTGGTAAGTTAGAAATCCACCCTGATACAGCACCCTGATACAGCCGATTCGTGACTCACCAACTAAGCTCCTCACATCCCGCGGGAGAACCATCACGTTCGGTCCTCAACTTCCCAGCGATGTATACGGACCATACCGGTACGAGCTGTTGGGCGGGATTCGCGACGGGCCAATCTCGGGTATCTTCCACGACGGACTAAATCTCGCGCCAAACTTCGAGTTGGACGAATCCATCGGCTCCTACTATAACCATGACGCGAACTATATCAAAGACATAGGAGTGACATGTGACAATGAGTCGAGCGTCGAAGCTCGAAAGACCCTGCCCGCTAATATCCACATGGACCCCCCTACATTCGCGCCGGACGGAGACAGACTCGCCGGCACCTGGTACATGACATCGGCGTCCCTCTGTAACATCGCGAAGGCGCAGATCTGCCGCGATACCGACCAGTCACATCGTCCATGTCTTGGTCTCCTGTTGTACTACGACGATGGGCACATGGAGGCGATCGGACAGATTCGATGGGACCGCGATGTCAGTGAGGAGGTCGATCGGCCTACGTACATTGTGAACGCCGTTATTGACGGAAAAAACTATATCAAGGATGTTCTCAATCGCGTATACGGATCGGAGCTCACGAGGGGCGAGAGTACATGGCAAAATCTGCCCGCGAGCGGCACAATCAGGTGGTGGTTCAGTGAGCGTGGGGATCAAATCAGAATAGACTAGACAGAGGAAGGATATGGCATGCACCAATTCTGCTATCATCCAAGACACAAACACCAAGGGAATAATCACTGGTCTATTCACTGAGTAGTACTTAGAATTTCACGAACAGTTCGTCCAATAATCCAAGCCTGATCAGAATGCACCTCAACGTATCCACACTGCGACCCCCGTTTTCTCCAAACGCCAGAGGCTCGGGAGAGATGACCCATTCTTTGGCTGTGAAGAAGTGCTTGCTCCACAGGTAGGACCATAGCTTGGCTGCGGCACGTTCGTTGGTGGGGCAGTCCTGGGCGTTCTCCCATAGGTGTGTGAGGAGTGGTGTGGTTATAAGTGTCATTCTGTTGATTGTTTTTTTAGTTAAAGTAGTGGGTTGGAACTCGGTACTAGGGAGTATTAGACTGCCTTGACGTACTGTAGTCGCTTTTCAAATTCAAAAAGGCCGCTCCACTAGCAAAGAGGATTCTATGTAGCCATATCCGCCCCGCAAAACCCCCCGCACCCCCCACTTGTAAGCTAAGCAAGCCCTGATGCCAAGGCGCTTCAACGACGTTTATTGTCGCAATATAAGATTGGCTATCCAAAGGTACCCACAGAGCTCAGAAGTGTCTAGATATCTTTTGTAGCCGAGTGGTATTCTTTACCACATTTATATAAAGTGACGTGATATCATAGGTTGCATAGACTATATAGAACCTGAATTTAGGATATATTGTCCATAGACACTCGTATTGCTCGATCCACCATCGGGAGAACTTGCTAACAGGTTCTATCTCACGTAAGTAAGCTGTCTGGTCGAATCTACATGATCTTGCAGTTTATTACTGTGGGGGGTATATTCGAGTATGTATCCATAGCAAACACAGAAGAGGTAAGAGACTATTGGTACTCATTACATAAACCCTGCTTATATTGACAGCTTTGTGTCACTATGTAGTCTATTACTTATAGGATTGTCTAGGCTAACCGCTGAGAACAGATTAGTAGGCCCATCAGAACTACTCCTTTAGCTTTTTATACCACTAAACCCTACCCTAGGTTGCAGCCTGGCTATCTTGGAGTCCTCCGATTCAGCGCCTGAGAGAAACGAGTAGGGATTAATCACGATCAGGAGCATGATCTGCTGTTGATCGGCTGGAACCAAAGTATACTCACTACACTATTACATGGAGCATTATGATTAACCACCGAACTTAGGCAAGGGTGACTGAAGCGGGCTTAATTATCGCTCCTCGGGAATCCTACAAAAAGATGCTGATAGCCAAAATCAAATGTTCGCCCCATATCAAATCGTAGTATGTCTAGTCCGAAGGTAGCGTGATTTGGGTACCATTCAACCATCAGAATTAGTGTTCCTGAGTTACTGACTCACTAACATGAACTAGAAAACTGGTCTGTAGGGCAAACCCCTAGCAGGAAATCCCATGCGCCACATTCCTTTTCACCTTGCGGGACATCCGAGGCTTTCAGCTCGGCTGGAAACCCCTTGTTCGAACTCAAAGTACACCTGCTGCAAGGGGTCTTGTTGAACAAAATCAATATAAATATCACACCGGGAACACCGGTAAGCATCCTTGTACGTGGTATCATTTTTATTTCAGAATAACCACACAATTCATCCCGATTCCTCCCATATTCATTGGTCATATTCTAAACCAGTAAATATGCACCTCACCTTGATCTTTGCTGTTGCTTTCTTTACAATTTCTCCTGCGTTGGCTAGGGCCGACCCGCCAAATTTTCTTACTGATTGCCTCTTCGAGTGTGAAACTGAACCCTTTGACTGCCCTCCTCACCTTAACTCACACCATGTTGATAACGTATGTCCCTACTATATCGAGCAGTGTTATGATTATCCTGATATACGTGATCTAACTGCGTTCTACCAGTGCTGGACCTGCTGCCATGCCACCTAATTGGGGGTAAAGAAGAGGAGCCAATGTACCTTTCTCATATGGGCCGTGGTGGACTGCAACAGATTCCTTCCGTGTACTTGGGGTGGTAATGCTGGTAGCTAGTACGGAGTAGCTTGTCGAGATATACGATGTGATAGAGGTTACTCACAAAGCACGAAAAGAGTCATGGTGACTTTTGTAGCTGAGTGGTATCTCTTTTCGGCACCATATCATTGTACGCAGTAGGTAGTATACCATACTACAAGACCTGTTTAGAATACATCATATATGAGATCGGCACTGACAGACCCATCTTGACTATATGTCTAGTCAAGTATTTTCTTTCATATGAGTGCTCCTTTCAAGTACGCGTTTTGACTGAGTGTCATGTTACTAAATCTCAGCCAATGCACCGGGCATTTTGGTCGGGATTGATATGATTCATATCCCTATACTAAACGGTATATTGGGTATGAGGCATCTAGACTACCCCCTTGGAGTATTAGACCCTCAGTTGGCAGACCTGGAAGAACAGAGTCTATTCACTTCATAGATGCGCCGCAGATTTAAACTGACCACAAAGTCGGACAGAGACACAGCTCAGCATTGGTATGAGATATCCGAAAAGTGGGTCTATACCAGCTGAGCTATCTCAAACTTTATGCTAAGCCCTTGCAGAGCATCCCTTGCAGGATATCCTTTGTCTGAGCTCAGAAGTCCTACTGAAGCACCAATATAAAGATGCGCCCATCTTCGTAGGTGGCGTCCCAATCCTTTTCAAAAAACCAACCCATTCCAGAAAACTTTCCTCCTATTGAACAATCAAGATGCGTTTCTACTCTATCATTATTGCCGCTTTTGCTTTGACTGTGTCTACAGCCCTGGCAGAAGGGCCTGACCACCTTGGTGAAGGAGAATGTCTCAAATGGTGCAAAAAGCAGCGCTCTATTTGCCCTCCCGAGTCTCCCCCAAAGAAGCTTTCTAACGTATGTCTCTCCTATACTCCATACTGACTTGTGCTGTGACAATTTGGGTATTGGTTGTCTGATTATATTCTAGGGCTGCTGGACCTGCTGCCGTGATATGTCCTATCAATGGCCCGTGTAGAGAATGGGAGTCGAGATGCTTTTCACCTATGAGCATTTGGTTGACTGCAACGGACCTTTGTCGTGCATCCGTACTTGTGATTGCACTACTGGTAGCTAGCTTTTCAAACATTGGAGCAACACTATTCTATTCCTGTCATGGGAAGCTCGACGATCTCAATTTGTCCACATTAGTAAACTATTATGTAAAGGATACTGCAATGAGTGAAGCTGATGTAGGGACACAGCTCATCTAGTAGATCTATAAGCTCGGTTGATATGAGACATCCAAACGTGGGTTTCATGCCAGCTGAGTTTTTCCAACTCTTGAGCCTTCGCCAAGGAACGAGCTGAGCTGTAAGCTCCGCGTAAAACATCCTAAGTTGATCTGTATTAGGTCTATTATGTACCCACACCTCTGGTGGAGCATCCCTTGCAGGATATCAATACCTTGTGGAGCATCCTATGTCTGAACTCAATCTGTTTTATAGACTACCGAGTAAACAAATGCGGTATTATCAGAAGTGCGAACAAAGAATCAATATAAATATGTGATGATCCCTCCAGGTGGGATTACACCTCTTTGAAAACTGTCACGCAGCATATTCCTTCTTCGTGAGCACTCAAGATGCATTTCTACTCTATCTTTATTACTGCTTTGACTGTGTCTACTGCCTTGGCTAATCTCACCCCAATTGATACGGTTAGCAACTGTCTGGACTTTTGTAAAGATGAACCTGTCAGCTGTCCTCCTGAGACGGACTCAACCCAGATGGCCAGCGTAAGTTTCAAGCATACCGACTGATATTATTGTCATTCATTTATTCTTTTCTAACGATGTTCTAGGGCTGCTGGGCCTGCTGCAGCCCGAAGATCTTTAGGGGGTAGCTATTAGGGGTCAAAGTGCCTTTTCCCTATAAGCTTTGATGGACTACAACAGGTATGGGGTACGTCTTTGGGATTGAAATGCTTGTAACTATAAATTCAAACATGGAACTGGGCAGTACTGTGATGTTCCTGTCATGAGAAACCCGACTCCCTCACTCTGCCTTCAGCAAATTTTGTAAGCATGGCGCCATGAGGCGATCTATCACATAGTGACTCGTTCTAGATAACGTAGTTCTAACTTCATCAGGTATATGACGCAGAGGTTCGACATGCCAGGCCAAAGAATGTGGAATTTCTCTCAGTCTTAGTTAATTTATTATACTTGAAAGAATCGACAATCTCAATAGAAGCCTGTCATCCTTGAGCCAACCACATTTCAGATAAGCTCGCGCTGTCAGGCTTCAATGACATGACACGATGGGGATTCGAGGTCATTGTGTGTTTCTGGTACATTCCGGAACCGTAACATGAAGAGCAGCTTTGGTTCGTGTTATAGGAGCAAGTATGGCGGACACGCGGTCTATATTCCCCGAGACCAACCAGTCTAGATGTTGAGGCACTCGGTTGGTGAAGTTACTTTTAGCGACTACAGCACTGACCACTCATACTGCGCGTCCATATGAGTTCACGATTATATGGAGGCAGGCTGGATCAGCAAATTAATAAAATTCTGTTGAATAGTTTGATAGCTCTATACTTGATACCACCAAGGCAGATGCTAACATTATTGCTATTACTATCCCGCCACGGGATCAACCGCACTAACCTGAACCAGAGAACCTAGAAGAATAAATAGCAAAGTTCTTGAAGATCAAACAGCGGTCACGATCTCCTGCAGAATTTTGTGGCCCTCGTTGAGCTTTGCCAGTCGGCCCTGCAGAAACTCCCGTCGTCTCTTGGCGGTCCCCGGCTCGCATGCCAGAGCAAGCGTCTCGGAGTCTGACAGTCTCGACAGTGTCAGTGGGGAGAGTACATGCTCCAAATCTCGAAGTATGTGTCTTTCGATGACTTGCACGGTCACGTTGGCTACGAATTGCTTCTGGTATACCTGGAGTATAATTCGATATCAGCTGCTAAGCATTGACGGGATGGACTGTAGATCTTAGGCTGCAGAGGAGAGGCATACCTTGTAGATAGCGATGACGCAGTCCAAGACCTCTTCGGAACTGTGGGTGTCCATATTGGGATCGATGTGTTCATGATACATATTCAGTGCTTTGTCTACATCGATCGATGTAGTGTTTTTGTTGGACATATTTGTGGGCCTTACAACGCTGGTTGCCCTAGAAATACAGTCGCGCAATGCGCCCTTGCGTCTTTCAAACTGACTCTTCTGGATAGTATCCGTATAGTAGTGATTGTAGTTGATCACGCAGCTTGTGGTATCAGTCAGGATCTTGTCGAGTTCTTCCATCGCACGTCTCTGCCGTGCCTTCATTTCATCCACGATCAGAGGCCACATGCAGGAAAGCGTGTCTCGTGGGGCTTTCTCCCTGAGCAAGCTTTTCAGAAAGCAGTGGCAGACATTGGATACTTGCTCTACGTGTGCTTGAGCGAAGAGACGCCATTTCGATGATTGCTCCCAGAACAACTCAGAGATGACGAGTGGGTTGAAATTGCCAGAAAGCTCGCGTCCCCTAGCCCTGGTGACTACTTTTCTGACCCAGTCAATTGCTTTTTGATGTGACATGTTTTGAGGGCGACTGATGTCGCGGAACGGGTTATAATCTTCGTCACTCGTGCACTCGTCCAGGGGTTGCATTTCGCCATCAACACCATTAGTTTTGGATTCATTTAGTGCCGTATCCTTAGGGATTGGGGCGTCTGCACCGAGTCCTCTGATCTGGTATTTATGAGCGTTTTTACGCATCTCTTGAGCGAAAGATTGATTCATGAACTGGATTGCCGCCCGCAGTCGACGGATCGTTTCTGGGCGCTTCACGGAGAAGCTGTTCACATTGGACTGAAAATAATTTCCCTCGTAGTGGCCATTGACCGCCGCTTTGCAGACTTCGTAAAAGTTCATCGCCAGCTGGGAAAGGAAGGTTCGGCACTCCTGGGGGGTAGCTCTGGATATGCCCATGGTGTCGATCTCTTGGGCGGTCTCGCGTAGGGCCACCTCTAGGTCTTCTTGCAGCCGAGGGAGTTCCTTTTGGACATGAGTGAACAGCAGTCGGCTGAGACGGCTGACCAAGCCCTCGATCCCGACCTGCTCTACAGGGAGTTTGCCAAATAGCGACTTTTCCTTTCGAAAGAAGGCCGCTTCGGAGGCATTTCGTTCCTCGATAGAGAATTGCGCCTCCTCGAACGTCCGGTTCTTCAGGACGTGCCATCCGAGCGTGAAGAAGATATCTTCATTCTTTGCCAGCTGAACAAATTGTTTCTCCGTGTCTGAGCCCGGAGGAAGTCGATCCGGCTTGGTGATGATACCGAGCGTGCGTTCTCCCTTGGGGTCGAAGTGGCGGACCTTGTTGAGGATCGGCTGGTTGGCATAGTCATTCGTCGCCGACACCACAGCCAAGCAGATCGTTCGCGGTTGTGAGATGTATGATTCCGTAATCTCTACCGTCATATCGACGTCTATCTGAGATGCGTCCTTTGTCTCCGCCTGTATGATCCCAGGGAGGTCGACTACCGTGAGCTGCGGTCGATTGGGGCCTTCGATCTCGACGCTAAGCACGTCACGGGCAAATGCTCGCCGGGTCTGGCTGGTATCCGGTCCACGATCAATTCCCATCAGCTGCGTTGCTCTTTCCATGACCCGTGGAAGATGACCGAAGTCGGTGATAGTCTGACGGAAATTGCGGATTGCAGCCTGCTCCTCGTCCGATCGCTGAGGATCCGGGATCACCTTGATCTGCAACGAGTTGATTGGGGCGGGTCGGATGTTGATCTCTGTCGGATACCGTGTGAACAGGTTGTCTTTGCGAGGGAAGGGGATTTCGGTCAGGGCCTCGAGCACTGAGCTTTTGCCTGCAGACTGATCGCCACAGACCACGAGCTGTGGCAGGGAGAGTACGCTTTCCAGTCCACATTTGCGCAACTGCGAGACAATGTCTAGGACGCGTCGTTGCTCGTGGGTTTCTAGGGATCCCAATGCTGCTGTGGCCAGATGACCATTCGATACGCCGTCCGATGGACCTTATTCTACATAAGTCTCTTCTTCCTCGAACCGAGATCTATCACTTACCGGCTAGAGGTAGAGCCTCATTCCACATCCCAACTGATGCAACCTCAAAATCGTTCGGCAACAAGAGGTAGAATCGTGCAGTTGTTGCAAAGATTGCGAAAAGAAACTCAAAAGAACTGGGGGTAATGGTGTTCAGGATGTTGAGATAGTAGACTAGAAAAAGAAAAAAAAAAAAGGAAAGGAAAGTAAGAAATAAACAAGAGAGGAAAGTAGAAAGACTCTTGTTTTTTACCAGAATAACCAGGAGTATGAATCTTAGGACCTGGGTACAAAAACAAGAAGCAGTTACTAGCTCGCGATATGACAGTCTTCTCCCCCTGGAAGAGTAACATTTTACCTTCAATCATTACATTATGATCTCGTCATTGCCATTGACCTTCTGTATTCCAGTTTATTCACCTCAATTTTAATGTAAGAACAATATTAGATTCTATAACTGGTCACAAAGGCTGATATTGTCACATATCATATATACCAGCTAGGTATAAACCCGTTGATGATTCACTAACCATACTATAACCATTCTCCAATAGTATACTAGCTTTGGATTTACTGTGAATATAACTCTTTATAACTGTTATACACTTGAGCTTACTTGAATCCACTATTTTTGAAAAGAGGAATAAGAATGAGCGGTCAAAGAAACTTCCTCTTATATCTTCTTCTCTTCGTTGCCCTCTCTCATCTCTCTTCTCTCGTGAAATATCCCAGTCTCAGATGTAGATACCCCACATGGATCGGCCTGGTACTCGGCTGCCGATCCCTCTCGGCAATCGGCATAAGCTTAAGCGGGGTCAATTTATCTCTTTAATACCTGTAGAGTACTACTGACCATATTCACTTCCTAATGCCTACAATCCATACTGCTCTCCAGTACCATCTTTACATGAAAGTAAACAGAAAAACATGTCACTCCCCACATTCAACAGTCTCTCCCTCGACCGCCGCGGCAATGTCTTCATCATCACCATGCAAAAGGCCCCAGAGAACCGCCTGACCTCCTGGTACTGTCAAGAGATCATCAGAGCTTTCCGGACAATTCAGCAGATACTAGGTCCCGATTCCGAAGGGGCGGTCATCACGCGTGGGAGTGACGACAAATTTTGGTGTACGGTGGGTGTTCCATGCCCATACCAGCTGGGATTGTACCTTTGCTGGCGATCAGGAATAACATCTACTAGGGTCTCGACCTCGATGAACCAGACACAAACCCTTTTGCAAATACTGATGGATTTTACCCGGTATGCCCCATATACATCCATCGGCCCATTGCTTTTCCCTATGTATAGTCGTCGAAGAAAAAAAAGAAAGAAAGAAAATAATGAATAAGATGCTCCATACAATCCTCGACTTCCCCTACCCCACCATCGCTCTAATCACAGGCCACACCTTCGGCGGCGGCTGTCCCTTCGCTCTCGCCCACGATTACCGCATCATGAACGCCAACCGGGGCTTCCTCTGCATGCCGCCCGTCAACCTTGGCCTGCACTTCGACGGGATCGGCCTCCTCCCGCGATTGAAACTGCGGCCGCAGATCGCGCGCAAGATGCTCCTCGAAGCGCACCGCTGGACGGGAAAGGAGGCGCTGGCAGATGGCGTCGTCGATGCCATTGCTGAGCCGGAGCGCATGTTGGACGTTGCGATCCAGATGGGGGAGAAGTGGGCGCCGAAGGCGAAGATGGGGTACTTCTCTCCTTTATTAAATTCCTTCTTTCTTTCTATGACAATCCTTTTTTTCATTCCTCTTACGTGTTTTTGTTGGTTTGTTTTTTCTCGAATGAGAGGCTAATTCTTCTAGTGTCTATGCCCTGCTGCGAGCCGAATTATACGGGGATGCCATGCAACAGTTTCAGAAGATCAGTTACGTGCATGGCAGGATGACGTCCTTGTCTGCAAAAGCCAAGGTTTGATTTGGCTGAAATGAGTTGCGTGCACAATATGTGATGTCTGGTGTGGGGCTCGTCTTGTACATACTGTGGATCAATACAATGATCAGTACATATACAGGTTACTCCTTGCACCCATAACCATACTATAAGCAAGCAGATATTTGACCAGAAAAAGGAACAGTAAGCAATTACAACTTCATTTTCCTCCCCTTCCACACTTCCACCTCCCCATCCACCCCATATCCCACCGGGAAATACTCCGGTCCCAGAATCCTCTTCTGCACCTTCCCCGTCGCCGACTTGGGCAGTTCGCCCTGGACGACCCGCAGCACAGTCGGCAGCTTATATCCCGCCAGCTTGCTCCGCAGATCGTGTCGTAGTCTCTCCAGCAGACCCTTCCTACTATGACTACTATCCTTCAAACAAATAGCGGCACCCACTCGCTGTCCATACTCATCATCAGGTACACCCACGACCATCACCTCAGCGATGTAGTCCAACCCGAGAATCTCGCGCTCAATGTCCAGCGCAGAGATCTTGTATCCCCCCGACTTGATGATATCAAGAGATGCTCGGCCCAAAATAAAGTAGTATGGACCTTCTCTTCGCGCGATGTCTCCAGTTCTGAAGTACCCTTCTGCGTCGTGGGCATCTGCCGTCGCTTGCTCGTCGTATAGGTATCTAGTCCTTGTCAGAAACAGACTACAAGAATATGAAGAGCAGAAGAGAAAAATGGGAAAGAAAGAAATACTTCGAAAATATATGCGGCCCCTTTACCAACACCATCCCATCCTCATCCAACTTCACCTCTACCCCCGGCACCGCCCGCCCAACACTGTTCGGCGGAGTATGGGCGTCGTCCACACCCATCATGAAGCAGACCCCTATCTCCGATGCACCGTACCGCGTTAGAATGCGCTTTCCGGCCAATATACGCGTCCAGAAGTCCTGCACGGGAGCCGGCAGCGCCGACGTTCCGCATAGTAGAACACGCAAGCTTTGTGCCCCGTTTACGTACGCCTGGCGCTTCTCCTCCGAGAGCTGATTTGACTCAAAGTATCGCATCATGCGTATGTAGATGGTTGGCACGCCAGAGAACACTGTCAGGCCTCCACGACGCCAGCGCTCCCACGTCCAGGCGGCGTCGAAGCTGCCGCTGCGGAACTCGACACACGCGCCTGTCACTAGATAGGGGAGGAAATTGATTATCACGCCTGTGATGTGGTGCACGGGAAGCATGTGCAGGATTGTGTCGGTTTCGGCTATGCCGTAGTGGTCTGCGATGGCTTCTGCTGCTCTGGTTAGGTAGCTCCGGCGCTGGACGGCGCCTTTTGGGGGGCCGGTTGTGCCGGATGTGAAGATTATGAGGCTGGCTAAGTTGGGGTCAAGCTCGCGGTTAGAGGAGATTGTTATTTTGTCTATTGTTGGGGATATCGGGTTGCTGTTGGCGTAGGGTTCTATGGATAGGTAGGGGAGGTTGCTGTGGATAGATGACACAGACTGTGCTAGATCTATAGATCCTCGAGAGCAGACAATTGCTGCACAACGGGCACGATGTACGAGTGCGCTTGCCTCCTCTGTCGGAAGGACGACAGCTGTGGTAATGTTAGAGAAATCTCGTTCGTAGAAATAGGACTCACTCAGTGGAACGACAGCCGCCCCCAGCGCCAGAATGGCTATAAACCCCACTGCATACTCGTAGCCCCCTGGCGCCAGCAGCGCAATGGGTACTTCGCGGTCCTGGAGCAGATCTTCTTGTATGTCTGGGGACAGCGTCTCTTGCAGCTTCCTCCGCAAGACCAGTCCGTCTATCAGCAACTGTGCGTAGCTTTTTTCCACGCCCGCGTTCACATCTCGGATGGCGATGCGGGGTGTGCTTCTGTTGGCAAATCGTAATAGCTTCTCGAAGAAAGGCAGGTTGGGGAGGACGTGGTCGCCGGTGTGGGGAGGTACCAGCAGGGTACGGTCTCCGTTGCTCATTTTAGTAGTTGCATATGTGAAGATTGTCAATAGCATGAGACCGACTATTCAAATCATGTCGAAGCCTGTCGTGGTAAATCAACCCAAGCCGACTACCGACTAACCGGCCATGCCGTGCGGGGGATCGCCTTCAACTCGGGCTCGACGATGCGGGGTGCATTTAAACCGAGGGCCCTGGATCTTGACCAGACACACCGCGTTGTTTGCAGCAACTATGCCAGACTTTACAGATAAATTACGTCCCAAACAGCCTGACGGCCCGGAGATCCTGACCCTCGAGCGAGTGGGCTCCGACATAGCCATAGGGGAATTGGCACACCATCTTCTGGGCCAGGACGGTTTCCTCGAGCGCCAGACGCGCATTCTCCCCATCGTCCAGAAAGAGCCATTATTTGACAAGACACGGCAACAGAATCTGTCACGCCCCGAGCGTTTCAAGCTCGCTCTGGCGCGGGCTAAACAGCTACGCCGGCTGTCGGACCAACATGTCTGGACTCTCCAGGAGTACAAGCTGGCGGAGTATCTCGTCGACGACGTCTCGCCATACATGCTGCAGATGGAAATGTTTGCGACAACCATTGAAGAACAGGGCACCGATGCGCAACGTGCCCACTGGATGCCTCGCGTCGAGTCGTGGCAGGTCGTCGGTGCCTACGCGCAGACGGAACTAGGCCATGGGAGCAATGTCCGTGGCCTCGAGCTCGAGGCTCGCTGGGATGGAGAGAACAAGGGATTTGTCTTACACAGTCCGACCCTCACGGCCAGCAAGTGGTGGAATGGAACGCTGGGCCGTACGGCCAATCATGCTATCGTCGTGGCGCAACTGCTGCTACCGCATCCAAACTCCCCCGATCAGTTCGTCTCGCATGGTCCGCAGCCGTTCATCATTCAAGTGCGCGACATGACCACTCATCAACCCCTCGACGGGATCATAATTGGCGACATTGGGCCCAAATACGGCTACGCCACCATGGATAACGCCTATATGCTGTTCGATAACTTCCGGTAGGTGTTGGATACGGGCCTTGTAGATGCTGAACCGACTAACCAAATGACCAGGATTCCCCATTCTGCCCTTCTTAGTCGCTACGCAAATGTTGATCCAGACACGGGCCACTTCTCCAGACACGCCATGCCAGCCGTAGTATATGGCTCGCTCACAGCCGTGCGCTCACGCATCGTGCAGCACGCGCGGTTAGTCCTAGCACGAGCCGTCACCGTCGCCGTCCGATACACAGCGATTAGACGACAATTCCGAGACCGCGACGCGCCAGATACAGCACCCGAGCTGAGCGTGCTGGACTATCCCACCGTTCAGATCCGGATCCTGCCCCTGCTAGCGACGACATACGCGCTGCACTACGTGGGACAGGCCATGCAGACGACGTACGAGCGCACGCGGAGCGAGATTGAATCTGGGAGTTTTGCCAGCTTGGCTAACATGCATAGCATGTCGTCTGGGCTGAAGAGTCTATGCACGATGCTGGTCGCCGATGGCATCGAGGTTTGCCGTCGTGCTATGGGCGGTCATGGCTACGGCGGTGGGAGTGGGCTCATCCAGCTCAACAATGATTACTTGTCCAAGCCGACTGTCGAGGGAGATAATTGGATGATCACGCAGCAGACGGCGTCGTATCTCATTAAAAAGATGTCTGCTGCGGTGGCGGCGGTGGACGACCCCCCTGCGGACGCGCTGGATGGCCAGTATAAGCTGTTTCTGCAGGGCCGCGCGAGGGGCGGGCCATATCGTATCTTCCACGAGGATTATGATCTCGTGCGGAGTTTCCAGCGAAGGGCGACTGTGTTGGTATGTTCTCAGACGTCTATATGTAGCCATATGAAGACATGTACTAACGGAATAGACACATAATGCGTATATCGAACGAGTCGTCAAACAGAGATCATGGAGCAGTCTTATGATCCAGCTGCACAAGCTCAGTCGTGCCCAGTCGCAGTCCATCTTGGTGTCTACCTTCTTCGACGCGCTCGACTCCGAGGACAATCTCAATCTCTCCGAACCGCTGAGGCGTGTCCTGTGGGACCTGTTCCGTTTGTTTGCGCTGACCACCATGGAAACCGACAGCTATGACTGTACGCCCTTGCCCTTATGTAATTATCTATAGTTCTCGAGACTGACACGACATAGTCCTCGCCTCAAAGGCTGCCTCAGGCGCACAACTTGATACTCTTCCCGGGCGTATCCAGGAGCTCATGGGACGCATTCGGCCGCATGCGGTCAGTCTGGTAGACGCGTGGATGATCCCAGACTTTCTTCTTGATAGGTAGGTACTCACTCCAGGGTTATACAGACAAGGAAAGTTTTATATCACTGACATCTCAGTGCTCTGGGACGCTATGACGGACGCGTATACGAGGATCTCTTCAATCGAGCCCATCGACAGAATCCACTCAACCGGATGACTGTCAATCCTAATTATTGGGAGGATGAAATTGTCAAGGGCGGGGATGATATGAAGAGTATACGGACAAAGCTGTGATGTCTCTTACCGGCAGTGGGGCTGTTCATTACTGTAGAAATGTGTTGTTTGATTCTATTGACCATTGTCTATTTCTCTCAATATCCTTACCCCACAAACTTAGTCTGGGTGTAAACCCTAAGATCATTCACTATTTGATTTTATCCTAGGAAAGGTAGGATAGTCCATCTGTTCTGCTATTCGAACTATGATCCTGCATCATATACCTAATCCACCCAGCCACATCACTCATATCATATGACAACAAAGGGTTGAGATACATGTCAAATTGTCAAAACACGCCATCCCCTGACCGTACCAGCGTCCGTTTTGGTGGTTCGTGAATGATCCGGTGAGGAATTTTGCCCAATGTAGCCTCCTTATTGACCGTGGTTGCCATTGTTACCGTTGTTGCCATTGTTGCCATTGTTGCCATTGTTGCCAGTGTTGCCATTGTTGCCATTGTTGCCAGGTCCATTGCTCTCCTGGTTCTGGTCTTTCTTCCAGTGTCCACCATGGCCGCCGGGAATGTGGGGATCACCATGGCCGCCGTAGATATGAGGATTATCACGGCTCTGATGGCCTTTGCGGTTAACACTGCCGTCGTCCCCTTCCTCCTCGTTCTCATTGCCATCATCTTGTCTTCTCCAGACTCCTCCAGGGCCACCATGAGGACCAGGACGTCCGTAGCCGGGAGGAATGTGGGGATCACCCTGGCCGCCGTAGATGTGGGGATCACCATGGCCGCCGTAGATATGAGGATTATCACGGCTCTGATGGCCTTTGCGGTTAACACTGCCGTCGTCCCCTTCCTCCTCGTTCTCATTGCCATCATCTTGTCTTCTCCAGACTCCTCCAGGGCCATGTTCCTCGGAAACTTCGCGCTTCCACGCTCCATAGGGAGGTTCGCCGTAGGGAGGCCCATAGCCGGGAGTATGAGCGGCCGCGTCGGCAGCCTGGCCGACGTCTTGGGCGCGCTTGCTGTTCAACTGTGATACAAGTCAGTTATATCAATCACAGGTCCATCATCCAGGAGGGGAAGGGCCAAAACCAACCTCGTCGCCCGTGGGAAGGGCTAGGGCACAGGTGCCCAACGCGAGGAAGCTTGCGACCTTCATGGTGTTTTTGCTTTGAAGGTCTTGGTTGATGCTTGAAGTGTGAGAAGTAGTTTGTTGCTGTGTCTTGATTCCTGAATGATTGATTGGATATTCTGTGGAAGCAATGGCGTCGGAGACGCTGGTATAAATAATTTTCAAGAGACTATCATTTCCTTCGTCTTCGTCTGCACTGTCTCGTTTCTTTCTTCATTTATGGGAGCATTTAGAGACACTGTCGTCACTACCGTCCATATTCGTGTTGATTGTCCCCTTGCTTCGAGCTGACGTGGCAGGGCAATAAGTTACTGGATATGACGAACAAGAAATCTCTCTCTGCTACCCTTGAAATACTCACCTCCATGTTCGTAGCGGGATGAAACAGACAAGATCCACATCAGAGATGACTCTTCACTATCCCAGTTTAAGGTTGGAAGGGCTCGCATGGTTTGCACGGTTCGCTTTGCTGATCTGTTCGATCGAGCATTGCAATCTCCGTGGGCCTATGCGTTCGTTGTTGTCTTGGCTCAGGGATTTTTGTCCAGTGTCTACCTAAAGGCAAACAATGGATGCACCAATCGTAGCTGGATTTTTGTCTCCAATTGGGAGTTGATCATGAGCCCTTGCTTTGCTGGTACGTACCTATCCTGTCCATATGGTGGCTCAGTTGCTCCTGGTATACAAGCATGGCTGATATCCGCCCCAAGTTCACTCATTGAGGATCGTCAGACTTCATTCCAACCCCTTCTCCTTCAAACTTCCAGCTCGTTAGACAATACAAAGTCGTCCCAAAAACGCGGGTTTTGCAATGCAAGGGATTGGGTTGTCGTCAGCTGTTTCAAGAAATAGCCCAAGGTTTCTGCATCTTGAAAGCAAAACTATTGGAGAACAGCGCCGGAATGGATTTCGTCATTGTGCGTTTACGCGCTCCCCACAGCCGTTAGTAGTGCATTCTATCAAATCTCCAATATCACAATTATGGTTAAACCGCCTTGCATGTCGCCGGACAATATTCTCAGGGGCTGTTACCCGAGTCCATTACGGATATCACATACCTGGACAACGCCAACATCTACCACCCGATATTGCGGGCTCTTACGCTCAAGATAGTAGGCTCTGTAAGCTTGTGGGATTCCGTAACACACATATTCTTACTGTTTGCAATCCTCATCAATCCTTTTAGACCACTGAGCGTTATCATTCTTATTATATCCTCAAAATAAAGTTGCCGATTTCCTCTAGATGGTGAGACAGTGGCTGGACTTGTAAACTAGGATCAACCGTACTATACCTCAAGTAGCATTCCTTCAACGATTGTGAGATTTTTCACGTGTCCCTTGAGGGAGGGGTGCATAGCCACGATTGTAGATCACTTCTTACCATAATAGCTATCTGGAACATTCTGAAACGTATGGCTAGATCCGGGCAGGGCAATCTTTGACTAGCTTTATTAGAAAGTACTCCTTTGGCCCTGTATGCACTGCGTCATCAATTCATCGGATACGAGTTAGAACGACAGTCAAGCATAGAGACTTTTCCCAGTGCTTTGAAGGTTTCATTTCGACATCTTCGAGCTTTCTTTGCAAAGCAGATTCCGAGACATGCTAAGCATAAGGAGTACGGGGTGAGCTCCAGAGGTAAATGATCACCAAAACCATCATCCACATTACTGCCACACTCCCCAGAGACCCCATCCTATCAGATGCGTCAGGGCTCCGGGACACGAGTGGAGTTGTGGCGTACAGAGTCGACAATCCCTGGAGAACAAGCAAAGCTGAGCCCCAGATTGCCATGTCACATGCGCACGAGCTATCTATTCTTCCGTCCAGGTTCAATTATAAGAGCCGAATGATGATGCCCACTCCGATGTCGAGACTAATCACATTCAGTGCCTAGCTAAGGTCAACTAGATTCAGTGGTTTTGGAAAGATCAATGAAAGAGCCGCATTATGTGGCGTCTACATTGCCAATGTAGATCAGTACCTCGTCCTTGGGAGTGCTTCTATGTGCTTCTGTAGGCATCATTGCACCATTGTCTAGTGTGTGGCTCGGCCAGCACAGGTTCCTCTCTCGCCATTAGGCACGAATCCATGACTTAGGCAGCTGCATGATTATTGGAGATTATGCCCGGCCCGTGTCACACCCGGTTTGCGTCCATGAGCCTAACCAGAGTGACACAGCGAAGGATGAAGGCCGCTTAGTAGATAATCAATTCAGAGGAGCGAGCACGCACAGGCACCATCGTATTCCAAACCCGTTGGAAAATATCATCATTCAGTGGGTGATCGAGTGAGATCTCTCCCGCCGGCATGGAAGGTTTACCCCGACGCCGTACCCATTCCAAATAGGAAAATTCGAGCCCATCGATCGGCCGTATAGTCCCAGGTAAAAGGGTCATTTCATAACAAGAACATTTGGGGCCACTCAAATCCACGCACCAACCGGGGCTCAACGTCTCGGACCGTGCCGCCATCATCCAAGTGGTTCTCGAAGCACAAAAAGTACGGTCCATCATCGCTAGGATTCTATTTCCAGCAAAAACAGCCTATGACAATGCTTAACAGCAAAGCAGAGCACCGGCCCCATGTGATCAACAAAGGATGCAGGTCAACCGTTTCGAACCGCCTGCAGCAACCGGGGCACCACCACCGTAGTTGCTCATCAGGGGGGCGAATAGTGGGGGCGCCGTTGCTGCTTGGGCGATGGTGGGACTAGGCAGTATCTAATGATGTCTATCAACGCCATCCCCGTTGGAGCAGGAGGGGTAGGGTTAGCAAATTGCAACTCTATGGGCGATAGGCCCATGCGCGATCTGTGCGCTCGGTCGACCACAACAATGCTATTATTATTCGTATAATGAGCCGGGATTCCTCATTGTTTTTGCACGAGGTCTTATATTCTCCTTGGCGTGTGGGCTCTCGAGGCGAGCTAAGTATAGTAATATGGAGCCGGTGGTAGCTTGAGGCGTTAGTGCTGGAGGGGCCGTTGGGACTATTCTCGGGCCCAAAACTAGCCTGCTGTACATGACTGAGAACGGAAGTTCTGTGTGGAAGCAGCGCAAAGCCCGATGCATGGATCCCCATGAGGCTATCTTAGATGCGCTTCGTACTTTCTTATCCTGGAGGGGCCAGTGGAATCCGTTCATTCTTTGTGATGGGCGCGGTTGACACCTGCCTCTCGATGAAAGAGCAACAAGGCTCGGGCCAGAGCTGATGTCATGAGGGTGGGAAACGATAGCGTTCCCGTCAGACTACCCTTTTTCTCACCATGGTCTTTGTTTAAAATTCAACGTTGACGATTCCTGGCCGCTCGGGGACCTCCAGGAGACGGAGGTTTGTGCTCCGGTCTCAAAACGGTACCTCTGTGAAAGGAGCTAATCTATGATTCTTCCTTGACGGTGACCTTGAAGTGAGATCGTCGGGAATCATCAGCTGTAGCTGACCCAATTTGCCCGGTCGCAAAACTACTGAGATGGTGTGAGGCGAGAGACAGAGAGAGATGAGAGGAAAATCAGACTGACGATCGACTTCTTTTTCTTTTTTTTTCCTCGTTTCATTCGTAGGCACAATTTGCAGTGGAATATAACGTGTGAGATGATGTCGTGACGAGGAATAGTCAGATGGAAGAAGTGAGGGAGTCCAGAACGTGACCAGACCTTATTATGGAACTGATATCGAACAATCTTTCCATGGATTGTATTTTGATAGACAGAATGATTCTGGATCTTCCTAGATATCAGCATGGCTTATTTCAACTCAAATATTCCAAGAGAAGAAGTTGCGGAACAACTTCTGCTGAGTATGAAGTTATATATAGATCAGGCATCCGCAGGCATCTTTCCAACCACCAGCGAATTATCAACCCAGGATGACAAAATCAAATCCTATAGAACTAACAAGGCGATATTGATCTAGAATCATACATACTAGTGATAATATAATAATCTAACATGTAGAAAATTAACCCAGGAGGTGGATAGTAGTAATAAGGTACCCGCTGAACACCACTAGTTGCTTCGATTGACGTCCATCTCCATCTCTCCCTCTTTCTCCCTCTCTTCCTTCTTCTCTCCCTTCTTCTCTTTCTCCTCATACAACTAACCGCTTCATCCATCCTCATAAGAATCCAATTATTTCCCATCTCTTCCCCTCCTCTCTCTCTCTTTTTTTTCCTCTACTCCTCCCTCCCCGCTCCCTTCTTTCATTGCCAACCACTCCCCTCCCTTTGTTCCTTTGTCGCTAGTGACGTACCCCCGTTTCCCCGCTACGCATCTCGAAACCATCTCCTGCAACCTTCGTCGTCTTCTGCGCATTCTGGCGATCTCCTCATCTTCTAGATCTTGATCTTCTCCTCATCGGCAGGCCTCTTTCTTTTTTTACCTCTGGGTCTTCCGAACCCGCGGTTCCGCCGATCCTGGGAGCTTCCCCGCACCCTCCTACCAACCGCCATGTAAGTTGGAAGCGCAGTCCGTCAGATTGCATATATCCATGATAGAACGTATCAACTGACGTAAAACCCGAAAATATAGGCGTATTACGGTGAGCGTGATCCGGCCGGATCAGGCCGATTCCGATATTATTTCCCTCGAAGTCGGCGGGGACATGACGATCGAACTCCTCAAAGCCATCGTCGAAAGCGAGACGTCCATCCCCCCATCCGCACAACAGCTCGTCTACAACAACCAGCTGCTCGGGAATGATGCCCAGACTCTGGAACAGGTTGGGATTGGCGAGGGAGACATGTTGGGCGTTCACATCACATTGCGGGGTCCGCAGGCTCCCGCGCGGACTGCGCCCGGTCCCAGCATGCCAGCCGCTCAGCAGAACCTGCAACGGAGGCCGCCCACGGCCCCTGACCCGGAAACCATCCGGTTACATATTCTAGGCGACCCCCGGGTTCGCGATGCGGTCCGACGACAAAACCCCGAACTCGCGGACGCCGCGAGCGATCCGAATCGGTTCCGTGATGTCCTGCTCTCGCAGCAGCGGCGCGAGGCCCAGGTCGAGGCGGAGAAGGAGGCTCGGATTGCCATGTTGAATGCGGACCCATTCAACCCAGATAATCAGAAGCAGATTGAGGAGATGATCCGCCAGAATGCGGTGACGGAAAATCTCCACAATGCGATGGAGCATCATCCAGAGTGTAGGTTCCGACCCCACGGCTATCGCTCCTTTTTGTCCACCCACAAGGGATGCTAATCGAGGGTCGTAGCGTTCGGTCGCGTCACGATGCTCTACATCCCCGTCGAGGTCAACGGTCACAAACTCAACGCGTTTGTCGACTCGGGGGCTCAGGTCACCATCATGTCCCCCGAGTGCGCGACCGCGTGCAACATCATGCGTCTCGTCGACCAACGTTACGGAGGCATCGCCAAGGGAGTGGGCACGGCGACCATCCTGGGTCGAGTCCATTCGGCGCAGATTCGGATCGGAAGCCTGTTTCTGCCGTGCTCCTTCACCGTCATGGAGGGGAAACACATTGACCTCCTCCTGGGGTTGGACATGTTGAAGCGACATCAAGCGTGTATCGACCTCCAGAAAGGAGCCCTCGTGATCCAGGATCAGGCCGTACCCTTCTTGGGCGAGGCGGACATCCCGAAGCATCTCCAGGACGAGTTTGAGGACGAGCCGATGGTCAAGGGCGCCGACGGGGCCGAAGTCGGCGCTCGGACGGGAGCTGTGACCCATCAGGCGGGAAACCAGCAGGGGCCCAGCGGCGCCACCGCATCTTCCAGTGCAGCGTCGGCGTCAAATCCCGGCGCCAGCACCCGTCCCGCACCGGCTTCGTCATCCCGGTGGCCACAGGACTCGATTGCCAAGATCATTGAGCTTGGGTTCAGCCGGGAAGAGGCCATGCGGGCATTGGACGCCGCAAATGGTGACCTAGATGGAGCTATTGGATTCTTGATCTGATCGGTGGGACGGGATATGCAGCATATCTCCTGAGACGTGCAGGGGGGAGGGTGATAGTGTGGATGGACAGATTTGACGTGTTCCGGAGCTTCCTCACCGCCGCCTGGCGAATCCATGCTCCTTTGCCCCCTCTTCCTCAGACAGGAAAATGCCACCCTCCTCTGCTCCCCCCCGTTGTACACTGCATCTGTATGTCCTATGAACGAAAAGACAAGCAAACAAACACGTCCACTCGCCCACAAGACAAAAGAACGTCTCCACCGATCTGTACTTCCACGGCAATAGACATCCTTGGCCCTCATGCATCGTCAACGCGGCATCTCAAACTCAGTCGAGGTCGAGACCCCCTGGTACCTTTGTGGGAGCTTCCGATTCCTTCCCGCTTCGGTCTCTCCTTCGTTCTCATTCTCCATTGTATTTATCGATTATTGTTCGGAACGTCCATTCAAAAAAAAAAAAAAAAAGGTGCATTATGGCGACCGTTGGCACAGATTAGAGAACTCTATCGATTTGTAAACAGGGACCATCATGCAATTCAGATGACGAGGTTAGCTGTCTTTGCAGTTATTGCAGCATTTCATACACGGGTGCTCCCCTCGCCCGGGTCTGTGTGCCCCTCCCCTTATTTATGGTCCCAGAGTTGCTGCCGTTTGTGTTGGGTTCCAGGGACTGAGTTAGCTCTAGTTACGGATCTAGGTAGGTAGCTAAGCTTACCTTTATTGAATGAGTGAACTCACGGACGACGAATTTCTCCCAACTTACTATCATCTATTGATCTATCTATCTATCTACATTGGTTAACTCCCGGGAAGCTTCGTAAGATTCGCCCGTAAGCATCATCTTTATTTTCCCACCTTCGCCCCTGCCCCTATCCCTGCCCCTATCCCTGCCCCTATCCCTGCCCCTAAGTCACGCCACGGGTCGTCTAGAGTCCGGTAGATGGGACAGACAGACCCTGTCAAATCCAAGCTCTATCTACTCTTTCTTGGACTTTCCCAGCAGACGACCCTGCAAGCGACCGACCATGTCGAGGGCCATGAACCCACCTAGAAACTATAAGTTAGTCTAACAGACATCATACCATATCACATCACATCATTTCCAAAAGCGGGATTTCCTTAGGGCTCGGAGTGGGGGCCCGAGAAGGATCGGTAGGATAGACAGTCAACTTACCCAAAGCGACATACGGAGCATACAAGAACGTGATGTTGGTCTTTTGGTCGGTGGACCGGTCAGTCCAGCTCCAGACCTCCACGAGACAGGCCACTGACGTCACGAAGGACTGGACGCCGAAGACTAGCAGGTGAATGGGAACAAGGGGATTATCTGAGGTTTGTTTGATGGTGGTTAGCTAGCTGGTGGGGTATATGGCGGAGAGGGGCGCCTCTTGTTCCGGTTGGTGAAAGGTGCTGGTAGATAGTAGGACGGGGGGGGTAAAGGGCGGGAATATGCAGTTGGGTAGTTAAGTTGTATGGGTGTAGGAATAGAGTGGAAAGAAAGAAAGGAAAGGAAAGGAAAGGAAATAAAGAAGGTCAAAACGTACCTCGTAGTAAGGCAGAAATCGCCCACAGACTTAGTGGCGTGTGGTAGACCATCTCCATGAAGATGAAAGTCGAAAACCAGGCCGGAGCCGGGTCCTCGAAAAACTTGTCATGGTAGGTGTCAATGTAGAAAGCACGCAACTGGTGGGATAAATCGGTCTGGAGAAAAGAAGGAAGAAGAGGTGCGGCATCGACGACTGCAGATTTGATATGATTTCATTGGTCTGTTTGTTAGCTCTCATGACGTTGAAGGTGTTTCGGGATTTCTGGGATAATATCGGATGCACTACTTCATACAGTACTACCTAGCTACCCAGCTAGTCAGGTAGCTAGTTAGCTCGGGACAGCTGCCGTCGGTTGGGCAGCTAGGGCCGTAGTATGTGATATAGCCTTTGGGGCAAGTAGGTGAGGGTGGAGAGAGTGGAGATAAGTCCCGGTCTAGACCGGGATCATGATCCCCATGACCAGGTCAGGGGACTGAGAGTAGGAGACGAGGCACACTCACGGAAGATGACAGGGACGTGAATCACAAAGAAGAGGAAGTAGACCAAGTCCCGTTTGCGGGACCATATGGAAGAGGCTGGTGCCATTGATGTTTGGGCCATTGCAATTGGTCTATAGATAGAGACTCGGGACTGGTCGATGGAACGGAAAGCTAGAAGCGATGAGCAATTAAACCGCCAGGGGGTTAGGAGGAAGCTTTACCAGGTACCAGGTCACCAACGTTAGTCAAATCGACGACCAGTCTTTAGTTAATTAGATGAGAGTGGATGGATGATGTCCGGTTAGCACGCGTTGGACTGATTGATAAGTCAACACTGTGGATCCGGTCAGGTGATATGACAGATGGAACAACAAACAGAACAAATACATGGAGTAAGTAAACAAACAACCCAAACAAGTCCTCCTCCTCTCCTCCATCTCAACCACATCCAGACTTTCCTTCCGATGTGAACTGAGACATGAAGCATACCTTCCTCTCTTGGAGATTATGGAGTACTCGGACACATACAGAAAAATACGGTATCTCTTGGTGTAAGTATGGGAATTAGTCAATCGAAAACAATTCACACCCGATTGAGCAGGAAAGGGAAATAAGCAACCTGATGGACCCGAAGCGCTGGTTAAACAGCAACTCTTTGCTTTTTCCTCTCCATCTGCACGACTTCTCTAAACATAGCTTAACCTTAGCTGCGTGGATCAAGGGCCAAAGTACGGAGGAGCTCCCGAGTCTCCCGCCCAGGTCACATTAGATTGACTGGCTGACTCTCTTGAGCTTAGCCCCCGACTGATGGATGCTAGTCAATCCAGTGCACCATGATTGCTTTTCCCTTCAGCCTCGGACCTTGCATGGTCTACGAATGATTGGAGATATAGATGATCGTTCAGATTGCACTGGTTCATCATCTATCGATCTCCCTTTCGTCGTCATAGTTGTCCTCGTTGTCGTGATGTCTCGTCGCACACTGATTCCCACTAGAGGATTTCAGGTAACCGTCGGGTAACCACACCTCTTCGTGGTCTGAACGAGAACCTTGACTTCCCCCCTCCAACAATCATAACACGTTCCCCCCTCGCTGGTCTTGTCTGGAGCCCAGGAATTACCCATGCTTGGAGCTACCCTCACCGCAACTCTTTCCTCTATGGAAAAGCGACCATGTGGTGCGAAAAGGCCCAATAGAGCCTCCGGATGACGATAAGCCATGCCAATGTCAGTCTTGCCAGTCTGGTCGTTCATTATTCACGGAATCAGGAAACCGGCTTGACTCATTCCGACGACTCCTGCAAGGGTGGGTCGAGTCCTGCAGGATCATGGATGTTGACTTTCCTTTCCTCCCAAGGTCTAGTCCTTTCCCACCCCTTCTCCCCAAGAATGCAAGCGGGCCCGATCTAGGAATTTTCCTCGAATTCGGTGATGCCGATCTGTGGGCCTATTCTACATTTGGGAGGGCTTTTTGTTTCTCTTGATATCATTATCTTTTTTTTTTGCTGTCTTTGGCTCCCCACCCTTTAATCTTTTTGCCCGTTGGTATTCTCTTTGGATTTCGTAATTTTTCTCGACGTTTCCCTATCTTATGAGTCAAATTGGCCCACTTTGAAATCATTGGGACGGGCCACGGGAAGATTGCATCTTAGCGTCAAACTATCGAAACCAACCGCCTATCCATCTATCACATCGGACGAGGCCCCATCGGGTTCCCACCACATAGGACATAGTACATAAGTACATTTTACATACATACATACAGAGTACGACCTCCAAGCAACCTTGGGGACTAACAGAGACACAACGGGCCCCTACTCCTCCTTGGGTATCTGAGACGGGACGCGGAGCTTCGGGCCAATGAGGTCTGACTGCCAATGCTCTTCGGATACACCGTTGTCTCTACCCAATTGCCAAGCGGTGATCAAACCATATCCACCGTCTTCTATCCCTAGGTCCTGAGGTCTCTATTTGCTTGGTCCGTTCGGAAGGCGATAGATGTCCTTTTGGCCCGCCAAGAGCCGGTTTCGTAAGAGAAAAGCAGGGGGGTTTAGACTTTGCATATTAAAATCAAGGGAAAAGAAGGAAGAAGACAGACGGAACAAAGGAAGGGAAAAAGGAAGGAAGGAAAAGAAGCAAGCCCACATTCTGGAAACGCAAATCCGTCAAATCAGTGACAGCAGTGGCTCCACTACTGGGACAAAGGAACCGAGATCAGCATCCGAGGCAGAAACCACCATGTCCTTCGATCTGACGCCCTCAAACCATAGGTCAGGGCAAACGGGTGGATACATCCTGGGTCGCAAGAGCAATCTCTCGACTCCCCACCCCCTTTCGGCCAGACTCTCAAGGATACGCAGAGGCCTGCGAGAGATGCATTATCAGACCACCCTCTCTGCCTAGACTGTTCGTTCGAGGCTTCGATGGACGTTCGAAACGGTCTTGGGAACATTCCACGACAGACGGGTCAAGTTAGGTAGATGGTCCGGTGGGGTCGAGTGACCGGCAGTCCTAGCGACTAGCTAACGTACGTTTGTGGGGTACCTCGATGACCGAGGGGCGTTATTGGGCCGTCGTCCCGAAACAACTGGGACGGCCGCCAGCTTCTTGGCTTTCACAGCTCCTTGTCCAAAGGGCGATAGGATGCGCCATCTCCCATGTGCGACCCTGGGGGACTCTTATGGATTACACCGAACCCCGAGGAAGATTAAGCACCGAGGGTAGCGGCCGCCGTCTCAAGGAAAAACGAACGGTTTGTCGGGGAAGAGGCAGTGGCTTCCTAACCCCTTGTTCGGCCCCCAAGTTCCAAAACAGAACCGTTCCCATGTAGGGAAGCCCGTCAGCAAACTTGATCGAAGGATTGCAGCTGAACCAGAACAGCCATGTTCGGGACCCGGGGCCGAACACCCAAGCCTATCGACACTCCAGGACCCGTCGCCATCTGCAACGTCCCTCGACCATTGTACATTTACCCTCCCAACCGTCACATCAGGCATACAGCCACAGTAGGACCGGCGCTAGCCTGTCTCGAAGCCGGGAATTATCAATCTTCTGTTTTTGGGCTTTTGCCTTTTCGTTGAACAATGCAAGGACGACGCAAGATAGCAGACCTCCCGCAAACTGCAACTGTGTCTCGGGCAACTACTGCAGCAGACATATTCAACGGGCCAATCTTGACCTGTAGTGGTGGCCAAAACAGGCTCAAAGTTAACAACATTGGGTCCAACGTGCAGACTGCATGGATCCACTCTCAGACAAAAGGAAAAGAAAAAGAAAAACGAGTGTGGTTCCGCCCAGCCGTGGGCTTATCGTTCGGTCGGATCTGCGCCAGCACGGAGCGGTGAAACCACCGAAACGTATCCTAGATTATTGGAAGGAAATTTATGGGCTTTGGTTTGATTTGATTTGATTTTTATTGCTTTTTTTTTCCTGTCTTGGATTCAAATGCATTCCCTTTTTGTCTTATTTTTTTATTTTTATTTTTTTATTTATTTATTTTTTTCATTCGTTTTGACCACGGAAACGCACTAACTTCGAGCCCCCAATTCGACCTACATACTGTCTTCACACTCGCAGAGTCGAAGAGAGCCATTGCACCGGAACACGTCGGGCCCAATCATACGAACGAACTAGCGGTCGGTCTCTCGTTCCTCGTAGAGAGACAGGGAGAGAATCAAACATCATGGCTTTATACTAACCTGGCCTGGGAACACTTCTCGGCTTATTTAACGGCTTATCACTACCGGCGGCCAATCTATTCACCACGGACTTACTAGCTAGTATGCTTTACTTTGCAGCTGAAGAGGAGATTGATTCTGTCTATCCTTCTTCTGTTCGGCATCGTCCAATGCGGTAATCACGGGCCCCGAAACTCCCGTGTATAGAACTACGTACCTATCTAGTATCAAGTGGACACCTCCCGATTCAATGACCCATTGGAAACCCCCCTTGACCGCTCCTCTGTTCACTCTTGCATCTTCTATCTCTCTTCTTTTCTCTTTCCTCTCACTTTTCTCGCCCTTTTTGGGCCGGTTCTGTGGCTTTACTTTGCTCTAACTGGCCCGTGGATCTGCCGCCCCCCCCCCCCTTCTCTCCCACACCACTACTACCCCCCTATGACGACTGCAGGCCCTAAGTCTGTCGAGACCCGTCCACGGCCGATGTATGTACCCCTGTCGTCATGGCATCTCTTGTGTCCGCCATGAATAATTGTCTGTGGCCTGGTGCATCTCCAACGCATGATGGCCGCCCTCCGGAGATGAAGGGATGATGGTATCTTCCTACTAGTCTACCTAATCAATCAATAATCACCGGTTAAGCGAAGGGGCCCCCCGGCGTATGCAAGATCATTGGCGCCGCAGCGACCATATCATCCACTCCCGATGTATTCAGCCCTTTATCACCATACCAAGGCGAGGTGGAGGCCCGTTGGATCGAGTATATTTATCTCCTCCTCCTCCTCCTCCAATTCCATCTGCCCTTTCTTTTCTTTTTTCTCTCTCGTCTCCATCGATCTATCCAAGCTAGGAATTTATCTTCGCTTGGGATCCATTTTGTATATCTTCCTTCCTCCACTATTCCTTGGTCATCTGTCTCCACCATTGTTGTGCGCAACTATTTTACCTTATTTCTATCTATTCAATATTCTTGTTTTTTCTTATTTGACTTCAATTTACTTCATTTGGGTAACTAGTTAGCTGAATTTCCCCTTTATCGCTCTTGACATCCCTTTGGTCTCTCACAATGCCCTCTACCGCACCTGTGCTTCGGCCCAAGAAAGGCCAGCCTGTCAATGCCCACGAGCCTGACAGCCCCATCAGTTATGATATCAACATTCCCTATGTGGATGTGAATGGCAACTCGCAGCTCCGCACGCGCTACCCAGAGTATCTGCCTACCTGGGACAAAATGTGGTTTGAGCCGCTGCCTCCCTTCGAGTATGAGGATCCCGCGCTGCGCGTAAAAGACAAGTCCAAGCGCAACCTCCTTTCTGGCGCGGGCGTCAAGGTCACCGAAATCCAACCGCAAATCGGCAGCATCATTGAGGGTGTGCAACTCAGTGAGCTGACTGACATGGGCAAGGACGAGCTTGCTTTGATGGTCGCCGAGCGCAAAGTCTTAGTCTTCCCGGCACAGGACCTGATCGACGCCGGGCCCGACGCGCAGGAGAAGTTTATGCGTCATTTTGGCAAGCCGAACTACCAGCCGGTCTCGGGGACGGTACGCAACCACCCTGGTTTCCACATCATCCACCGCGACGGCAATCGGGAGGAAATCGCCCGCTTTCTCGAGCAGCGCACCACGACTACCCTGTGGCACCAGGATGTGAGCTACGAGATCCAGCCGCCAGGCTATGTCATGCTAGGACTTTTGGAGGGGCCGGAAGTTGGCGGTGATACGGTATTTGCCGCGACTGACATGGCATACAAGTAAGTCTCCCGGTACTATAGAGGACGCGAGCGGAAGTTAACAGCATTTAGACGCCTCTCGCCTACACTTCGCGCGTGGCTCGACACGCTCATGGTCACGCACAGCTCAGCGAAGATGATTCAACACACCCGTATGACCGGAGGTTTGGTCCGTAAAGATCCCGTCGATACCACGCACCCGCTGGTGCGCGTGCATCCCGTCACCGGCGAGAAGTGCCTCTTCCTCAACGCCGAATTCGTCACCAAGATTCAAGGCTTGAAGGAGCCCGAGCAGCGCTGGTTGATCGATTTCTTGATGCAGCACACCATCACCGGTCATGATTTTCAAGCTCGCGTGCGCTGGCAGCCGAAGAGTATTGTCATTTTCGACAACCGAGCCACTACCCGTATGCTGTTCCCTGGATATCCATATCACTATCTTTTGAAATAATCAACTAATGATGACCAGACTCGGCGATTGTGGACTACCTGGACGATGACTACGGAGCGAAGCTGCGCCATATCTTCCGCCTGATTGCGCTAGGCGAGAAGCCCATCCCTGTTTACGACCAGTTCGAATAGATCGCAGTCACCTTTCCGACCTAGTCTCTGTCGACCCGAATCTCTCAAACAAAAAAAAAACAAAAAACAAAAAACCTGCATGATTCATGATATTCCCCACCGGCATCTCCTACTCGTTCCACCAGAAAAACAACACCGACGATGACCCGATTGATCGAATGAGCGATATACCCTCGTCATAATTTCGACCCACGATTGATTGATTGATTGATACCTTTACCCACCAGACCACCACCCCACCTACCAGAACCAGTCTGGTGTGGTCTGAATTGGTCGGTTACAAAAATAGACAGTCTGCATATCCTTTTCACGCGGACACTGGGGTTTTCTTTTCGTTTTCTTTTCTTCTTGTCTAGATTTGGCATATCGTTCGCACGCGGCTTTCGATTCTTTCTTCTGTCTTATTTTGCTCGTTCCGTTACCAGATAGACATTTTCTTTTCTTTTCTTTTTCTGCTTATCGGTTTGTTCTGAGATGCAACCAGTCAGCCTTACTTGTTTGTTGCGATTGGATCGGATTGGATTGGAATTCATGTTGCGCTCATGATGATAGCTAACCTTAATTATAATACGAGATCATGATGACTACACTTATTAATGTTCCTATAACTATTCTTTATTACCGATGCAGTGGGCATTTGATTAGTAGGGGGAAGTAGCATGTCTATCCAAGCATTGGATAGGATATGGTTGTAGGTATGGTTTATTCATCTAACATGAGACGTGTATGGTACGCACTGATACTACCTATCTACCATATTTGAAACCATCTTCCAGCAAAACAATTAGTGAAACAGATCAAACCAACTTAGAAAGAAAGAAGCAAATCTATGCAAATAAGAAACAAAAGAAGATTCAACAAAGTAAGGAATATATGAGGAATGCCAGAAACAAATCAAAAAGTCAGCAGTGAAACGCCACAACGGGTTGACTCACTCATTCTCAATCATTGCAGAGATCAACAAACAGAGACGAGAACAAGGATAAGTGTAATAATATTAAGGATTGTTTCGGGATCGGTGGTTTTTTCTTTTCTTTTCTTTTTGTTTGATGGAGAACTAGACTATGAATGTAACTCCCTACCCAACATTGCAAGAACTGAGAATGTGATGGAATGGAATGGAAATCATAAAATAAAAAAGAAAAGAGAAAAGGAACAAGATAGAAAGAAAATACATCTTCGCTTCCCACATCAATAATAAAACATCCGTTAGAATAAGATTACCGCACAACATCATCTATCCGGGTGCGCAGCTCCTGCGCAACCTCCATCAGCTCCGGCGTGATAGCGCTCTGCTGGAGGAGGAGCAGCGTCTCGGAGATACGCTCGGCGACGACGTCACTGCCGAAGACGACACCGCCTAGGCGAACGGTGGCGTGGAACCAGTAGTCGATGAGGTAGAGGAGGTCCTTGGCGATGTACTTGCGGTTTGAGCCGTGGAAGGGGGCCTCGTCTGTGTAGAACATGGACTCGAGGACGGTGAAGAGAGACTCGTGGGGGATGCCGAGGTCCAGGAACAGGTCGACGACCCAGGTGGGGGGGCCGACGCCGCGCTGGTTTTCGAAGGCGTAGCGCTCGAGCATGGGGACGAGGGTCGGGATCGGGAAGATGGTCTCTGACATGCGAAGGCGGCCGCCGAGGCTGCGGACTTTCTCGACGACGGCTTCGTAGGGTTGGGGTTCGCCTCGTTCGACGGTCTCGTCGTGCAGGTCTTGCAGCAGGTGTTGCCATGTGGAGCGGATGTCTGTGGCGTTGCGGTGGTCGGCGAGGAAGAAGATCTGGAGGCAGATATCGTAGTAGCTTGCTGGGTCGGCGTAGCCGTTGAAGAGCTGGGGTTGTGTTAGTGAGGGCCTATAGGCGGTTTGGTAGGGGAAGGTGATGCATACCGTGGTGATGTCCATGATGGTTCCATCGACATCGTCCAGAACATCTGCCCGACGCTCGGGGGCGATCCGCTTGTCATCCTTGAGGCGCTGCAGAAGGTCGTCTTGGATGTTCGCCACGTCGATCATATTGGAGACATCCTGCAACAGGCGCTGCCGGGACTGACGGTCCACGTCGGGCGTGAAGGCCGAAGCATTGGCCCTGGCGCGGCCAAGATACTCAATCCGACGACTGAGAGGTAGCTTGAAGGCGCTGCGGGCAAGGTTGTATTGGACGTCGGCGGCTTCGTAGAATCGCTCCGACTGGGCGTAGTAGCGCCAGAGCAGATCGGCGTGCGCAATGTCATCGGCCGCCTTGCGCTTCAGGTAGGTGACCACGAACGCAGTGTCGGTCTGCAGCAACCGGTCGCTCCAGCCCTGCTGCAGATACCAGTCGTACAAGCTGGTCAGGAACACCTCGTCAGTCGAGTCGGAGATCACCCCGTAGGCCTCGTTCTTTCGCTTAGCGACGATGGTCAGCTGTCCATCAATCACGCCCGGGTCGTTGGCGGCCAGATTATCGACTGCTATGATGACCCTGAAGATAAGGTCGTAGCACTGCTTGCGGAAGTAGAAGTAGTCCCGTCGGGTATCCTGTGCGCGGGCCTGTCAGTATCGCACTTCGGTATAGATACCGGATTGGAGATTCTTACCTCTGCAGGACGGCCGTCTACGATCCAGGAAAGGGCCATGTTAGCTTTGTCCGAGCGAGCGGCCACGTTCAAAGCCAGCTGAATCGCACCGGCAAAGAATTGGTTAGCAATGTAGTTCTCGACCGTGGGCACGAGATAATCCATCGGCAAGCTTTCTGACACCTGTTGAAACAGATGCAGACTCTCGTTCAGCAGATTACGACCAAGCTCCGAGTTAGCACCGGCTTCGGTAGCCCGCTTCAGCAGCTCCTGGGCCTTGAAGATGACCACGTCCTCCGCACTGCAGAAACTGCCACACCGCCGCCTCAGGGCATCAGCCACCGTCTCCACGTTGGAACCCTTGGCGATGTTCCGGTTCACGATACCCTTCACCAGCTCCTTGGCGATGTCGTGACCCTTGGTGGTACTGAATAGCTCCTCATAAGTCAACCTCAGGAAGCGCTGCTTCGACTCGTCTGGTAGGAGAGCGACAATCTCATCGACCCGCTCGTCAAAGAGCACCAAGACGAACGAAATGCCTTCAATTGTGTGAGACACCAGCTGCACAAGCGAGTGCAGGGCCCGATGTTCAGCCTGCAAGGCGATCTCTTCCTGCTTCGTCGACACGCGCGCCAACGCTTCCGGCCCGCTGAGTCCCTCGATGAAGCTCTGGTTCGATTTGAAGAAGTCTTGCAAGGTGGCCAGATCGCGCTGGACGGTCTGTAATTTCGCAGGAGACACGGATGCAGAAACCAATTGGGTGCCACTGGGTCCCGCGCTGACTGTCGCGATCTCCTTCTTCCAGATCGAGCGCAATAGTCGCGAAATGTAAAGAGCAATTCCGGTGTGACGAGGCGAGGGGACCACGGCATCAATTGCCGGGGTGGAGCTATCCGCCACTGCATTCTCATTCGTTGTGGGCCGGCCACCGTAATCAACAAAGACCTTGCGCGCAAACTCCAGAACATCCGGGTCATTGATCTGGGTAAGCCGCGAATCGTTCGAAACATCCACCCCCTGACCGCATGCGACTGCGAGCGCCGTAGCAAGCGTTTCGCTGCGACCATAGGTCCGGATGAAGTTCTTCACCTCACCGTCCAGCCCTTCGTCACCGGCGCTGCCGCCGCGGACCAGGGCAGCAAACATGTCCACCAGTCTGCGTCGGCGAATGACGTGAATGCCCGTGTTGGTCAAGATCGCGAATTCGGCCGCGGGTTGATCGAATTGGATCGCAAGCTCGTTGCTGAACCCTCCGGGAGTCGTGGGGGCCGCTGAATACGGGGAGCAAATACCAATGTCCTCCGCTCTGCTGCCCAGTGAGAGCCAAAGGGCCGTCTCACCTGCCTTTTCAGGTATCACGTTCTCTTGGGAACGGGCCACCCGGCCGGAATCTGGGGAGGAGATGAAGAGGGTGTCGGTTTTTTGCGTGGTATCTTTGCAGACGAAGCAGAAGAAATATCCCGGTGGGTAGCGAGAGCTGAATCGGGTCGGTTCCAACGAGTGAATGGGGATTCTGGATGCCATCGGAGACTGGTACCGCGCCTGCGATGGGAGGTGAGAACTGGATGTCATGTCAAACGGCGGGGTCTTGACATGATGCGCCTGCATGCTCGTAGGCGGATTGTTGCCATTCGGCGTAGGAGTCCAGCTGTATGACGACGTCGCGCTCAAGTAGATCCGGTATCCCGTGGCCGTGGTCGCCATCAGGTGGTATCTCGATGCCTCCGCGGCGGGGATCGGACTGATGGAAACAATCCTCACTTTGGGATTGAGGGCCGCGTGGGAGACAATGATGTGTCCAATGTTCGCATAGATATCCATGGCCGGTTTGGTGATGGCCAACGCCAGCGTCCCATCGGCCTTCATGTGGAATACTCGAATCGTCGAAGAGGATGACAGTGTATACAGCAGTCCGCGGGTGTCGTCAATCTCCATCTGAGCCACGTATTCCAGGGTGTGCTGTGTGAATTGCGAAAAGCTGAAGCTCGGCGTGAAGGCGGACAGACGGGAGCTGGTGTGGTTAAGTTTACTACACCGGCCTTGGAACCATCTCTCCTCTTGCTGGTAGGTAATCTCGTGCACGTCGTTGTCGGAGGAACCGCCAAAGAAGATTCGCCCTGTCGCGTCCGATGACGCGATGATGTCGATATCCAGGCCACGAATCGAGACCGACATGCCCGTCTGGTACAGGGTCACTTGCCGCGCACCTCCCGCACTGGTTTCGCAGCCCATTCCCAACAGGATCACGTCCGCAGTCGTCGAGATAACCAACAAGTGGGTGATCGACGGTAAGAATACACCTGGGCGCGGCGTCGCCAATTTGACCGCATTGATACTGTTCGGTTGGTCCTCAAATCCGACCAACGACGGATTCGGATGCGTGTAGTCCCAAATATAGAGGGCATTGTCGATAGCCACCCACGCGTGGTTCAGCTCGGCAAAGAGACCCATGCTCGTCGAAACCTGCGCGCGATTATACTGGTCGAAGATCTGATCGGGGATATTATACATTTTAACTTTTTGAAACGGAGCCCACGAGGCTGAGGCGGGGACATCATAGTCGGAAGAGAACCCTTCTGTAAAAAGCATTAATCCGTTAGTCGAGGTCCGGTTAGAGACTTAACACCACAGGTCCACATACGAGAGAGATAGCTATCCAGGTCCGGATACCGCGCTTCCTGAGCGAGGGTATCATCGACCGTCCGCGCCGCGCGCTCCTCCGTGCTCAATATCTGGTTCTTCGACTTGGACGCGGCCGGAGGGAGCTTCGGGAGAGCTGCAGGGGACGCAGCTTGTTCTGCCGGAGGGGCCGCTCCCTTGGCCGCGAAAAGCGGTTGCGCACTCGAGGCATTGTTGGGGGCGGGAGTCTGAAAGTATGCACCAGGCAATGGTCTCTGGGGCGTGAAAGTCGGAGGAAGGTTCGGATAAGACATGGCGCCGGTTGTCCCAACTGGTCGACGCCTTCAGGAAGGGTGCGGGAGAATTGAGGGTCGCACTCCCCAGCGAAGACGATCGGATTGACAGCTAGCACGTCACAGAAGCAGGGTTGAGGTCAGGGGAGGTCGTTGTTGACAGGAAAGGACTGGATGTATTAGGATGAAAGAGTCGGGGAGGAGAAAAGGAAGAGAATGCCCGGTGAGGACAGGGATATAGGAAGAACTAACTTCCCCAGCTCCAGCTCCCAAAGCGTACGGGAGAGCAACTAGGATGCAAAAATATGAGCTGTTTAAGAGGGGTGGGAGGAGCGAAGGGAGTTGGTTGAAATGCAAAGAAAGCAGGTCAATAAAAATAATCGCGGTCAATCAGAATCGAGATGGAAGACAGAGAAGCAAAATTGTGCACGGTCTCTCCGCCTTTGCCTGGGGCGCGAACCGTCATTTATTTACCTTCGATCTTCAACCACTCGACCAAAGACAGTGGATTTCTTTATATATTCTCCATAATTAATATTCTATAATTCTCTTCGGTTTCTTTGTTCGCAGATATTCTACATCCTCCTCCCTCCCACCATGTTCAATTCCTTGCGATTCACCTCCCGACTGGGCCTCCGTGCCGTGCGCTGGAACTCCACGACCAGCTCGGGCTCGCCTCCTCTGATGGCCCACATGCGAAATGATCTGAAGGTCGCAATGCGGGCCAAAGATACTGCTAGGTACGGGAAGCTCCAGTTGCTATTGTTCCGTCCAGGATCAGGCGTGAAAAGAGGACCGCGACCTACGATGCTAACTCCGCCATGGTTGCGCCAGGTTGAACGTTCTGCGCGGAATCATCTCGGAGTTCAATAACGCTGCAAAGACGCCCAACCCGATCAGTACCGACCTGCAACTTCTCGCCTTGATCCGGAAGCGACTTGCCAGTGTGAAGGAGGCAGCGCAACAGTTCGCCGAGGCGGACCGACCGGATCTCAAGGAAAAGGAGGACCAGCAGGCCGAGGTCTTGCAGGGATATGCAGGTCAGGTGACGACAATGGGTGCGGACGAGATCGAGCAGATTGTGGAACAGGAGGTGACGAAGCTGAAGGGGGCTGGTCAAAAGGTGGACAAGGGTGTGCTCTTTAAGACGCTCTTCGCTCCCGGCGGCGCCTTTGATGGAAAGCCCGTGGAGCGGGCTGAGGTGGCCAAGATCGCCTCCAAGTTCCTTCAATAGACTGCAAGGACCATCGCAGAGAAGCGCTAACTGTATTATATTGTACAATGCATATGGAATTGGCAACGGCCGCTATTGAATCATCGTCGCGCAGATTTGAGCTCCACTATCCAGTGGGACAATACGAGCTGGTAGAAGTATAGTGTCCGTACGTTGGAGTGCATCAGGTTGACAGTACCAGTGCACTAAAGATGTGGGAGATGCCATAAAGAGGGAAGCAAATTTATTCGCAACTGAGAAACCCGCAAAGCATCCTAACACCGTTCCATATGCAATCTCGCCGGCGGTGACCTCATTTCGTCTCAATACATCCAACCTCTGAATTGAAACGCCTTCAAGATGTTGTCTTAATTGTCTCAACTGGTTTCCAATCACGAATAGATCAGGGCTATACCACCCAAAGCGCTGGCAAACACACCAAACCACAGCCACCGGTTAGGGTCGATCAAGTTTCCCTGGGTAAGTAAGCTGGGGGACGAGACACCATCTCTCAAAACATCCCGTTTTCTCTTTCCCACGGCTTTCAAGGTCATTGGGGGAAGCATCTCCGGTGGGCGGTAGACCAGATACATTGGATGCATCGGGGAGTCATCGAAAGACTTGAGGTCAAGACGCTGGATTTTGTGATAGGGATCAACCGCTACTTTGAATGACTGGATTTCACCATTAGCACCGAAATAATAGGTGTTAGAAAAAGTGAGGAACGTACATTGAATTTCTCCGTCTGATTGTATCGCGTATATTCGCCATGGTCAGAAGAGCAGGGATCGGACAAGAGCTGGCGCCCATCCACCGCAAATGGGGTCAGATGGAGGGCTCCGCTCTTATCCATGGTAAAGGTCCCGTGCTGCCATTGCAAGATGCCTTTCGGACACGAGGGGTCCTGGGCTATTCAAATATTAGATAGGTCTCATAATGCAGGTCTTCCGGGGACTGACGATTGGCAATGGCGCGATAGTAAGCCGTTTCATAGTGACCATCATCGGTAAACGAGTATGAGATGCCGGGCAAATCAGGTTCCAAGAGTTCATCGTTGATCGGGTCATAGAATCCCTATCGCGAACACGGTATACATTAGAACGCCGGCAATCTGCGACAGCTGTTTATCCATCTCACATACCGGACCGGTAATCACTTTGCGCGACTTGGTGGTCCAAGTCCCCACCAGATGGGCGATATTGTTTGCGCCGACCGTTGTCAGGAACAGCCCAACAGAGAGATATCCCAGCAACATCTTTCACGATGTTCTCATACGAGGTGAGGGAACGCGACAGATTGTAGAGAGCGATGCAGTGGAGAGAAGGACGAGGGAGCACAACCAGGAAGGAGAGGAATGGAATGAAAGGGACTCAATCCCTCTCCCAAGGGGCAACCCACCACGTACTCCACGCATACCTAGATCCTATGGATAGTAATGGGAGTAATTACAAGATATGCAACAGGGCATGTGTGTCCCTGGCAGGTATGTAACTAGATACGTGCGTAGTAAATAGTAAATAGTAACTAAATAGTGGAGCAATGCGTCGATCCAAACACGCCAATCAGTTTCAAAACACCAGAGAAAACCATGAATAATCATCTCCGATGCCAAGACGCGGTCGGGAAACCATTCGGGCGTCACGTTCCCCGCCAGATGCGATTGAATATCGAGATCCCAGCTGTCATTAAATCGATGCGATAATTTGGAGCATCGTACTTGACTTGACTAGGTATATTCTACCCTTTACCCTTGTCGTTGTGCTGTGGTTGCAATGTCTAATCTTGTTGCCAGTCACTTCCGATCCTCATACTAGAGTGAACACTGGATACATATTTAATCTCAAAGTGGCCACCCCACCTACCAATATGATGACCGGTCTCCAAACTGCCAAAAAGGAACTCCGTGGAAAGATCCGCAATGTCCTACAGCAAGTCCCAGCAGAATCAATTACCAATCAATGTCAGAGACCTGATCGCAGAACGTAACGGGCCATATGACAGCACGGGCTAATCGTCTGCAGCCAAAACTGTTGCCAACCGGTTGTTTTCTCTCGCCGAATATCGGAATGCAAAGAGGATAGGCGTTTACCTGTCCATGCCGGCAGGGGAGCTATCGACCACTGCGATCGTGCAAGATGCCCTGACCAGCGGTAAGGAGGTGTTCGTGCCGTACATCCACACCGCGCAGATGCCGTCTCAGCCCAAGACCTCCGTCATGGACATGCTGGCCTTGGACTCGATGGACGAGTTCCAATCGCTTGCGCGAGATCGGTGGGGGATCCCCTCGCTCACGAAAGACCAGGTCAGCAGCAAGAGGAACTGTTTCGGGGGCATTGGGATCGCGTCAGACGCGACGGAGGAAACGGCTACGAAGGGGGACTGGGGGTTGGACTTGATTGTGATGCCTGGAATGGCGTTCGACAACGGGTTCAGACGACTCGGCCATGGGAAAGGGTACTATGATCGTTTTCTGAAGAGATACTTGAAATGCGCGGAGACAGATATGCCGACGCCGAAAATGCCTTCATTGGGTAAGAAAGAATCGCCTGGGTACACGCAACCAATACACCGTGATTTGCTGACACAATCGCATAGTTGCCCTCGCTCTCAGGGAGCAACTGCTCTCCCCGCCTGAAGAGATTCCCGTTGCACAGCATGACTGGCCGGTAGACATCATCCTCGTGGGCGACGATCGCTGCCTGGTGCGCCAACAACACTGAAAACCAACAAGAAGAAAATCCGCTGCCCAGAAAACCGTCTCTTTCACGTCAAGGATCTGAAATATATGTGAACAGTGTAATTAAACGCCCTCCAGCGGCAATTCGTAAATAGTGATGATTAACAAGCGATCGCACGAACACGATGACCATTTCCATTCATTTCCCGCCCATTGGTAGCGATTTTCCTTTCCGCCCGTGTTGGTCTGTCATTCTTTTCGTATATCGATATCAAACCGCCTGGATCAGCGACACGTTGTCACCCTTGAGCAAAATCTGGCCTGTGGTAGAAGAGAAGTGTCAGCCTGGAGGGACCCCAAGGGAACATGCGACGACAAAGACTGTATGACAACATACCGAGCGGTCGGCGCTTCTCCTCCTCCGTCTTCGTAGCTAGTCGGACCTCGACCGCATCGTCAATCACCAAATTCATGAACTCATCGAATCCCTATATACCCTGTTAGCCACACCGTCAAGACCGCGCAAATGTCACAAGGTATAACTCCGTACCCGGATCTTGCCCTCTATCCGGAAGGCCAACTGTTCATAAAGCCACACAGACACCGTCGATCTTTGCTGAAGGAGCTTGAAGATGAAGTGAATGGGGGCAAGCAAGGTCTTGCGAGCAGCTCCACCGCCTCGGCCGGTCATGATGGATCAACGGGATAACGCGACGGGATTCAAAGATATAACCGGGACACACGGGCGGACCACACGTAGGCGAGAGACAGTCGTCGATGTTGTAAACTTAAACGGAAAATTCAATCAGATGATTGATGCTGTTGAAAGGGAAGATGGAAGACCGTGAGTTGGAACGGTAAAGAAAGAGAGAGCGCAAGCTTGGAGGAGTTTCTGCCGCTCGGAGGGATTTGCGGCTCAGCAGCCACTTTTTCTCTCTTTGGGTTAAGCCGTCACCACATCCCACCTCCACTACTACGACAGTCTAATCCCCCCTCCGATCTTCCTCCAAACCACCCTCTTTCTGATCCTGGGGTACCTCTGACTTCCAACCACCATATTGTATCCCGCCCCGTCGCTTACTTTCTTTTTTATCGTGGAATTAATGTTCATGACCATCTTCTATAGCTGTTGAGCCGTCCGGCCTGGCTGAACCCCTCGAACCCCTCATTCCTCTCCCCTCCCAATTCAATTCTCGCGATTCCACCACCAACCAGTCGAACCTTTTCAATGGCTTCCAAGGAGGGGACGGCTGGACAGGCCTTTGCGCCTGTCCTGGCAGCTGTCTCGACGATGCAGGGAAATGTTTCACGAACGGAGAAAACGCAGGCTCATGAGTTCCTTGAGAAATTCCAGAAATCCGTTGGTGTCCCCGATCCTTTCTCCTTCGGTCGTTGAGACTCGCTCTTCATAAACGTTGTTTCATACTGATTGGTGTGCTTCTCCTACTTTAGGTCGAGGCGTGGACGATTACGCACGAACTCCTCCAGTCCCCCGATGTTCCGGTGGAGGCCAAATTATTCGCTGCGACTACACTGAAGGGAAAGGTAAACTGAGCGATCCTGTCGCATGCACGTGTGGTGTGGTCATCGTTGCATTGCTAACTTGTGGTAGATCATGTTCGATCTGGATCAGCTCCCATCAGACTCGGTTGTCGCGTTGAGAGATTCGGTGTTGAATTTGTTGGTGGCCTTCGCATCCGGTCCTCGACCGATTCAGACTCAGCTGTGCGTGTGTCTGGCGAGTCTCGCGATTCAGATGACCGAATGGAAAGATGTCCTGGCTACCGTCGGATCGGCGCTGGGTGGTAGTGCCGGGGATTGTGTGTTGGACTTTTTAAAGATCCTTCCGGAAGAAGTCACGGAAGGCCGCAAAATCAATCTGAGTGTATGTTCGGCAGACCCCGGATCCCATCTCGCCCCTGCGATAAGCGCGCTCGACAACGGCGATGTCTAGCTCGGCCAATTGTTCAGACCCTAACGCTGTGTTTTCTTTCAGGAAGACGATCTTATCAACAGAACAAAGGAGCTCTTGGAAGACAATGCGGATCAGGTGATGCAGCTCTTGATCCAATATTCTCAATCTTCCCGTATGTTTCCCCTTGTCACAGCGAGTCAGAAATTTCGGCTAATTGGTATCTCCCCGCTAGCCACGGCCTCAACGAACCCTCGTCTTCTGGATTGTATCACCTCATGGATGCGCGAGATCCCCGCTTCCAAGATCGTCGAGTCGCCTTTGATGGACGTCATCCTGAAGGCATTGGATGATGAAGGATCTTTCGAGGCTGGTGTGGATAGCATGTGCACCCTGTATAGAGACACGCGCGAAGTCGATGCTTCGCTGCCCGTCATCCAGGCATTGTACCCCCGCATCATGTCCCTCCGCCCGAAAATCGCCGAGGCTGCCGATACCGAGGATACAGATGCATTCAAGGGGATTACCCGACTCTTTGCGGAAGCTGGTGAAGCATGGGTGGTGCTGATCGCCCGCTTACCAACCGAGTTCCGTGGCCTGGTGGAGGCCGTCCTGGAGTGTTGCGCTCGTGACTGGGAGCGTGATGTGGTGTCACTCACCTTTGTCTTTTGGTATGAGCTGAAGCAATATCTGACTTTAGATCGATACGCGGATGCGCGTGCCGCTTTGTCCGACATCTTTTCCCGGCTGGTGGACATCATGGTGAAACACCTGGAATACCCCCGCCCCGAGGAGGGAGAGACCGATCTGTTTGGGGGCGATCGGGAGCAAGAGGAGAAGTTCCGCCACTTCCGCCACTCGATGGGAGATGTCCTCAAGGATTGTTGCTCCGTCATCGGGGTCTCGGAATGCTTGACAAAAGCGTACCAGTTGCTTCAGCAATGGGTCTCCAAGTACGCCGCCCAGGCGAGCGATGACCACGTGCCGAACTGGCAAGAGCTGGAGGCACCGCTGTTCAGTCTGAGAGCCATGGGCCGCATGGTGGATCCGGAAGAGAATCTCGTCCTGACCCAGGTCATTCCTCTGATCACGCAGATTCCGAACCAAGAGAAGGTCCGCTTCCAGGCCATCATGGCTTTGGCACGCTACACGGAATGGACCGCGCAGCATCCAGAGACATTGGAGGCTCAATTAAACTACGTCATCTCGGGCTTCCAGCATACCTCCCCCGAAGTCATCCAGGCTTCGGCCTTGGCCTTCAAGTTCCTTGGCACAGACTGCCAAAAACTACTCGGAGGCCACATCGCGCAGCTACATACTTTCTACGAGTCTGTCTTGGATAAGCTGAAACCGGCCAGTCAGGAGGAGGTGACCGAAGGCGTGGCGGCGGTGGTTGCGGTGCAGCCCAAGGAGAAGATCTACGAGACTATGAAGATGTTTTGCGACCCGATCATGAATCGGATCATGAACTTGGCGAACAATGCCAAGGACGAACAGGGCCAGCGCGCCGTGGCTGGTATGTACTCATCGTATTCCGATCTTATCCGCGCGTTGAACAAAGTACTAATCTCAAACAGATCATCTCCAGCTGATTACGATCTTCGTTCTGGTGGTGAACCCGTACGTGAACCCCGGCGAGGAGAATCCCGCAGTGCGGTACTGCGGTGAGATCCTTCCCATTATGACCACACTTGCGATGAACTTCACCTCGTCCACGCCCATCCTGGAGCGGGTATGTCGCTGCTGGCGAAACATGATTATCTCGTACCGCACGGCCATGGCTCCGCTGCTTCCCACACTGGCGCAAAGTCTCGCTAGTGGGTTTGAAGCCTCGCGCGAAGGTTGCTTCCTGTGGGCTACCGATGCGGTTGTACGCGAGTTCTCGGAAGGCAGTGATGCCGTCGATCCGGCTACCAGCAACGCTGTTTTCCAATTCTACGAACAGCAGGCGGTTGCGTTTTTGCGTACATTGAACGACTTGCCGCCGGAGAACTTGCCTGATGGTATGTCATTTTCTTCTCTTCTCTCCCCAACCCTGTGTGTGTGTGTGTGTGTGTGTGTGTGTGTGTGTGTTGCTACACACCTTCCTCCATATTTCTCGTTTTGCTCGTTCGCCTCTTTTTGTTCTGTTATTGTATGTGTACTAATAAAGTACAGTCATCGAGGACTTCTACCGCCTTTCTTCGGATGCCGTGCGATATTACCCCAAGGAATGCATTACCTCCTCTCTGATTGTGCACATCTTCTCCGCCGCCCTCAGCGCCCTTTCCCTACAGAAGATTGAGCCCCTCATGGCCACGCTCCACTATTACCAGGACCTGTTGAGCTTTGCGTTTGATAAGCCTGCCGTATCGGATTTCACCAGCCCCGAAGGTGATGCGTACTCGAACCCGGCTGAGATTCGCGAAGCTGTCAAGCAGCTGGTCGCATCGCAGGGTCAGGTTCTTACCCAGCGAATCCTGACCGGGATGATGTTTTCCTTCCCTGGGGAGTGTTTCCCGGATGCGTCCAGTGTGATGATGGCGATGTTCGAACTGATGCCCCAAGACGCCGGAGCATGGCTTCAATCCACTCTGCAAATGCTCCCGGCAGGCTCGATGAAGCCCGGGGAGGCCGAGCGCCTGCTGACTGGGCTTTCCCAGCAAGTGCAGTCGGGCGAGATCCGAAAGATCCGAATCCTCCTGCAAGGTGAGTTGCGACTATTACCGCACCAGCGAGAATGCCATCGTGCTAACTGTATACGCTAGACTTTACCAATTCGTACCGTCGTCGAAACGTGGCGCCGCGCGAAGGCCTAGGCCGACTGGAAGCGACTCGATTCCGGTTCAGCGGATAGGGAAATGACGAAGGGAGGGAGAGTAGAAACAGGGACTGAGCAGTAAACGCCACTCAAGAACGGCACCCGTTCGACAGTCACTTGCGGAGGGTCTCGGTTCAGCGGCGGGATTGACCATGTCATGTCAGCCAGGAGAGCACAACGAAGCTATCCCGATCATCACTCATACATCCACTCGCCCGCCTCGCAGTACCTGTGCCTGGCTAGGGGGCTTAATCTGTCTTTTTTAGAATTATGAGATAAACCAAAGGTACCCTTTATGTTTTTTTTTTATGATTCCAGGCCTTGGACTCGAGCGCTCTAATGGTATCCGATAAGGGAAGCCGAGCCCGATCCGATCTGCAAAAAGAACAGTACTGCATTATCAGAGGAAAGCCAATCTACGTTTCAAAAATGTGAAAGCAGAATAAAAATAGTCATAAATACAAAATAAACAATAAACAATAAGTTACAAACTTAAAATCATGATGAGGAAAGTTTTTTACTGGTATTGCCTGGCTTTATTGCCCTTGCCATGAAATTACAAGCAAGGAGATGAAATATGTTGCACAGAATACCACTCGGCTACAAAAGATATTTAGACACTTTTACGCTCTGTGGGTACGATTTTGGTAAGATCTTATATTGCGGCAAAATATCAATGTGCTGTGTTTAATCTATGGAGTATCTATCTTCTCTTTCTTCTTTTCCACCCCCCGTAACCCATTATCTTAACTTCCGGCATGTATGTATGAATTACACATACTCGTGCTTCAGATCATGGATGATTATCATGATAATAGAAGTGGACATAGCAATGGGAGATGCACCCTCACTATTTTTATCTTTCTCCCCACTCAGCAAAGCGATTCAAAGCCCCTTGTAATAAATGATTTTCTGCGTGATGTGCCAGAATAGTTGTAGTTTGAATTCATTCGCAGTTTCATTCTTTTTTCTTGCCCTTGTGATTCTGTATCTTCTCGTATAATGAGGTATGTCTGTCTTTTGTCATTTTTAGATAGTTGTGTGTTATTTATACCGTTGTTATTAGGTTCTTATCTTATGTCATATTTTTTATTCTAAGTTATACAGCGGGCCTTGATCGTACCTTCTACAGTGGGGTTTAGAATAGATAGAAGAGGGAAACAAGGAAACAAGGAAACAAGGAAGAAAGGAACGAGGGAACGAGGGAACGAGGGAACGAGGGAAAGAGGGAAAGAGGGAAGGAAGTCAAGAAGAAGTAAGGCATAGAAACCAAATTCGATTCAGTCTGACCCTGGTGGCGGTGACTAGAGCATCTACAGTATAGTATACTCGACCATGGTCGATACGACGACATCACGCGCCATGTTAGATATTTGGTATATCAAGTACACGTACACAAGTATCGGCGGATGGCTGAATCGATGACGAAATATCTGCCAATTATACTGAGACATGTTGTATCAGGTTAGACGTTTACCAGCTACCTTCACAAGCAAAGCGAGGTGCCTAGGTCTTCGATCAAGCATCGATCAAGATCGACAGGATGATTGATTTCGCATCTCTATATAGTATACATACTCCGTGTTGTATACTAGTACGTCAGACACAGTCGGTTGATACCTTGGTAATATTGCATCTGCATGTGGTCAGGTACCCCGTGCATTAGATCTAGTATCCCGTAGATGGGCCTGTTATTGTGTGCTATTTAAAAGCCTGTCGAAACAACGATGCGAAGGCAGGTTGAACCCGAAACGACTAAATCAATAGAGCGTCGGATGGCTAAGGTCCTTATTTCCGAAGTGATATCTGTTTCGCTAGTTTAGTTGTTGATGTAGATGCTAATATTGGGTGCTGAGCCACGGCTGTATCCGACATGGAGGGGATTTGCTTTGGATCGGCGAGGATAGGCGGTTTCCGCTGTGATTCGAATGGTGGAGTGAGTAGGGTTGCTTGACTTCTGTTTCTGGAGGGAGTGCGGCTGATTAACTGGCTCGCTTGGGATATCCAATGTTGTAGTATAAAAGTAAGAGAGAAAGGCAAGGAAAATAAAGAGAGGGAAAGGAAGAATTGAGTGAGATTACTGTTGGGTATGATCTCCTCCACATCGCTGGAGCCGGCCATGCGGTACAGGGATTCTCATCATAAGGAATATGAATTGATAGCCTAACCGGTTTGAGAGACAAAGCCGAGAGATACAATTGAGGTCGGCGGAATAGCCCTATAGGTACTTTCGTGCATAAACAAGACTGTCTTTGGAGGGACCAAATGTAGGATCTACTCAATGTATCAGACTGCGGGTCAAGGTCCATCGAGGCAGCGTCGGTAAACAAAAAAGTCCTGCTATATGTGCAGTGTGCTAGATAATTGCAGAATCCAGCCGACTTCGCCTGGCCAGTGAAGAAGGCGAGAGAGAGCGGGCCCACTGGCAGTCGCAGCGCTTGATGATGGATGGGTCCGTTGTTCTCGTCATGCGCGAGAGTAGGCTACTAGTTTAACATCCAGGAACCTCGCCCATTTGGCTTGCCTAGCGTGTGGATAAGGTTGAGTGTGTGGAACAGACTGAGACGGTGCACGGTTAAGATTGGATCGGCAATTAGTAGGGTTGGGTCTCGTGAGCTACTGTTGAGATGATCTGCCTTTGCGACCTTGTTTTGGTAAACTCGCACCGATGTGCTTTTCTTCTGTATTTTTTTTATTTGCCTTTTTGGTGGTTTTCTGTCTTTTTGACTATTTCCTCGGCGGTTTTGCTCGTTCAGTGTGGCCCGTGAGGAGGTCTCTAGACGTTAGTATAGTAGTCCGGTTTCAAAACTTGAAACCGGAATTATAGAATGTTTTGAGGTAGAACCCCGTATGATCTCAAGTCAATAGAAAATCCATCGCTTAATAGAGTGGACGAAAGTTTCTGCAAATCACTGCACCGCCCCCTAAAGTTATCAACTGTCATGCGCTGCCCGCGATTGTGGCTCTCGCCGAAATACAAGGAATATGTCGGGGACTTCCGGGGAACAGACCAACCAAAATCAACTGTGCCTGTCATCATGCGAGATATCAATCATGCTGCTCCCTGATCACCTCGGCGCAGCGCTCATTCGCTGGTGTCTTGCATTTCCTAGGTATTCAAGAAGGGACATATTCAATGTAGGACGTCATTGGGACAAGAATGATTTGCATAGCCTGCGGGTGGTAGCTTAAGCGATGATGACTCTTGGTCGCATCAGTTTATCTGTCTCTTTTGCTCATCCACTCTGATAATGCGAGGTCGGACAATAACGTGGGTGGGGAATTAGCACTGGGGCAGGCTGCCTTTTTTGATCATCACAATAGTAAAAGCGGGGCGTAGCTACCGAAGAAGAAGCAACTTCAGCCACTGGGATCGACCAGCAAGCAGGTTGATCAAATTGTGAAAATCCCGTGGGTCTGGCCTCTGCTTGATCAACAACAATGACAGCGAGAGCCGACGGTATCGACAGCGCACATGGTATATCCTAGATAATCATCATCAACCGGCACCGGTTGATGCTGTCCATCGCAAACAGTTGAGTTCAGATGTGCAGGCGAGAGGCCCACCCGGTGTGCTGTAGGATCATGCCGATCATTCTCTGCACTGATGACCGACAGGAACACATGAACACTGCAAAATTTTGCATGTCCCAGGACGTCAAAAAACAGAGAGCGGATCACTCGTGTCATGTTCATTGGCAGATAGTTTCCCTCGGAGCAGCGACATAAGATCATATGGACTGCGATTCAACGGTCTGATGGACGCAAAGCTTGTGTCGATCTCGTGTAGCCGACCTGTCTATGCGATATCCATACTCTAACCGCCACAGTCGTAATGCCATTGGATATCTTTCACCCCGCGCCTCTTCGCTCACCCCTCCTTCCTTCAGTCTCGTTGTGTCTCTCCATTTCCGGGTCGGGATGCAGAGTGCCCGCTGGTCCGGGAATGGACAAATGATACTGAGGCTCAAGCTCCACCAAGCCCAAACACACCCGAACGTTGTGGGCACTTCTTCTCTTCCCAGATTGATTGGCTTTTCTTCGGGTGAGGCGATTCAGAGTGAGATTGCGGTGAGACATCGGGGTGAGGGTCCACGGGTTGATGAGGGGTGGTTTGGAGGTTTCTAGTTGGGTCGTGGCCAATCAGTCCAGCGATGGGGAGAATATTCTCCAGTGATCCTCAAATCACGTCGGGTGCTTGGGTCAGTACCTGGATAGAGAGGACCAGGATTGACGGAGAGAAGCAGGATCTTGAGAGTTGTATGACGAAATGAAGGAAACGAAGAAGTTGAAGAGCTGTAGTTGAAGGTGAGAGGAACGTCACGTACGGTAAGGTTACATGACCAAAAGTCTCTGTCCGCATAGATTGTAGAGGAAGGTACCTGGACAGCATGTACGGATATTGTCATGGTGGTTTGTATGGCGATATCGGATGCGAAACTCATTGATCTTCATCTTTCCTTCTTCTTCTTCTTCTTCTTCTTCTTCTTCTTCTCTTCTCGTCTCTCCTTCCTGGCCCAGTGAGTCCTTCTTTCTTCTCCCTTGTGAAGCTGAGCTGAGTGCATCAGATCAGATCTTCCACGGTCCTTCTACTTTTGTCAGATTTATTGAGACTCTTTAAATTCGAGTCTCCTGCATCGGGTTTCATTCTCCGCTCACCTTCTTCCTTTCTTCACACCATCATACTATCCTACAGACGATAATATACACTCAATATCGATATCGGATACCGATTGCTTCATCTGGCAGATCGTCTGCATCTCTTCTTGCTATCAGTACTTCAATCTCAAGTCTGATGCGTTCGAGTCATCCTGTCGCGGGGGGTATTCAACTGAGAAACGGACTTTTTCCTCCTCTTGTTTCGTCCTTCTTCCATCTTTCTTATACATATATGTTGTTTTCATCTATTCTTGAATATCTTCATTTGTTTCCCCTCCCGCAAATTGGCCCCACATCCTTCCTTACTAGGCGTGTCGGGCTCGGCTTCTCCCCGTCCAGAGCAAGGAAATCGGCGTGGATTCGCCCGATATCTATCCGTCGCCCTTTTTTCTACCCCACAAAATCGGCATTGCTGGCTTGGACTCCATGCTCATCCACGACACTTTCCCCTCCGGTCCATCTTCGCTATTGGCCCACCATCTCAATGAATCCCGCTCGTCTACCTTTTCCCCTCCAGTCAAAATGACCCTGGCTCTCAATGCAATGCCACAGTTAAACGCTTTGGAAGGGACCCGCGGAATACCCGAGATGGACCCGACGGAGAACGAGGGCAGTGGCCGGAAAAGAAGGCGGACTCGCAAGGTCCAGACCGATCGCAAATTCGACTGCACCTTTGAGAATTGTGGCAAGAGGTATTCGCGGGCAGAACACCTGTACCGGCATCAGCTGAACCGTACGTGCATCCAACTTGAGAAAGGATAGATAATCCACCAAATTATCCATCCATCAAAGAGAACGAGGCCCGAATGAACTGACATCGATCAAGACACCCCCAAACAGATCTATCGATGTGACTTTCCCGGTTGCTATCGCTCCTTTGTGCGACAAGATCTTTGTATCCGGCACCGGGAACGCCATACAACTCACGGGTCGCAGCTTCAGAAACGGGACCATTTCGCGCACGCCGCGACAAGCAACTATGTGGTGGATAACCAGGGTCAGCCGACGGCCATGTCTCCGGCTGCCCATTTCCCCCCAGTATCAACCGCGGGACGGATTGATGCGACCACCGCTCCGATAACCGGCCTCCATCACCGCATGTCTGTCTCATCCTCGCCTGACTCCGTCGGACTCAATCAAGCCTTCAGTTATCCGCCCGCGCTGGCTACCCACCACGGGTTGGATTCCGAGGCGGCAATACCGCGGTCCGCAAGCGCCGGCAACCCGGCCATCAGCTCACCCACGGGACCATCAGCCGCGACGTTCTGTCCTCCGGATCTCAACAGAATCTCATTTGAGCCGTTCAGCGGCCCCCGATCCGCCAATCCACCGATCGGGTCCAACGATTCAGGACAGGGGGTGCGGTCGCGTTACTCACTGTCAGCGGCCAGCCATGCCCTGGCCCGACCGCAGGAGACCACTGTCCCTTACGCTCTCTCCACGGATATCGGTCACGCATCCTCGCTGGTCTCTTCCACGCCATACGACTCTCAGGCCGCTCTGCAGATACCGGTCAGTGGGTACGAAGCCAGTCCGCTGGCTGCCGCATCTGCCCCGACACCCCTGGAGCGGACCTCGGATATGGGTCCCCTGGATGCCATGGCGGGGATGATGGGCTCCGGAGCCACGGTGGATGAAGCGGGATTCGAGACGTTCGGCTCTTGCGCCTACCCGATCTTTGGGGGGGATCCATCCAACCGGTCGCCCTTCGCCATGGCCGACGATTTCGCAGCCTGGTTGTTTAATGAGCCTTCTCCGGGGACAACGTCGTCAATGTCAGATCCTGCGCGCACCGGCATGTTTCCAAGTGTCTTCGATACCACTGGATTACAGAACCCCTTCCGCACGAGCGATGCGGCCTACGGGGATTTCCTGAACGGGGTCATGCCACAGCGTCCTATGAGCGTCAGCAGTGTCTTGGACCCCGGTTCGCCGCGGGCCATCATGTCCGAGGAGAAGCGGCAGGATCTCCTTGACCTCATGTCCACCCGGTTCAATGAGGCGGCGTATTCGGTCGTATCCAAGCGGAAGGATGCCTTGCTGGACGGTGACCTAGATGACGACAACCACGTGCTGAGTCTACACATGATGCAGACCTACGTCGGATCGTACTGGTTCCACTTCCAAGGGCAGCTGCCGATCCTACACCGTCCGACCTTCGTGGCCGATCGGGCACCCAACCTGCTGCTCCTAGCCGTCATCGCCATCGGCGCCGCCACCCTGGACCCGATCCACGGGCCCGAGGTCACTGAGGCGGCGTCGGAGCTGGCCAACTTCATCGCCTGGCATCTTCGCTGGGAGCTCTTCATGGACGCCGACTTCCGCCCGCCGGCCAAACTCTGGGTCTTTCAGGCGCTGCTGTTGATGGAGGTGTACGAGAAGTTGTTTTCCACGCGGGCGCTGCATGAGAGAGCACATATCCACCACGACACCACCCTGACCTTAATGCGACGCGGCAGCTCGTTGATCGACCGCTCGGCTTTCGACTCGCCGGGGAGCCTGCGGGAGTCAGCCTCGGGGTTGGAATTGGTGCTGCCTGGCTCCGCCGACGAATCCTGGACGCACTGGATCAAGACCGAGTCCATGCGGCGTGTCGCGTTTGCGGCCTTCGTGCTGGACTCGACGCATGCCACCATGTTCGGGCACTCGGCCAAGATGGTAGCGCACGAGCTGCGGCTGCCGCTCCCGTGCGACGAGGCCCTGTGGTCGGCGACCAGCGCAGCGGAGGTGGCTCGGGTGCAGTCAAGCCTACACGCCAACGGGGTGCAGCCCGTCACGTTTCTCGACGGACTCAAGCGGACGCTCAACGGGCAGCGCGTGCAGACGAACGCTTTTGGACGCACCATCCTCATGGCGGGCCTCCTGAGCGTCAGTTGGCACATGAACCAGCGGGACCTGCAGGTCAGCTCGCTGGGGGTGCCCCAAGCCTTGGGCGGGCGGGACAAGTGGCGGTCCGCGCTGCTACGCGCCTTTGACCATTGGCGTCGGGACTTTGACGCGGCCTTGGGCCCGGTCGGGCCCCCGCCCTTCCCTGCGGGACTGCGGTGGACGCGACGTCCGCTGGGGGAAGACCACCTATTCGAGTCGCGGAACGTGCTGTATGGGCTCGCCCACATGGCATCCCATGTTGACATTGTCGACTGCCAGATCTTTGCCGGCGCTGGACGTCTGATGGGGCGGTCCATCACGGGGCGCGACTACAGCGCCGCCCGCGAGAAGATGACGGAGCGGTGGGCGACCAAGGCATCGGCGCGGGACGCCACCTTTCACGCGCTGAAGGTCCTATCGGAGTGCATGCTGGGCGATGACGATGATGAACATGCGGAACCGTATCAGGGGCGCGATGACTCCCTGCTGAACCGGCCGTGGGTGGTCTACGTGGCGGCGCTGGTGGTGTGGTGCTACGGCTACGCGCTGGAGGGACCGATCCGGCCGGCGGTGGCGCTGGCGACAGCGGCCGACCAGCGACGTGACATGCGGGCATACCTACGACGCATGGGGGAAGCGACCTCGCCCAACGACCTAGAGACGATGACGGGACGAAACCAGTGTATGGGATTGTTGATGGTGCTACGCGACGGGTTTCTACACGCACGGTGGGAGTTGTTGACGGAGGCGGCAAATCTGCTGGGCAGTTGCATCACGAAGCTTGGGAGTTGATCTCTTCATTTCATGTATTTTTATTTTATCAAATTATTTGTTTGATATTTGTGTGAATAGTTTGGGAGATCCCGAAATGTACTATAGAATCTATTGATCGATCGATGGTTACCACAACAACGGCGGGCGGGTCTGCCGCCCGCCCATTCTCCATCTCTCCCGCTTTCCTCTCCCCTTTCTCCTTCTGACTTCCCCCTCACTTCAATTGATCTACACGCATTCTTGTTATCAACTCGTTAGACTCCTCGATTGACTAGACGACCGCATTGATCGCATTTCACCGCAACCGATTCTCGAATTCGAAATTAAGCAACAACAACAACAATCACCACAATGGTACGTCAATCGCGCACGATGATCCTCAGATCCCAAGGAGAGAGAGGGAGATAAAAACGGGGTAACCCATGCTTTGAACGCATCTTGGTTGCAGGAATGCCCCAGCCACGAGTTCCTGTCCCTGTCCCTGTCCAGGAATGCAAGGGGGAAGAAGTCGGAAGACGAAGCAGAATTGAGTTGGGCTGGGGCTGGTTCCGACCACGGTTTGCCATCCAATGAGTGAATGACCCAGCCTTCTGTCTGCTTCGTCCAGCTTGCGACCTCCCCAGCTGTATCCCTCCTTCTCTCTCTCTTCATTTCCATCTCCGTCTCCATCTCATCCCCATTCCATCCTACGTTTGGCAAAAATGTCTCGCTCACCACAACCCGACGATCAGGCCTCGACCAACTACAAGGAAGCGTTCTCCCTGTTCGACCGACGCGGCAGCGGTACCGTATCGCTTGAGTTGCTGGGCGATCTTCTGCGCGCTTGCGGACAGAACCCGACCCAGGAGGAGATTGCGGGGTTGGAGAAGAACTTGGGTGGTGACTGTACGTATCATTCCTGGAGGCTAGAGGGGACAGACGGAATCAAAGATGGAAGGACCAAGGCTAATCGTGTACAGTCGACTTCGAGTCTTTCATCAAGGTGCTCAATCGCCCCGGTGGTTTCCGCGAGCCCGGTGACCCCGAGGAATACTGCCGTGGATTCCAGGTGTTTGATAAGGATATGACGGGGTTTATCGGGGTGGGACAGCTTCGTTACAGTATGCTCTTTTCATTTCGGGGTTATATACGGGAGGTACTAATGGGTTCACAGTTTTGACCAACCTCGGCGAGAAAATGTCCGATGACGAGGTCGATGAGCTGCTCAAGGCGGTGGATACCAGCTCGGGGGAGATCAACTACACTGGTGTGTTAGACCAAATTCTTTTAAGTTGAAAGTTGCTAACATGATGTATCAGATCTCGTTCGCACTATCCTGGCCAACTGATGATTACACGATACCCGATACGTTCCACGTTCTTACGATGCTTTGCTTGTTTTGATGGATATCAATCTGGTGGGGGTGTAGTTGTATAGTTAGCATGCAATCTTATTAAGCATATCATTTATATCTGTTCACCAGATGAATACAGCCAAATAAATACACTAGAATATATAATATTATAAATACAACAGAAAAGATCAAACCCAAGAACTCCACCCCCGATCCAACCTCCTCAACTCCTCCTCATCCCCTTTAACCATAGTCCCCGTCTCCATCAACGCCCCAGGAAGTAAATACACCACCTTGACCTCATCTTTCTTCTCTTCATCTTCCTCCTCTCCCTCTCCCTCCGCACCCCCTCCCCCTTCACCCCCCCAGAAGAAGAGGCCGAAGGAAAATGAACCCCATCCAAAAAATACCCCACAACAACCCTACACCGCCCACACCGTATCAACCGTCTCTTCTCGAACCCGTCTTCTCGGCGGATAATGGTCGAGCCCCGATCCGGCTGTGTTGTTGAGAGGAGGATAGTCGTGTGGAGATCTTTCTTTTCTCCTCCTTCTTCCTTGGTTTTTAACTCGGTATCCGTATCCCCCTTGGTCGAAGATGATGTTGATGAGGTAGAGGATGATGAAGAAACAGGTAAAGAAAGAGGCACAATAACAGCCCCGTCTTTCGCAGGCGGGTTGCGCGTCGGAAGAGATGTCAGGGACTGGAGGGTTGTTGCTAGGAGGAGGTGGTTGCAGAAGCGGCAGTGGTGGGTGTGGATGGGGAGTTTTTCTTTCTTGGGTCGGTTCTGGGGTTCATTTTGGGGTTGGTGGTTTTCCTGGTGGAGAGGTTGGTTGTGATTGAGGTCTCGGTCGTGGTCTTGTTCTGGGTTGTGGTTGTTGGGGGTGGAGGTGGACATTTTGTTTTCCTTTCTTTCTTAATTTCTCTTCTTTTGTTGGGTCAATTGGGTGTTTGGTGAAAGTGCGCTTGCTGGGATTGTCTGGTCCAGTCTGTTCTGGTGGCTGTTGGGGTAATTGGTGTGGATTAATGATGATGATGATGATGGTGGTGGTTGAAGTTGAGTTGGAAATCTTCTTGGCTTGCTTATCGATAAGATCTCTATCTCCTATCTACCGTACTCCCGTCCTCCGTGGGCAGTATACTTGAACATAAGATGCAGACAGCCAGCGCATACAATATAACCAAATACAACTATAAACACGAATAAACAAAAAGAAATAAATATAAATATAAATATAAATCATGTCTATACTATATACACTATCACTACAATACTTCAAACGGCTACTCCCTGCGTACCGCTCCCGCTACCGCCCGCTAATCAGCATTATTCGCGCACGTCCAGCTAGCCTTAGACGAGCTCTCGTTGATCGCCTTGCCCGACACGTACAGACCCAGTCCGCACTGTTCCCTGTTAGCAGTCTGTCCAATTGAGTGTAAAAGGTAAATATCAGGTGTAAACTCACGATCGCACAGGCAATCCCCAAAATAATCAAATTAATCACTGTCAGGGTGATCTTCTTCCAGTTGGCAAAGTACTGGCCCTTGTTGAGGACGAACCAGAAGATAGCGGGGAGGCCGTAACTGAACCAACTCCCGAACAACGCGCTGATCAAACTCAACAGCTCGTTGAAGACGGGAATCGACTCGGCAATCACCCACGCTACCGTCCACATGCTCAGCCCGATGGCCACCCACGTGCCCGTGGCTATGAAGCTCTGCTGGTGCATGTGGTGCGAGCGCGCGCCGCGGAAGATGCGCACGTAGATGTATTTACAGGCAACGTGGCCGAAGACTACGCCTGCGACGACGACCTAGAGGGGATTAGACGAATGCAGGTAGAGATAATGAGGGAAGGGAAGTGTACCGTGGGAATGGCAATGCCGTATGCGACCTTCTTCATCATGGGTCCTGCGGAAGACAGCGCAGGGGAGGTCACGTCCGGCCCGGCGTAGCAGTAGATGACCATGGCGGTGACGATGTACATGATAGTATCGACGATCTGCAGCATGGCGAGGGACTTGGGGAATTCACGCGGATCCTGCATCTCGGAGATGATGCCGAAGAAGGAGACGTGGGCGATGAAGGCGAAGACGATGTTGGTCACGGCGAGGAAGCCCTCCGCGAAACTGGGCGACGTGGTGATGTCGTTCTGGACCTGCTCGGGCATCTGGACCGCGATGGAGACCATGGTGATGATGGTTGCGATGAGGATGCTGGCTGCGGAGATGGTGGACATCCAGAAGACCTTGCCTGCTGTGCGGGGCAGCGCGCAGAGGAAGCTGACGATCAGGCCCACGACGCCGAAGACGATGGTGCAGGTGCCGTGGCTGGTGATGGTGTTGAACAGCACCGAGAAGGTGAGGATGTGGCTTGCCATCAGGAAGATGATGAACAGCAGCTGGCCGACGTAGAAGACTTCCCGGCCGATTCGACCGAAGAGCAACTCTCCTGCGTCGCCCATGCTGTGCACCTGGGGATACCGGAGCTTGAACTGCCCCATGACGTACCCGGTGTACCATGAGATGCCGGACAGGCCGAGGATGATGAGGAACGCGCTGCAGCTGGTCAGTGGTGCTCGCTGCACGATACGCGAGGGGTCCTTACGGGACGATTCCTAGGGTGGCCACAGCGGACGGGAGCGACAGGATACCGAGGGAGATATTCTCGGCGACCATCACTGGACGAACAGTTTAGTAGGCTACACGATGGTTGGTCGGCTGGTGTGGAGACTCACGCATTCCCGCGTGCCTGCAGAATAGTCAGATCATGCCGTGGCCATGCAATTGAGAGACGGATACTTACCACCACTTCATGACACGGTACTTGACCTCGCCACATTCTTCATTTCCGAATGGATCATCCACGGGGGCCTGTTCCTTTTCATTCAGAGAGGACTTCTCCATGTCCGCGTGGTCCAGGTCGACAGGGGCATCATGCTGGATAGGAAGGGGGTCAGGAACAGCCATGGTGAAGATGGACTGACAAAGTGAACAGGAGATCCTCCAAAAAAGAGAGAAAGAGAGAGAGGGAGAGACAGGGAGAACCGCCTAGTTAAGTAACGAGAGGCCCACGCGACGTGGAAAAGACTAAATACAGACCCATCAACGGCCCAAATTTTTTTTCGCCCTTCCGCCTTCTAGGGCACCAGACTCAACGGAGAGATGAGTAATCCACGTTTAATTGAGGTAAAAAACCTGGAACAGCCAACCAGAAAGGCCTGGGTTATCTCAGGCACGTCCTACCCCATATGGGTCCGGCTCATTTTGGCATTATTCTCTGGGAGTATGTGTGCGTGTTGTCTCGGTGAGAACTCTAGCCACTGGTTGGGCCCGAGGATAGATCGCCTCCCACAGTCGGGACCCGCCCGAACCGGGCCAGTGAGCAATTTTCATAACGTACTGTGTATAGGGGAGTTGAATCCCCGCATGGCTCGGTGGAACCTCTGGGGAAGTAACTTCGTTTCACTGGGATGAGGCGAACAGCCAAACACCGGGCCGTTGTCTCAAGGGTCAACTTGTCAAGTTCGTCAATTTTCTTGCTGTCAACGTCAGAGTGCATACATCCAAACCATGAATATTGCACTATCGGGCCGATCTAGCGGGATGGAATCCTCCCGTAGTGGCGAGATCATAGTAGAATAGAGCAGAGCGAGAACCCGTGACCACGTGCCCGAGCTGTGGCCCACCTGAGCGTAGCCGGCGACCGGCCCGGGTCCGGTCCAGTGGAGCGGATCTTGTTATCGGGTTGGAATCGTCGTCAATGAGTGCGGTCATTTATGTATTGACAGGAGGGATATGCATGAGAACCTATTCATCCCAGGGAAGTTATGACGTTGCAGGATTTGAGGGAATAGTGAACACCACCATTCAGTCAAAACAACCAGGGCAACACAGAAAACCCACAACCCGTCAATCCAACAGGAACCGGGTGAATTCGAGGATATCCTCCTCCCAGTCTCAATCAACAAGCTTTCATAACCCACCGACACGGGCGCAAAACCCCCGCGATATACCAACAGAATCAATCCAACCCAGTCAGTCAAGTAACAAAGTCAAATCGATCCGGGGTATAGAACCCGGTGTGGACCACACCAAAGAGTGGGTCAATGATTTCAACAATCAATCAATCAAGTTATCACCCGTAGACTGATAGTCTGGTACTCGTAGGCAGTGCCTATAATTCCCGAAATCAATTGCCTTGCCTTGGTGGACACTGGAAAGGGTCGATGATTCCAGGGCTAAACTGAGAACTGAGTAATTGAAGCAACCGACTCAATCAGACAATAGTCAATAGAGTCCTTCCGTTCCTAGCCGGATTCCATCCATATTCTCTGCCTCATAATTCATGTATGGTTTATGCTTATGACTGTAGAAGAAAGTCAATCAATCATTCCATACACGCTTCCCATCGGCTACTTCCGGGGTAAATTTGTGGGGACATCAGGGGATTGAAACTGGAGGCAATACCTATTATGTAACAGTCTGTCGAGAGTGGCGTGTGTGGACCTGGGGTTGGGGTTGACCGTTTGTTTCGTGGGGTTGACCAAGTTCAGTCTCTTTCCTGGGGTCTAGATTGAGTTGAGGTGGGATGTGATGGGAGAAAGGTGTTATATGAGTATCTCAGTCACGGGAGATAAGAGATATGGTGTTGGTTTTGGTTTGAGGGACTTGGGAGGATGGGGTTAGTGAGACTTGGCGTACTACTAATATACTTCTACTACTACTCCTATGGATAGTATAGATATTATGAGGACGTTGTAGCTGGTTGCATCTAGTGTATCTTTATGGACGATGACTCTATCTAAGCAATCCAGATCTTGGATGCGTCCCTTGAGAGGAGACTAAGCCAACCCCAAATCCTTATAAAACGCATCCGTCTTAGGAGGCCGTCCCAAGAACGCCGTCAGCGTGGTCATCTCGTCCTGGCTGCCGCCCTTCTCCAGCACCTGGTGACGGTACCGCCGGCCCTCGGTAGGGTTCATGGGGTCCGCCTCAAAGACAGTGTAGAACATATCCGTCGAGTAAACCTGGGAGCTCAGATACCCGTAGTAGCCGGCATCATACCCGCCGATCAGATGGCCAAAGGTAGCCTCGCCGTGGCCCCACTCCTCGCCCATATTCAGAGTCTCAGGGCCATCCATCTGCGTGATTTCGTGGCGGAGCTTGTTGTACGTCGCCGAGATGGGCAGCTTCTGGATGGTCTCGTGGTCCGCCGGCTGGTGCACCGTCATGTCGAAGATGCCAAAGTGCAGCTGGCGCAGGTTGAACAGCGCGTCGTTGACGTGCTTGGTGCGGATCAGGTTCTCGATCACCTCGTCGGGGATCTGTTCTGCCGGGGGCGTCTTGCCCTCGGCTTGCTCTTGCCAGCCGGAGAGGTACTCCGGCGACAGCGTCGAGTAGTGCTTGCTGAGGGACTTCAGCTGCGACGGCGTCCAGCACCAGTTCTCGAGCATCTGGCTGGGCGCTTCGACGAAGTCACGCACGGTGTTCGTGCCGTGGAAGCGCGAGTAGGTCGTCTGGGCTACGAGATCGTGGATGCCGTGGCCCAGCTCGTGGAACAGGGTCACCACCTCCTCGTGCTTGAGCAGACTCGGCTTCTTCGGCGTCGGCTTGGTGAAGTTGCACACCAAGGCGGTGGCGGGGTAGTGGCGGTCGCCGTTGGCGTCAATGAAGCCCTACATGTTTGATCAGTCCCAATTACGTTTCCTTTATACAAGAAGAGGGGCATACCGGCTGCAGGTTGAAGTTGGCGGCGTGGCCGTACTTGCCAGGGCGGGGGAAGAGGTCCAGGTACAGGTATCCCACGAACCCACTGCCCTCACCCTCGTCGTTCCAAACGCCGAAGATCTGCACGTCCTCGTGCCACACAATGTCACTGCCCTTGCCCGTGGGCGCCACTTGTTGCCGGTCCTCCCCGGTAATCTCCACAAACACCAGACCAAACAGCTCTTCGAAGATCTTCAGCATGCCGGCGATGGTAGTCTGCAAGGGGAAGTACTCGGCGATGAGCTGCTGGTCCAGCGAGAAGTTCTTCTCCAGCATCAAGCGATCGTAGAACCGGTGGTCCCAGAGATAGTACCGGCCGTCGAAGGACTCCCCCCGGGCCTCAAAGTCACTCTTCTTGAACTCCAGCAGTTCCTTGATCTCCTTCTGCCCGCCGGCCGTCAGGCGGTTGCGCAGGTCGCCCAGGAAGGTGTTGACGGTGTCGGGGGTCTTGGCCATCTTGTCCTCGATGCGGAATGCGGCGTGGTTGGGGTAGCCCAGCAGACGGGCGGCCTCATCGCGCAGGATGATCGACTCGCGGAAGAGGGGCGCGTTCTGGTTGCACTTGTTCTCGTTCTGGATCATCACCTTCTTCCGGGTCTCCGGGTTCTTGGCGTACTTCATCGTCGGGAAGAGGTCGGGGTACTTGAAGGTCAGCCACAGCTTGCCGTCGTTCTCGCCCTCGCCCTTCTTCAGACCGGAGAGCACATCCTCCGGCACGCCGTCCAGCTCCTCCCGCGTAAACCAGAGGCCCTCGTTCTCCTCGTTCAGGTTCTTCTGGAACTCAATGCTGATCTGACTCAGGCGCTTCTTGATCTCCTTGAAGCGGTCCCGCTTGGGACCGGCAGGCAAGCCCAGCCCATTCCGGATGTAGTCCTTGTGTTCCTTCTCCAACAGACGGCGGGACTCGGGGTCAATGGATTCGTTCTTCTGGAGCACGGCATCCACCAGCTTGAAGACGTCCTCGCGCATGGCGGCCTCGATGAAGAACTCATCCATCAGCTCCTCCGCCTTGGACGACGCATCGCGCAACTGCTGTTCGGTCGAGACGGCCTGGTAGAAGCCGAGGATGTGGGACTCGAGGGCCATGACGTTCTCATCCTGCGCGAGGGGCTTCAGCACGGAGGCGAACGAGGCCGAGTCGGACGTGACATTGGCGACGACATCGTCTTGGACCTTGCGAGAGGTTGCGACGAGACGCTTGGCGTCCTCGATGATCGATTGGGCGGTTGCGGTGAAGACGGGCGGGGCCTGAGGCGGCCGACGCAGGTGTTCGGGGGCCATACTGGCGGTGGTGAGGGTTCTGCGAATATCCGTCAAGACGGGGTTGGTCGTGGCCGAGAATCGTGAGCCACGGAGATGACCCAGGACTGAAGAGAGTCTAAAGGTGGAGGAGGAAAGACGGAGAGGAGGAGCCACGGTTACGAGCAGAACGCCCAGGAACAGGGCGAGGAGGTGTAAATAAAGGGATCGGGTAGAGAAACGAATGATGACGGAGGGGTACCCAGGATAGTGGGGTCGAGGGGGGGAGGAGTAAGGTATGAGGGAATGATGATACGTGTCTCTGCAGTTGGAGGGGCAGGAGAGGCAATCGGTGATGCAAGTGAGGGAAGAAGAAGAGTGGAGGATGGATGAAGTACGTTGTTGAACTAGGCTCAGATCAGCCTAGTAAACCGGTTGGAGATGCCAAGCCAGTTCACTCAGCTGACCGTCCCCACTGGAAAATTCGCACCAGATCGATATCCCAGGGAGAGTTCGTATAGCAGAGATAGACGCTCTACGACATGTTATTCTGATACGGTCTACAACATACTATTGGGAATACGTTCATAGTGACATCTCATCGTCATTTTGCATTAATAATAGGACCGAGGTCAACCGTATCACTCTTTTTCCTCCTCCGGAATGCGGAGTCTTCCTCTCCATACTGCTGGACTCAATTCATCGGGGACCCGCCTCGACACCAAAACTCCACATAAGACAGAAGAATCACAGAAAAAGAACAATAACAAACCCCATTGGAGATCAAACGCCCGAAGTGCTGCTAACTCAGGAAAACTAAAGACACAAGGCGACCCGCCAGAGAACGGATGCCGGAGAAGATAATACAAGGAACATCAACGACGGTTTGGGTCATCGACAAAGGTGGTAGGTAAAAGAAGGAAACTCGTTCAAGCGGCATCAGCCGTGGGGATGGACTCCGGGATCTTGGTGACCTGTTCACCAGCCCGGATCACCCGCTGGCCGGACCCGTCCCGAACGTAGTCGGTGCTCTCCTTCTGGGCGCGCTTCCAGATCTCCACCTCGCAGCCACCGCGGATGACACCCACCCGCATGGTCGACAGCAGGTTGTGGGCGGCGTTGGAGTGGTAGTAGACACCGCCGTTGAACATGGCGGTGGCATCCTTGCCGAGGCCGGAGTTGATCATGGCCTTGCCACCGGGGTGGTCCTTGATGAAGTCGGTGACGTCGTGCACGACACCGGCGATGGCGATCAGGCCACGGCCGTTCTTGGCCTGCTCGACATAGTCGTCCCATTCCATCACGGGCAGCTGATCCAGCGGCACGCCCCAGTCCAGCTTGGCACGCTTCTGGTCGATCTTCTTCTGCAGCTGCTGGACGCGGCCCTTCTCGATCTCGTTGGAGCGGAACTGCTTCAGGTCGTAGGCCAGACCCAGCTGCTTCCACGCCCAGATGGACCACTTGGTGGGGTCGTACTGGTGCCACTCGATGGCGTTGCGGTAGTCGGAGGGGAACTCGTGGTGGAAGTTGTGGTAACCCTCACCCAGGGTGACGAAGGCGGTGATGACGTGATCACGGGGCGAGTTGCGGTCATCGAAGGGCTGGTCACCGAGCCAGTGGGCCAGGGAGTTGACACAGAAGGTGGCTTGCTGGACGAAGAAGATCCGCAGGATGCCGGCATAGACGAAGCCACCCCACCAATCACCCCAGCCGAGGCCCGCCACGAGCATGGGCACTCCAAGGCCCATCATGAAGACGACCTTGAGGTAGTTGCGGTGCTGCCACACGACGACGGGGTCCTCGTTCAGATCGGAGATGTCGGTGCGGCCGATCCGCTTGGGGTTCTGCTTCATGACCATCCAGCCGAGGTGGGAGTAGAGCAGACCCTTGCGGACGGAGTAAGGGTCCTTGTCGGTGTCGGTGTAGCGGTGGTGAGCACGGTGATCGCGAGCCCACCACCGGACGGAACCCTCGACGGCACCACCCCCGACGGCGGCGAGCCAGATGCGGAGGGGCAGACGAGCGGAGTAGGAGCAGTGAGCCCACAGACGGTGGTATCCTATCGATGGACGTGGTTAGTTCAACCTTTTCCATTGCCACTCGGAATCGTCTTCCGGGCTTCTCTCCCAGCGACCAAACTTACCTGCAGTGATACCCAGACCGGTGAAGAAATAATAGATGACCGCCCAGGCGATGGTCTTCAGCTGGATGGGGGTCCAGAAGGCCTGGATGCAGCCATAAACGGGGATACCGATGATGAGGAAGACATTGAGCCAGTTGACATGCTTATGCCAGTTGTTACGGTTGATGGCAGTATCGGCGATATGGACCTTCTTGGGAAGGGTCGCGTCGACCGGCTTTGCAGACATGATGCCTGCCAGTATGCTTTCAAGCAGAAGGGAAGGAGGGAGTGTTGTTCGTTGTCGTCCTCGATCGATAGAGGGTTGTTGCTGTTACTGTCACTCTCTCAGAGGGAAGTATGAAGGATGAACCAGATGACAAAAGTGGTCGGAAGTGTGGGGTGAGAAGAAGAGGAAGAAGGATTTATATGAGAAAGCAATGGAAGGATGGAAGACCAATCTGATCCGAGGAATTAAAAAAAGAAAAAGAAAAAAAGAAAAAAAAACTCAAATGGACAATAGAAGAAAAAAGGTGGAGAAGGACAAGGAAGGCAAACGATCTTGAACAGGAAATTGGAAAAAGGCACCGCAAAAAGAGATAGTAATGGAGGCAAAGAAAAAGCCGGGATGTGCCTGGGTCCACCAAGGATTGACGGTTGGGGAGAAGTGATGGTGATGATTCTATCAGATGGCCTGACTACACCTACAAAACAAGGCACCCCTGCGGATGGCATGGATATCACGGCGTCTGATTCGTGACCTGATCATTTCCTTTGCTCGATTTCATGTTCTACCTATTTCCATAATCCCATCTGACACTCTTCCAACCTCGGGATCTTCTGATTCCAACCCATCCACACCATCTGATGGACAACGCAAGTGGTTGACATGAAGTTGTTGGGGAACAATTCCAACCCTTCCAACCCTTCCAGGGTCCAATCAGACGGGAATGGCGGCCTGATTCTGCCGCATCAGGCAGGGGGGCAACCACCTGCTGGATCCACCAATGGGGAAGCATTCAACCGATGCTGAATCCCCAACGTTTTCCAATCGGGGGACAAAAGTGGGTCTCAGAGGAGGTTTGTCCCCAGCTCTGAGGCTCCGATCACTGCTCCGTTGCCCCTGCAGGGCGGTGTGGCGGGTGTGTGGCGTATTGAACGGCTCTTTCTCCTCCGCATCTCTGACCAGCTCTCTTACTCTTAGTAAGATACCCAGGTAACTTTGTCAACTATGGATGTGATGAACTCATAGTCCGAGGATCGACTTTTATTTAGAAATATGCATGTGCTGCTTAGTCTGATAGACGATTCTCGAATGTCAACTTCTTCCATCTTGTACTTCAATATTCGTCAGCTTATACGGTCACGTGGTCATTCAATTCAACACGACTCAGCAAATCCAACTGTCTTTATAGGAAACGGGCGGGTGTAAGGGGACATCCACCACAACAGACGCCATGCACCAATGTATAGAGTCTAGAGTCTACATACATTGAAAAGTACGGAGACAAATACATAGATAAAGACACAATCAGCCCTATCGGTGGATCACGGCATGGACCCGACGAGACTGTCCTTCGTTCAGTACTCCGTAGACTAGGTAGTTACTAGGGAGTAGGTACCTAGTAGTCACCACGGTCATCTGAACCCCAGCCCAGCCCTCCTCTGGATAATATCAATAGATATCATTGGCGGGCTGCATCTAGGGGCGTCGTGATGCATTCGAGGTGGGTCTCACTCAGATATATAACCCTGTCAGTCTTCTTCAATGCAGAAGAAGAAAGGAAGATCAAGAGAGGGAAGGAATTGAATGACCGAGTGGTAGTCACCTGGGATAACACCGGGAGCATTTACAATTACAGTATATTTGAGAGAAGTATGGGTATACAGATCTAAATTATACAGGTTGCGGAGAAATCCATCTGTCGAGTACGGAGACAAAGAGACAGAGTACATGAAGGACGTTGCAGATAGCCTGAGGCACTTGGTTGGGACTGGAGATCCTCAGGTGTCAATCCAACGCTGACAGCTCGGCCGAGGTCGGCGTTGGTCGGAGTGCTCATTTTAGTGTATTTCTCAAAGGTATAGAGAGATTCGTATAGGTAATTTCATATGGTCATGTTGAGATTACCTGAGAATATATCCAGGGCTTATGCTATGAAGAACCAGCCAACATCAGCTGACTTGCAGTGTTTCCACAAATAATCCCACTCCATAGTTATCAATTCATCCTATTATCCCATAACTCACTTGTATCAAGGTTTTGTCATATATTATAAAACATTCTTTATACTCCGTCTATCTCGAGTAGACCATAACATATCACACGTGATATAATCCAACCTATATCAAAGGGACAGAGTTTTCCTCCCAAAACTCCCTACGCCGAGCGGAACCCGAGAAGAAGTGGATGGATGGTCCCGTGACAGTTCACTTGGTGGAGTCCTTCCACTTCCACTCTTCCACTTGAAGGATTGAGGATTCCATCCACTCTCCATACTTCACCCTTATAGATCAACACCTCGGTCGTCAATCCCCTGCTTCATCTTAATCTCTAGAAGAATGGACATCGGCCCTTTGCTATCAGAACCCCTCAATGCTTGGGGAGTTCGGAGGAGCCCGATCGATTTCCGATAAGAAACACTGCAGTGAAAAGACCCGACAGACTTATCAAAGTGGATCGTGATAAACTACTGCAAGCTCTCTGACAGGGTCGACACGCGACACTAGCTGGATGCTGATCCTCTGGAACACGGCGCTGTCGCTCTCATGGCCAACCACCGTCAACTATTCCTATCCGCAGCTAACTCATTATGGATAACCACCGACCGTGGAGACACTCAGAGATAACAGAAATGATTGATTATTCGATTGCTACTTTCATACAGTACAGTCGGTTTGATAAGGATAAGCCGTTCGTATCGCGAAAATGCGCTAGATGGGATATTTGATTTTTGCTCCGTCGCGTTCACGTGTATAATAAACCCTTCTCGTGCAGTCCTCTCCCCCGCATCTCGTACTTAACGATCAAGTATCTGGCGGACTCAAGCTTGGTGGCAGAGGTCTCCTGTCCAATCGATCCATACGGATGAGCCAGAGCTTGACTGTCTAGCTGTTGTCTTCCCCGCAGCTCGTGCCACCGCAACCTCGGACATCTCGTCGCGTCGAATCTCGCCTGCATCTTCTTGCGGTGACAATCATACCAGCTCTTTTGTTTGCTGGAACTTGATCAATAGTATTACATCGGCTTGTGCCTGAATTGCAGAATGGATGGCCCCGACCAGATCGGCCCGGACTATCGTCCTAGGCGGACCATGGCCGACCAGTTTCGCCGATTCGTCAGGACCTTTACCACTCGGTGAGTCCTCACTGGGGACTCAATGTTGCATGTGGAATGACAACTGACTCCCCAATAGCGAAGGCTTAATTGGAGATTACGATTATGCGTTCCTCTTCACGCCCCAGATTCCCTTCATAAACAAGACGCGGAGGTCGTCGCCCTTTTTCGGCCTGGAAGATAAGATGCCCGTCTTGCTGGCCTTGATTCTGGGCCTGCAACATTCCCTCGCGATGTTGGCCGGAGGTCCGTCTTTCCATAACCTATTGTCGCGCACTATAACTCACAGTGTCCAGTCATCGCCCCTCCTATTCTACTAGGTGGATCCGCCGGTGCCCATTTCGATTCCGCGGACTACCAATACCTCGTTTCCACCTCGCTCATCGTCTCCGGCTTTCTGTCGGCCCTGCAGATGGCCCGGCTCCACGTCTACAAGACGCGCTACTACGTCGGCACCGGTCTCATCTCCGTCGTGGGCACCTCGTTCGCCACCATCACGGTCGCCACGGGCACGTTCAACCAGATGTACACCAGCGGGTACTGTCCAACGGATGCCGATGGGAACCGTCTCGCCTGTCCGCAGGGATATGGCGCCCTGTTGGGCACGTCGTGCCTGTGCTCCCTGCTGGAGATCGGCCTCTCCTTTCTGAGTCCCCGCATCCTGAAGCGCATCTTCCCGCCGCTGGTGACCGGTCCCACGGTCCTGCTGATCGGCGCCAGTCTCATCGAGAGCGGCATGAAGGACTGGGCCGGCGGCTCCGGCAGCTGCGGCATGAACCCGTCCGCCCGCGCCCTGTGCCCTACCCCCGACGCGCCGCATGCGCTGCCGTGGGGCAGCCCCGAGTTCATCGGACTGGGCTTTCTCGTCTTCGTGACCATCATTCTCTGCGAGCGGTTCGGGTCGCCGATCATGAAGTCCTGCGCCGTCGTCGTGGGCCTGCTGGTCGGGTGCATCGTCGCCGCCGCCTGCGGCTACTTTGACCGCTCGGGTATCGACGCGGCCCCGGTGGCGTCCTTCATCTGGGTGCGAACGTTCCCGCTCAAGATCTACGCGCCGCTCATCCTGCCCTTACTCGCCGTCTACATCGTGGTCATGATGGAGTCGATCGGCGATATCACCGCCACCTGCGACGTGTCCCAGGTGCAGGTCCAAGGGCCCACATTCGATTCCCGCATTCAAGGAGGTGTCTTGGGCAATGGTATTACGTGTCTGCTGGCCGGACTCTGCACCATCACGCCCATGTCTGTATTTGCACAGGTATTTTCCCTTATTCTCAGTCATTCCCTTCCCTTCATCCATAATTCCTTCATTCATCCGTTCTGTTCTCCCATTCCACCCAGTATCTCACAAACCCAGAACAACGGCGTCATCGCCCTCACCAAATGCGCGAACCGCAAAGCCGGCTACTGCTGCTGCTTCTTCCTCGTAATAATGGGGATCTTCGCCAAATTCGCCGCCGCCCTAGTCGCCATCCCGAGCTCCGTCCTCGGCGGCATGACCACCTTCCTCTTCTCCTCCGTCGCCATCTCCGGCGTGCGCATCATCTCCAAGATCCCATTCACGCGACGCAACCGGTTCATCCTGACAGCGTCGTTCGCGCTCGGCATGGCCGCCACGCTGGTGCCGGAGTGGTTCCAGTTTTTCTTCACGTACAGCGGCGATAACCACGCGCTGCAGGGTCTGCTGGACGCGGTCGTGCTCGTCATGACGAATGGCTTCGCTGTTGCTGCTGTGGGGGGGTTGGTGCTGAATCTGCTACTGCCGGAGGATCCGGAGGAAGAGGCGCAAGTTATGGATGGGCGGGAGAATCGGGGTGAGGATGAGGGTGAGGGTGAGGGGTCGTCTGTGGCCGCGGAGAGTGAGACTGCTCAGCCGGTTAAGGGTGAGGGTGAGCCTGTGCGGTAGTATATTCTTTCTTTCTGGTTTTGGTTTGGTTTGGGTTTTTCTCTATGGAGGTTCATCTGTAGATGGATGGCTAGCTATGCATATATATACCCTAGTTAATTAGTATTAGTATTAGTATTGCAATATTCTATAATATTACATTAACAATTATGTACAGATTCCCGAATAGCATAGTACAAACCCTTCCCCTTACATTATGCCACACTCTATGAAAATAGGTACCTAGGTATATACTGAGGTAATATACTCCTCTCAATCCAATCAAACCCCCTCCCACACCTCCCCCGGCTTCAACATCTTAATATAACAATGTTCACCTCTCTCCATGACCTCGATGGTGTCATCCACGCAAAGTGTAAACTCTACTATCGTCAGCACCCAGATAACCCTAAAAACACCCCCAACAAGAAAAGTCCAAGACAAAGACAAAAAAGAACAAAAAAAGAAAACATACCCCTAACACCCGGAACAAGCTGCATCCCCAACGCAGCATTCGTGCGATCCCCAGGATCAATACACCTATACTGCCTCAGCGATCGGTCCGGCTCAGCACGGTGGCGCAGGCCTGTCGCGGGGTCCACGTTGGGGAGTTTGCAGCGCATTGTGCGGCAGACTGTGTGGATTTCTGTATATTCGTTGTTATTATCACCATTTCCATCACTATCATGGTCTTCATTATTCTGATCCTGATCCTGATCATGACCCTGCTTATTATGGTTCAATAAGCAACCAGAGCAAGAAGAATGATAAACCCGAATCCTCTTCCACGAATCCTCCTCAAAACAGCCCGGCCCGGTAACGACGATATTCGCGCGAAAGCGACGCACGGAGAGCCTGTCTATTGAACAGCGGGATGCGACATCATGCACGCTAGCCAGGTTAATGAGGTGGAGGGGATAAGCGTCTGCAAAGGCCGTGACGGGTTGGAAGCCGAGGGATTCTTTGCGGGGGGCGTTGCGGAAGATGGGGCGCGTGTGGGAGGGGATTGTTGCGAAGAGGGTTAGGGGTTTGGTATCTTTGTTGGGTTTGGTGGATTGGAGGAAGTTGCGGAGGGATTGGGGGATGTATTGGTTGTAGTCGTATGCCAGGGGGGAGTCTTTCCAGATCTTGACGGGTGCGGTGGGGGTGTTCTTTGGTGGGGAGAGCGGGATGGAGATGGTGTGGTGGGTGGGGAGGAGGCCGATGGCGATTGCTAGAGACAAGATTGCAGTACGCAGTCTGGTATACAGCGTGGTGTTGTGCGTTTCATGGCCGTGTGGCAGAACACGCGGATAATAGATGATCATCACGCCCTGCGACTTGACCTCGCCAAGGTCCGGGGAATAGTCTGCAGCCTCGGGATCAGGGACCCAAATCTCAGGACGGATTAGAGCCAGACGGCTAAAGTGGCCGTCGCGCATGGTGCGGGCTGTCCAGTGCGTTTCTGTTGGAGTTGACGACGGCTTCATATTATCGCTAGGGGGCACGTTCCCCGCGCAGTCAGGCTGCTGCCGGGGTGGAATATTCTCCGCGAAGCAAAAGTGGCGATCATATGCAAACCCCGTAGACACAGCATCGGCAGATTCCAGCTCGATGCCAGCGCAGCTTTTTATAGGGTAAATGAAGAGGGCTTTCACGCGCCATGCTGGACGGCCTGTGTCGTCTTTGCTGTTCTCGGGGAGTCCGTGTGTGTACTTTGGGTCGTGTTCGTCGTGCAGGTTGGATTGGTCTGGAGGGAGACCGAGTCGGCGACATCCTTTTGGTTTGGTGGGTTGGTTTGGTTTGTAGAGATGGTGGAGCAGGATGTATAGGGCTGGTAGGGTAGCTAGCCAGATGGTGATGGTTGTTATCGCATGGTTGGAGGGGTTGGATTGTGACTCTAGTGGAGGTTGAGTCATTTGTGACAGCTCGAACAATCAATACCAATGTTGAAGAGAGTATATACAGTATATATAGCAGGATATATCAGAATATCATAGTGTGTAAAGAACAAGTTGATTGATGTTGATTTTGATGTTTAAGTTTGATCGGAACTGATAACCGATACGCGATAACCGATAAGATTGGCCGATTTCGGCCTCAGGTGGGCATGCTTGACTCCCTCTCAGTGATCTCTACATGACTGTAGTATTCGAGTATCACTGATTTTATAATGGTTGAAAGTATTTTTATCATGCTCAATACATGAAATCTTGATTTACTATATCTTATACTCTGATGTGGTGGGTGGTGTAGTATGTGTTCCCCGCGATCTAGATCGTCCAAAAATATATTTCCACATCCGGTAACCCATTCGACGTCATTAACAGTATCGCGAATAGTAAAACCAGATTAACAAATCAAGCCATGAAGAAGGAATGAGATATCTATTCATGAAATTGACTAAAACTTCAAATTGAGTATAGATTATTGGTGCATAGTGAAGGTAGTGAACAAGGGATTGCTGGGCAAGCTCTTATCAGCTGAGACCCCCCTGAATTCTGTCGCACGCGATCTTTCTTCCTTTAACAACCATTTCATCCAACATGCCGCCCCAACAGCAAACCAGCTCCAGGCTGCTTTCATCTCGACGGCAGCTCCAATCCTCTCCAGACAGTTTCTCCTCCAAATACGGTGCCGGAAAAGCAACTCGATCCAGGCGCATCCTACTCCGAGACCCCAGCGGATCCCGACGTCTGGAGCGACGACAGATGCCCCAGGCTTCCCAAACGTCTCAGACGCCACAGACACCCCCGGACGAAACGTGAGAACATTTGCTTATCCTATAGTCTGGAAAATCCATCGAAGAAACAATACTAATCAGATGCGATAACAGCTCCCTCACCCCCGCAGTCGTCACCATCTCTGTCGGTCCCGGCGGCCGCCTCTTCGCAGCTCACAGAGACATTCTCTGCCTCTCGCCATACTTCGCCACCGTCTGCGCCCAATCTTCAGATTCTCCCGGCGGCTCTCGCATCAGCCTCCCCAACGAACAGCCCGAGGTCCTCTCCTGCATCCTCGAATTCCTATACAAGGGCGACTACTCCCCTCGCCTCCTCCGTAACCGACGCTACAACACCTGGGAGCTGGAAGGATCAAGGACAGACAGCGAAGGCCAGAGCTCCGGCGCGACGATCTTCCATCATGCAGCGGGGGCGGAGATCCTCCGCGACACTGCTATTTAGTATGGTCTTCCCTCTTTCCCCCCCTTGTTCCAATCATTCAATCTCTCATCAAGACTTGAACGAGCTCGTCCAACAAAAAGAGGAGAAAACATTGACTAACCCACGAACAGTTGCTCCGCGCAAAAATACGGCCTCGAAAACCTAAAACGCCTCGCCCTCCGTAAACAAGGCCTCCACTGCGGGATCTCCTGCGACACCATTCTCAACAGCGCGCGGTACGCCTACGCGCACACACCAGACGACGACTCCAATCTGCGGGCGCAGTACCTGGCGCTGATCATCGGCAGCCGGTCGACCTTCAAACGAAGCGGGACGATGCAGATGGAGATGGAGCGGGGTGGGAAGCTGTTCTTTGATTTATTTGTGGCTATGTGTAATCATATGGTGAGTCATACTGATTACTGGCTTATGCTAGGGCTTTTATTGTATACTACAGATATGCTAACAGTGGTTTTATATAGGACGATACAGAAGGAAGTAGGAGGTCAAGGGTCGGTTGTTGACGAGTTAATTCATACTCTATGACTACGGCGATGGACGGCGGAGCTGGAATTATATGCGGGCCGTATCTTTCCTACCCATAATAACTTCGGGGCTGTTGTTCTGACTTTCGGTGTGTGTACCTTGTGTTCTTTTCCCCTCGCACTGCTTGTACTATATCTATATTTATCACTCATCTCTCATCTGGGCTGGAATTTGCAATACCCAAATTGACACACTGCTACTATTTAATATTGATATCACGTTTACCAACATTGTCTAATGCGTAAGAACAACGCATCGCAGACATCAAGCTAGCCAGTCAGTCGTAAATCATAAATGTATTCCTATGTCGAAAAGGCTAGTCCATATTTGTAGACAGAACACAGTGGAACCAGACCTGACGGTCAAGCTATACTAGGTAAAAGGTATGGGTATGCATCTGGTATATGTCGTGCATAACCCCACATAGGAGGGAGAGAGCGCTGATGACCCGCAGATGGCACTTCTGCACGCCACCTCATAGCCGAACCAGTCATCTTAGCGAGACCTCACGTAAAATTTGGCAGGTTTGTCGTGGATTTTGCAAGGTGGCATGGGGATTATAATGCCGAAGATCGGTCGTGTCTATTAGACTGAAATGGTACTTTGACCTAAGCGGTGTAGTGCTACCGATTAAACCCCCGTGCCCGGGAAAGCGCCGCCTTTGCTGAGAACTACCATTCCTCGTTCACGGGCAATATAGCCCTTCGTTAGACCCTACAGTTTGTCAGCGGGACGAAACATAATCATGGATAGGCTGAGACATACCTTGTAGATGAGATTCGACAGCAAGCACTCGACCTCGTCGATGTCAACCCGCGATTTCGCATCCGCATGGGTGCCAATGCGCAGAGCAGCCGCGAACTCCCCAACTGGGATACGAGTCCTCCGGATCGGGGGCTGGCCCTCTTTGGGCTCCTCGAATCCGCCCGCGATGAAAACCTTGCGGAACAGATTGCGCAGCGCGATGTCGCGGCCGCGCTCGAGAGGCAGGTAGATGCGGCGTTTGACGAACTCTTCTTCGCCGGCTGACATTGCGGCGTCGAAGCCGACGAGATCGCCTTTGCGGATGCAGTTGCAGAGCGGGCGGAAGAGTTTCTCGAGTCGGGGGAATTGGGCTAGAAGATGTTTGCTGGGCAGGGTATGTGTCGTGACGATGTGACAGGGGACGAGATACATGAGAATCAGTCTGGAGGGCGGGGGTTAGTGGGTGTGCATGAGTTGAGAAGGGTTGCTCACTCTTTGTTTCTCGTCGCATTTCGGTGGCATAGTTTCCATGCGTAGGTCAGATGTTCCTCTGCCTGCCGAGCTAGTGGTTATTTCCCATACATTATGAGTTTCCAGAGGAACATACCTCTGTGTAATTCTCGTCGAGGAAGTGGATGACCCCAACGTAGTATTTGAAAGTCACAATGTGCGATTTGGGATAGGATTCCAGGTCGGGGAGATCTGCGGACGATGCGTCAAGGGCGCGGAGGAGACTTTTGGAAAGTCCCACGGAGTTGAGCTAGAACAATGTTAGCCCGACCACTGACCCCGAAGGACGAGCGCTTACCTTGAAATATGTTTTGAATAATAGATTGATTGTATTATATATTCCCCATTTCCGCGATTCGTCGATCGGCGCCCTAATCCTAGTGAGCGATTGTCCAACCCACAAGCTTCATAGACCACGCACCTGTCACTGAGACACAGTGTGAACATCCGATTGATCACACGAGCAGCCTCCTCCAATTTGGCACTCTTCTCAAACTCCGCCGTGACGTCCTCCTGAAAGCGATCGAACCCCACGTCGTCTTGTGACGAGAGCTCCGCGTCGGCCTTGATCGCGAAGACCCTCAGGTATTTCCCCACCACATATAGACACGGGATGGTCCACGCCTGAAAAGCCGAGCTCGAGTATGCCCTTATCAGGATATTGGCTACGTCTTTCCACGCGTCGAACACCTTCGCCCAACTGGCGCGAGAAGAGCGCTCTTCGATCCGAACGATCTCCCCGACCGCTTTCCAGTAGGCTGTAAAGACGTCCGTCCACCATGTCTGCTCCTGTTTCGGGATCTTCACGCCACCGATGTGAAAGAGGGAGTGGCGGAGGTCTTGGGAGATATGAGCTGCATTGGAGAAGTAGCAGAACGATTGCAATCGAGAGGGACAACGCGGTGACGCGACCGGTGTGAGGGCGGCGGCGAGATAGGGACCGGACCCGAGTCGTTGGCCTTCCTTGAAATCGTCAAAGACCGACTCCATGGCGGTTACTGGAGAGTGTCTGTGAGATAGTGAAACGGGTCGATTGAGCTATCTACCCAAGCAGTATCTATAAGACACCGTGAGCCATCGGTCTCTTTCCCCACCAAGTTAACTCCGCGGATCCGTGGCTTGACCGCCCAATCGTGGCGGGTGTGGCTGACCATCCCAAAGAGGGATAGTCGCCAAGACCAGCCGCAGTCCCCAGTCAAGCCCTAGTTAGGGTTGAGCACTCGGCAACTCAGTTCAACTCACAAAAAATCCACAATTCCGCGACAAGATCAGCCGGCACACCTTTCGAGACACTAACCACAACAGCGTCAACAAAAGTAGGTCCCTTCTTGAACCGCGACAGCCTCATTGTCTTTGAGAAGCATATACTGACTTGAATTTCTTTTCCAGATGGGTGAGTTTTATCTCTTTTCCGAAATTTCGCTTTCCGTGGTGGATCTGGTGCGGTGCTTTTCCTGCGAACGTTGAACGACCTCCGATCGAAAATCAAAAGAGAACCTGGGTATCCTCGGATGCGAACACATGAAACAGACGGAATTACCATATTTATCGATGGGGGGATGTTGGAAGGATGGGAAGTGAAGGAAAAAATTTGAACGACAGTCGCATATGGCCAAGGCATGAACAGGAGTCTCGGACTTTTTCACGGTGGACGGCCCACGTTTCGCACGGATCTCAACGCACTGGATCAAACCATTTGGATGGAGGCATCGCATTCTCCCTGACAGTCACTGACTCGTCTCTCCAGGGCGTCTCACCGAGTACCAGGTCATCGGGCGTCATCTGCCCACCGAGGCAAACCCCACGCCCAAGCTGTACCGCATGCGCATCTTTGCGCCCAACCCTGTTGTGGCCAAGTCGCGTTTCTGGTACTTCCTGACCCAGCTCCGTAAGGTCAAGAAGGCGACCGGTGAGGTTGTTGCTGTCAACGTTGTATGTGACCGAGCAGAAGGAACCCCTACAGCATGGTATCAGGGCGATGTCGACTGACCCTACGTTTAGATCAACGAGAAGCACCCCCTCAAGGTCAAGAACTTCGGTATCTGGCTCCGTTACGACTCTCGCTCCGGCACCCACAACATGTACAAGGAGTTCCGTGAGATGAGCCGTACCGACGCCGTCGAGGCCCTCTACCAGGACATGGCTGCCCGCCACCGTGCCCGTTTCGGCTCCGTTGCCGTATGTTCCCGTTTCCCCCGAGATCGAACCACTGGACCGGTTCTAACTGCAATCTACAGATCCTCAAGGTCGTTGAGATCGACAACGCCGACAGCATCCGCCGCCCCTACCTCAAGCAGCTGCTCGGCAAGGACCTCAAGTTCCCCCTGCCCCACCGTTCCGCCAAGACCGGCAGCAAGCAGATCTTCTCCTACTCTCGTCCTTCTACCTTCGCATAGATGTGAACGTGGAGTTTGGGGAAAGGAGTGTCCAACGGAGTGTGCGGTGAACGACTGTTATGGCCATAGCATGCATGCAGGACACAGATCACGCGGGATACCGACGTGTATCTACCGTCCACGTCCTGGGCCGGATGGTTATGATGTCTTTTGCGTCCTCTGCAGCGAACTGAAATTATATTCCAAAAAATATCACGGGGTTCTTCAATTTTTTTCAATGTATCCATGTAGTGTAGATTGTGGGTCTGTAGTATGCTACCTATTTCTGCTGGGAGACTTTGACCTATTTCTTTTGCCAGGCTATCCATCTGTGGGCCCGTCAGGAAGTATATGCAGTCACCAGTATTGGATCAATGTGCGAGTTCACCTGTTGAATATGTCTGGGATTCTGACAGGTCTTCTATCAGATAGAGCCTGCGGATTTACTCCGTACAGTTTGCAAGATTGTCTCTGACAGATGACGCACGGCTTGATTTTTCTACCTCACGAGCCAATCCAGGTACAATAAGAAGTACAAAGCCAATAAGACCCATCACAGACGTTGATCGATAATAAATATCCACTCGCAAAGAAATGGGACTGCAGTGGCATTATCGTGTCTGCTCCGTACTCCCGATTACAGTGGGCAACGCATACATAACAGCTTAGTAATACACAAGCGCACAGTGCAGTATTATTATCGTACCTTAACCTATTGCGTCATTCCGGCAATTCGGTTCCCCGAAAAGCGAGGGAGCTGATTTCCTGTTACTCCAGAACTTCTCCTCTCCGCTTCTCTCTTGTTTCTTTCCGTTCTCTCACCAATTGAACTACCCCCTTTCTCATTAATTGTAGCCATTATGTTTGCGCGTCAAGCTTTCCGCACTGCTCAGCCTCTGAGACAGGTAAGCTCGTTCAATTCTAATTTTCCTTCATGTACACAGGGAATGTGGGACTGACAGGACACAGGCCTTCCGCAAGTACTCCGCGGAGGCTGCCCCTAAGGCCCCCGAGCCCCCCAAGGGCAAGTCCTCGCTGACGCCCATCTACGTCGCTGTCGGTCTGACCGGTGCCGGTATCGGTCTGTACCGCTACAGCTCGGGGAGCACCCCCGCCGAGCGCCCTAAGGTCTTCGTCGGCGGCGACCAGGGCTGGGTCGACCTGAAGCTGGCGAACGTTGAGGTTCTGAGCCACAACACGAAGCGTCTGCGCTTTGAGTTTGAGGACAAGGAGGCCGTCTCTGGCCTTCACGTCGCGTGTTAGTAGAGACCCAGTTGTTCTACGAAAAAAGTTCCTCCAGCTTATGAATACAGCGGCTCTCCTGACCAAGTTCAAACCCGAGGGCGGCAAGGTCGTTATTCGTCCGTACACTCCTGTGAGCGATGAAGGTAAGTCTAGCCAACAACAACAGCGCGACGTTGACAGGAACTAACTGCCACATCAGCGCAACCCGGCTACCTCGAGCTGGTCGTCAAGGCCTACCCCAACGGACCCATGTCGGAGCACATCCACAACATGAACACCGACCAGCGCTTGGCGTTCAAGGGACCCCTCCCCAAGTACCCCTGGGAGGCGAACAAGCACGACCACATCTGCCTGATCGCGGGCGGCACGGGCATCACGCCGATGTACCAGCTGGCGCGCGAGATCTTCAAGAACCCCGAGGACAAGACCAAGGTCACGCTGGTGTTCGGCAACGTCAAGGAGGAGGACATCCTGCTGAAGAAGGAGTTCGAGGAGCTGGAGAACACCTACCCGCGCCGCTTCCGGGCCTTCTACGTGCTGGACAACCCGCCCAAGGAGTGGACCGGCGGCAAGGGCTACATCAGCAAGGAGCTGCTGAAGACGGTGCTGCCGGAGCCCAAGGAGGAGAACATCAAGCTGTTTGTGTGCGGTCCTCCGGGCATGTACAAGGCCATCAGCGGGCCCAAGGTCAGCCCCAAGGACCAGGGCGAGCTGAGCGGTATCTTGCAGGAGCTGGGCTACAACAAGGACCAGGTGTACAAATTTTAGGTACTTTTAGAGTAATACTGTGAGATAGATTTGATTTATATCATCACTTTGTAGTGGTGAGTTTTCCACAGATTTATATCATGATCCCATGCTGTAATGAACCGTCTATCTAATGCCATACCATCCGAACTAAATTGCAACCTGCACAAAAAAAAAGAACAAATCTATCGACAAGGACCGAATATACAGGCCAGACGCCTTGCCGCACCGACATTTCCTTCGTAGACACAACGCGGGGTATCCAATCATCCAATCTCATCCATCTAATCAATCAATCCCAGAAGATACAAATCAAAAGAACAGAATAAAAAGAACCCAAGGAGAAAAGGTAAAGGAAAAAAAAAAAAAAAAAAAAAAAACAAGAAAGAAAGATCAATCATCCTTCGCCTCCAAACAAGCATCCACCATCGAATCAATAGCAGCCGCCCTCTCGGCAGCCGTCACAAAGCCCCCCTCAACCATCTGCGCCAGCGCATCGCCGACCCAATTCTGACAATTCCACTCGAGGTCCGCGCGACCGTTCTTGACCGGCGTGGCGGAGACAGCCTTCTTGATGGCGGGGCCAGCGACAGAGCGAGGAATGTCGGCGACGGGGATCATGCGGACGAGTTCGCCGCCTTCGCTGGGGTCCTGGTCGACGCCTTCTTCGAACTCGAAGAGGCCTTGGGTGCCGACGACATGCATCGTGCGGGAGGAGCCCTGCGCGAAGACGAAGTGCAGGGCTGTGTGGCGGTATTCGGTGTAGTCGAGGGGGGTGCCTTCGTAGACGAGGATGTAGGCCTTTGTAGTCATTTTCTTTTCTTGATTTCTTCTTGTTTACTTCGAGTGGTTTGTCACTGTTTCAAAGAGAGGAGAGAGATAGAAGATATAGATAGGTATATCGTAGAAATAAGATAAGGATAGTCGACTAAGCCCTACCTATACCTATATAGACACAGCGCGCGATCGACCCCAAAGATCGATTCTCGACAGGTCGATAGTAGGATAGGATGATGTCAACGGTGCGGTGCGGTGGCTGTTAAGATCGACCACGAATCCGACATGGCAGTTTGTCTTCTGCCTCGCTGTGTCTGTGTGGATCGTGGGAGAATGGTGTTGATTCTTTCCATATACTGTTCAAATAGTAAACGTTTCAGACCCACAGACTAGAGGAAGACGCGAGGATGTAAAGTGGAAGAAGGTGTGCTGTGCAGAATCATAATTTAGGTCCCCCGCTTTCTCCCCGTCGGAGCAACTTGCTTGCGCCTCACTAGATGGCCTTGGCCGTGATGGAACCAGGGAACCGGATGATCAATTAATTTGTATAATATATTGTATTCGAGTCTATTACTTTATTTAAGTATTCTATTGAACTTACAGGGTAGATTTGACTATTGAAACGTCTTGGATTGTTTACTGGTTGTGGGTATTTAAATAGATCATTAGGCTTGTCAATGCGACCGTGCAACCGCCATGGAGCTCTCTCGCCTCCCGGTGGTGGGGTTATGGGCGGCTGCAGAATTGTCACTGTTTTGTAGTTTCACCTTATTGTATTTCTACAATTAAAAGTAATATGTTTTCAATATATTATTTGTATCGAAAATAAACTGATAGAATTCATAAAATAAAGAAAGTAAAAAAGAAGCAAGTACTCATAATAATAATAAATTGATAGATCATTTTCATCCCAACAACCGTTGCTGTGCGTTTTCCCGGGAGGTGTCACATCGTGGCCGTCGCTGCAGTGCCAGTTTAGCGCCGGGGGGTCCAACCTTGTAGGGGTTTGATTAGGGGAGGATCTAAGGAAACGTTAAGGACTCTTCCCCCCCTAGCCCAAAACAGTACCCGCAGCGATTGACGCACCCCGACACCGCCGCTATTTAGTAGGGGCCACCGCCCTCTAACACCCGCGACTCCCCCCTCCCCGCCGGACGAAAATTCTTTTTCTCTTTCTCTCTCTCTCCCTCTTCCCCCTCCCCACAACCCGCTGTATTTTACTACCTTTCCCGTCGTTATTACCATTCATTCGATCAACTCACACTTCATACATCCTCGCGTCATGTCGCATCAAGAGGATAGCAAGGCGAACGATGCCGTCATCTCGGTCAATGTCAACGACTTTACCAAGACTCGCGACAATGTAAGTACGGTTCATTTCGTTTGTGTTTTTGGGGAGGGGAGGGAGCTCTTGTTTACCTCCCATTTGCCGCCCGCGCCCGAGGGTGCTGGTCGCGCCACCGCGACACCACTCCCCCAACCTTCCCTCCCAAATCCTGTACGGGGCATAAACAATAGGATTCACTGTCTTTGTCAATGCATGATCGCGTGTCTGCATTGCCAAGGATACTGCCTGGATTATGACCTTCCTCCAATTCGCGTGACGGATTGATTTCCCTGGTGTCTGTCGTTCCGTCGCATACCCGCGCCCTCGCGCCCTCCACCATGACTGGGTCGCCATCGGCGCAATCCCCGTAGCATGGTGAGGAGTGAGTCGCGTGTACCGCCGATATCACCACCTCCCCCCATACCACCATGTCTCTACCCGCCCTTGCGCAACCGTTCCAACATTTAACTGACCCCCCTTAGGTGATCACCAGCCTCGTGAACCTGTCGCGGGCCGTCACAGAGCTCCAGGCCGCTTACATCAACCACACCAATTCCGTCCTGAACCGGGACGCGCCCCAGTTCGATCTGGGCACCTTCAACCTCAGTCTCCACGACTCCGGTCTGCTGGGCGCCTTGGGTCTCCCGCGTGCCTCGTCCGAGGGTCCCGGTGACAAGAAGAAGCGCAAGCGCGCTCCCCCCGACCCGAACGCCCCCAAGCGCACCCTGACCCCGTTCTTCCTGTACATGCACAACAACCGCGCCAAGATCGCCCAGGAGCTGGGCCCGTCTGCTCGACCCAAGGAGGTGTCGGACGAGGGCGCTCGCCGCTGGGCGACCATGCCCGCGTCGGAGAAAGTGGTAAGTCTTCCCTCGATTAGTTGCACGTGTGATCAAATCACTAACGTTCAGTGCAGCTGTACAAGAACATCTACGCCGACAATCTGGCGGCCTACAAGGAGAAGGTCAAGGCCTACAAGGCCGGAAAGTCGTTTGCCGACGAGAATGCGCAGGCCGCCAACCAGCTGCAGCAGGATGTCGAGGGCGCCACGCCCTCGGACGACGAGGCCTCGTCGTCCGAGGAGGAGGAGGAGGAGTCTCCTGAACCGGTCAAGGAGCCCACTCCCCCCCGCAGCGGCAAGCGTCGCCGCAGCGAGGCCGCCAAGCCCGCTGCGGCCACCCCCAAGGAGGCCTCCACCCCCGCCAACAAGAGGGCCTCTCCCGAGAAGAAGAGACGGGGACCGGCCGCCAAGAAGGATGAGGAACCGGCTTCGACGCGGAAGACTCCGGCCACTGAGAACAAGCGGGCTACTAAGAAGAAGCGCAAGAGCGAGGCGGGTGAGAACTAAGAATGTTTTTTTTTTTTTTTTCTATTAATCTCTTGTCGGATAGTCTGGGGATTCTGAGAGTCGTGAATCTATTTTCATTCTTTTCCCATTTTCTTTTTTCTCATGTTTCGTCTGTTATCATTCATGCAAATGTGGCCATTGAATTTGTTTCTCGTTGGACGGCTTAGGATGTGTATTCTTTCATACTATTTCTGTCCATTCCTGATCCTAAAAACAATAGTGAGTAAATCGTAGTATGGAGGATGCATCCGGAAGAACGGGTCGCTTGGCACACGCAGCGACCAAATCGGATCCTTGGGGAGACTGAGGTGGATTCAGCGATGAATGATCTCACGAGTTGAATATTCCTTGGCTGGTCCAACCCAGGCAATCTAGACTAAACCACCACTGAGGTAGCCTGGATCTACGACTGACCATCGAACTAGTTCGCGTTGATTGATTCCGTTAGTCAACCATCTTATCGGCCTTATCTCTCTCGGCAATTGGAACCTCATGATGCAGCCATCCACTGCCTTCTTTCTCTTCTCTTCTTCTTTTTTTCTCCCCGCAATTCCAGTCCCTTTCAATGCATCGTTATTCCATCTGTTGGACTCACTGATTCTTATATAAATATTATATTCCTGTATCGCGGGGTGTCGTTGGAGGATGCATCTAATCCCCAAAGAGGTACGATCGTTCCCTTTCCGGTGCCATGATCGCAAACTGACGTGCTCTCTAGCTGGACAAGCTCACCATCTCCCACTTGGGATTCCTGGCGCAACGTCGTCTCGCTCGTGGTGTGCGACTCAATCATGCAGAGACTGTAGTATGTATTGTCCATGCTGCCATCATAGATCAAATCAACTGACGGCGTGTCTTAGGCTTTGATCGCCTCCAACTTGCAAGAGGTAATTGGGTCCTGTCCCCAAAATACAACAAAATATAACAAATTAAAATACAATAAATTGAAAGAATCAATCTGACCATCTAGCTTATCCGCGATGGTAACCATTCCGTGGCCGACCTCATGTCCATCGGCAAAACCATGCTCGGCCGTCGCCATGTCTTGCCCTCCGTCACGGCCACCCTCTCCGAAATACAGGTCGAAGGAACCTTTCCCACCGGAACCTACCTCGTCACCGTCCAGCACCCGGTCAGTAGCAATGAAGGCGATCTTGAAAAGGCCCTGTACGGGAGCTTCCTCCCCGTCCCCCGGCCGATGCCTTCCCCGACCCGGATCCAGACGACTACCACCCCGAGAATATACCCGGGGTCATTCTCCCCGGCAAACACGATCGCATCACGCTGAACGAGGGCCGTCGGCGAATCAAGCTCAAGGTCATGAGTAAGGGCGATCGGCCAATTCAGGTGGGTCATCGCGGGTTCCCCCACTCGGCGAACGGACGGAACCAGAGACTAACCGGCCAACGCTGGCAAGGTCGGATCGCACTACCACTTCATCGAGGTGAACCCTCAGCTGCATTTCGATCGTCTGCGCGCATATGGCTTCCGCTTGGATATTCCGGCGGGGACCTCCGTGCGGTTCGAGCCGGGTGACACCAAGACCGTCACTCTCGTCGAGATCGGTGGCCACCAGATCATCCGCGGCGGCAATCGTATCGCCTCCGGCAAGGTCGACATCAGTCGCGCCGAGGAGATCATGGAACGCCTGCAGGTCCAAGGATTCGCCCATGTCCCCGAGCCCACGGCGGATGCGGCCCTGGTGTCCGCGTACAGCATGGAGCGCGAAGCCTACGCGCGCATGTTCGGCCCACGACCGGTGACTTGGTGCGATTGGGCATGACCAATCTCTGGGTCCGGGTCGAGAAGGACCATACGAACTACGGCGACGAGTGCAGCTTTGGCGGCGGTAAGAGTCTTCGCGAAGGGATGGGCCAGGCGTCCGGTCGGTCCTATGCGGAGTGTCTGGACACCGTCATCACGAACGCGCTCATCATTGATTGGTCCGGCATCTACAAGGCGGATATCGGCGTTCGCGACGGTATCATCGTCGGCATCGGCAAGGCGGGCAACCCCGACGTGATGTCCGGCGTCGACCCCGGCATGGTGGTTGGGTCCTCGACGGACGTGATCGCGGGCGAGAACAAAATCGTGACTTACGGCGGCTTCGACACCCACATCCACTTCATCTGCCCGCAGCAGGCCGAAGAGGCGCTCGCCTCGGGGGTCACATCATTCCTCGGCGGCGGCACAGGGCCGTCGACCGGCTCCAACGCGACCACCTGCACCCCGGGGCCCGTCCACATGCGCCAGATGATCCAAGCCTGCGACAGCCTGCCGCTCAACATCGGCATCACCGGCAAAGGAAACGACTGCGGCGAGAAGAGCATCGAGGAGCAGATCGTCGCTGGCGCCGCGGGACTGAAGCTGCACGAGGATTGGGGCTCGACGCCAGCCGCGATCGACACCTGCCTAGAAGTCTGCGACAAGTTCGACGTGCAATGCATGATTCACACCGACACGCTCAACGAGTCCGGCTTCGTAGAGCAGACCATTGAGTCCTTCAAGAACCGCACCATCCACACCTACCACACAGAGGGCGCCGGCGGCGGCCACGCCCCGGACATCATCTCCGTCGTCGAGCACCCGAACGTGCTCCCCAGCAGCACGAACCCCACCCGCCCGTTCACCATGAACACCCTCGACGAGCACCTCGACATGCTAATGGTCTGCCACCACCTATCGAAAAACATCGCCGAGGACGTCGCCTTCGCCGAGAGCCGCATCCGTGCGGAAACCATCGCGGCCGAAGACGTGCTGCACGACCTCGGCGCAATCAGCATGATGTCCTCGGACTCGCAGGCCATGGGCCGCTGTGGCGAGGTCATCCTGCGCACGTGGAACACCGCACACAAGAACAAGGAGCAGCGCGGTCCGCTCAAGGAAGACGAGGGCACGGGCGCGGACAACTTCCGCGTCAAGCGGTATATCAGCAAGTACACAATCAACCCGGCCATCGCGCAGGGCATGTCCCATTTGATTGGGAGTGTTGAAGTCGGCAAGTTGGCGGATTTGGTACTTTGGTATCCTAATTCTTTTGGAACCAAGCCGTTCCAAGTGTTAAAGAGTGGAATGGTTGCTGCTTCTCATATGGTATTTTCTCTCCTCTCCTCTCCTCTACACTAGGACTATTATCACTAACAAGAACCAAAGGGCGACCCCAACGGCTCCATCCCCACCGTTCAGCCAGTAATCATGCGACCCCAATTCGCCGTAAGTTTCATACACCTACCTACCTAACCAACAAACAAACAACCCCCCCCACCCCCAAAAAAGTCCACCCAAAACTAATAAAAGAATAGACCCTCCTTCCCTCAACCTCAGTAATGTGGGTCTCCCAAGCCTCCATCGACAGCGGCACGGTGCAAAAATACAACATCAAGAAGCGCATCGAAGCGGTCAAGAACTGCCGCTCGGTCGGCAAAGCAGACATGAAGCACAACGACGCGATGCCCAAGATGAAGGTCGATCCGGAGAGTTATACCGTGGAGGCGGATGGGATGTTGTGCGATGCGCAGCCGGCGACGGTGTTGCCGTTGACGCAGGATTATTTTGTCTATTAACTTCTCTTTCTCTTTGTTTTTTGGCATGTTTTGTGTTGTTTTGAGGTAGAGATGGATACTTATACGTGTTGTATAGGATGTTGGGCTGTTGTTTGAGTGGACTGTGAGGAGGAGAAGGACATGTGTGTGTTGAGTAAATTGGTTGGTTAGTCGGTCACGCTTTTGATACCCTTCTCTCGGTATTCATTGCTGGGTTTATATATTTCTTTTATTCAATTATTTCATTTGTTCTATATACAGGTTATAGTTAAACCTACTTGGCTATTTTACAACTCAACCTCCTCCACACAGTGATTATCGCCCGCAGAAACGAGTCCCACGTCCGCCCACGCATCGTAGCTATCTGCTTGTGCGGCGAGGTATGCCTCCCGCTGACGGGGGTTTATTTCCGTTTCGTGGTGATTATCATGGTTGGGTTCGAGGTCGAGGTCGTCGATGGGCCATTCGGGGTTTTCGTCGTTGAGGTAATGCTTCTGTTGCTGCTGGTCTTGGGATGGTGAAGCGGAGGTGGTGATGGAGGGTGTTCGTGGGGGAGGGCTTGAGGGGTTGACGTTAGAGATAGGGTTGAGGTTGAGATCGGTGGTGTCGTCGCGTACTGGAAAAGAACCGTTTGCTGGAACGACGATATTTTGGGATTGGTTCTGATTCTGTGATATTGTGGTGGTGTCGTTGCTTGTCCAGGAAGATGGGAGAGATTCGAGTTCAAAGTGGGTCTTTTGTGCTGTGGGCAAGTTGTTATCGTTATTGTTGTTATTGTTTTGGAGGAAACGCCGTGCGAGACGGATTTCATCGTGTTTTGCGCTTCTTGTTTCCTTGCTGGAGGTGGGGAATGCGAGGGTGTTGGGTACGGCTGGTTGCGCTGGTGATGGTGGTGTTGGGGTTGGAGGTGTGTTATGCTGCTGGGAGGTGGGCAGTTGTTCTTGGTGCTGGATAGAGGATATCAGTAGAGATTCCACATGGAGATAATGTGTGAATTTGAAGATTTGGGGGAAATGTAAGATTGGTCGCGTATAAGGGCAGTAGCGCATTAGGGTTCAAGTCCAGGGCATGATTTGGAACCTGGCATGGTTATTGGCTTCGATGGAGAAAAGTTATCGAACTTACAAACGTTGTCATCCCATTGCTCGATGATCGACGCCGCTTTCGTTGGCCACTGTTGGCTATGTCTCGCATGTAGTTGTCGTGGGAAAATTTTGTCCCCGTGCACAAATGTCCAAACAGTCTCACCATCGAGACATCTTCATTCCAAGTTCCCGGGTCGACTGTGCATGGAAACACCTCTTTTGGATGGAATGCAGCGACCAGTTCGCAGAGTTCGGCGTAGGACGAGTGGCGGGAATACGGAAAGTGCTGGATTGTCTGGATTAGATCGCGATCCAATTGCTGGCTGGTAATACGTACAATAATCTTGGGCAGCGGGTCCGATGACCTAGCATCCCTGGAATCCCACCGACCCCCGTCCGTAGAACCCCGACTGAGGACGTTGACGAGGTTCTCGAGAGGTATGTCGTGTTCGTCTTTGATTCCATAAATGTCGAGTGAGAGCGTTCGGCTCTTCGACCAGAAGGCCTGCGCGAGCGTCTTCCTTACTTGCTCCAACGCATGGGGGTCGTGGGTGCGCTCGAGACACAGCTGGTCCAGCTGGTCCAGGGCTGACTGGTCTGGGAGCTCAAGGTCGTGGGTCTGGTACAAGTCACCACCTCCACCGCCAGCGCCGACCTCGGGGAGTTGGGACCCGTCTTTGGTTCGGTTGACGATTGGAGTTATGAAGACCGTGTTTTCGGAAGATAGCACCGGACAATTCAGGCCTGGTTCACAGCTATGGACGTGGGAATTTTCGTCGTCGCTGAGGCAGCCTGTAACCACTCTGTTGCCGAGTGCAAACCCGCAGAGCGAAGCTGCTATGCCATCGCTTTTCCCGGGGGACTTCAGAGCCTTGTAGATGCCCATTTGGTATCGATCCACATGGATCTAAGCACATTAGAATATGAACACGTCAGGATGAAACCCCTTGCAGTGCAACTGCTTACCTTGGAATTGAGGGCCGCTGAGAGGGCCGTCCAGACTTCTTCGTAGCCGAAGGTCCACGCTCGAAAGTAGAAGACCGTGTTCGCTGGGTAGGACGTGACCTTTTGCAAAAGCTCCGCTAGTCCCTCAGCTTTTGACGGAAAGAACCGGTAGATATGAGACTGGCGTGCAAACGTATTATCGATGTATATGTTGTCGAGGCTCTTTCTCCCCAGCGTGTACGGGATGAGGACCGGGTGTCGGACAAGGCTGTTAACCCACCAGGTCTCAGCTGTTTATGGTTAGTGCAAGTGACAGCATGCGCAACAGATGAAATACCGCGGATGTCTCCTGTATATAAGATTGCTTTTCCGTCGCCTTCGATCAAAAACATCACTGCCCCAGTACAGTGGTTTGCATCTAAAAGCGTGACCCGGATCGAGACCCGGGGTGTTAGCTCGATTTCCGTTGGGGTATCCAAAGGGATCGGTCTCTATAAATTATAAGTATAACGGGGATCTAAATAGGTTGAAATGACCAAGTGGAATACCAGAAGCTTGGATAGGTGTCTATAGTGTAGTCGTCGTGCCTCCAGGATTCCTTTACTGAAATTCATCCGATGGGGATATTTCTCAATGCGTAGAAGCAACTGCATAGTCAGCATGGCATCTCTAACAGACATCTCGGAGGAAATACATCTCTAGTCGCCGCCGAACAATAGATGAACGGGGACCGGAAAGACTCCAGCCCTTGAAGGTGGTCACTGTGGACATGGCTGAGAAAGCATGCCAGAGGCGGCCTATCTTGATTTTTTCGGAAGTAATCGACTAGGTAAATCAGCATCAATCCGACGATATCAATGTAATTGAACATACTTTGGATTCCGGGGAATTCTATCAATATGATTAGCTGTCGTTGGCTAGCTCGTAGATGACAGCCATCAGATGACATACCTTTTACAACCCCATCAAAGGTCGACATCACGTAGTCTGATCTCTCGACACAATGACGGGGGAATGAGCGACGTGGGTGGTCATATTCAGGTGCTTACTGGATGATTGGAAGATGTATCGCCAGTATGGAAGATTCAAGTCTTCATTTCGCTCTGGTTCCTGAGGTGTCCAGGCTGCGATGCTCATGACTGCGGATGCCACACGTGACCGTCCCCATATCGAGAGTTTGGACGACTTCAAGGTTGATTCCACCGCACCTCACCAACTCATCACAGCTGAATCGACCATGCCACTACTAGGTAATGTAATTCCTCATTTTACTGGTCAATCGTCTATCGGTTCATATAGAAATGATAGACCACAAATAATCCCTACCATCACTATACAAGAAGGAGACCCCACCATCCTCTGTACTGCAGAGCAAAATCCCCAAGGACATCTCTGTTCTCGCTAGTCGGATGTTTCCCTTTTCCAAGTACCTTACAATTTGGCTACCGCCTACATAGGATCCGGCATGAAACCACGACAGAGACGGCGACCAAGTGGCCTTGCAGATGGGTCTAGCCAGGGTGAGGCGGAGAGTGGATAGGAAGCAGACCCGCCCGCCAACGCAGTGCTGTCGATTGATGGAACAAGAATCAAAGAAGAAAAGAAAAAAGACCGATTAGTTTACTGGGCCTTTTTGGGATGAATTGGGTTGACTAACTCCGAACCCAGCCCACCTACATACGTATCAATTCATTTTCCCCGTGGATTTAGGTAACTAAATACCGGTGAAAACGGGCCCATGGGCTGGAAAGCGTGCTCTTTCCTATGCGCTGGTCATTTGCATGCGTTGGCCGTGTCAGCCGATGGTTTCTACCCTTTTCGACTTGTCGACAATACAGAGATATACATATATATAAGATCCACCAGGCGAGGAGTACGGGATACTTTTCGTGTCGTCTGTTTCTCCTCTTCACCTTTTATCTATCGAGCCCTCCTACATACCTAGGGCCGTTCCCTTTTTTCCTGTTTTCTTACCGACCAGAATGGACAGGATCTTCTCTTGTTCGATCTAGTTGGCCAAGGCTTTCTGGTGGTGTGTCACATCATCAACCCTCCAGGGGTTAAAAGATCCTTTCATTTGAAATCCACCCCCCTCCTCTCCGAGGAAAGAAAGGATCGTGGGGTTGTTTGTTATCGACTGTCGACCATCACAAAGCATTATCATAAGCATCGTTACCGCCACCGTCATCATATAACTACTGCATCTTCTGCCGTTCCTCGTACACCTCAACTCCGTGGGGTCCTTCTTACGCCCACGCCTACACCAACACAACACCTATACAACAACCACCTACTGCGTGATTCCCCTTTGAGCTGAAACTTTGGTGAGATCGGGCATTCCAGATCCATCATCGTTACCATCTAGCCCGCCCCAACTCTGGCTTGTCTTTCATTTTTCTTCCCTATTAATACTGACGGGCGATCCTTGACCTTTTCCGCCCTTCCGCAAACAGTTAATTGGATTCCTTCCCCTTCCAATTCGTTTCTGGCGCATCTCCCCTGATACTAGAATTCCTGCCAGGAAAAAAAAAAGGTTATATAATCTCTGCGCGCTTTTGGTCTACTTTTGTTGTTTCATTTTTCTCTCTTTCATTTGTATTTCCCCCCATAACATTTCTCTCCCTTGGGGTTTTCCTTTTGTTCCCCTTCGCCCTCATATCTTGCTCACTTGTTTTGATTGTTCTTTGTCTTCCGGGTATACTTCTACCTCCTACCCACCCCACAAGCTAGTTCTCGATCTGCCATCGCCATGCACAAACCCTCGCTGGCTCAAATTGTGCACAGCGCAACATTCCCTCGCCCACGCACGGGAGACCCGGCGACTTTCTCCGCGCATATTACTCGTAATCTCGTCCCCGAAGTTCGTATCGAAACCTCGACCTTCTATGGATCGCTAGACTCCGTCGAAGCCCAGTACCCCGGTCTGGACTACTCTTACCGGCCCCACCGCATGCGACTCAGCCGGTTTCCATGGCACCGACGGCTCTTCCGCGTTTTCGATGATCTCGGGCTCACCGAGGCTGAGATTTCGTCGCTATGTCGCTGGGAAGGGACTAAGTCGGCGCGCCAGCGATACGAGAAAGAAGAGGGAGTAAAAGTACGAGATACTACAGCAGATGGTGTCCGACCGGCCTCGCCCTCGCCCCTTCCATCCATCTATGTCCACCTCGACGGGGGTGTGGAACACAACCAAGAATCGACCTCCGTCCCCGAAGAGCAAGAAGACGCCCTCGCCACGTCCTCGACCGCACCCATTGACGACCGGGGGGTCGAGTGCGAGACACAAGAGAAGTCGGAGGAAGACTCCAGCGACGAGGAAATGGAGAGCTGTGGGGTCGAACTCAATCACCGGCTTCTCGCAGCGAGCGCCGCACGGGAACGCGGCGTCCACGTCCCGTTGGACGAAGACTGGGAACAGTGGTTGAAGGAAGCCCGGGAACGCGGAAGCTATCCAGACGTACTCAATGCGATTCGGATGGGCCAGCCGCTGAATTTCCTGTGGGACTTGTCCACCACCCCCATGCCCAATCTGGGTAGGACAAGCATTCGGCCATCTGCTTCTCTCTCATCCCTGTCTCGACCATTCCTACCGTCGGGGATCCTTTCCGCACGCAGTGCGATTCGTCGTCCTCCACATTCGTCGGGGGCAGCCCGGTAACTTGTCACATGGATCGGACCTGTGGTCTATGGTTGTCTACACTTCTCCAGATTGAGCGAACCATTCCGTGCCTCTCTCTTCTTCTTCCCCTATTTTTTCTTCATTTATTTTCTGGTTTCTCGACTTGGTTCTTTCCTGCATTGGTGGCGCTTTTGACGGTGGTCTTTCTTGCTATTCTGTCTCAAGCGTAATGATCTTTCTACGTGGTCTGAGGTGGCAGATCGAAGCTGGCAGTCCTTGACTTTCCAGTGCAAATCTGCTCAGACCAGTCCGTCTAATACCCCGTGGTCGACTGCATCTTATTTCAGCGCTGTCTAAACTTGCTTGATAACATGTGGTGTTTTTTTGCTTTTAGATTTGATCCGGTGTTGGGGAAACTTTGGTTGGCTCAACCCGGAAGATACTATTTTAGGATTCAACATGACTATTTTCCGGATTTGGTTCATTTAGCACTCATATATGATAGGAATAATAGAGATAGACACGGCGGGAATTTTCACTGATAAGCTCGTGTGGAAACATGAAACCACCGACGGGGATCGACGAGAAGTAAGAAACTAGAAAATACTAGTCTGGTTTAGCCCCAAGTCAAGGTTTGGTCACCGCCGGGTTCTCCACGCTCATCTTTGCTTTCCCCGCGACTTCTCCGATTTTTGGAACTCTCCAGCACCACGTTAACCTCATCTCATCCATCCCATGTACGGAGTAGCCCTGTATACACGGCATACAATGGACGCGTATACCCCATAATGCGTATCTTTTTGAAAAGATGCCTCCTTCGATTCTTCCCGGGCTTTCTCTCTTGATCACCATCGGTCCCCCGTCCAGATAACGCGCCCCTCGTTCACCATGATCAAAGCCATCTTCTATAGCAAATTTGATACCCAGGAAGGTAAGCTGACCATGGAACCTCCCACGACCATTGATCTAGGAAGATTCTAATCTTGTGATTATGGAACAGGCCCCAAGGTGGTGCACCAAGTCCCAAATGGCGCCATTGTTCCTTCGCCCACGGCCCCCGCGCAACCTCTTTTCCTCCCTTTCCCCGACATTTCTTTTTTCGTGATTCCGCGCCAGGAGCTCTGTGGGAATCTAATCCAGGTCTGTATCAATGGGTACCGAATTCTAGGATACCCGATCTGCATGAAGTCCACTCGCTATGACCGCAATGAGTTCATCTTCAACTTTTGTGTGGTGCTGCCGGAAGAGGAGGATTTCAATATATACAAGAGTGTGGTCCAGAAGCTGGCGGATATCATGCACGGGCTCGAAGAACAAAATCAGTTTCTGTCCAGGGACTATTCCAAGTCTGGGGAGGGAAAAGTGTACAGTTTGTGCGAGACCTTGATGGAGGACCTCAATAATTACTGCGAGTGCATGATCCCTATCGGTATGGGCGTTCCTTCAGGGTGGTGAAACGGTGACTGACAGATGGTACAGACGATCTGAACACGTTGAATATCAAACTCTTTCCCGTGTATCCGGCCCCTCCACCGGTCAAGTCCTGGCAAGTTCCACTGTTTACGGTGCGATATCAAGCCTTCATGGATGAGAATTGGGACTTAACCATGCAACGCGTATGCAACCCTTGCGATCAACTGTTACGCACCCGATGCTGTATGGTAGGAGCTAATAGAACGAAAAGGTCGTGCCTCACATCAACGGTGTCAACAGCGTTCGCATCATCTCCATCCTTTCGGACACGGATTTCTCCCTCACCTGTCGCGCTATCCGGCACCTTCTCTATTACGGCTGCCTCGTCCTCCTCGACATCTTCTCTTTCTCAGCCATCTACGCTCTCACGGCGCAGTTCAGCTCCACCTTCGCGTCCGACCAAGACATGCAAGAGGAATGCGCCCGTTACGTCACCACCGTCTTCGACTCCACGGTCGGAAACGCGTCCACCGCCGGTGGTGCCAGCGAGATAGCAAGCACCGCGAGCGGCAGTCACAGCCCAAGAAGTCCCAGTCTCACAAACATGGTAGCCTCGGTTCATTCGGCCTCCGCAAATGCCACACTACCAAGCACCATAGCAACCGGTACCGAAGACAGTCAAGCCCCAGAAAGAGACACGATCGACGGCGTCGGGTTGATCGAACTCTACGCGAGTCTCAAGCAAGGCCAGAGCGTCAAGCAATGGTACACCCTACACAGCCGCAAACTCGCCCACATCGACATCAGGCGGTTCATCACCTTTGGCATCATCAAGGGATTCCTGTACCGCGTCCACAAGTACGCCGTAGCGACGGGCTTACCCGCCCCGCCGATGAAATCCTTCGCACCCCACAACCACCATCACCCCCATTCTTCCCAGCCCCCCAGCGGCGCCTCCTCGCGCGGACCTGGAACCGGCACGAACACCCCATACGCCTCGAGTGTGGGCGAAGAATCCGCCCCGATAGCTTCTCTGGGGCCCACGCCGAACGGCAGCCGACCAGGAACAGTCGTCATCGATGACGATGACTTCATAGACGACAAGTCTCTGTCGAAATACCTCGACGGAATGCACTGCTTCGACCAGATCTGCACCGAGCTGGAAATCAGCGAGCGAGAGCTGACAACCAGATTAAAGAGATATGCGGGCGAAGTTCTGATCATCCACCGGTGACAGCAATCTAGCTCCAGGATCTCCCTTGATCTATCTACATACCTCATACATTACAATTTTGATACCCCAAAATGGACGAAACCTACAATCAATCTACCACCATACAGATAGGCATAATTGCTGTATCTAGATTTTCCAATTCTCATCGCTGTACCCGCTAGTAAAGAACGCCCCAGAACAGCGAGCATCGCCAACGCCTCCGTGTATTATCATAAGAACCTCATACCCCAATTCCATACGACGCCGGACCTCTTCCACTCTTCAAAGAACATCGTACTCGACGAGGCGCCAAGCTAAAATAAACAAAGGCTGGGAAAATGTACACCTGAAAGGGAAAACAATGAAAAGAAAAAGAAAAGAAACCAAGAAAGAAAGAAAAGAAGAAAGGAAGAGATGAGACAAGAAAGAAAAAAAAAATCACTCCTGCTCCTCATCCCATCCCTCCACCTCCGCCTTCTCATAGTCCGCCATAATCGCCGTGTCGAAGATCGTCTCATCCTGACGAGGAACAGACGTCTTACAATCCTTGAACACCGGACCGATACACTCCTGCCAGCGCTTGCGGCGATCGAGGAGGGTACGCGCCACGTCGCCGATAGCGGGGCGGCCGACGCCCGCAGCGCTGACAACGTGGCTGCCGCCACCGGCGCCTCCGGGGCGATGCTTCGCCTGGGCGCCCTTCTTGCTCTTGCCCAGGGTGCGGGTGCGCTTCAGGTAGGCCTGCTGGACCTGCGAGTCCAGGTCGTCGTGGATGGTCATGTACTCCTGGAAGGCCATGCGCTCGCGGGCGATCTCGAGGAGGCGGGCCTTGCGGGCGCTGTTGGCGATCATCTGCTTTTTGAGCTCGCTCTGGAGGAGGCGGAGTCGCTGTGCGATGTCGTCGTCGTAGTGGGCGTCGTAGTCCGGGTTGTCGTCTTGGCTGAGGAAGCCCACGTGGCGGAGTTCGGCCTTCAGGCGCTCGTCGAGCTGCGAGTGGTCGAGTTTGGCGGCGGGCACTTTGAATCCGCTGGGGGAGGCGTCGGGGAAGGAGGTCGCTGATGGTTGGGGTTTGGTCTCGGAGGAGGGGTCACCGCCGCCGCCGCCGCCGCCGCTGCCTCCGCCGATTTGGGCGTCGAGGTCCATGGAGTCGCCGCCGTTGAGGGATCCGTTGGGGGGGTCCCCGTTGACGGTGCCGTTGGTGTTGGTGCTGTCGTCTGACGCTGGGCGGTGCTCGTACCGGAGGAGCGAGTAGAGGCGGCTGACCAGCGGGCCCACGGATACTTTGTCGGTTTCGACAGTGTCGTCGGTCACTTGGTCGATGTTGCCGCGGCCCTGGTTTAGTGGCAGGCGTTCTTTGTCGCCGTTGGTTTGGTCGATGCTCATCATCCCGTCCTCCTCGGCCCAGATCTCGGTGTAGTGCTTCTTGCCGCGTCTGGGCATGATGAACGGGGTTGATCGATCGCCCTATATAGAGTTAGTCTTGCGAAAGCTTAACGCGTAGATCTAGATCCGGGGGTCGAACCTTCTCTTTCAGAAATGCAATATCCTCTTCCATCAAAGGGCGGACATATGGCTCAATATAGGCTAGAAAAGTGTTGGCAGAGACCTGATTCGTAGGTTTGGCATTGCTGAAGTCCCGGTCCGGCGGGATCCCAGCCATCAGGTGAATGAGGTCTGTCTTGGGGAAACGATTGACGCAGTAGATCTCCTTCTTCTGATCGTCGGTCATGTCCGGCGTGACGTCTCGGATCTCATAAACGGTCGGATCATCGAATTTGAGCGGGTTCGGGCCGAACACCTGGACCTGGGGCACGGCGGGGGCAGGCTCCGGCTGATGCGAGTCTGAGCTATCATCCGACCCTGGCGATTCAGCCGCCGCTGCACCGTCGGCCGCGTCAGCTTCGGGTTTCGGAGATCCTAGCGACGGAGGCGACAAGGAGGAGGTGTCTTCGGAGGCGGCCTTCTTCGACTTTTTGGATACTGGGGAAGTTACTGGATCCCGTCAAGTTAGCCGTACAATCCGGTGATATAGACAGGATTCGCAAATCATAGTCTGGACAAGCTTACCACTTTCTGGCTTCACCCCCACGCCATCTTGTCGCGCAAGCTCGTGCGCCCCATGATTCAACGGACGCTCCTCTCTCGAACTACTGCCCCGTTCTTTCCGCTTCTTCAGCTTGCCACCTTTGAGTGCCTTGGGGCTGTCCTCTTCCTCGTCGGCCTCCCGTTTCATCTTCGGACGTTCGCTTTCGAAAGGCTCCGGGTCTTCCACCACCTCTTTGCGTTTTTGGGATAGCTCCCGAATGCCGGCGTTGCAGGCATCACCGCGGGCCTCTGCCAGATCACCCAAGACCTTTAAATGTTCCACCAACGATTCGAGGGACTTGGAGTCAGGGATGGGTCCGACCCCGCCCATTCGCTCGAGAATCTCTGAATATTGTACGGTCGTAGGGATGATGAACTTGGATGCATCGTTATCGATGTAGGTTGAGGGAGGAGGAGGAGCGTTGGTCGGAGCGGTATTGAAGCTGGAGCTGGGGGTGGTGTTGCGGCTGCGCGGCGGTCGCACGTCGCGACCCTTGCCTTTGCCTTTGTGAGCAGAAGGCATGGTCAATATTGTCGGGGTCGCGACCAAATATGGAGGCTGCGATAGAAGTCAAGTATGCGATTATCAAGCTGAGCAGTGACGGGGCTCAACAGCCCATGATGTTGAGGGGTCTGGGACGTTCGGATCTGGACCGGAGACCAGGCGATGGATTGGAGTTCAGCTCGTGGAACTGAGCGAGACTTTGTCGCCAGATGGCGTAGGGTACTGGACGGGCAAGAGAGGTGACGCGGGGAGTTTGTTGACGTCGCGCAGCGCATCCCGTTCCAATCATCAAGAACGGCCGACGTCGTTACCCCGGACTATGCACGTGATGCGATCTAGATCACCTGATCTCACCTGATATCTAAGCAGCACGTGACTAGATCGCCCGATCGGGGCCTTGGGGCCTTACCCGATGCGGTGAGTAAGTATGAACCACTGCAGGGCGACTTCTTCACCTCCTTTCATCATCATCCCTCCTTCATCCCTTTGAGTGACACTGTTACAGATCAAACTCTTCATTCCAGACTCTAGGGTGGACCCCTGTTTTCCTTCTAGCCATGCTTCCATCACTTGTGCCACCACTACGTAGCACGCATATTGTACTACTGTACCCAAACAGCCCTCGGGAGTGGCGGCCACCTGCATAATGATTGATCACCAATCATCTTAAATGCAGGAATTCGTGGTTACTGCTGTTTCTTTATATAAATGCTTCATTCCATCCATGCTGGTCTGGATTGGGAACGTCTCATTCGGGTCCTTTAGATTTTCTACAGGTCCCAACTCATCCATGGTTCCCCTCGGCATATCCGCAAACGTCATTCCTGTCCCTCCCGCAAACAGCAACACCCTTCATGGGATCAACGAAGGGGTCTAGGACCGGCTGGATCCTACCGGCTACCCAAGCCTTTTCTTTTCCCTTGGATGATGGAATTCATTGAATGCAGCGTTATTCAGCTCGTCGAGTCCTTCTGTGCGGTCCATTGGCATTTTTCATCAAACTATCGAATTCTACTCTTGCATTCCTCACAAGCCGGCTGTCGCTATCGTACATCTTGCATATACACCGCCCCGATAAAAGCCATCATGTGCAGGCATTACATTTGAAACTTAAGCGACCAGCTTTCTGGTTCTCGAGGAGCAGTTGAAGTCGACATTCTGACTATGGGTATAGTTGTCCTTTCTTCCTTCTTTGTTTTCGCAAACCCCCGGTGCCTTGTGCTATTATGATACTGTCTTTTCCGTGGGCTGAGTTGAATGTAATTGATCACTTTATTCAATAAACTAATGGATTCCGCCCCAGCTGCCAGATCTCTCACAACCGCGGCCACGCTCTTTACGGGCCCGGGGGGGGCTAATAGCGCTACACCAGCCGTCAATGTAGGTTTTCTCTCTGGATTTAACTTCTTGAGGGCTGGAAAAGTCTCATGATCTGATAGGGCAGTGCAACCTTCCATGTGGTGCTAGATGGGACCGTACAGACTTTGTCCACAACGAACTCCCTAGACAAAGACCCGATCAAGGGACTACTGTTTGTTCCTGGTCTTGATGACAATGATCCGTGCAACAATCTTACCACCCCGTTCATACCCCCGAATGTCACCCGCCACCAGGATGTCCTGCCGTTCGAATATAACACCGTCGGCTTGGCGCCATGGATCTCTACCGAGTGCACACAATCGTTCCTCGATTCTTCACAGCGCATGGAGGTTGATGCGCTGGTGTTCTACATCCCGTCCCATGACAACGCCAAACCGCCAGGGCCAAAGGACTCGGCGTGGATGCTAGACGAGAATGAGGAATGGAAAAGCCAGAACAGTTACCCCGTCTACGCGATCCCTGGGCTCGCGGGTGCAACTTTGATGCACCAGCTGTCGATGTATTCGGGGGACACGATCCCTCCCGATTTTCAAAATGACAGTATGTCAGACAAGCCGGGGATTACCCGCCTAATCACTCTAATCAATCTAGGTGAGCACGATCAGCCCCTATTGTTCCACGTCCTGGCTAACATAAGTTCCCTCGACATAGAACATGGCGAGAGTAAAATGCCCAGTCTTTGGGGGTTTATCCTTGCGATCCTCGGTACCATTCTAGTGCTCAGTGTCATTCTCTTGATGTGCTACCAGCTTGTACAAAGCCGACGGCGGGAAAACCTACGGCGTCGGATCGAAGCAGGGGAAGCAGACTTGGAAGAGCTGGGGCTCCACCAAATCAAAGTCCCGCGCGAGATCATCGATACTATTCCGGTGTACATATATGCAGACCAGGGTACGTTGAGCGAGACAGAGCCACAGTCCAGGCACTCTGGATCGAATGACGGCTCGTCCATCCGGTCCGCCGAGACTTGTGAGCGGCGCATGGATCTCGATGAGAAGTGCGCCGAAGTCAAGATGGAGACGGCGACCTGGGAGAGGACGGGCGATGAAAGGGAGATGGATCAGGAAAGCAAGACAGAAAACGAGCAAACAGAAGCAGACGAGGAGGGTGAATCCCACGCCGACAAGCCCACTGTCCGCACGACCCATTCCAGCTGCCCAGCCAGCCCGCACGCGGGTCACCGCAGTCGCCTCAGCTACACACAAACCATGTGCGCAATATGCCTTGAGGAGTACGAATCGGGCATGTCGGTGGTTCGAGAGTTACCTTGCGGGCATATCTTCCACCCACAATGCATCGACACCGCTCTGACGCAGAGTAGCTGTCTCTGTCCGCTGTGCAAGAAGAGCGTTCTCCCAACCGACACCTATCCGGTGCCAGTGACCAACAGGACGGTGCACCGGGATTTCATGCTGCATCGGTCTCGGTGGTCGGCTCCATGAGATCCAGAGCATCGTTTGGCTTGCAGGAGTTGGATTGCGTGATACCCCTATGTAACTGATCAATGTAAGATACAAAGAATATGAAAAAGTTTGACATACCAGCTGTAGCCAAAACAAGATAAACTCTAATCATCCCAATATCATGAACCTTCCCAATGACCCAAAAAACAAAATTCAATAACAAGATAAGAGGGAAAAATCAAGCAAATTTATCATGCTTCCCCTTAACCTTAACATCCAGCAACTCCTCATGATAATTGCCCTCCCTCCGCGACCTCCTCAACCTCTTCACCTCGTCATCGTCCAACCGCCTCCCCACAGCCTCCTCCAACTCCTTCCGACTGACCTTCTCACGCGCCTTCACCTCCTTACTCAGCTTGATGCGCGGCTTGAAGCGCGCCTGCATACGGATCCGGATAGTCGTCTCAAACGACAGCGCCGTCGCATCACCGCGGATGTCAACGGTCGTCCCGGACGCCGTCTTCGCGGAGGGGGCCTCCCGCGCACAGACAAAAGTATCGTCGGTGATGCCGTCGCCCGCCGAAGAAGTCTGCAAGGCGAAGGCGCCGCCGATTTCAGGCGAGGGGATGACGAGGAAGGATTCCGGGAGCGCGATGGCGGAGGCTGTGGAGGAGAGAATACCGTGGGAGTCGCTGCTTAGGTATCTACACAGTATGTTATTAGCAATTGTTGTCTTTTCTCGTGCCATGGATTGAGTGCGTAAAGAGAATGGCATAGACACGGATACATACTTTCCATGGTGTCCCTTGAAACTGATCGCTTCAGTACCAGCTACCCTCGTCGCAACCCACACCTGGCGAACATCGTGGGGCTCCGCGGTGGCAGGATCACTTTCAACGAGGTTTTCGAGCGCGCTGGCAAAGACCTTGCCGTTGGCGTCGCAGGCGATGCAAGTCGGGGGGTCGGAGGGGAGGACGAGAAGGACGGGGCCTGCAAGGTCGGAGGCTGTGTCGGCGGAGACCCAGCTGGTGTCTTCGGCGGAGTTTTCGGCGTCTTCGGTTTGTGATTGCGGTGGTGGTGATGTTGCTGTGGAGGTTCTTTTGGTGGGGGGTGTGGTGGTGTAGGGGTCTGCGGGACGGTGTTTGCGTTTCTTGGGCTTGTCGCCTTTGAAGGTCAATGGTTTGACCATTTCTTCTTTTCTTTATTTGGTTCTGCTTTGTGTACTCTCGTGTCTGGGGATATTCGTGCTATTGAATGTATGGGAAGGAAGTTGGAGAGGATGATGGAGTGGAGGAAAGAAGATGAGGTCGGTGGATCGACGTCTTATCGATAGCTGGCAGGCTTGACCCGATCGGGTAGTCAGCTCTTAGGGCCGGCCTTAGGCTACATTGATAGTTGCATAGTCCAGTTTGCGTCTCTACGTCGCAGGAAACTTTTCTATTTCTTTCCTCCTATTCTCACACTGTCCGTTCTCTCCTATAAATGTATTTGGTCTCTTCCAACTCGAAATATTAGGACACCTTATCATGAGGTCGATCAGGCAGGCATTGGGGCGCCCAATCGCTGGTCCATCATATTCCCCCAAGAATCACCTGTCAAACCACTATATTACTAGGTACCTTACGGGAGAAGGGGGTGTTGTCGATTTGGTTAATCTACCGTGTATCTATCATGTTTTGACCATGTCACATCATATAAATTAGCTATACACGTGTTTCGAGAGATGATCATTCATGTCAATTTCATTAAAACATAGTATATCCTTTATATATCCACCACGGCAAGATATATATATAATGTGGAAATAAGCTAATATAATATAACCACCTCACTGAACTATGAAATAAGGTAAAAAAAAGTCCTAGTACCACAAATTGTATGTAAGATCTAGGCTACTTTCCATAGACTTGAGAGAACTTTGATATTCCCACTATGCCCACCAGGATTGACATGATCCATCATGTCAACAACCCCCAATTCTTCTGGATGGTATATATACCATTTCTTAGAATGAATTGGTACATACGACCATAGGGTGTGGAGAACAGGGCTTCCCGTCCGCTCAGCCGTACTTAAGCCACACGCCGGCCGGTTAGTAGTATGGTGGGTGACCACATGCGAATCCCGGCTGTTGTATGTTTTTCTTTCTTTCTTTCTTTTTTTTGTGTTAATTTGATAGGTAGAGTGTCTTGCCGTCCTGTACATGAATAAGATTTCCATAAGCCATCTCATCAGACTATAAATAATGCAAATATCAATAATAACCTATCTCACATAACAAATCTGTCGTTAGGTAGGCTTCTGGTGATGCCTTTAGCCCCAGGGGAATGAGACTAATGATTTACCTTATTTTTCTGCCATAGTGACCTAAGTAGGTATATTCAGTATCAAAAGACTATGTGGTTCACTTCAGAGTTCCCCTGTGTGTATATTCAACTGTCCTCTGTTTGTAGCAGCTTTTTCAAGAAAGTTCATGTGCCTGTCATAGAACAGTCACTACTTATTTTAAGGTTTTAGATCTGTGCTGGACCAGGCTTATAGACAGGAAAATTCACCAATATTATAGTAATTACTGTTCATACCTTTCTTCTGCCAATCATACACCATAAGTTCTGTTACTCACATAAAAGGCAGAGGGGGTTTGTCTTGTTCTGTTTATCATGAGCTTATTTATTGCCTAGTCAATGGTATACTCAGACCAAATCAGCTCTCTTTCTTACTCATTTTCTCCTTCATATCCTCTTCCTCTTCTAATGATTATATTGTCTAGTAGCTAAACCCCCACCGCCCTTCCCATGGGGTCTTCCAAACCCCACGACGCCTTTCGCATCGCGAAGACTCCCAAGCAACTCCAAAATTTCGCCAGAAACCTTGAAGTTGCCTTGGAAAGGGCCATCAAGAACAATGGACCTTACAACAAGGTTTCCGTTCTCGCTTTCCATTGGGCCAACGATGAAATGCAGGTGGTGACCTTGGAAAGTCAGCTCCTAGAAATATTCACTGAAGTGTACGGTTATGAAACCGAGTCCTTTACCATCCCAGTGGCACAGTCCACTCAATGCTTGGGCGACAAGCTTTTAGAGTGGAGCAAACTTCGTCGAGGACAGGGAACGCTTAGAATCTACGTCTATTCAGGCCATGCCTCCCACGCGGGAACAGTGGATCATCAGTGGTTTCTAGGGTATGTTCCTTCTCCGTTGACCAGGAAGTAAGTACTGTACACTAAAACTAGCAAAAATAGCGGCAGAGCAAATGCCCGCGGAGATTTAGTCGGGCCAAGAGTGGATTGGTTCGTGGTGAAACATCTGATTGAGTATTCGGAAGGGGACGCCTGCTACATATTCGACTGTTGTTCTGCGGGCTCGGCCGCCCTTTATGACGGGCCTGAAGTACTCTGTGCGTCCGGTTGGGGCCAAACGGCCGGCTCGAACCTGCCGTTCTCCTTTACCCAGGCCCTTATCGACACCCTCAAGGACCTTGCCGGAGAGACTAAGACGTTAGCCGAGATCTTCGCCATCATGTACCGGAACGCCTACCAGAGCCAAATGAGCGCCAGCCCGCTACACATCGCGCGCAGGGGCAATCCGAGCATCGCCCTTGCCCCTTTGACCTCGAGAAAGGGGGAAAGCGTGGAGCCTCGGATGACGAGATCCCAGGCAAGAGACCATGTCGACCACCGCGTTCTGATCAGTGTCCACTTGCAGGAAGACACTCCTGATCTTCAAAGCTGGAGTCGATGGCTGGCAACGAATCTTCCTCCAGTAGTTTTCGGCGTCGACGTGAAGATTGAGTCTGTATTTCGGGCTGGAAGTACCTTGGTCTTGGTCACCCTGCCCTTAGAGATCTGGACAATGCTAGATCCCCGCGACGAAGCCTTCACTTTTGTCGCACATGTTTTGTCCAACAACATCTTGCCTGTTTTAGAGGGTAGAGGTATGCCGATACGTCCTCCACCGGGGCCGACAAGCTCCGAAAACATGCCCCCAGGCCAACACTACCGTAAGTCTCTCGGATAGGGCAGTCCTATGATTATGCAATGTACACATTCGCGGTGAGCTGCTCTCGCTCGAAGGTGCCAGGAGCAGTCGACTTGTCTTTCTGTCCTTTGTTTTCTTGTTTTCTTGTTTTGTTCTCAGATAGCTGGTTGAGCTCTGCAAATCGTCCGAATGCTCAGTTCAGACTACAAAAGTCGTTCTCAAAACTACCTTAATAGTTAATAAAACTATAAATTGCAGTACTCGAGAACGCCCACTGTCAACGGACCACATACTGTAGTCTAATGCTAAGCAATTCATGTACGTTTTTCTGGAATACAAGTAGTTCGCTGTCACTGCAGACTTTTCAGCATAATTAGTTCTCCGCAATGGACTTCTGATAGCTTTTTGTCCAGCCACTAGATATTATCTCTGGCCCAGACTGCCAGTACAGCCTACTCAAGGAAGTCAAGATCTTAGTAAAAACTCATAGCTCTTGATAGAAGGAAAGATATCACAAGTCCTATCTCCTGGTTATATACATATAACCCTACAAATCCCTTGGTCGGTGTAGATGTTGAATCATAGCTATGATCTAGAAATCAAAAACGGTAAAAGAGAGAGATTGAATCTAAAGGCTAAGCAACACGGCTCATTCAACTGAGGTTGAATTCTTAAAAAAGAAATATAATAATTTATCAAAATAGCATGACACCTGCCAAATTCAACATGTCAATCATGATATCTAGTAATTATTAGACCGGATTCCAACCAGGAATATATTTACAAAAAATGTATGCATGTACTATGATGGGCGCCATCCATCAACAGATTTCCGTACACGGGTATCGATCCCGAGAAGCCATTCTGGTAGATTAACATATCCCATTTCCCAGTGGTAATCTAAGGGCCCTCAATGTCAGTATTCTCGACACCTACAAGCTAGTAATAGCAGTTGGTCAAAGTGACGTTCCTATGAACTCCATTGGAATCAAAAAGCCCCCGACACGCAGTAGGCTTCGTAAGGTTTGACCCGTCTTTACAACATCTTCCTCCCCCCAACGGAAAATCTCGGTTGGAATAAAAATATTGTACGATCCTGCATTGATCTCAGGCGAGGGTCAGCAACTACTAGATTCAATTGGCCCAGGCTCAGTACGCAAGTGGTCAACCAAATTTCTGGTCGCCAATGTCATACCTACCATTTGACGGCGCTTCCTTTGATAGGGCCTACGCCATCGAATCCCTGTTGCAAATGAGTGACAAGCGCACGGCCCTCACCCAGATTGCCCAAGTAGTTCGTTCAGGCAGCCGACTGGTCATCACGGAGCTATTCCTCAAGGGATCCGGTCGCCAGCTTAATCCGACGTCGTTGACAGACTACTACGAATAGTCTGTCCCCTGCGTTCAGCTGATGATATCAGTTAGGCCCCTCTATGGGGCTGGCCCACTTACTTTCCTACGCAGGATGCGGGAGGAGAGAAGAAAAGAGGCTTGTCCTTCTATTCAGCCAGCTCTGCCGGCTAATATAAGCTGATAATATCTGCCAGTCAGAGGAAGGGGCCATGGTGAACCATGGTGGCGCAACAATATCCGAGATCCCCTCTACCAGGCAGCCAATATAGTCTTGTAAAGGTAATATTCAAGTACATACGACCATAGGGTGTGGAGAACAGGGCTTCCCGTCCGCTCAGCCGTACTTAAGCCACACGCCGGCCGGTTAGTAGTATGGTGGGTGACCACATGCGAATCCCGGCTGTTGTATGTTTTTCCTTTTTGTATTTTTATATTCATATCGATCGGCTTGATATAGGATGCTATGCCCTTGACAGGCATTTGCACGCCAAGGTCATCCCAGGTGTTCTTGCATTGAGGATCAAATTTATGGCGCAGTGGCTGGGGAGATCCGAATCCATAGTGCTGAGGACTTCTTAGCACTACTGGGCAGTCTCCCCGTAGACCGCGTAGTGCCGAGCCAGCGGCGACGGCCATTATACTTGGAAGCTGTTAGTGCTTTCGTTTGTTGCGCCATTCAACAGAGGGGGGAGCTCACGGTTCCTGGCCAGTAGGGACTGTCACTGACAGCTTCCCTGGTATTTCAAAACATTGACGAAGTGCTTTCTGGACATAAGGTGAGCAGGCTAGTCCACCAACAAGAACAATTCTCTAGACAGCCGAAGTTAGTCGTTTCCAAAGCTTGCTCTGAGATACGTACCTACATTGATCACAGGAGAGCCATGGTTCTCATCTGCAGCCATGATCTGCGAGTTAATCAGGCTAATAATTTTAGAGATGACTGGGTTGTACAAATTTCGGGTGTCTTCTTCAGAAAGAATCATCCCCTTTGTTTTAGGATCAAAGTATGGCAAAGTGCAACCTCTCTGGCCTCTTCTTAGGTTGAGTGGTAACCTGAAAGTCTTCCGTCTCTCATCCTCGCCAAAGACCGTTTTAACATCTTCAAAGGCTCTCATGAATTTGCTCCCAGGTGCAATCAGATAGTTCAAGGATTTGAATGCACCCGGGAACCGCTTGTTAATAAGACCATAAAGTCGACTGTCAATAGCTGTGCCGCCGCATTTGCCTCCTGCAAGAAGTCAGCGACACGGACAAAAGTCTAGTTGAAAAGAATACCACTAGATTACAGAAGATGTCTAGACCTCTTCTGCGCTCTGTAAGTAATCTTTATACCATCTTATATGGCGACAAGACTAGATCTAGGAAACCCTCACATGCCTTGCACAGAAGTTATCCTTGAGAGACTGAACTGATCACAATCCGTGACCAAATAGGTTGCAATATCCTTGAGGTAAACAGTAAGCACCACTCTCTTTAACCAGCCTCCAGATCAAATGAAGACATACCACAGTTCCACCGCCACAGTCACAGATCAAAATCCCATCTCCAACCTTGAACTCAGACCGGTGTAGCTTGTAGACAGCCTCTGCGGCTGCTTCGGGCTCAGACATGAACGTTATTGTATCCTGTGGTCTCTTGTCACGCCAAGCCCGAGTCACTGCTTGTTTGCTCAATACCCGACTTTCCTGGGACCATGTAGCTGGAACGGTGAATTGAAGGTTGATAGGAATGTGGTCAAGTGACACATCAAAATCCTGCCTGATTATGCCCCATGCAAAGCTCAACACGTGCTTCAGGTAGTCTGTGATAGCATCCACAGGTGCTTTTCCACGTGCCAGATCGAAAATTCCTGAGGAGACCGCGGCCCTCAGGACCTCGTCATCAAATTCAGCCAGCTCCGTATTGTGATCCAGCAGAAGCTTAGTCCAGGAGCACGCGTTCATGTCAGGGTGGATTTCGAATCCCCAGCACGAAGAAGGCATGGAGAAAGATGGGTTGTTACAAGCATATGCGATTCGCGAGGGAACCTTTGCCTGATTTGCACCGGATAGCCACTGGGTAATGAATCCACAGCGAGTGGCACCCGTTTGGCCCTCAACTAGAATGACGCTGATACCTAAGTAGCTGGTCATTAGAAGAGGTCATTATTCCACGCCGTGTCTATTCAGAATCTTACCAGTGCCTGTGGTTCCATAGTCCACGCCAATAATGATTCTGTCTTGTGTGCTGCAAGGCATCGAGGAGAATTGAGAGGGTCCTCCCGAGGTGTCCATGGTGATGATGTTGTCTTCAGTTGTCTTCAGTTGTCATCATACATCTGATGATGTTGTTCTCCCGCATAGCAGCACGACGGATTAGCCCTTCTTAAATAATGGTCTACAAATGAAGTATAGAGCAAGATGTCAAGCATGGGGCATCTCAAGCCCACTTCATCCATTGTATACTGCTAGACAAGTGTTTCAAGGTGAAATTTACCTTGCTGTTAGAATGATGCTCTCAAACATCATTTCATTTTTCTTAGAGACCGCTATAGACATCCTTGGATTCTTGCTCTTTTCTTCACGGGCATTGCAGAGATCACAATAAAAAAGTGGCATTCTTGATTCCGAGAACTGTTTGCATGTCTGCATGTACCTCCATACTTTTACTTGCCAAGCCATCTTGTGTGAGGCTGTTCGAGCAAACATGGACGTTGCCTAGATTTGTTGCCAATGAGAAACCATACCGCGCAAACGACCTGTCTCGTGTGGGCCCCGATATAAGAAACAAGCAGCAGCTGTGTTTGTAATTAGTCCAAGACCCCTCTCAAGCTGGACTGGGAGTATCACGAGCTTGTCCTTAGGATGTACATGTAGCGCTCCGCCTTCCTACTCAAACCATTCTTTGTCTGGCAACCTTTGTAAAGACATGGGGCATGGGAAAATATGTGAGAGAGGACAGTATCCAGTGAAAGACAATAAAGAGCTGATAAGAATAGAAAGCAGCATAAAAGAGATGCATCTTTTCGGAGTGGCAATGCAACGTCCCATGGACAAAGAAGCGGATCGCAAACCAAGGTAGTTAGCCAAGCCCTTCCTCTAGGCCTTCCACCATCACTAGTTCAAATCCGACGTAAAAGACCGAGACAAAGAATCTGACTCAAAGAGAGCAAGACGAAACAAGCTGACAGGGCGCCAGCAAAACCCCTCCGCTGACTTCTAGTAGCAACACCACTTCTGTCTCAGTTTAATACATCAACTTCTACCATCAGTCCATGGAAGTTTCTTCATCCTGAGCAAAGACACGTTTTCACCAAGCTTTATCAAAATACCTTCTTTCCATCCTTTGAAAATTTCCCCAATCTTGCCCACCATGGCCACTGCTCAGTCAAAGGCGAAGGCAAAGACAAAGGCAATGAAGGCCACAATTACGGTAAGCCATTTAGTTCTAGCTCTCAAACTTGTGGTATCTGACGTGAAGTTCAGCAAGCCTCTCTATTGGAGGCTAGTCGAAAACGGCCAGCCTCAAGCACACCTCCGGCAGAAGCTCACTTTACCAGTCAGGCGAGGGCCAAGAAGACGAAAGGAGACCCAGACGAAGGCATTCAGGACTCCAAAGAGGAGCCCCCCTCTGCCAAACCAGTCAATATTACAGCCGAGGATCGGGAGAAGCACATCAAGGAGCTAGAGAAGCTGGTTGAGGACCTAAAGTCGACCGTCTCAGCAATGAGATTGGACAGATCGTACATGCATGGGACTTACAACAACTGGCCCCCAATCTCCATTGCGGAATGGCCAGAGAAGTTAGTTGGGCTATTGTCCACTTGCAACGATTGGAAATACGAGTTTGGCTTCCGTTCCTCCAAGGGCAAATACGAACACCTGTCTAAAGAGCAAAAGAAGCAACTCATTGCTAACATGGAGGGGTATGTCATCCAAGATGACTTTGACAAGATCGTCCCGCGGCTGCCCCCTAATGTACGCTGCAATATCCTGGCAATCTTTGCCGGGATAATCGTGGCCAAGGAGATTTTCAGTCTTTTCTTCACAAATCCGTTCTGGTACCTGGAATGGCCCGATAGTCGGAGCTCAAACGATGGCGAAGGGCCTGGTGTAGAGACGCCTTTTGGTGCGCAGCTCAACCACTTATACCAAATTTTCCTCGACAGTGAGCTACTCCCTAAGTGTGTGGTCTTTTGCCCAGTCCACCAAGCTTACAGAATCTTCTTTTTTAGCGGACGCACAGCTTGCTCGTCACTGGCGGGCCCAAACAACACGCCTTTCCAATGCGTCCAACCTTTTGCTGAGCCCCAATCCCGCCTTTGGACTTAAGAACCTGGCCCTCCGAGAGGCCAAGGTCAAGCAAGTTGCTGCCGCTAGACTGGCCGACAAGAGCTTTCAGTGCCTGCTCAAAGACAATGAGGACGAGGGTCGGATTCAAGATAGAGAGATATTTCTCAGCAGCCTTTACAAGAAGGGGGCTGAGTTAGCAGTGGCGATGGCCACATCACAACCGGACCTGGAATGGCGAACTCTAGAAGATTTCCCGCCCCTATTTCATTGTAGCTCAAAGGAGATTGAGGCAGCCCACATCCATGGGCTCAGGGAACGGGAGTCGAGACTTAATGGGCATCGAGTGCTCGCCGTTACTGAACCATCTTTCTGGCAAGTTGGAGGATGGAACCGAGATGGCAAGGATAAAATTATCTATAAAGGCAGTGTTCTTGTGGATGACCCCATAGGACTTCCCGAAGATGCTCTCTCGACGGATGAAGATGTGAGGGCGAAAAGGAAGCAGAGGCAGGCCAAACGGGCGGCCAAGAAAGCTGAGGAAGGCGACAAAGAGAAACCACCACCGAAAGGCAAGGCAAAGAAGGCGACCAAGAAGAGAACTTGAAAAGGAACCAAAGCCATGGTCATTTTGACTTGCTTAATCATTTGTTGTATCTGTTTTGTTGCTAGTATTGCTTCGTGAATTCTGTTATCGTTTTCCTGCTCTGGTTTTGTATTCGCGGATCCATGATATGACGACCACCGCCACTGGTTTTAGACTACGCCACCCTGCTTGACTACTTCAGCGGTTTTTGGAAATACCAATCAGATTAAGCCCTATACCAAACGCTGGTCAGTGTTTTGACGTAGCAGCTAAGAGGTTATAAGCTCTTCGTTCAGAGATCAGAAGGTTGATTCTCACCCCGAGCAAATTGAATTCCTGTAAAAAACCATTCACCCTAGCTAGAGAAGACTACTTTGAATGCCAGTATCCAAAGAAGTCAGTGTCAGTCAGATACTAGGTACCAAGAGCTAGTCTCAAGACCACTACGCCAAAAAGTTGACCAACGATTGGTATAGAGCTTAACCTGACTGACGTCCCAACAGCTAGTGTCAAGGTCCCAGAGCCAAGTACCAGAGCTTATCTTTTACTTTATGCTGCTTTCCCCTGTAACTAGGGTCATGGACTAATGCGTTGCGCAGTAGAAACCTTCAGAGGGCTCGTGCTGGGAGCCCGAATTGCCGCCCTCGACAGGCTTGAGAATGCTCTCCAGCCGTGGCTGACAAGTCTCACGTGCGGGTGCACGTACGTGTTGATCAAGTCTCTATCTTGGTTCTGGTAAGACAATGCATCCAAGAACCCCGTCGGCCACGCGATTGGTCTTGCCACTCAGAAGTTGTATAGCCTAGATCCTAAGATGGGGCTACTGTTGGTGAGCATCTTGATAACCATCTCTCGGCAAGCCTTCTTATATTTACTTTGCTGGCCGAGCTCATGTCAGAGAGCTTTCTCAAAGACGAAAGTTGGCGAGTTCTTCCGGTTAACCAAGTCTAGATAACGTGTTGGAGATACAACCACGCTCGGTAGTTTGGGTTGCCCGAGGGGTTATGTGGAAGGGGCAAGGTAGAGAATCTTTGAGATCTTGGATTTTAGCTATATTATAAAATGGAAGTCTTCAATGTCGACTCTAAACACCCCTTACTAGTAGATCAGTCTATGAGAAAAGGGTGAACACCAAGCATAGTATAAGCCTAAGAAGTATTTCGAACAAAAAACATGATATAATTCCCAAGTTGGCCTTTAAATGTCTTGCAAACAATCAAGGCAGCATTAGTCCCCCTGTTTAAACCATCATCGTAGGAGCCGTGTTCCACTCATGCACCAGCAACCCATATGCCCTGACAACCTGGAAGACCATGCATTTGGCGCTGAGCAGCAGGCCCCATACAGCCCCCGGTTCAGTCTGAGATCTAGCACTTTTTCTCAGCATCGTCATCAACAGATTCCTGCAAGCACCTATCCATCCCCCAGTCTGGAAGCCCAAGATCACAGCATGGCTGTCTAGTAATTGCCTTGACCGCAGTAATTATGGAGCTATCACCAGCTGGTCCCACAACCATATTAGTATCAAAGAGTAATTTGCCATCCTTCTCAAGACATCGGAAGTTATTCAGACTACCAGAACGAGTCTTAACCGATTTCTTAAAGTCATCGCATGAGGCACCTGCATATGCCCAACGCCAGCGGTCCATCCCGTCTTCTTTCCAGAGTTTGATGAAGTTGGCATGAGAGCCATCAAGAACTCCACCACCACGATTTTGCAAACGAACCAAAGTCTTTCAAAGATAACCGTCAACATGAAGTTCAATCTGGCTACTAATATTGCCACTACGCTGGCCGTCACCGTGACTGCTGCTCCTGCTAATGAGGCAGTGACTCTTACCACCCGGGGTAAGTCAAGATAGAATCTTCGCTGTTCTCAAGTCCAACTATACTAATCAGACTGCATTTAGCCAAGGTGGACCACATTGATGGTACTCATGCCAACTTTATCAAACTCTGGAAAGAAGATGGGATGAACCGCTGGCGTTGGCAATACGCTGGCAATTGTGACGATTACAAAAACGCTATTAAAACCAGTTCTGGTAGCATTAATAACTTCCGGTGTCTTGAAAAGGATGGTAAACAATTCTTTGACACTAATATGGTTGTGGGATTCGCTGGTGATAGAAGTATTATTCGGGGTATAAAGGAGCTTACTGAGCAAAGCTGTTGTGATCTGGGGCTTCCAGTCTGGGCGAGGGATACATGCTTGATAATGTTCAGAACTAGTGACGAGTGTGACATGACCAAGGACTAGACCTGCCGCTACACGGGGTAATTCTGGTGGACGGGCGGTGCCTGGGAGCGGGATTGATTTGGTGGGAGGGCGAATGATGTGATAATTCTATTTTGTATCTTCAGAATGAGAAGTGACTCGTCATGTTCTTGAGTGTCTCTGCACTTGTCTTGATAGTGATTAAAACCATGATTAGGTAGTTGTCACGGCTAGTAGTTAGCACAGAGCCATGACTATTGGTGTATTAAGGGCTTCCAGACTTAGCTGCAGTCTTGAACTCTATTTAGGTAACTGTCTCTGCAAGTTGCGCAAATGTCCCTTTTTTAATTCGTGCGGGCATAGAATATCCAAGTGACTAAGGAGCAGCTGCCCGGAACTAACTACCAATAACCCGGAGGAGGGGCCAGGTAGGGCGGCAAGCTACCTTGATGAACACGACCATACTTATGCTGTTATATATATGTAAATCTTCTTGATATTTGCTTCTTGTCATCGTTGGGTTGAGTGTCTTGTCTCATGCACTTGGCCTGTATGTTAATCCCTACCTTCAGACTGTTTCTGTCGTAACTGTTCAATCCAATCCATGCTACCTTAACGTTGGCAATCTCATTTAGCGGGGCAGCCTAAGCGCCAAGTCCGCAAGCCCTAACTCAGCGGCTGGATACCCTTGAAATTCCAGCGTCAACAACACAGATCGAATCATGTGTAGAATATGGAGCGTGTCTTTTGGATTGCAGTGAACTATGCGCTAAGTAGTGACTGGTAAGTGGTATCACTGCTGTCATGATGATAAATCACTTCGGGGTTGTAAATCTCTGCTACTATGACAAAGTAGTTCAGCGCTTACTGTTGAAGATACATCTATATAAATATCAGTACTGATCTATGGATTAAACCCCCCTCTATGTCACATATTGCCGCCATGTCTTCTTCCAAGTCCTACCCCACGCCTTTAGTTATCCATTCTCTCACAAACGACAAGCACACCCATACAATTATCCTTCTTCACGGCCGCGGCAGTAATGCTGAACGCTTTGGTTCAGTGTTCCTTGAATCCACAGATATCGCGCGGCGTCTCCCAACAGTCAAGTTTTAATTTTCCCCACCGCCAAGAAACGTCGCTCCACGGTACTTAAACGGACTCCGATACATCAGTGGTTCGATAACTACAGTCTCGAGGACCCAAATGTTCGATCCGAGCTACAGATTGACGGGCTAGAGGAAACTAGCCGGTTCCTGAGAACATTGATTGACGATGAAGCACGGTTGTTTAGGGAGTCCAATGACCCTACCGTTAGCGATGGCTATAGCCGCATTGTGATCGGTGGGTTGAGCCAAGGCTGTGCGGCGTCTGTGTTCTGTGTTCTGGGAGGGTCTCCAGGGCAGGACAGCGGGCAGCGCAGGCGACTTGGCGGGTTTGTGGGAATGAGTGGGTGGTTGCCTTTTGAAAGGGAGATTACGGGGCTGTTGGGGCTGGACGATGAGGATGAAGGGGAGAACGAAGATGACGACCCTTTCTCACGCAATGATGAGGAAGACGAGGACATCCCTGCACCTATTCAGGCGCTAAATCACGTCCGGGATATCCTCGATCTACCATCCTTACGACACGAAGGGGAAAGTGGGTTCGAAGGCGTGGTCCAAAAGGGAGACTCGGAATCTTGTGGACCTCCAAAGCCCCATTTACAAACGCCGGTATTTCTCGGCCATGGGTTTGCAGATCCCAAGGTGTCGGTTGACCTCGGGGAGCGAATGGCGTCTGTCTTATCTCATGGGTTTGGCATGGATGTGACGTGGAAGGCGTATGAGAATTTTGGACACTGGTATAAGATGCCCGATGAGATTGATGATGTGGTGGATTTCTTGAAGGAGAAGGCTGGGGTTCCATCTGTTGATTACCCCGGGGTTTGAAACAGCTTTCTGATGATATCCAAGATATACACCACCCAGATCATTTGTCTGGCTCAAGGCGGTCTAACAGACTACGCAGAGCAACCTACGCGGTGACTTGGGTCGTCTTTATGTCGAGAACTATCAATATTGAGAAGCATCAATTGACTCAGTCACACCACCGCCTTGCTTTTCAAGCGCTCAAACACTAAAAGGTTCCATGCCACGAAATTCCGATAGCTTATATTCGCCCTCGAATGACATACAGTCCATTCCGGTTATTTAGTTGGTGACGAACACACTGTACTCGCCAACCAGAACACCGTCGCCGTTCTTCCACGGCTTACAGATCTCACCTTTAAAATCTTTCCCGTCACATTTACCAGTACCTAATCAATCCAAAGTGATCAGTGAGAGACTCAACTAATGGGGGAATTGGTTGGATACTCACCCCGAGTACACTGCAGAGTAGCAGTGAATGCCACCTTACCATCCTGTCCTTTAGGAAGTGTCCACTCAATAGTAGTCGAGTCTGACTCCTCTTCGGTGAACGACTCAGAGATACTAGTGCCGAATCCAACGACATCCGCAAAGCTAATGCTCATGTCCGACCCATGAGTCCACGATTGCGAGCGGGTATGGGTGATTTGAATCGTGGTTCCACCGGTCGTAGAGGGGTAGACGAATTCTGACTGATCCGAAGGCTTGGTGTACGGGTCGTTTGGCATATCCGAGTCGGGCTCCCAATTCTTGCACTTGCCCTCGTCCTTGTCCTTGTCCCCGCGAGGTAGCAAGTCAACGGACTCAAGGACGCTTCTCTTGCCCGAGTCTGGGCCGGACCCCTTCATAATACCCTCTTGGGACGGCGGGATGATGGTTCCATTCGCGTACTTCAGGTAAACACCGCCACCGCCACCACCGCGGCCCTCGAGCGCTCGGCGGAACTTGGCAGACGGCCTGGAGCCCGGGAGGGCATCTCCACAGACGTCTCCACAGCAGTACTGGATCATAAAGGTGTTATGGATGGCGAGGTTGGTGCAGGTTTCGTGCTTAAAAGAACCCACAAGCTTGCCGCAGCCTGCCATGTCGGTGTCGGCCGGAGACTTGATCATCATGGTGCAGCCCGCATTAGGCTCCTCGACATTGATGAAGGGCTTCCAGGCGCTATTGAGGTATTGTTAAGTCAGCTGAAACAAGCCATGATGCGATGAGTAAAATCATCAGAGTGACATACCCGTGAGCAGCTGTCGGGAATCCGAGCTCCTCGGAGAAAATATCTTTACTGTCGTAGATGACGCAGTTGGGATAACCGGTGCCCGCGGTGGCGAGGGCCACCGGACAGCTATCTTCCTCGCAGCCTCCTTTGGTACAGAAGCTTATGGGCTTCTCCGATGCATGGACAGCTTGGAAATACAAGGCTGTTGCAACGGCGATTGGCAGAGTTTTGAACATGCCGACGGTTCGAGAGAAACGTGTGGAAGGGATATATGGATAAAAGAATGCTAAGCTTGGCTGATTGTTGAATGTGTACTGTGAGAGATGATTTTCTTGGGGGGTCTCATTGCCGGTATTTATATTTTGGATAGGGTACACATAGATCTTGATCCCTTCGTGCAATGCTATGCTTTCAGGGTGGCGAACCCATAGCTCGTTGCAGTCTGCCCTAGGCCTCCCACGAGATAGTAAAACCCATGAATAGCACCACCGGTGGCTGAACCTTCTCGTATTCAACGGAGACTAATCATGACGTGGATCTAACCTGGACTGGAGAAGAACGTGAGTACCAATGGTATACAAAAAATAAGCGCAGGATCCACCGGAAGCACAATATAAGGCTGAAAAGGGTGGAGATCGACATCCCGATACAGGAATCTTGAACTTTCGAAAGGTTTCTGGACGCAGTAGCTTTCGGCTCGTATTTTTTATTCCATGACTCAACAATATCCAGTGCTTGCTCTTCATCGTATAGCGGAATTGGTCGATGCTACCGCACCTCCGTTTAAATTTTGTTGTTGGCTCCATAATGACCAAGCAGGAAGCGAGAATATCTAACAAAGAGCACAATCCCTGTATCAATCACGATTCATTTACCTGGTTGATAGTATCAAGCAAGACTAAATGAGAAAAGTGCACTGGCCATCATGGTGGACATCTTGGCCCCATGAAGCTCAATTGGGGAAGTTGATCGACAAGCTCCAAATGTGGGGTAAACTACAGCCAAGCCAGCGATCTATTTACCCAAAAGAGCAACTAACTAGTCGCCAGGAAGAGGATCTACATAAGATCATGCTCTAATTTTATCCTATGACGAGCACCGATTTTACCAGGTTGGGAAAGGCGGGGCTTTGTGAAGAGAGGCTAAACAGGGGAGCTGAATGATAACGGTTAAATGTCGTATGTGGGGCGACTGCGCCCGCTCCTGCGATCACCTTAGCTTTCTTTGCAGGGAATAATCCAGCAATCAGGAAGATTCTCTGATGAGTTTATTGTCAGATCTGGTCTTGTGGAGAGTGTCAGGCTTGACTGCATTAGGAAAGCTGATGTATTCCAAACAGACTTGATCGGGAACGTTCAATGAAAACGCTCTATATATAGGATGAGCTGTCAACCCTATACGCTAACTTATCTTACAGATAAACCAAGGTAGTAGCTAAGAAGATGAGATGAGATCATCATCTGATGATCGACTGTGAATAGTGTCAGTTATTTCTAGTTCGGGAAGGGGGATCTGTACAATAAGGCTATTTATATCATGCAGGATCACTTCAAGGCGTTCCACGAGATATTGTCATTTTGTTACTTCTTCAGGTATAGTCGGGATGCATGGTGTAATCCATGCTCCGCTGAGAGCAGTGAGTTTCAAAGTCAAAGCGTCTTGAAACCAAGGCAGTATGCAAGATCTGGAAGATAAATAGGAGCTCCCTCCCCTTCAAGCTTCCTTAATCCAGCACATCCTCACTTGCACCACCTAGATAACTACTTCAACCACTATTACTTCCATCACCACACAATTCAACAATCCAACATGCGTCTCACCAGCATTGCACTCCTCTTCGCCGCTACGACAATGGCCAAGGAGCTCCCCGGCAGTCTCTGGGACTGGTAAGACTTCAAGACATCGCCCATGAATCATGATTATCCTCGCTAACACTTCAATTAGGGAGGTTTACGGCTTCAACCGTACTTGCCCAACAGACCTAGAGAGTAAGGAATTCTACGATCATCATAGTGACAATGTTGTCATGTTCGGCGACAAGGACGAGAGCAAAAACTGTGAGGCGTGGCTCCCCCCCGCTGACTGGGATTACGACAACCACTTGCTCGTGATGAGAGGGTTTGAGGGGAATGACATGGAGCTGGAGATTTACGGGCATGGGGGCTGTGAGAAGGACACACAGATTAATAAGATCTACACGGATGGTTGCACTGTTGTCCCTTCGGATGTGAGTTTGATCTATATTCTGATGTGCTTGCTTGGAGCAGGGGCTGACATTTTTCTTTTCAGACGCCTCTCGAGTGGTTTAGCGTTCGCAAGAGAACTTAGAGGGACTCGAAGAGCTCTTAGCGCGTTAATGGGGGGCTGTTTAATCAGTTTGAGGCTTTATAGCTATCCTATATACTTTGAGTCTTTCTACAGTTTTACAATCATAGTCAAGTATTCTGTTTTTTGCTGCTTTGACAACTGCTATAATGGGTCTGTAGAATCTTGCTCGACCCTATGCGGAGGACAAGAAGATACATACCACTTCTATCTCATGAAGACTGTATCCTCGGGCACCACAGCTTAAAGTCTAGCCCCGGTTGGAGATCCCTGCCATCTCCTCAACACTCCATAGAAAGTATGAGAGCCTAGAATGACCACATGGGTTGATAACGATCAGTCATACATACGTAGGTCGGTTGCGTGATCACATTAGCCCTCGGAATGCTTAGCGGCTTGACAGGAGAATGTTTGAGACGCAAAACATTTGATTTAATATACGAATGTGCTATGTATTAAATATAAGAGGAAGAATTAGTCGGGTATAGAACTTGACCCGTCTCGCCGAAATTTTTCCTTTAACAAAACCCGTCTAGGGTTTGATTCCTTCTGTGGTCTGCACGAGGAGTCAAAAATTGAAGCGTCTTATAAGCTCCCGGTCGTGATTGCTGATTGACATGAAAATCCAGGGGGTATAAAACTCAGAAGATATTGATTCTGGGAAGGGGCAACCGGACAGAGGCAGTGTCTACCGTCAGTGCCACACAGACCTCTGCACAGAGTACATGAACAAGATGAATAAAGGCGGACTTGCCAGTTCTATAGCCCCGAGCTCTGTGGCTTCAAACTTTTGTCCAGAATAGGTGGCAAAGGAGGATGAAATCGAATTTTGGTGGGGGGATGGTAAGCGTGGAGGACTTCAAAAGGCTGGTTGAGAAATGTACTGAACTGTGGCTCTTATGGTCAGGTGCTATGATAATGTCTTCTTCAACCTTTCTACCGCCGAAATCTGCAACATGCCAAAGTTCAACGCGCCCTTGAAGTATTTAATTGAGCAGCATATATAGGATATGGCCTGATAATTTGCGCGACTCCTGAACCACCTCTCCACCTTATTAAACTGATCATCATCTCAAGATCACATAGCTCAGTTAGGGATAGCTGTCACTCTATCAAACCAAATCATCTGTTTGAGCTCAGGCTCTAGGTGTAATCCCATTCTAACAGCCACATCGTTTTCGAGCACAAATTCGACCTTGACAGGCTCATCGACCCCTCCCAAATCATCGATGAGATGCGCTATATATTGAGTTTGATGGCAGACATGGTCCAGCGTGAATGTGGAGCCAAAAGACCTGTCCATTGAATTGATGAACAAAGAATCATCCACTGTTTCAACAGTCATCTTGCGGTATCCAGGATTCCAGTAGTCGCCGACGTAGGCAACGAGCGGTAGTTTCTGGGGCTCCGAGTCCCCAATACCAGGACAAGTACTTTGTCGCAGTTTTTCATAATCCTCGCTGCTGAATGGAGGATCCCCACGTTCGATTTCGTTCCAGTCGGGGCGTTCTGGCTTAGGTACGTTGAGGACTTCATCGATTAGCTCTCGAGCCACAACGGCCGCAACTACCCCTGCCCCTTCGGAGTTTCCAAGGATGACGGCGCCGAATTTGACGTCAGGGAGGAAGAAGTGTCGGCTGCCAAATCCTGGCACGGCACCGTCGTGGCCAACTACCATGTAACCTCTGTAGAAGAAGATTTCCCAGCCGGCGGCATATGTCACAGGAGAAGTCATCGGGGCCAATCCTTCAAAGTTGGGATTTTGGAAGGTCCGTGCCTTGATGAGGCCTTTGTAGACGCTGTCAGTGATGGGACTCTCTTGGTTCATGACCGCTTTGACCCATTTGATATAGTCGTTGACGCTCGTGATAATGGATCCGGCGCCTTGACCCTCGGGGCAGTCGGGGGTTTGGAAGCCGTGGTAGATGTTTTGTTCTTCTTTATACGAGTATCCGGTTGCAATGCGGTCGCTGAAGCCCTTGGCTCGGGCAAGCTTAGGCTGGAGCGATGTCGAGTGCATATTAAGAGGACCGAAGAAATATTTCTCGAGGAAGTCGGAGAAAGAGATACCGGTTTTGCTTTCGACTAAGTGCGTCGCGACGGTATACATCATGTTACAGTACATGTATTTTGATCGAATGGGAGCGCCTACAGCCAGATTGCGCAGGTTTCTTGTAACAGATCGTGCATTGTCGGGCTCACTCGCTCGCGGGCCCAGGTAGGAAAGGTCGTGTCTGAGTCTGTCAGCGGGGGTTCGTACCATTGTGGGCGGAAGTGTCCTTACGGAGCCATGCCGGTCCGGTGGCTAAGTATGTCTTCGACAGTAACGCCTTTGGTGTGCTGCTCCTCGGACATCACGAAGTCGTCTGGAAGTAGACTCGACATGGTGGCGTCGTACTGCACCTCGGGGTACTCATCGTTGTTGTCTACCAGCAGTCCGACGGACGCAGCGGTCATGGATTTGGAGGCGGACGCGATGTCAAATAAGGTGTCTGGTGTGCAGGGAGTCGACGGGGAGAGCGAAGCGTGTCCGTATGCAACAGACGTTATTGTGTCGTTTTGGACAATTGCAATTGCCAAGCCAGGGACATGATGCTCCTTCATCAGATCCTCCACGTGGGAGGGGAACCCTGCCGAACTGAGGTGATCCATTACCATTGATATTCTCACGATGTGAGATGAAAGATAAAGTGACTCCGCTCAGCTGTTATGACCATATGGCCATATATAAGATAGACTGTGATACCTTTATTTTTTCGCGTGGTATTTCTATTTCGGGTCCCCGCCAACGCCTCGAATCCTTGCTGCCTACGTGAGTCATAACCGTCTGACCGGCGGGTAAGCTGATGGAAGCTGAACTGCATACCCCAATGTATCTAGCTCAATGCTGCAAAGATGTACGACTCGGAGTTGCCTGGTAACATAGTAATCGTATTTCTAAAATGGTCTTGATTTAGCATCTGTTGCAAAGAATTTGCGATGGTATATCTGTTCGACTCCAGGTGCCTGGCCTTGAGTTTGAACAATAATCTGTAATCTATACTCAACCATCCCTACCCATATCCACATTCAGTGATTAACAAAAAATGCGGTGAATAGATATAATGATCCACTGCATGAAATCAAGCCTTATGGAAGTTGACGCGGATGGAGAGGGGTGGCGCAGTCATCGAACTGTAGTCTGAATCAGTTACTAGTGTCATGGTGAGTCTACCTATATTGAATATCAAGCATTGACAACTCCGAATCCAAGAAAACCGGGAAGGCTGGAAACTCTGAACGGGAGAACTTAGCTGACTCAATAGCATTTACTTTATACTATTCTGATCCCCTACTCTATAAAGTCTACTAAGGCAACGGCGAGTCATCTACTCACTGCGTATTGTCAATTCACGGAGCTGGACTCAGGTCACGAAAATGTCCAAATTATCTTACAATAGCACCCGCAGCACTGGATATCAAATCTAGTGGAAGGTGCCATGGTATCATTACATAGAAAGTCTATATTCTGCGAGTTTCGGGGGACAATAGCCCTGATATTGAGTCATGATGCAGTAACACTGAACAAGGCCGGTGCGCATTGTTGCAATCTATAGCACAAGTTAGTTACCATTGTCAACCGGGGAAATAGTCGACCCTATTGTCGGCGCAGTAGTGTTAACCGGCGAGGTCCCGGGACTCTGTTCCGCTCATGAAGCTTATAACCACCTACCAAGGTTTTGTCTCGCTTCTCTTCATTTCTCGTCCTATCCCATTCAAACGTCCCGTCTATAGCTACGCTAACATCTTGTTCCCTGACAACCCTGCCGTTGGTGATCAATTTGACTAGCGCGGCCTTTCGTCACAGGTTGCACAGCCTCTGGGCTTCCCTGACTGATCGGAGTATGGATCGGCGTCTTCTGAGCGATAATGTTGTATCCTCGGAGTTTCTCACCGATAACAATATTACTCTAATTCCCGATCCCTTCTACCTCAGCGGAGAACTTGAACAAGAACCCGCCCGTTCTTTTCCTCCTCCGCCCCCAAAACATCATCACCGAGCACCCCATCGATTTTGATGACGATTTTTTCACGCGTCCAACGGAGGCAGGTGTCCCTGAAGATGACCCCTCGCCTGCGACTCAGGTGAAGAAGATTTTGGATGACGAGGGGATCTTCTTTCATCGCGGAGTATCTCTCTCGCAATACATTGAGGATTGGGCAATGGACGGATACCTCCGTTGCTTCCCAACTGGTTGCCCAAACCTTGCCACATTCTGCGGCATTCAAGGCGTTGGGTATGTTAAATTTCTTTCAACAGGCGAGCCCGCTCTTGGCTGTTCTGACTCCTTTCTGACATGCGCGTTTAGAACCCCGCATGCGTTGAACGCGGAAACGCGCGGGTTCCAGAGGTACCGCGGATTCTTCAACATCAGATGGGAAACGCGCATCTATGAGTACGGCAAGAAGAATCCCAATGGCGGTACTTTTTATCCTCACCTGATTCTGCTAGGCGCGCAGGCTTGCAATGGCCACGCGGACACGATAAGTATGGGTGAGCTTACATTCCATTGTCACGGCCATGCGCTGCCGAGCGTATCAGCCGGCTACATTCGACGAAGACGCTATACTGGTGGGCGACGCGGAGCAGTCGCAAAACGGTGAGCCTGAGCCGGATTGCGAAGACAAATTGGCGTTTAAGGACGAGAAGAGGTTTCCGGTATGTTGCGATCTGTTTTTCAAACCTGAGAGTTCTGCGGCCTGTCTACCTGTCACTTACGGTCACGGATCTGTACTGACTTGATCATCTTGCTGGGCTAGGTTATGATGGTCTCTCTCGTCGGGCCCCAGCATGTCAGGGCTCTTTATGCTTGCATGGATGCCAAAAGATTGAGCCAACCAACGAAATTATTATGCGTAACAGCGCCGGCATCCTTCTCAGTCACCCGTTGGTGGAGAGAAATTAAAAACAGGCTTAGGCGGGCCACGGGTAAGGGCTTGAAGCATTACAGGAACACTTAGTAGTTTGCGGTATCATTTCCTGTAAACAGTGCTAGTCTAAATGCACATTTGAGACGGAGAAGAGCCATACTTGGTGAATACAAGCTTTTTGTGGAGAATTTCTCCCAGACCACATCTACATTCAAACAGCGTCGGCCCTCTCCAACACCATTTTCCATTCCATAGTGTCCCTTTTTATGGTAAGTAGAGACCGGATGTCTATTCCTAACGATTTCACACGAAGTATGTTTAGACATTGGAATGGTCTTCGACTGTTGTTGTACAATTAAGGTTGGTATCCACCCACCTCATCAATTTCAATCGCACCTATTAGACTTGAAGCTATTCCCAACCACACAATCCTCCATTATATCAAGTAAACTAGGTTATTAGGCTCATTATTACGATATCTTATGCTAGTATGATCCTAAATATTCTACTTGATTATACTAGTGAAGCATGTTTTAAAGGATCTAAAGTTTTCAGAGTAGCTGGTTATAATTCATGAATTCATACAAGACATATGCCGCATAGCTAGAATAAAGGAGGTTATGAAAGACCCCCCCCTTACCTCAAAGAGGGGCCAAGCATAGCTATTATGTAGTCGAAGCATTTCAGGACCTTATCTGAATTATAAGACTCAATTCGTGAGGGGGCAACTGACTTATACTAAAGGTCTATACGCTATAGACAAGGGGCTGACTAGGTAAGAAGGACATGATGATATCTTGACGGTGAGGCAAGGGTACGGTATAGATTGGTACGAAACTAATCCTTGGAGACTAACTAACACACGGGGGTGAGCTTTGCCCCTTTTATTTGTCTCGCTATCTTGACTGAGAAGCAGCTTGTGTGATCTCACGTGTAGAGTTCGACAAAAAGGGAATGATTCAAAACCATGGGTCGAGCCAAAACTTTAACTCCATTGTAATATTATAGATACCTAAATATAACGAGCGACTATGGAGTGATAAACCAATTGAATCAACCAAACTCAAATAAATTCGTGGGAAAGCCTCATTTCTTCGTGCAAAAACTGTTGCCTCAGGATTGCATACCACCATCATATGTCTCTTTTCCCTAGAATATGATCCCGCCATTACAGCGGAACAATTACAAGGCTTTCCAGCCCGCCATTGTAGGCTGTACCGATTTACCAGTAAAGAAACTCCTTGTTTTCAGATTCGGCGTTTGGGGTCTCGCCGGGGCGAACAGCATTGTTTGAGGGCCACTCCGGGTGGTTCTCCCCACGACGCCAGTACATAAACTCCTTGTTTTCGGATTCGGCATTTGGGGTCTCGCCGGGGCGAACAGCATTGTTCGAGGGCCACTCTGGGTGGTTCTCCCCACGACGCCAGTAGAGGAACTCCTTGTTTTCAGATTCGGCATTTGGGGTCTCGCCGGGACGGACAGCATTGTTCGAGGGCCACTCTGGGTGGTTCTCTCCACGACGCCAGTAGAGGAACTCCTTGTTTTCAGATTCGGCATTTGGGGTCTCGCCGGGGCGAACAGCATTGTTTGAGGGCCACTCCGGGTGGTTCTCCCCACGACGCCAGTACATAAACTCCTTGTTTTCGGATTCGGCATTTGGGGTCTCGCCGGGGCGAACAGCATTGTTCGAGGGCCACTCTGGGTGGTTCTCCCCACGACGCCAGTACATAAACTCCTTGTTTTCGGATTCGGCATTTGGGGTCTCGCCGGGGCGAACAGCATTGTTCGAGGGCCACTCCGGGTGGTCGGTCGTAGGAGCTGTGGAATCAGTGAATAAACAGTTTTGAAGAAAAGATTTCAAAAGGCAAAATACATACCAGCGAGAACCATCAACGGCAGAGTAGCGGATAGGAAAGCAAAGACCTTCATATTGACGACTGCAAGGAATCTCGGGGAAGGTTGAACGTTTACGAATTGGGAGAAAGAAGAGGTTGTCAAGGTAGATTTCAGTGAACAAGTTTGATGTTAGTAGGTGTAACTGCTTGATTTACAAGGTAGTCTTGTCTACTCCTAAGGGGTATGGGGGTGGTTATGTAGACATACTTGGGGTTCTATAGTACGGGTAGGGTAGATTACTGAATCTTCTTAGTCACAATGGCATCCGGAACACTCATTACTAGTCCTGGCTTTGCGTCATAGTTTGTGCCTACCTTGCACCGATTCTTATCTTCCCTTGCTTATATCAAGCTCATAATCTTCTGTTGCTAGTCGGTGTAGGCACAAGTAGCGCTCGCTATCGGCAAGGGGATTGGCTTCAGTGCGCCGTGTCCACAGATGGTGTGGTTCCACGATAGTGGAATGTTCCAGGCAAGGATTGAATCTCTTTGTTCTCAACTTACAGTGTACTCACACACATGAATGTGCTGTAGCCTATCAATCCTGGAGATTGGAAGGGCTGATGACCCTTCCCAAGCTTATCTAATAAATGGGGTAAATGCCAGGGATATTGGTCATATCAAGCCCGACCAAAATGCCATTCGTGGTGCAGTGTCTAAGAGTCAATGGACAATGGTATGACCATGATATCAAGAAAAAACTGTTCATTATGTTCCGAAGATGTCGATCGTGCTGTGTGGCTTGCATATCATGAGCCGGGATACCAGGAGCAAGGGGGTTCTTCCGCCTTACACAAGAGGGTGTATGTCTATTCGCGTCACAAACACATTCTAGACGCTTGTGTGTATGATTATCACGAGCAGCCTACAAGGGCCCGTTGCACAGACCGCTGCCCACATCCCTAGTTCGGGGCGTGCGAACAGGTGGACACTGAGATGGTTCAAGGCTTAGAAATACCACAGCTGCAGCGAGACGATCTTAAATAAGGGGTGCGGGGGCCTCTATGAGCAGCTTTGGGAGACAACAGCGAGATATTACGTACTTTAGCGACGTGAAGTTGAGATAAACATGTCGATCTTACAATTTTTGAGTGTCGATAGGTAGTACAAGAGACCGTGGATATAAGGCTCCCATAGGGATGCTGTCGGTGAGGTTATCCCTGTAATCTTCAAATAATGAGTCCTTGCTTTGGGTGGGGAGATCGGGCTTATAGCCGAGCGATGCCACAGATCAACAGAGTAGGTGGCACTCACGGCTGGCTGCAGGTGTATGCGCTTGCCATCCCCAGTATAGTTAGCCCACGTCCCTATTAGCTGGTGACCAATAAAATGCTCGAGCTCTTATCCTCGATCTACATGTACTCCCTCACTTTGTGAATGGATGTAGGTATCCTGTATAGTCAAGCTGCCTAGCATACCAAGGCCTGCCAGACGGTCAAGAATGCGGCATTTGTCGGTAGGGATTGAATCTCAAAACTGCCAATATATACTGCTCAATGTGCAGATTGTCGGTGAACTGCTAAAGGTAAGGTGCGCGCAGAAATCGTGACAGTAGGGTTCAACCATGTTGACAGACGCGTATCACCGGCAACGCCAACACCAATAAGCAGTCATTTGGTTTTCAAGGCCACTGACCAGCTCGTGCAGCCGTCGCAATGTGGAGTCGCGGGATACTAAGTACAACAATTAGTGACAATGCGAGGGACACACCCCCCTAGTTTAGTTCTCTAATCAACCCTGCCAACACCGTCTCCTCGGCAAATGGAAGACATACCTGAATGCATCATGACGTGGAAAGTTTCCCTATTATGTCTCAACATAAGGTAGGACGACATAGACCACCCAGCTCTTCTAGGCTTGTTCTCCTTCTTTGGTTCTATATCTCTCGATCTCTGGGATGGCCAGAGTCCAATTCTGACCTTGTGCACCTTCCAGAGACACCCCAAGGACCCCTGAATGTGTACTCGATTGACGAGATCATGGCCACCAAAAATACTGGAGAATCAAAATATTCCCTGCTGCATTCCGTTGAGTGACCCTTCCACGTCGTTCAATAGGAAATTCTAATACGTGGGTTATGTAGGACTCTGACGATGCGACTGAGACTCCCCATGTTCATAACCGAGGATATAACCGTCATATAAGATGGACATTTCTAACGACCAATATTGTTGTGTTCTTCATATCCCTCGCAATATTATTACATGCCTACACAATTACCCACCGACCGTTGACTGCAAACGCAGTGTTCAAAGATGTCAATGCCTACTGTATGCTCCTTCACATTCATACCTGTGTTAGATGACTTACTTTTGATTTGCCAACAGCGCCCATACTAGCCCGTATGGAGCTTCCACTACACAAATACACGGTGGATGGCTATCTATTTGACGTGACACACGACCTTCTTCGTGCGGAACCCAATCCGGAATCCAACGCTGAATGGGATCGTATATCACGGCTTGGGCCTATGGTGATGACCCGTGAGGAAGTCATCAAGATGAATAAAAACCCGGAAAAGGTGGTCAAACTCCCAGAAGACTGGGGTAAGCTGCTTCCCGACTACCTACCATTCTCCAAATTTTTCTGGCTACAAGCTAACACCCGTCATCCGACCCAGGATACGGCGACGACGCCTATATATGGCAAACGGAAATGCAGCACAACATCCACTGCTTGAACTTCGTCCGCCAATACGCGTATTTCGACCAATTTTACGGCAAAACATATAAACGGTTCGAGGATACCCCCAAGCTGGACCGTATCCACCTGTCCCACTGCCTCTATGTCCTTGTACAAGATCTCCGGTGCCAACCTTCGTACAATGGACTGACGTTCAACTGGATGGACGGCTGGAATATCCCTGCTACAGACTTCACGCCTGAAAGACAGTGTATATTCCACGAGCAGTGGCTGCAATGGCAGAATGAGAACAGGGTTAACTCCACCGGGAAACGGCTTCCTCGACCAACTGACCCGGGGAAATTCATGCATGGACCACTGGGAATGGAGGAGCTCTGGGAGGATGAGCTTTAAGAGCTGACTTCATTGTGGTTGTGTTTCTGAGTTGTAATAGACACCTGTTCTCTCCGATTTTTTGAGGATTTAATTGCAGGTGGAAATTGACAACTTGGAGCTAATGTATGCTCGGGCCAAATTGCATCACGGATACAGTATATGTTGGATTCACGTGGAGGGGAAAGTACACGCCAATTGTTCACAGAATTCACTGTTTAATGACCCCTGCGCTTCTGATGCTGGTGCGGGGCTAGTTGCAGGTCGAAGCGTAAATATAGCTCGGCAGAGCTACCCATCTCGTAACCAGTGAAGAGCTAACTTACTTGGATAAAACTCCTCGAGGGGAACATAACGGGCTCATTTTGGTGACATCTGCAATCCTTTCTGACAACTAAATCCTCTCCTTCAACCGCATCTCGACCTATCCGTGGATTCTCCCGACCAACAACCTATGACGACCATGACGTCGAAACAACCACACGTGACGGTTGCGCCAGGGGACCACCAAGGATACATGGAATATGCCCTTCAACAAGCTCGCCTTTCCGCTCCAGCGTCCACAAAATTCTGCGTCGGCGCGGTGCTGGTCGATGGGGACAGCGGTGAAATCCTATCAACCGGATATTCCCTGGAATTTCCAGGCGATAGACCCGGGGATCCGGAGAATACCCACGCGGAACACTGTTGCTTCATCAAAGTAGCCGAGGCTCACCACGTGCCCGAAGAGAAGATTGGGGCGGTTCTACCGAAGAACACGGTTCTCTATACCACCATGGAGCCCTGCAATGAGAGGCTCAGCGGGAATCGAACCTGTGTGGAAAGGATTGTAGCGCTTGCAGGCGCCATCAAAGCGGTCTATGTCGGAATTAGTGAACCGGACACTTTTATTCGCCAAAACACTGGTAGGAAAAGACTGGAGGATGTAGGCATCGTGGTGAGGGTCGTGGAAGGGATGGAGGACCGCATCGTTGAGGTATCGACTGCGGGGCACAAAAAGAACACCCGCCACTGAAAAATCTTAAGAGCATTCCCAGCGGCTTTGGTTCACAGAATGTGCTATTGTTCTTGTTGCTGAGAAACAAGGATGAATACCTTGAGTCGTATAGTTTAGGAACATCGTGCGGGAGGCTTGCGGCGCTGATGAACTATTGAAGGCCACCAACAGTGCCGGGTACCCTTTCGATTTTCTAGAGTGCCCAGCTGGATGGCCGCTTCGTTAAACGACATACAATCTCAATATAACGAAAACTTGCTCTGCCAACGTGCAAGCTGCGCCTCTCTGGAACTCGGTACTTCCATTAGGGCTATTCAAGCGGTAAAGAAGATTCTACCTAAACATCTTGTCATAATCTAGATTCATGAGAACAACCAATTCTCTGGGAGCGTGTTGGATTGCGGCAATGTTCTGCTTTCTAGACAGATTCCAATGACCGAAGTTCACGTTGTCTAGACACTTACTTCGTGCATTTTCATTTGATAGTCGATTCTCTGGCGTATCTCATTAGTAGACTAACCATGGATGGGACCTCACCGGTTCATGAGGCCGGGGATTTGCAATACCTAACGTATTTGCGCCATCCACCCACCTCCCACCTAGCTGCCACAAATGTTTTTCCAATAGATTAGGATCTCGGGGGTCCATCCTGGCTCAGCCAGTCACCTTTCTACCTCAAGTTTCGGGTATTAGTGGTCAATTGTCTACAAGTGTCTCAGGCTTAGCTTCGGCGGCTAACCGCCAGGTCAGTTCAATGACACTGACAATTGACTGTTGACCATAATGTGATTATCACTGAAAGCATCGATAACCGCTTATTCAACGTTGACGACTATTCAATGACTCACCCGAGATACAATTCCAATGGAAGATCGTGGTACATCTGGTAGTCTAACTCAACGGTTTTGTCGAGGGTTTTGGGGTTTGCCGGTTGCTGAAGGGTGAATTAATGAGCCCAGAGAGTAGTAACTGTGCTGGCGACACTGAGACGGGAATTTGATGATTTGCTTTCTATGGAGTTTTCTGGTAAAGGCCAAACAAAAACTCCAATGCCGTAGGTAAGAATTAAATGAGGGAAACAAGGAAACTATGCATATTGAGGAATAGTTATGCGCTGGCTAGACAGCATGTTCTTCTCCCAATCTGAAGTTGCCAGGGGTAGGAAATGCTGCCGATAACTTATATTTTGTATGGGTTCTTATTGATCAGGCATGTCAGCGGCTAAACTATAAGAGTCTGTGGTTAGCATGACCTCGTATCCCCTTCTTTGTCTGCCAGCGATACGCCGTGGTTCAGGTGCAGTTCCAGCCCTAATTAGGCATGTGGGATGTCCACCTAGGTTAGGATCTAGCTGCAGGGCGCACGGTACGGCCCTTGCCACCAATAATCATCCAAGCTAAGGGCTGACAGCTGTTTGTGGCTCAGTCTAGGTAGTTTTTTGTGGCTCAGAACGATCTGCCACTAAGTCTGAACCATGATCAGCTTTATTTCCTCCCTAAAAGCACCTGTGTGAAATCCCATTACGAGGAACCCTACTTAGCTCCTACTAGATCCTGGTGAATGCCACTCGATGCTGAACGACCTACTGGCGCGACCAGGTTTTCTTCTAGCGGACTTCAGTGCGTCTGACTAGAGAAATCTAGTCAAACAGTGCACTCTACTACACTTTCTGATCAACGGGTTACTAGCACGCTAAGACGAAAGTGTAATAGCAACAGACCAGCATTTGGTTGCCAACTTGCCACAGCCTGAACGACAGCTTATCATCTGTAGACCCGCAACTTCAGCACAAAAACATTCAATTTTACTCCCTCGTTGCAACCAGACAACCATCACACTTCTTGTCCCAGTCTGAATCGCGGTCACTTATACTACTATCTGACTTTTCTACGCACTTTTCTACGCAATCTACAAGGTTTTATACACGATCACTGCAGCTAACAAACTCATTATGATGAGTAGAGACGTATCGCACCTAGTGGGCGGATTTTTTATTATTTATGCTTTTCTTCCAAGTAGCCCAGTGAACAGCTGTTGGATCTATTCACTATTCTAGTAAAGTAAATTAGGCAGAAGTATGCCCTGGGCTAGAGATGTCAGCTCGTCCTTCCCAGAAAGTGTAGTGCCCGGAGTATGTATTCTTCAAGGAACAATCATGCAAGACGTTATTCAACTCAGCGATGGCTGTTTAAATCTAAAGGCTAGAACACAAGGCTCATGTAACGGTAAACTTTGAAAATAACATTATGTATATAAAAATACCATGACACCCGCCATATGCGACATGTCAATCATGACAACTAGTAATTATTAGACCGGGTTCCAACCGGATGTTCAATATATATACAGAAAAATATGCATGTACTGTGATGGGCGGCGATCCATCGACAGATTTTTTTACACGGGTATCGATCTCTTTGTACCCGATGGGCGGGGCGGAGAATTCTCTACTCCCCCTTTGGCTTTTGAATGGGGTTGCCCTGCTCGTCGACGAGCCCCTTCGCGTGCATCACCTTCAGAGCATCGTGGAGCGGATCCAGCTCCGGCTGCGGGGCGCGGTGCGAGCCGAAGTAGGTGTCGGCCCAGGTGAAGTATTGTCCGTAGTTGACGGTGAAGTACATGTGGTGGAGGGTGTGATGCGCGGGGCTGTTGAGGAATTTTTCCGTCCAGTGGCCGGAGATCATGTCGCCGTCGTGGATCAGGATGGTCCAGATCTGGACCGCGCCGAAGAGGATCATGTACAGGTGGCGCTGCATGGGGCACATGAAGACGAAGATGCTTTGGAGGGTTAGTAAATATGGCCGTGGAACCCTCGAGGGATTGGGGACTCACTGGTATGGCAGAGACTGCACGTACCCATCCAGCGGATGGAACGCTAAGGCAGCCCACGGCGTGGGAACTATGAAATTGTCAGCATTGGAACCAGCCAGGACATAGGAATTTTGTAAGACGGACCGATCCATTTGTGGTGCGGCTTGTGAATGTACTTGTACACGCTGGGGTGATGCTCGAGGCGATGAATCCAGTAGATGGCAATATCGTTGAAAGCCATGTACAACGCGGCCGAGACCAACAGCCAGGGCCAGCCATAGTCGCTCACCGACCCGTACAGCAAACTTTTCCCTCGGACCTCAGCCAAGAACCAGGGCAGAGTCAGAATGTTGATAACAGGAACGGCGGACATCGACGATACGATCTCTTGGCGAATTTGATTGGGCAAGAAGCGCGGATGGTACTCGAGGCGTCGGTCAAATATGCAGTAGTAGGAAAGTGCGCTGAAGAAGAAGTAAAGGGATGTTGCGCCGAGCTGCGTGAGGAGCAGCAACGAGGTTATCTGCCGATAAATATTGTCGCGCGGCCATCGCGACGTCGCGTCCGCGAGGGAGGGGTCGGAGGGCAGCAACCAGGCATAGGCCTTGTCCAGGACGAGGGGATCGAGGAACTCGAGAGCGACATCCATTGGCGATGATGGGCTGCAATTCAATTGAGCGACGATAACAGTAGAATTCCACAAGGATGGTGCGCCGTTAGAGTGGAAGGTATTAAGGGGCGATAACTGCGCCGGACTATCTGATAGTCCGGTCCCGTGCCCATTTGGCGCCACTATTTCAGGGCACTTCCGATCCGGTTCGTGCAGGAAAACAGAGTGGAGATTATGGAGATTTTGCGTCCAGGGGTAATTAACTAGGTGATATCTAGAACGCTTCGGTGCGCTCCAAATTGGGGCCTGAGGCAAACAGAAAAGTCTAACCCAACCAAAAGAAAACATTGTACATGTTGGGATGGCAATCAAAGGTATCAAGCCCGACTAAAATGCTATTTGGTATTTTGGTGCAGTAGCTGAAAATATACAAAATAATTAACAACAAATAAACAAATGCAAAGAAATCAAAACAAAACAGAAAAAAATATATATCAGTATTAGTATGGTCCTATAGGCTCCAAGATAGTTAATCTAAGTAACCATAATATTTATATAACCAACCCCGAACTCACCCTTCCACATGTTGACACCCCAATCTATCAAACAGTCCATTCAAGCCATCCGTATCGTAGCATATCGCACGCATCAAGCCTAGTTCTTCTTCTTACCGCACTTCGCCAAACATTTCTCAACCTCGATGGCCGCACTCTTAGGAATTGCCTTCCTCACTTTCTCAATGTCCTCCCCAGCAATGCTCTGCCCAAGATTGCCAGCAATAATATCATCGCCGAGCGCAAATGCCTGCTGTGCAACCAGGCCCACCGAGAATTCCTCGTTATTGAACGCTGCGACAAAATTGGTAGTGTCACAGTCGGGGTTCACCTGCGTGTGGAACGAACCGGCCGGGAAGACGGTCACCATGCCGGGCTTCAGCTCGGCGCGGATAACGCGTTGATTTCCCTTGGAGTCGACAACAGCCTCGGGTACCATTTCGGTTAGGACGCGTCCCTTGGTGACGGTCAGGAGCTCGGTGGCGCGAGGGTGCAGGTGGAGGAAGGACATGCTGCATCCTGTTTATATGCATTAGTGCTTGTCAAGGTGTAGGATGATATTGTTTTCAACGTACCTGGAAGATCACCGACGCTGAAGGAGGCACCGACACCGACTAGAGCGGGAAAGTTCTGGGTGGAGGCAACGGGCTCTTTCTCTGAGAACTTGAAGACGAAGTCCTCGTCTTTGGGCAAGAGATTGTAACGTTCGGTCGCACTAAGCAGTCAGATATCCTGCTATGAAGCGGACATAATTAGAGGCTTACCTGTCTGCGAGACGGAGTTTAGCCGTCAAGCTGAGTTCTGATGTTGAGCTCTTGGTGATCGGCTGAGGTGCGGCCGTTGCTGGCAGGGCGACGGCGACCATCACCGCGAACAGAGAGTGTAGGGAAGTTTCGAGAAGCATGATGGCTATTGAAGTTAAGTTACAAAAGGTTTCTTGTGCGAGACTTTGAAAGTAGTTAGGGATGTCGATGTGTTGCTTTGCTTTTGCCGTTGTTGAATACTGATGAGTGAAGAGGGCGGCCCTTCGAGGCCCTTATATATCTTCTGACTTTTTCATCTTTGTATTTGAGCAACCCCATTCCGACGCTACCTGGCAGAAATAGAATGAGGTATTCCAAATCAAATCCTCAACCCGATCATTCTGCTCAGCCGCAATGGGGCCTGACAAGCAGCTTACACGACGGCGAGCATGAACTGCCCGAGCATGACACCACAGAGTACGTAGATCAGGAAGTGGATATCTTTAGGGCATCATATTGGTTGGCGTGGCGGACTTTGGCGTATTGGTAATACGACGCGCCTCTTGGCGGCTAGTTCAGCCCTATGAGCCACCCTGCCACAGCGTATCTCCAGTAACCAATGCAATGTTAGGCTACTCCCCGAGTACGACATTCATGCCTTATGGTATGTAGGAATGGACCCGAGTATCCTCACTTTTGCGATGTATGACTTCGCATGACAAATTCAAAATAGGACATGACGTGAGCACGTTCGACGCACCAGGAGACCACTCGAGTATAAAAGCTACGGGCAATGATGGGTCATTCCAATTTCCAGATCACCAAAGACTTCAAAGTCTACAGAAGACTGACTTTATCCTTTGACAATCGTCATCACTATAACGATGATTTCATACCCGCAAATGTTTGCTTTACTCCTCGGAGTCCCGTTGGTTGCAAGCCAAGCAGGAACACATTCAACGGGATGGAATTCGAGTTTCGAGCTCAGCCCCGAGCAAGTCACGTTGGCCAGCCTGACAGACGATCTGGCAGCTGCTATCAACACCATTACCAAATTCGACCACTCCCAGCTTGCAAACGGTGGGGCACATGAGGATGACTTTTACAACGTCCAGAACCTCCCCAAGGACAAATGGCCCACCGAGCCTGGAAAGACAGTCAAACTTCAAGAGCTCACGGACCCAAAACCATTTACCATTCCCGCGAAGACAGCTTTGTCCCGCATTGCATATAGCACGACCAACATCAACGGGACTGTGATCCCTGCTTCCGCCTACATCCTATGGCCGTATCAACCCAAAGGCCTTCACGCCAAAAAACACAAAACTTCTGAGTCATCCGCCCCCGTTGTGCTCTGGACACATGGAACTTCAGGCTTCTATGCCGATGGGGCTCCCTCCGTACACCGCGGCCTGTTCTACTCCGAAATCGTCCCATATGCGTTGGCCGAAGCCGGATACGCTGTGATTGCGCCAGACTATGCCGGGCTTGGCATAGACAAGTCCTGGGACGGGAGCCACATCCCACACCAGTATTTTGTTCGCGAAGCCGGCGCTCACGATGCTCTGAACGCTCTAAGAGCGGCTCAGGAGTCGTTCCCGAAGCGTCTGTCGCAGGAATATGTCGTCATGGGCCACAGCCAGGGCGGTGCGGTTGCTTGGGGCCTGTCTGAAATTCTGGGTCGCAAAGATCCCAAGTTCAGAGATGTTGCGAAGGGCTACCGTGGTGCTGTTCTCGCTGCCCCGCCAACAGACGCTTTCTCAGCCAACTCTCCGGCCTTTCTCGCGTGGATTGCCAAAGACTTAACTCGGATTTACCGGTCTTTCAAGCTCAGCGACTGGTTCACTCCGCTTGGTGTCAGCAGGATCGAGCTTTTTAACCAGATCGAAGGATCCCAGATGGTTAGTTTTGCCATGCTCGGCGATGAGAAAACAATGCTCAAGCCAGGTTGGAATGACACCTGGTATGTTCCAGCGTTTGAGCGATTATCCAACCCCGGAAGCCGGCCATTCCAAGGACCGATCCTTGTCGTCCAGGGAACTGAAGATCCAACCGTGCTCTACAACACGACAAAGTCTACCGCAAAAGCGACGGTGGAAAAGTACCCTGGTGACCTGGAACTGTTGGCTGTCTCCGGGGCAAACCATTTCGCTGCCATAAGCGCGGCGAAGCAGACCTGGTTGCAGTGGATCGAGGATCGCTTTGAGAACAGACCTGTGGCTAAGCGTGGTTACGTTGAGTCTCAGTTGGACAGCTTTTTGCCTCTGAAAAATTATCAGGTTGCTCCGAACTCTTTTGCGCAGTGGGCTGGGAAGCCGGAGTGGTATTATGAGGTGCTGACTGCGTTTTGAGCGCGGACTGCAAGGGAGGGTAGCGAAGCATACATTGGCTTTGGCTTTACTAGACATGTGGTTGTTTTTCTTGATTTTTTTTTCTTTTTTCTTTCTTTCTTGATCTGGCTCGCCCTTTTGATGTTTATAGCTGGAATTTCCAGTTCACCCGTCCCTGCAACGTCTCGTTCCGCAGATCACATAGAATCCTATGGGCCTATTGAACCTCATACAGTTATTTCTGCGGAACTGTAGGTATAATGTTACTAGAGCAATCATACAAGATAATTCCACGTCAGAAATCTATGTTCTAGTCACCAACTTCATCCTCCCAGGTAGCTTAGACTGGATCTTTGCTAGAAAGATTCCTCAACACGACCAGCGTCACTAAATGGCTAATTACAGCACATACATAGTCCAGAAAGAAAATTAATCTAAGGCCTTACCCATCAATAGCTAATATTCGGCGCAAGCTCCCGCTTAACCAAATACATACTCTCAGGCCACCACGTCTCCCCAGTACCCGCCAACTGACTCATCAGATCCTGCGTCTTCATCAACGACACGATCTGCCCCAGCTCCCACTGTCCAATGTCGCCGATCCACCACACCCCGTCCAGCAGCATGACAAGAACCAGCCAATGGGCGAAGATATCCAGCGCTAGGAGGTGCGTCGCGCTGAGCGACGGTTCCTCCGACCCGGGCGAGTCCTGCGTCATCCACCGCTCGGCTCGCGCCTCCACGGATGGTGAGTCGAGAACTGATTGAACGAGGCTGAGGAACTCGGCTGGTGCTTTGTTGAGGAACGACATGATGATTCGTCGGAGCACGCGCGGGGATTGGATCGATGTCACACTGATCATGTATTGTGCTACCCATGAGGAGACCCGTGAGAGTTCATCGTATGACATTAGGGGGTTTTGGGGGGCGTCGACGCTGGGGTTATCCTCTCGTGGGAGTAGGGCCGTTGATGCGCATTTCTCAAGTATGGAGATGGTTTCTAAAGATGCGTCGAGTTGGTGCGTGTCGCTAATGTGTTGGTCGGATTGTTTTAAAAGAGTCGCTGTGGACTCGGCTCTTCTGCGTAGGCTCTCCAGAGCTCGGATATACGTCGATGCGACCAGAGGGAGAAAAAGCCTCTTTGTGTTATTGGTGGGGCCGTCCTCCGGCGCTAGGACATCTTTGTTACATGACGCTATCCCGGGGGACATGAGTAGTGTATCTACTCCTGGGCAATCGGGGCCGTTAATGATGTGGTTTAGCACGGCAGTGGAGGCTGTGTGGGCTGCACGGGTAAACGAGATCCACTGCGAGTTTTGCGGGAGAATGTCGCTTGGCAGCCGCTGGCCGCGCTGTTTTGCGATAGCTGCGAGAAACACTCGTACGGAGTGGTTGGCAGAAGCATATAGGACCATTAGGGCCGCATTGGCGAGGAGGTGGTCATACGAGTCTGCCTTCTGCATGGATGCTGAGATGTGCCGCAGGGAAGCGATGTGGTGGCTACCCCCGAGCGCAAGCAGCTCCCCGATGTCCGCGAGAATTTGGTGGTCCAGCGGGGTTGGATTTTGCTTTGCTATATCGTGGGCTTTGCATGCTGCTGCTAACGCTAGCAGGGATGACATGACAACGTTGCATTTGAACGCCAGATTTGGCACCCCGACCGACAGGGCGTAGAGGTCGAGTTCGTCAAATGGGATGGTGTGGCTGGTGTGCGTGAGGTAGTGGGCCAAAAGCCCGAGCTCTGTCGCATCGAGAGGGCCGGGGGGGTTTGTCCGCCACACTAGACCCTGTTCTTCGGGACCTAAGGTTGAAGAAAGAGGTTGTTGGACAGATGGAGAAGTGGGAGCCAACAGGTGATCACTTGCAGATTGATCTGGTGACCCAGGGACTGGAACTATAGCCATAGGGCTGGTGGGCGCGTTAGAGGCAAGGCTATCTGCCGACCATGGTTCCTCCGACACGTTGTCATGACTCGGATATCGACAGCTATACTTCCGCAAAACGCATCTGGAGCAACTCGGTCTTGATTCATCACACTAGGTACCACGCAGTGGAATTAGGGGGCTATATGCAGAGTTGTTGGGATTGCATTGTGGCATACCTTCTTACGCTGTTGCTTGCATCGGAGGCAACCATTCCTGGATTTCCCGTGGATCCTCCGCAGCCTGTACCCGCTCGGCTGAAGCCCCACGGGTGTCGTACTCCTAGGCATCTTGCCCGGTGGAAATGTCAGCGCAATCAAAGTTGTGCGACGTGTGTCGTCAAAAACGTGGAGCGTATTAGTCAAAGAGGCTCAATGCTCGCATTTCAGGTTTTGAGTTTCTGCGGTAAAAATAAGTTGGGGGATCGTCCTCTTGGGGTAGAGATTAATCCAGCCGCAAGAGGGCAATACGCTCCCGTATGGCATCAGCACTAACGTGGTTAGGCTTCCATATGGGGTTCCCAACTGAATATAGGCGGCGCGACGTGGTTCGTGGCTGTGAGCCTTGGCGGTCATTTCGACCTATCTGTTATTTATAATGCTCGTGTTCGGAACGACTTCCTCTGATAGAAATCTTAGGTCATTACTCGGGGTAGAGTCGATCGTTGAACGTCTTTCTGGTTGGCCTTGGCGATAAATTTCCCAATCAACTTAATCTGTCGTACAAGAATTTCGCTATGCTTTCCTGGTAGCTGACTTGGTGGTAGACCATGAGTAGACTATGCCAAGTTCGAACATGACGTTGCGCCGAGCAGCAGCGTAGCCCCTGGAAGATCAAGTTGGCTTAGATTCTGGTTCCATGATAGATCCCCTCCTTGCTGCGATGGCGGGTTTTCTCAGTATAAACTGGACTAGAACTAGCTTAATAGCTCTAAGGATGTAATAATTTGTAGCTCATGATTATACTCGAGAATAGGGACTATTTTTGTTAACTGACTTACAGAGATTAAATTTATGAGTAATCTAATAGCTAATCTAATATTATACATGTCTAGACCTTAAAAGGATCTCTTCTGATCCAGACCCAGATCTGCTCCAATCCGCCCTCGGGGCGGATCAGGGTCAAAGAATTAGATCTCTGATTCTATGAATCTTTAATATATGCTAGACAGGATGAATTAATCTGCTAGATTGATAAATAGAATACATATTAGAGATTCTGTGATATGCATAGTTCTATATAGTTCTATATAGTTATGAGTTATCTAGAAAATTCGGGTGAAGAGGGGTGAAGGGCCTGAAGACAGAGACAGGGCTGTAAGAAAGCAAAAAGAAAAAGAAAAACATACAACAGCCGGGATTCGCATGTGGTCACCCACCATACTACTAACCGGCCGGCGTGTGGCTTAAGTACGGCTGAGCGGACGGGAAGCCCTGTTCTCCACACCCTATGGTCGTATGTACTTGTTCTTTCGAGGAATTGCTTTATATACTGTAGGGTTTATGTGTTTGATCACTGCAGCTCATGTCTTCGTGATATGATAAGTAATTGGCAGAGACATAATCACTTCCATTATAAAGATCTTGAATAGCCGGTTGGCAACTGTTATTTCTATTCATTGTTCTAGCAGAATGCCATCAATGTCAAGACCACGGCTCCCTATTTCTCCCACGTTGTACAAGGCTGTTGGGAACGGAATGGAAGACTCACTCGGTATGCAGTGTGGTGGGTGAGTCCTTGCATGGGTTGATCCGCCTTACGGGCTGTCATTCCTGGCCTTATCAGCCGTCGAGCCCTTGCTTGGTAGCTGAGAGACCGCCTGAACAGTTGACATCATGTCTTGTATGGTGGGTCCAAGAATTCTCATGATGCAGTGGGCAAGAATGCCGAATTCGCCATCCCTACTGTCCTATTTCTTTGATAATATTCTGTTTGAGCTGGAATAATGCATCCAAATGGATAGCCAACAGTAAGACATCAACAGGAGGCAAGCCGTGCCCTTGATGAAAGGACTTGTAGATGGAAGGGACGGTATTGGGTGCCTCAGGCAGGCGTCTAACTGAAAGGCATTATTGCATCTTTAAACCAGGACTGAACATGTTTTTTGAATGGGTCATATGTATCAGCTCCCCTAGATTTTGTAGAACTGGGTGCCTTCGTAAATTCCATAAAGCCTATAGTATGAACACTTGGACTGCTTGAACCCAGACAGCTTTCATACAATCCGTGACCATACTACAGACAGTTGAGCGTCTAGGAAAACACAATTCTGATTCATATATGGCAACGGCCAACAGTAACCTCAATTTTAGGCAAGCCTCCATAATTAGTTTAGTCTGATCAATGACCGTGATGATGAGGGACGGGGACACTCGTGTCCAGGGGATCCCCTTCTTGCTGGTGATGTTGCCCCAGCTTATGGCCCAGTTCAGACTCCCGATCGTTCAGCCAGGGGGCCGGCCAAATATGCTGATCCTGTGGAACTGGCATATTATTATATTTCTCTTTGTCAACCATGTTCTGGTAATGCCAATCCACGATTGCGTTGAAATCCCGGCACTTGCGATTGACACTAAAGTCAGGGAAGGGTCGAGGATAATCCTCCATCCAGTCCAGGGTCAAAACCTCGGTGTTCGCGTTGCACTGGATATTCTGGAGCAGAATATCGGTACAGTGACCAAGGTGGATCCACCATATCTTATCATGTGCGTCCATTCTGGGGGTATATCCTGGGTAGTCGGCGAACGCTGCCTTGCGAAGCATGTTGAGGCAGTGGATTTGCTAGGTTCATCAGCGACACCATGATCCAGATATACGGGCAACGTTTGTGTGCGTTCCCATTGGGCCATACGCACATGCATGACGTCCAGTTGGACCATATATGCGTTCTCACCAAGCCCCCAGTATTTGTTGTCAAAGCGTGCAACCGTATCGGGATCCTTGCCCAGCTTGAGAATTTCCTCTCTCGAGACAACATGAGTCAAGATGTCCTCGAATTCAACCCACTTCGCGTCGTTGGCCGGTCCTGGTTCTTCTCGGGCCATCGACACGTTTGGTTTGGAGAACAGGGTCCCGTTTAATTGTGTAGAATATCTGGGGATCTCGATCTGATCCAAAATTGGAGCTGGCAAGCATTAGGCTGAGATATCTGGTCACTCTTGACCTGATCTCGGAATACTTACACCACCAGGAAATGGGCCGCAAAACGGCATTGTTTTGCGGAAACAGAGAATACGGGGCTCTCAGGAACAAGATAAGCGTAGTTCCACATAGTAGAAGGTTGGTCAATGTGAGATAAATCCAGGCTTTGGAGGTTGTCGAAGGGCGAGGTCTGTGATATCTTCTATCTCGCAGAAGCTCTTCAGACTCTGTCCTCGGCTCATCATCACCCTCGAATCTCACAATCTTAAGATCTTGGTCTCGCTTGAAGTATTCCAGCATTTTCAAGGTAGTTGATTGTGCACTTTAGATCATCAGGATTGAATTTAAGCTAATATTGATGACTTGGTTGGGCCAACCTCCCTTAGGCGTATATGGCAAACTCAAAACCTCACCTTTCCCAAGAACAAAACAAAGTCGATGGATTGATACAGAACAGAGTTCTGCCTTGGTCTATTTCCTTCTCTAACCTCCCAACTTCGCGTGTCATGTCCAATTCAGTGAAAGGCTACCTGTCTCATAGTCCAGGCAACATTCGCGGACAGCGCTCGCCTCTCTCCCTTGCATCTGGACGACCATACCCGACAAAGCCAGGATGTCCCTTGCAAGTTTTAAGATCGTCGCTGAGAAACTGAGAGAAGGAAAATCTTTTCTTTGCCAGAGTTCAGCTCGTGTCGGTGAGAAAATGAGCGAAGAAAAGTATCTCTGAATGTTCATGTGGGGCGTAATCACCTGACCGTGCTTGCCCTTGAATCGGTCACATCGATGTTTTGTCATGTGCATTTGCATCACCCTATAAGACAATGCACGGAGCACTGTCGGTTTGTATAATTTGCGGTATTTCGAAGCTTTCTATCCCTCTACCCCCTACTTCCTCGAATGGTCATACGGGGGAAGTGCGGTCAGATGGAATGGGAAGAGCTGGAGAGTGGAGACTACTCCCTACATTGTGGAACGAAACAAGCTGTGCACCACTCGCATCTGATGCAATACAACCCTCCATCACTCAACATCCCGGCTGCAAGATTGGACGAGATTGATTGAGATCCAACCCTCTTGGATCAGCTCTTCTCTGTAAGGATCATTCCACCCATACAGCCAGGGAGTCTCCCCTGATTGGGAAAGACTGACCTTTGCCCGTGGATGTGGAGGTATATATACGACCTGTAGATTGCCACTGGGCCCATTTTTATGTGCCAAACCCACCTCCAGCCAACATCTCAATTTGTTTACTCCATTACTTCACCTCCGTCACCATGCAACTCTGCCTTCTCGCTCTCCTTGGGGCGGCGACACTGGTCTCTGCTCTCCCCGTTGAGTCAAGTCAGCAGATTGAGCCTGCTACTACGGATCTGAATACGCGCCTGCTCCACTACAACTACAGGCGCAACGAACCCGCCCCTGACCTGCTCCATTATAACTACAGGCGGGGTGAACCTGCTCCTGACCTCCTTCATTACAACTACAAGCGCGACGAGCCTGCTCCCGGCCTGCTTCACTACAACTACAGGCGCGACGAGCCTGCTCCCGACCTGCTCCACTACAACTATAGGCGCAACGAACCCGCTCCCGACCTGCTCCACTACAATTACAGGCGCGACGAGCCTGCTCCTGATCTGCTCCATTACAATTACAGGCGCGACGAGCCTGCTCCCGACCTGCTCCACTACAACTATAGGCGCGACGAACCTGCTCCCGACCTGCTCCACTACAATTACAGGCGCGACGAGCCTGCTCCTGATCTGCTCCATTACAACTACAGGCGCGACGAACCTGCTCCCGACCTGCTCCACTACAACTACAGACGGGACAGCACCGCAGCCGAGACCAACGAGTAACCGACTTTCCTCCAGACAGACCACAAAGCAGGCAGAGCAGCTAAATATAATAACCATGCGTCTACTTCGTCGGGATAGCTCATCCGTATAGGGGAGTGCAACTGGACCGAATTACCCTTTCTTTCACGACAACATATCGGAGGGGCTCCATATGAGGTTTGCTGTTTTCAGTCGGGTATTAGATGGTACGTTTTTGAAGATTTTTCGGATTTAATGTCTTGCTTCGCCTTCCGTTCTGCTTTTTGCTTTTTATTCTTCTCGTCCAACAACGACAGGAGAGAGTTTGTTGCCATTCGCTTGGAAGGACTCTTTCTTTTAGTTTGTTCCGGTTGTTTAGTTTGTGAAATATATATACGTATACATATACGTATATGTATATCAAATACGAGTTCGAGTTCCTCTCATGGCTGTGTAGTATGCGGCACGTCCACTTCGTGGCAGTAACCTCTCTCGAAGTATCTAAATTTGTTTAAAAATACATATCATGTACTAATTCCAAGTTTCATGCTGAGTATAATAATATCAGTGGTAACTAGCGGACCTTTTGAGAATGCTTTTTTATAAAACAAAAGATGAAAAAAAAAAAAAAAGAAACCTAATATTCAAATATATCAATCAAGTCAAATCATTAAAAGCAATCATATAACTCTATAAGTTGACTAAAAAACAAGACCCAGAGCACGCGGAACGCGCTGGGAACAAACTTATCATATTCCCATTATTACATCCACTTTCTGGTTAATAACAGTTTCAAGCCCCTCCAGTAGTAGCATTTGCCCTGACCATCCGGGTGTTCTGCACAACCAGCAAGTTAGTGAGCACATTTCCGGAAAGGCTTCACGACTTACCCACTAAGGAGGTATCAGGACGAAGCTCAGTATCCCAGCTACTAAAAAAGCATGGGAGCTGTGACTTGACGTCTCCTTCCAGCAGCTGTTGCGTCCGACTTCGACGATTCCGAAAATTGCGGAGCAGGTGTGTGCAAAGTGTAGATAGGTGTGCAGAGATTGGATGTCATTGCGCTTCAGGGATAGCTTACCCGTTAGTACAGTGAGCATATCATTGATGCTATACAGGCTATTAGCATCTGCAAATCGTATGAAGATATTCTAGACCCTGGCTGGTGTTGGGGCCAATGGTTTCAAGCCATACAGACGAAATCAGTTAGCGTAGTCGATAGCGCGGCGATTGCCCAGGACGAATTGACCAATGTATACAACTTGCGCCGCATAGACAGCATCAGAAGCCAATCATCTAAGCCGTAGATTGTTGGTATTTTGAAGGACAGATGCTGACGCAAGCATCCACCACCTAAGGATATTTACACTTCTTCAGCCTCTCTTTCCGGATGTCACCCTTTGATATGTATGTCCCAAGTCTGATTATCCTGCATACCATCAAGTCTTCCATTCATTAGTGATTTCTCCTCCTCTCCCCCTATTAGACAGCTTGGCACGAGGTCCTCCAAAGGGAAAAAGGAAGAAAATCAATTCCATTTCGCCTTCCGCGTGTGTCTTCCAAGACGAGGCTGTCGACTAGTCTAGATCTCCCAGATCTCCTAGATCACTAAAGGGAGCATTTCTGATCTTCCGAGCTCTTATACGCCATGCTGCGTTCTACGGCCGACGCGTCAGACTCCAGCGCGGGCTCAATGGAGGACTGTGGCGACGACCATCCCAGATTCAAGAAAGAACGCGCCACCCCAACCTCGAGACGACTGGCATGTGACATTTGCAGAGAACGTGAGAGAAGCCTGCCGAGACGCAAAGAAGTGCCGTGCTGACTGACTCATTCAAGGCAAGGTCCGCTGTGATCGGGGGGTTCTCAAGTGTGGCCGTTGTGCGCGGCTTGGCTATGACTGCAACTATCAGGGGCGCAAACGGCATCGTGCTGCCCAAGCGGACATGCCACGCCAATTATCCGAATTGCAGACCCGATTAGGTAGATCGCGCCCCCTTATTCATGCCAGCCTGTTTGTCACCTCGACCAAGCTTTCGCTGATCCTTGTTGGCTTGTCTCAGCACGTGCAGAAGCCCTGTTGCGGACGTCGTCCTCGACAGCATCTACTACCACCACACCCACTGCGTGTCCGCTGCCTCCCCATGTGGGTCTATCCTGGCCGGTGTTGACGCCTCCAGAGCGGCAGGGCGATCATGGACGACTGATGCAGCGGTTCCAGAGCCAGGTCACCCCGCCAATGGATCGTGGCTTCGAGGGGTTGGACATGTTGGCGAATCTGACGGAAGATATCCCAGAATTTTGGGGGGTCATAGATTCGGTTCTGACCCCGGACGCGCTTTCAACCGCCCTCGCCGGCGATAGTATTCAGCTACCGACTCCATTCGACGGTGGCTATCCTCCTGCTGCCAGCGGCAGCTCGGTGTCTCCGGCCTTTGAAAGCTCCCTCTTTCCCTCAACCCATGAACAGGAAGAGTCGGTTCCTCCGTCGGACCTTGCCTCTCTGTAACGGATTCCCATTTTCTCTTTGTTCGCAGAACAATCCACTGACCGGTCACGACAGACACCATAAATATTTTGGTACCTTTTATCCGGTTTTCCCAATCCTGAATCCATCGCGATTTCGCCGAGAATGGACCCATGGTCCCGTCTCTCCCCAAGTCCGGGCACTCAGCTACGCGGTGGCCCTAATCGGTTCGACGGTCGCCCCAGAATACGCCCATCTACAATCGCCCTGTTACAGAAATGCGCGCAAATACATTGAACTGTGTGAGCGCGACGATGACGAGACGCGTATTACTAGCTTAAATACCTTCCAAGCGTTACTATTCGTTCTTCGTTACGAGCTGACAAGGAAGCACTTTGTGCGCGCGTGGATGACCCTCAGCCGGGCCATGACGCTGGCTCAAATTCTCAAACTGCGTCTCGTAGATCACGGTGGGGCGGCGAGACAGCGCACTAGGCCTCCGCAGGATGCCCCGAGATTGGATGCGTATGGGATGTGCGCGATCCCACCTCACTGGAGGAGATCCGTCGTTCGTTCTGGTCCTTATACATCTTTGAAAGCTATGGGTGCGTCCGCACTGGCCGTCCTTTCACTCTCGAAAACGACGAATTGTGCGTCTCCCTTCCGTCGCCCGGTGAGCTCAACGAGGCATTTCGACCTAGCCCAATGCCTTTTCTCAGTGACCCGACAAAGCTTGCAGGTGTAAGCTACCTGACGTCCTATGCCGCGGTGATCATTATGGTGAAGGTGGCCCGCCTCTGCCTCGAGCACGTTAGTATTCTCTCTTGCAGTGCTAGCGACTCCGGCTTCTGGGACCGTCATTACCGCCTAGTGAAGACAATTAACGACTACACCGCCATCTTCCAACGTTATTTGACCGCAAAAGCCGTCCGAGAAGATGTATTGGCGTTTGCACTGCACCTGAACCTCTGCGCAACGCATATTAACCTCCACGAGGCAGCGATACGCAAGGTGGAAGAGCAAGACTTACCCAAGCTCGTTGCAGCGGAAAGTCGCAAGTCCAGTACCGCCGCGGCATTTAAAATTCTTGGAGCCATTCGCATGAACTGGCCGGTTCAGCGATCGGAGGTAATCCTTCCCGCCTCGTCTAATTGTACTTTAGTCCTAATCTGATCTGACTCTTTTCGTTTAGCGGGATCACTTCACCCTCCAAGCGACGTTCATCGGCTGGCCTATTTCTATGGGCCTGATCTCCCTGAGCCGCAGTCTCGCCAGTGGTGACACGACTCCGATCGGCATCGTGGACTCATTACGCCTGTTACGGGCCGCCCTGGACCAGGTGGAGGAACCAGATGGGTATTGGCACCAAGCCAGTGACGCGGCAGTGACTTCCCTCGCCCAGTGGGATGAACAACAACGGGAGAGTTGTTCTGGGGAGTGATCGGACATTTTACCTGTAGACATGGCTCGAGGGCGTTGCCATGGCAAAGCATACGGAAAAGTAGTTAAAACATGAAATAAGCGCACCGTCAATGGCAGGACTAATATCCACCGATCAGAATCTGTAGCAGTATCCGCCCAGTGTTATTGACCGGTTAAGCCTCAAGCTGCCACGCCCCACACTTGAGTCCTGTGTAAATTGAACATTCAGTTCAAAAAAGTGTATATATTACTAGGTGGACTAGAACCCGAATTAGTGGCCGCGTGTCTTAGGTTAGCATATCCTCACCCAATTCAGACCTATCAACTACCTGATAGGTCGATGGGTGCAACTGTATGATTCACTTCCCACTGTTCCCCGTGAACAAATACCCCATAGCCCTCGCTAACACCACTGGTGAACCTTCCTCTCTTTCCATAAAAATTCCTTCATATACTTACTACCACCCCAGCTACGCGATTCAGCATCCCTGCAACACCATGATTCTCAGCGGACTTGAAGTCCTCACCCGCCAATTAGTGCGGAATCTTCGCGGTGCTACCCAGCAACAACCATGCGGTGTCGACCTTACTCTTCGTCAGATCTCTGAATGGTCATCTGCAGCAACCATTGACTTCGATAACACGAAGCGCCAGGGGGCAAAAACCTCCAGCTTGTCCTTTGACAGTAACAGCCACGGCATCACACTGTACCCAGGCGCTTACTTGGTCGATTTCAACGAAACCGTTCACGTTCCACGGACTTGCATGGGAAGCATTTTTCCGAGGTCATCGCTCTGGCGGTCCGGAGTCGGAATCACCACTGGTGTCGTTGACGCCGGGTATGAAGGTGCTCTAGGTGCTCTGATCGAAGTTAAGGATCCTCACGGCGTCGTTCTATATTGAAACGCCAAGCTCGCCCAGATTGTATTTGAGAAACTGAGCGAAACCGTGGAAAGATACAATGGTATTTACCAGTCTGCGACGAGCAGTGCTGAGCGTGATGGGACTGGCCAGCCTTCGAAATCCTAAGCTAGGAAGTTACTCATTATTTGAGACGAGGTTAGGAGGTGCAATTATATCACACGGCCTCAGTTGAATCAGAAGATTTCCCAGTCGAATGAAGGGTTCTAGAGGTAGATCTTGAGTGGAGAGGTGCCTAATTAGGGCCGTAGTTTAAACAGACACTAAGGCCCGAGCCTTGCTCCGGCCGCCGGCCCCATAACTCCTCATCAACAACAGCTCTAGCATTTATTACTGACTTCGGAACAGGGTCGTAGCTGAAAACTGCCACACTGAGTATAAGTTTCCAGCCTCAATGCGTATTTTGGATCAAGAAGGGAAGGATGATGGTTTGATCTTCGGTCACCTTCCTTACCATGGCAAGATTCCAGCCATATCTATACCTTAATCCCCGTAGATTACAATATACAAAAAGGGGAATGGAAAAAATAAACTGTTAACATGACTTCGCATGACGCTTCTATCTTGTTAACCACAGCATGCCATCTATCAATCAATGTCATCAATCATTGATTTACATGTTCAAGGCATGCCCACAAAACCCTAGTTCATTCCTTGTAAGCATCCTTCTTAGCAGCCGGTCTCTGACCTGGATTTGTACTACATGACATGTCAAATCCTGACGGTAAAGCTTACACTTAGCATAATCAAGGATTTGGTTGACATTCGCACAATAAATGGACTGCCCGATGACCAAAAGTTCATATGGCCTATCCTCATATGGCCTATCCTCCAACCCTAGGTGGTTTAACCAAAGAGCGACATAGTTAAAATGAAAGACATGAAAGCATCAAGCTTCATCAAGAAAGGAACATGCACGATAAGCAGCAACGAGTAGGCTTGTTGAAAAGAAAGGAGAGCAACTGAGTCCCCAATGCAATCTACCGATCTTTGGTTCTTAGTCAGGCAATTCTGCTGGAGATGAAATTGTCAAGACCCTAGGATCCCTTCTCGCTTCTGCCGTCCTAGCGTTGGTGACTTGGGTTATTCGGGGTGAAGAGCGCCCTGCGGTCTTCCTATCAGTTATCGACGAGGGGTTCTGTACTAACCCGAGGCCTCACACAGTGGCCGTGCTACTGTATCGATCGACGAGTGACCCGATGGTCCAAAGGTGACTAATAAGCGATAAGAGAAGTAAGGTGTGTCAGGTACGAAAACCTGATCACTTAGGTTGAGTGTGGGCGAGTAGAAGCTAGACTTGAAATGTATACTCAGACTTGAGAGTGTTATTGAACGCGACTAACTAAACTGTAGATACAGGCGAATGAGTGTTCTTATATATCCTTCCTTGGCTACTCCCGTGGTGACTCCTTTGTGGTCACTTCCGGAGTCGCTCCAATTATGTGTTTCCCTTGGTGCCTACTCCTCCGGCTACTCCCTGGGGGTAGGCGTGGAGTAGGTGATCGCATCACGTAGCTACTCCTCTATCTCACGTTAGGAGTAGGTGATCGTATCACGTGACTCGTAGTCATCTTTGTGCAAGGGTTCCGATCCTTATGTCAATCGATTGGCGTCGGGCTTCTGCCTGGCTGTGCCGCCTTTCGTGGGGTATTAACCTCGTTGGGTTTCCGTAACATCACTCCCCCCTCTTCTAGCGTTTCGTCCTCGAAACTCATAAAGGTGCGTTTCCCCCTTGATCGTAGTTTCCGAAATCCATCGATCCTTTTCTTGTGCTGATGTCGTCATGCCAGTAGATAACGATACCCGAAAGCGTAACCGCCTTCGTCAATACAACTCTATTCTTGCCACTGGCTCCGTTATCGATATTCCTTGCGAATCCTGTTCTTCTCGTGGTGTTGACTGTGTCATGGACTCGAAGAGCAAGAACTGTGCCGAATGTACGCGTCGTGGACGGAAGTGTGTGAAGCAGTTGCATAGTGAACGAGAGTGGGAATCCCTCGAGAGGGATAGGAAGCGTCTGGCCGATGATTTGGTTAAAGCCGAAAAGCAATGGCTCGAATATTCTCAAAAAATGTCGCAAGTTATGTCCAAGATCCTCCGTTTGAGGAAGCAAGAACAATTTCTAAAAGATCGTGGTGGCCGGATGCTTGGCCATGACTCCTTTGTTATGGAGCAGCTTGATGATGAGGATCCTCTAAGTGCTGAGGATCTCCAAGAGCTGGATCGTCTGGCCGATGCCCAAGACGGTGCTCAACTTGCCGCGGTATCGGACATCCCTAGTTTTTCTCAGGCGATGAACGATCCTTCTTTCTGGGCGAGTGTCGATTTGTTTGCTGGTGGTATTGCCGAACCAGCTGGTGGCAGCCCGTCAAATTCTCGATAGGCTCCCATGTGTTTTCCGAGGTATCGTAACCTTTCCATTTGACCAAGTAAAGTGGTTTTCCGCTGACTCGTTTGTCTCTTAGGATTTTCTCGACTTCGTACTCTTGTTCGATGCTTTCGTCGATTTCCACATTTGTCGCGATTTGGCTTTCTTTCGGCGCTGGTTCCAATAATGAGACATGAAAGACTGGGTGTATGCGGCGCATTGATTCTGGTAGCTTTAGCCGATAATTGACTGTTCCCAATTTCTTTTCGATGATGAATGGTCCCAATTTTTGGTGGTCAAGTTTCTGACTTGGTCGTTTGGTTTTAATATTTCTGCGGAGCAGGAATACCTTTTCCCCCTCTTTTAGGTCAGGCCCTTCCTTGTGGTGTTTGTCGTAGTAAATCGCTGCCTTCATATTCATGAAGTCGATGTCTCTTGCCAATTGCTGGTGCAGTGTTTTGAGCGCCTTTGTTACTCCTTCCGCTTGTTCCGATACGGTTTCCTTGTTCCTGGGTTCGCCGTACATCTTTGGGTGGTAACCATGATTTGCATAGAATGGTGTCTCCTGCGTGGTTGCGTGTGCTGCGTTGTTGTACGCGAATTGTGCCATTGGTAGGTATTGTTCCCAATCGTTTTGTTCGTAGTTGATGTAATGTCGAAGGTACTGCTCAATGGTCTGGTTGGTTCTTTCTGTTTGACCGTTTGCTTGTGGGTGATATGCTGTTGTCAAGCGGTGATCAATCCCCATGATGTCTGTCAACGATTTCCAAAATTTTGACGTAAAGAGCTTATCTCTGTCCGACGTGATCTTCTGCGGCATCCCATGATTGGCGATGATGTGGTGCAGTAGCACGTAAGCCATGTCTTGTGCCGTCATTGTGCTCTTCGTTGGTACGAGCTGGATGTATTTTGTCAATCTGTCCGTGATGACAGTGATCATATCCCATCCTCGGGATTCTGGTAGTGGTCCAACAAAGTCCACCGTTATCCATTCCCATGGTCGTTTTGGTGCGTCCGGTGACTGCATCTTCCCATAGGGTTGGTGCCTCGCAGGCTTGTCCCGTATACAGGTATCACAATTTCGAATGTAACCCTGTACGGTTTTTCGCATGTTAGGCCAATAATAGTTCCGAGTGATTTGTTCACATGTTTTCTCGGTTCCGAAGTGTCCTTGAAGTGGTTCGTCGTGGTGCATTCTGATGATCTCTTGTCTCATACAGTAAGGTATGTAGATGAGTCCATGCATGTAGACTAATCCGTCTTCGTCTGTGACCAATTTGTCGCTGTCTGCTGAGTTGTTCAGCATCTCTTGAATGGTTTTGTCTTGTTTTGTTTCGTGGATCAACTTGTCCAATAGATCGTCCTTGATCTCCATGGTTCCTGCCAGTTGTTGATGGTTGTATGTCAATGATCCATCTTTATGTTGCTTGAGGATCGCAGGTTCGATGATTTTGTTCTTTAGCTCATAGTCCGGTCGTCGACTCAGCGCGTCGGCTTGGCCGTTCTCACTGCCTTTGCAATGTTGGATTCTGAAATCATACTGCGATAGTGTTTCTGACCATCTTGCCTGTCTCCGCGTCAACTCTTTGGTTGTCGTAAAGAAGGTAAGGTTCTTGTGGTCCGTTCTGACGATGACTTGTTGCTTTGCTCCTTCGAGGTAGACTCTCCATGTTTTGAATGCGGTGACGATTGCCAATAGTTCCTTGTCGTGGATGTCGTAGTTTAGTTCCGCTTGGATCAATTTCCTTGAATGGAACGCGACTGGTTTTGGCTTGCCGTCGTCTCCTGGTTGAGTCATTCTCATCCCGATAGCGTAGTCTGAAGCGTCTGTCTCAATCGTTGTTTCTTTCTCTGGGTCGTGTTGCATCAAGACTGGTGCAATGGTGAGTTGGTGTTTGATGTCTTCAAATGCTTTCTGACAGTCGTCTGTCCAGTTGAAGTCCTCTGTTTTCTTCATCAGGTTGAAGAGTGGTCCTAGCTTGTGCACGTAGTGATAGACAAATCTTCTGTAGTAGTTTACTAATCCCATGAATTGTTGTAGTTCTTTGAGATTTCTTGGTCGTGGCCAGTCCCTGACTGCCTGAACTTTGTTTTTGTCGGTATGGATTCCCTCCGTGGATATCCAATGTCCTAGAAAGTCTGTTTCTGTGACGTGGAACTCGCACTTCTTCAATTTGCATCGTAGTTTGGCGATTCGTAGCTTCCGTAGCACTTGTTTGACGTGTATCTTGTGTTCTTCGAGATTCTTCGAGAAGATAAGGATGTCGTCGAGGTATGCGATGACGAACGTATCCAGTAGTTCTCCTAGTACTTCATTGATGAATCTCTGAAATGATGCTGGTGCGTTGGTGAGACCGAATGGCATGACCAAATATTCATAGTGGCCATATTTTGATCTGAATGCCGTTTTCCATTCGTCTCCTTTAGCGATGCGTAGCCTATTGTATGCGTCGGTGATGTCGAGTTTCGTGAAGATCTTAGCTCCTTTGAGTTTGTCTTGTATTTCCGTGATTAATGGTAACGCGTGTCTGTCTTTGATCGTGACTTGGTTGAGTGGTCTGTAGTCCACACATAGTCGTAGGCTTCCATCTTTCTTTGGTACAAACAGGACGCCGTGTCCTGCCGGTGATTTTGATGGTCGAATTGTTCCTTTCGCTAGTTGTTCCTCAATGTACGCTCGTAGCGTTTGTGATTCCCTTTCTGACATTGGGTAGATTTTCCTGCATGCCACTTGCTTTCC